TGATGCAAGATGTTCAAGGGGATATTTGAAACATGGTCGCATGAAATGGGTACACCAATTTTTGTGGGTAAACTTTTTAATTGACAACAAAAAATGAGAAAATGTGTTTTTTGGGATTCAATCGAAAGTGTTGACAGCAACAAAAAACTTTTTATATTAGATTCTTAGGTATTTATGAGACCTACAAAATAAGACCACACGTAACAAGATCCGACTAATAGCAAAGATGTTATGGTCGAAAAACGAGGCAAAATGAAGGTTTTTGCACTTATTGGTAATGCGACGATAATTTCACGCAACTACTCGAAATTCTTCAAATCCGTAGGATTCATATTTCTAAATCACAACAACAAAATTGGATTATACTGGGCAAGTAGTTTTTTGAGAATTTCTAATTGTTTATCTCAAAACACCTGTTTTCCGGCCATCACTACCAGTTTATTGAGCAATATACAGGTTCGCTCAAATAGCATTTAATAGGAAAATACACGTGTTCACCTTGCCGATATGAATCACAAACCATTCCTAAAGATAAATGTTATTTTTATGGGAAAAACAGATATTACGCTTTTTCTTCTAAACAAATTCAAACATTTCGTACTTGTGAGTAATCGAACACATGAGCTACGATATTCGAAAAACATGCGTTACTATACATTTTAAAACAAAGCGGATAGCATAAGCCATCATTTTTTGCATAAAAATTTCATTTATCTTCCGGAATGGTTTGCGATACATCATATCGCCAAGGTAGTGTATTTTGCTATAAAATGCCCTTTGAACTAACCCTGTATATTGCTCAATAGACTAGTAGTGATGGCCGGAAAACAGGTGTTTTGGGATAAACCAATCTACTCCAATTTTGTTGTGGTTATTTAGAAGTACGAATCCTAAGAATTTCAAGTATCTGCTAGAGACCATCGTTGCATTACCAACAAGTGGCAAAACCTGCACTTTGCCTCGGTTTTCGGTCCTAACTTTTTTGCTATTAGTCGGATCTTTTCAAGTGTGGTCTCACTTTGTAGGTCTCATAAATACCTAAAAATTTTATATAAAGAGTTTTTTCGTTTCTGCCACACTTTCGATTGAATCTAAAAAACACATTTTCTCATTCTTGGTTGTCGAATAAAAAGTTTTCCGACAAAAACTGGTGTACCCATTTTATGAGTCCATGTTTTGAATACCCTCTTGAACAACTTGCAGCAATAAAATCATACTTTACAATTATTTCGCAAACCAGAGGTATTTTCGTCAAATACGATTAGACTATTATTGACTGACCTATACGTTCTATAAAGGAAAGTAATAACTTTATATATATATATATATATATATATATATATATCGAAGCAGCCGCGCAGACAGAAGCCTAAATGCCGGAACACCGCGGCTGCTATGATGATCACAAAGAAATTTTGTTAATACGATTTTTGAACTGCCTAAGGTTAGCAGAACTGGGAAAAGCTTCCTCTTGTAGATTGTTCCACAATCTCGACACCCTCGGGACAAAGGAGCGGTCGTATCGGCCAGTTCTGGATGTACAAAGTTCGACACGGTTAGGATGGGACGCCAAAGTCAGGCGGGTCTGTCTGGCAGGCACATCGCGCGGCGGCATCATGGGAAAAAGCTCTGAGGAACAAAACCCGTTGTGTAGCGGTAGAAAAGAGCTAGATCGCCGAAGGCCCGCCGGTGCGAAAGAGTCCCGAGACTGTCTGTTAGAGAAGAGTCATCAATCAGTCGGACCGCCCTCCTCTGGACTGCATCGAGCATGGATAATGTAGTTGGGCCGGCAGCACCCCAAACATGTGAGCTATACTCGAGGCTAGGCCTTATCTGGACCTTGTATAGAGTGAGAAGGTCGTGCGGATAAAAGTACTTCTTAGCCCTAAACAGATAGCCTAGCTTTTTCCCAGCAGCTGCAGCTATCATTGACGAAAAGTATTCGTGCCAGATCAGGTCCTCGGTGATGAATGACTCTTTGTCAGAACTCGGCAATCCATCGAAACCGGATGAGAGCTAGGACGCTTTTTGTTCGTCAAAGTACAGTACTGTGTTTTGGAAGCATTGAACTGTACAAGACACTGGAACACTCTGTATAAACAAGCATGTTATGTTTCCAAAGTTGTTCGTTTAAAAACAAATTCCCGTAGTATCTATCTGAATCGACATAGTAATGCTGTGACGTCCTGCGCACATGACAGAATGGTTCAAACAGTAAATATACAGGTAAAAGTACAGACTGGTATCTCAATAAAAATTGTATTCCGAAAATGAAATTATGTTTCTGCACTTTCAAAAGCAACGATAACGACTCCGAACCAAGAATTAAAAAAAAATAAAAACAAACAAATCTTTTCTTACTGACGCGAATCTTCTTATCACTTTGATAACTGTAAAAAGTGTCACTTATAATTTGACCTTTCTATAAGCAACTGCAGCTTCTTTAAACAACAACGATTCACGTAAAAGTACTCGCATGTGCATGGCATTAGATAACGTTAATATGAACTAAAACATTGCGTATTTTTTCCAAAATTGGTGCTTAATCCCACAAAGCTCAAGGTGTTTCGATAGACTATAGAAAAAAATGGCGTCAATTAAGTTAACTTTTCGCTTCTCACGCAGCGTCGTCATCCGTTAATAAAGGATTGTGCTCAGCACAAGTTAAACCCTCTCAGAAAAAAGTCTACTAATATGCACAACAAAGGAATTAGATGCATCAAGTCAGTCAAAAGGCCTATACAATTTGGATGGACTAATGGACATTGTTTCCCTTCTGTACCGGTAGCACCGCCCATCTGGCAAAGCCGCCCTCCCGCATACCGGTCCGCACCACGGGGCAACGCGGTACAGCGGCTGTATTAAAAGGAGACTCATGAGGACAGGCACGCCCGCCGGTGAACCCAGGGAGCAGGAGTAGAGCCGCGCATCGAAAACGTGTCTCTATCATCTTAAGCTTTAAGAGTATATGTACGGAATAATCCATGATGTGAGAAATATGTCCAATAAGTGCGTAGAATTACTGGGATTCGAAGCATATAAGCATACTAACACCAAAAAATTGAGATATACCCTCCTCTACCCCTTATAACCCACAACGCTAACCACTACAAAAATGTTTTCTGAAAATGATCAGGAGCTTCTGAAATGTCAAAAAACGAAATATTTTTTTACAATCGATATATTATCGTCTATCACTTCAATCAAGCCGTAAACAGTATTGAGCAAACGTTTTGTTCTAGTAAATCTAATAAATATTGGACGAAGTACAGAAGGTGCTGTGAGCATCTGTCAAGTAGCTGACTCTGTGCTTTTATTGAAATTTTTGTAATTAACTTCTAATAGAGCACAAGGCCAAAATACCCGATTCGAACCCGGGCAGCTCAGGGCGACTAGGTTAGAGACACAGCGTCTACCACCACGCCACCACTCTGCCTTAGATTGATCAGATTAGTTCATAGTATTGATATGTACACGTCCCTAATGTGTCTTTTCGAACTACCTTGTGGTTTTTGATTCCTGTATATCCACAGAAACGTTGCTAAAGGGTAGATACAACACAGCGGGAGTACTGAAAAATGAATGAAATGAAAAATAATATTGTAAATTGGATACTTGAATGAAGAATCTGCAGCTTATTTTGAACGAAAACGTTCTATTCAAAGGTATCTAAACGAAACAGAAGACATATTAAGATGCTTCCGTAAATAGACAAAATCGAATAAATTTATCATTAAGCTGAATTTCCTGCTTCCTTGTTTACTGGCGGTATTATAAATATTTGTATATGGGATCTCTTATTTAAACAAGTTGAAAGCATCTCATCTAGGGCGTAGTGGAAATCTGTTAAAATTAAATACGTAGGATAATGTGTGTCGGCCAAATACGATAATTTCATAGATTCGCCATTCTATTCCATTTGCTAACAAAGAACTATGTCTCAATCTTAGTAATTGCAGTAAATGATTAAAAATGTATTTATTTGAGTATGATGGATATAATGGCAGCGATATCTATTTCCAGAAAATTACTGGTAGTAGGAACATTCCATGCATATTAACTTTAAAAAAAAAACATTTTTCCGGAGCTTTTCTGTTTGAAAGATAACTTCGCATACGTTAAACGATGCAAAAACTGGGAAGCTGAAGAACACAATTGGGTGCGAATTTGCCACAGTTTCATCTGTGCTTCAAGGAAAGAACAAGCTGTAGAAAATAGATAAATGTGCTTGTGATTGAAAAATGCTCTCGATATGGAAATGCAGGTAATATTTGCTTTTCATATCGTTTCTATTTTCACAAGGCAATATAGCAATATAACAACCTCCGTACTTTCAAAGCAGAATCATCCTAAAAGTTACAAGAATGTTTCGATAAATGTTTGTGGGGGGAAAATATTTGTGAAAACGAATTAAATAAAAAACGAGTGATATTCTCGTGACCCTTAAGACCACTGTAGAACAAAAAAGAGTCAGTCAGTTTTCAAAACATGATATATGTATCGAGGGTTCCAAGAATTTTCCGGTAATATTCTGTTGGAAATTATGATATTGGATGCAAGTCGCTTTGTGAATACATTATCTTCGTTTCAAAATAAATACGTTTTGCAAATATTTTATGACTGAAAGTCACGTTGAACGATATACTGTCCATGTTTTCATGAAAATTTACGAATATTTCGTGGTTCTGCTGAGAAATTATGATAACAAATGTACCTACCCTATTTCGTACAAAAACAGGGCTAAATGAGTATACGCTTCAATTGAAAGACATGCGGTGATTTTGTCACTAAAACATCACTTATACATACCTTGCAAGATGCTTTATACCTAAACGACTGAAGCTTTGTCCACCAAACATAACCATGTATAAAGCAAGAGATAAGATGCTTGAAGAACACAATGGGGAAGGAAATTCATGATAACATAGATTAACATATTCCAAAATACGTTAATCAATGATCATACATAAGATTATTTCCGCTTTAAACAGAAAATAAGCTCTTGAAAATAAGGGGTTATGCTTATGACCTGAAAAGATTGATATCAAAAAGCAGTCAATAATTGCCTTGCACATCGTTCATATTTTCGCAAATGTTGAACTTTCAAAGCAGAATGTTACAGGAATTTTTAAAATACTTGAGGAAAATGACTACTTGTATCTCTTCAAAGTCCTTCGTATTCGAGAATTTTCATTTTCTCTATTTGTTACTAGATGCTTCGTAGCATGTTCATGAAGATTTATCGCGATTTTGGATATATACCGTAATAACAGGGTTAAATGTATATTTGCTTCAAAAGAAAGACATGCTGTGAAGATTTCATGACTGAAAGATGACTTCACATACCTTGAACGATGTTCTGGTACCTGTATAACCCTTGAAGCTTTACCGACCACGACCGCGTACGGATCTTCAAGAATCTCACTCGCGTCTCGTTTACCACCGATGAACCGACTCTAGACCGACAAAACTACGGACGGGCGGCGACCAACGGCAGGATAGAGCAGCAGGAATGAGTATCGTTAGCAACTCGATAGAGTGGAGGCTGTGTGGTGGGTCTGTCTGATCGTGTGTCGCCGAGTACAGATGGCCGCTGTGTGTCGGTAGAGGCAGTTGGTGGCAGTGGCTGACTGGCTGCTGCGTGCTATCGATCACTGAGAGCAGCAGGAGAGGGCAGGAGCAGAACAGAGAAACAGAGAGCAAGCAGCACACGCCTGCTGCTGGTGCTTATATCGCGGCGGCGGAGGTTGTAGCTGCACGCGCCGCATTGCCTGCTGGGTGGACATTCGAGAAATATGGAATATAAGGCGAAAATGTTATTTTTATTTTGTAATGCTTGATACATTGGATCAAAAGAGCTACTGTTCGACGCTGCTGCTGCAAGTGCCACACTCGCTATACTGTAGTAGCTGATTTGGTAGTATATTGAAGAAAAAGAAAAAAATGCCGACAAGCAAGTTGTCTCTACACTTCCTGTGTGACGCTGTCATCAGTTCATAAAGGATTATGCTTACAACGTAAAATAACCGCCCGAGATTCGATATTATCCATATGAACAACGCGCGTCTACGGGCTATGAAGCACTCGACGCTGAGAGAAGATTGCGAGAGGACCTGATTGAGACATTCAAGATCATCAGTGGCTGCTGCTCATGTGCCCTTCAAATATTCAATATGAGTCAGGATCTTCATTTCCGATGGAATACAGAAAAGTAAATTTCATTTCAAATTGTGAGGTATATTCGTGGAACTCTCTTAGTGAAGAAATAGTGTGTGCAAAAACTGTCAATGTATAATGTATTCAATAATAACCTGGACAAGCAACTAAAAAGTCAGCCCAGTGAACATAGTGACGTCTAATGTCCGCGTTTGCTGGGCACTACTGACAGACCAACAGAAAAGATGTAGAACTTCATTATGACGGTCTAATGTCACACCCAATTATATGACGTCATAGCATATCATATAATAGAATAAAATACAAATCCCATATGACGTGGATATGACGTCTATCTGAAGTCGATATCACGTACAGTCGCTCGCATAAATAATCGTGCGGTGTATTCAAATACTCCTGAAAAAATGAGGAATTGACAGCCACGCCCCACAGGCAGTGAGTTCAGGAGTGGTAGAAGGGCGACCTACCACTCTTGAACCCTCTTTTTCCGAGATGTCGTTATCACCACCGCAATTTTTCGCGAGCATTTGTACAAAGTGTATCGAAATGGTTAATAATGAACTAAAAAATACCGGTTGATCTCAAACATGTTCGAGTCCTCCAATGGTTCAGAATGTGTTTGTAGCAAGTTATCAAAATCGCTATGCTTTTTCACGGGAGGCCAACACACTTCTTGCTTACTGGGTGCCATTTAAGCCTTACTTACTATGTGGCAGTACTATCGTCCCTACTAAATTATACCACAATGTTCCTTAAAGACGACGAAGCCTTCGTGATGTCGCTCAAACCCATAGACCTATAAAATAAAATAGCCGAACCATTACCAAACGGTTAACACGCATGGAGGTTGGACAGGGGTCGAGCTCACCGCCAAGCACAATCTTGCGTCTTCGCTGCTGATCGGTTGAATATTATACCGTTCTGAAATTTTAATATTCTAGTACCTAAAACTTGTTTTTTGTTATACAGAACAGTTTCTAATAAATTTGCTATTTACGGCAATAAAGCGTGATGTAAGATGACAATTTGAAATATCGGAACTTATATTAGTATTAACAAAGCCATATCAACAAGATATTTTTGATCGAAGAATTCCTGATACTTTTTTTATAAATATCAAAAAAGTAGTTATTAATATTTGGATATGTAGCTTACCTTAATGTTCACTGAAAGTCTATATTTTCTTTGTAGGTATGTGTTGATTTTTCAGTACTCTTACTGTCCTAAAAAAGACGTCAAAATGACAGCCTTTTAAGGGGCGTCTTGTTGTCGTCATAAAAAGCCTCAATAAAGACGTGATTTTTCAGTCAATGACGATTCCGATCAACAGTGACCGAATAATGACGTCATTTTTGCGTCATCATGTTCACTGGTGTGATGCACGTTTCCTGCATGATCCATCATAAAAAAAGTCTTTACACAACAAGATCATCGGACTTTTCCGCCTACTGTTGTAGTGCTAATAATAATAATAAAAATGTTCAGCACAAGTTGGTCCCTCTGAGAAAAAGGTTAGCTACGAATATGAATAAAAAAAATTACATTGATCACGTCAGTAGTACAAACCCATATAATTACTCAAAAATTCTCACCCATTTGAAAACAATGCGGTCTAGAAATTTTCCCCCACGCTAGCACTAGCTTCGCTACTTGCCAACTGCAGCCACCCATCGGTCTGACATCGCTCTACGTAGGTATATCTAGGCGCGTGGCTTTGCTGCCACACAAGTTTAGTGTTAAAAACATTTCTCTATTATGCTCTCTCTCTCTCGAGTATGGTATGAGAAGTATGTGTAATAGGTGCAGGACAGACAGACCGACGGAAATGTGTGATATGGTTTTTTGTACATCTCATATGCAACATCCAAAAAAACAGATTTTCTCATTTTCTAAAATTTTTACGATTACAATACTTCCTCGCCAGTTGGCGTCCACATCCACAATCAATCAAAACATTGGGAAGAGGTGAACGATAATAATAATAAAAGATGGGTTTCCCAAAAACTGGAGAGTCTGAGTATAAATTCATGAACGCCCACGGAAGGAGCCAAGGGAGACCATTGGACCTTAAAATTTGCGTATTTGGCATGATTTTGTGTACAATTTCGGGGATTTTTATAACTTGGCCTTCCATGAGAAAATTTGCTACCTCAAGCTTTTCAAATAGTTTTTGGGGCAGGTACAGTTTTAAATCTCTCGCCGATAACCGTTCCTCGTAATCTACCTATTTTTATGGAAGAATAAATTCTTCTGGCTTGCCCTAATTTTGCTTTCAATGCATATTAGCCCTCAATCATATCGGGCGACTATAGGCAGGTACCCCGTTCTGTGGTATGCACCGTGTACTGTAAGTCTGCCGCTTACAAAAAGTATAAACAGGAAAGTAGAACGTCGGCAGCTCTTGGGGCCCTTAACTATACCGCTGAATATGAAAGGACGTCCACTTGATTCCTCAAGAAATTAATAACAAAAAAACCCAGAAATCCGTATGAAAAATCTTCGTAAGCGCGTTTCCATGTTTAGCATGAACCGCATACGATATTTGCAGTGCTGTTTACTGATGACAATGTTACGGCGGTATTTTTCAACTACAATTTGATAATGCTGACAATATATAATTGTCAAATTGTACTTGAAAAAGGCCACCGCTGTGCCCGAAACGTCGTCATTAGTAAACAGTATTTCAAACATATGTATGTGATTTCGTTTAGCGGTCAGACAAACATGGAGGATTATCAGCATGAAATCCACAGGATGGGTTTCAGGTGTTACATCATTCATCTAATTCGTTATATCATGGCAAACGAGAAGATTGTTTTTTTAAACAACAGCAAAGGCAGAGCCTAAATACTATTTCACCTTTTCTCGTATACTGAGCACACTCTGTATGTTTCTGATTTAAGCATATCATAACTGGTTGACCATGGCAAATGCTGAATTTAATAAATATTTATATTAAATAAATAGCTAAAAATATGTGACGTGGATTCAACATTTGGGGAGCGAACTATTCTTCTTAAAACTACTCCTAAAACTTGCACTTGGCAACGGTGTAAGATATTTTACTTTTTAAAATAAACGCCAGGAGGACCGTAAACGTCATCGAATTGTCAGCGGAAATGTCAAAACATATCAAATGCAATTGACAAATTACTAATAACAAAAACAACGCCCAAAATCCAACAAATAAGATATCTTTAATGTGTGAAGTGCACAACTCGTGAAAATGGTATATTTGTAATCTTATAAAAAATAAGAATCTCCGGGAATCTCAATTCTTATAAAATATCTTAAATATATTAAATATAAGTCAATATGCCTGCTATGGAAGAAAAGGACCCCAACATCGTCAAGATTGCTGTCGAAATGACCGATCAGGTACCCCAATTAATAAAATTCAATCAAAAACAACCCCTAGCGGGAATAATTCAAGTACTCTGCAATGGTTGGAACCTTTCAGACCCTGAACAATATGCTTTACAATTCAATGAATCCAACAACAATAATTATATCACAGAAAAGAATAGAAACGAGATTAAAAACGGATCTGTACTAAGATTACAATACTCACCCTCAAAAACAGCACAAGACATTCTACTTAAGCTCAACACAGGGAGCCCTGAAGAAAAAGCACATGCAATGAATAGACTATCTGTCTTAAGTGCAGATATGACATTTGCTTTGGATTTTATAAATAAGCAGGGTCTTACATTGATTATAAAGCAAATTGAGAGTGGTAAATGTAAAGGCACAGTATTAGCTCACACATTACTTTCTTTTGTTGAATTGATGGAACATGGTATCGTTTCATGGGATATTTTAAATGGAGATTTTATCACAAGGGTAGCAGGATTTGTAAATAGTCCACAGGAAGCTGAGGTAAGTCCTTTTCATTGATGCATCACTTTTTTTGTGAAAAAAACAAAGCAAATTACCAGCAAGGTTCTGTTAACCCTGTAGTGTAGATAGGTCAAAACTAAAATTCCACTAACAGACTTGGCAAGTCATATCTCATAACAGAATCAAATTTTTTTCCTGGAAATAACCTATTGAGACACACAACTTTACGAAACTATCTTACAAATACATCAACACATTGCTTAACATCATTAGCTGTCACAATAGCTGACATGTTCAAATACAAGTATATATATATATATATGTTACCGGGCAAACCCGATTTTAGGATAAACTAGTTTTTCCTAGGCCAAACCAGTTTATCCGAAGAGCGATAGGATGAACTAGTTTATCCTAGCCTAAACTGGTTTTTCCTGAAATAAGTTAATTATGATTAGGAATAAAACTGATTTGTCCTAGTCTGAACTATTTCAACCCGCGATTTAACTAGTCTGAACTCGTCTGAACCTTGGTTTGGCTCGCCGGCGCCGATCGCAAGGATTTAGTTTGCACGCGTACGTTGACTGTTATGGAGCGTTCGTCTTATTGCAAAATCGTTGCGTATTGTGCGTGTTGTCCATAAGCTAAACATTCTGAAACATTTCGTGATTGTTTATGTATCTAAAGTTCGCAGAGTATTTCTGTATCTCATTAACATGGATGAGGCTTCATCAAGTGGGCACGTAGGTCAAAAAGAGTGGAGGCAGAGATTCTTGGTAGAGGTTTTAAGATCTGAGGATGAAAAATCAACTCATTTTAATGTTTTGACAAAGGAAAAGTATTTGGCACTTATCCAACAAGTGGAAGAGGCTAAAAAAACGGAATATAAATCACCCTTGCAACAAAGAAGATTGAAAAGATTTGATGTGGTGGAAATCGGAGGTGTAAAGAAACTTACCGCACGAAATGAAGGAAATACAAATAATATAAAGTATTATCTCACCGCTGATGAGTTATATGACGTTATTGATGCAGCTCACATAGCAGTGGGACATGGTGGTCGCGACAGAATGTTGGCTGAAACTTCTAAAAAGGTTGCGAATATCACAAAAGAAATGACATGTCTTTTTTTATCTATGTGCATGGTCTGTCAACAAAAAAAGACGAAAAAAAAGAAAGGATTAGTCTCCAAACCGATTTTGCACACCGAAATGAATAGCCGATGCCAAGTTGATCTTATTGACTTCCAGACACAACCAGATGGAAAGTTTAAATTTATATTGGTGTATCAGGACCACCTAACAAAATTTGTCCTGCTTCGTCCATTGGAAAGCAAGAGAGCAGAAGAGGTAGCCTACCATTTAAATGATATATTTTTAACTTTCGGGGCCCCATGCATTCTACAATCTGACAATGGCCGAGAATTTGTGAATCGTGTAATTTTAGAAGTGACAAGCTTATGGCCAGAGCTCAAAATCGTGCATGGAAAACCACGACATAGTCAAAGTCAGGGATCAGTCGAAAGAGCAAACCAAGATATTGAAAACATGCTGAGTGCTTGGATGAATGACAGCGAGACAACTAAATGGTCAGAAGGACTAAGGTACATACAGTTTATGAAAAATCGGGCATTTCATTCTGGAATTAAACAATCGCCTTATAAGGCCAAGATGATCTTCAAAAACTGATTGATGGAAAAAACATAGATGGACATGAAAATGAAGGCAGTTATGGATACGAAGATAGGGATGGAGACGAAGATAAGAATGGAGACGATGAAATGGATGAAACCTCACAAAATATTTTAGAAGCACGATCAAAGGCTGCGCAGAGCCTTGAAAAACAAGCCAAAAAGATGAAATCAACCTCTCACAAGGTGCATCCACCAGCGAAAGTTGGAGATAACATCATCATACCTACTCCTGATGTAGACAGGGCTAAAGGAGATCTTCGGAACGTTATTGGAGTTGTGCTTGAAGCATCTGATGACGGATTTTATAAGATTGGGACCAAGCATGGTATCCTACAAAAATTATATTGCAGGTAATTATTCATTTTGCTACGGTTTTTATTTGATTTAAATTGAATATTTTCATTTCAGAAATGAATTTGATATCTGCACACAAAAGTTTTTATTGGAAGAAGAAGTAAACAAGAACAATGAAATTTCGTTAAGAACCGCAGCGATAAAACATTCAGTTGGAACAGGCCAAGGTTTCTTTAAGTGTAGTTGCACCAAGAAGTGTATGTCGAATCGATGTCTTTGCAAGAAAAATAACGTTCTCTGCAACTCGAAATGCCATAATAGTTTGACATGTAATAACAAGTAAATAATAAAAATTACTAAACATGTTTGTAATATGTAATGGTGTTTTCTTTAATTACTAGTAAAAACGTTAATTTTGTCAAAAGACTGTATGTAGACTAGGACAAAACAGGTTTTCCTAATCATAATTAACCTATGTCAGGAAAAACCAGTTTAGGCTAGGATAAACTAGTTCATCCTATCGCTCTTCGGATAGACTGGTTTGGCCTAGGAAAAACTAGTTTATCCTAAAATCGGGTTTGTCCGGTAACATATATATATATAAAAGTATAATTTTGAAAATCATATTTTTTTCAAATAACTCAAAATTGGAAAACGGAAGCCAAATTCTGTATACTGCATGCAAATAATACTTATATTCCGCAACTTTTTCCTCATTTAACCCAACATTTTAGCTCTAACCATTCAAGAGACCACTTCTTTATCTTGAGCACACTGTATACTGAACTGTTGTTTTTGCAAATATCCCTTAAATGCTGCGGTAGCCAATAAATACTTTAGCAATGTATTGATGCATATATAACATAGCTAACATCTTTGATTAGCTCAATATTAGCTGAAGTATGATGCAAATGTTTCAATTTTACACAAAAATATGGAAAATTACCTAATGAACCAATTTAGAGAACCGAGAACAAAATTTAACTCATTTAGAGCAATAGATTGACTCTTTATCTTGAAGAAAAAAAATAATTTTACGGATTTTTTGTTTTGGAAGGCATTCAAATTGTCAATCCAAGGAAGGAAACAATGAAAAATTCCGAAGTAAATTACTTCTGGCTGAAATATTTGCCAAACAAATCATTAGATCGCAAATGGACGTCATTTTTGAATTCGTTGGGGGACGGTCATGCTTTCCAATGATGGGAGTAGCAAGCAAATGGAATGTTGTCAAAATCGTTGAAATTAATGTTATTATTCTAGTTACCCATGACAAACAGTTGAAGATGTCTTTACAATATGTACAACGAACCAGAAGTTAAAATGGGAATAACTTTATTATCAGTGAAGAAAAAGAAGTAGATGTGTTGGCCTACATTGGAATAAACTATACTATATGATATATATGAATTAAATACATACCCTCATTACTATAACAAAAAATAAAATTCTGTCATTAAGGTTCTAAGTGTTCAGAATGGCCTCCTCCTTGATCACGACAAAGTTCAACTTTATCAATTGTTGCTTAAACCAGATTGATTAACTATTTCACAGGATTCTCCGGAATGCTTCACTTGTTTTATGCTCCAGTTCTTCGCGAGTAGCCGACGTTTTATATTCCTGATTTTTAATTGCCTCCCAAAAAAAAATCTCTTAGTAAGTTGTCCATCGAAAATTATTGGCCCCAAAAGTTTCTCTCCGATAATACCCTTCCAGCAGTTGAAACGCGTGGCGCTTGCCGCAAACTCCAAACCTCTACAAACATTTGACTTTTTTTGTGGACACAAACGTCGCCATCCACACGTTTGCGTATGTCAGTGTATTGTGAAAAGTAGCAAGCATGACAGAGATCAAATACAACACAAACCTGACTCTAATATTCTCTATTGGTTGTTGATTCAGCATTAAATTAATTCAATTTCAGTCCACCTTTTACTTTTGATGATAATGATCAGGATGTATTTCTGCTGCTGGCGAAAGATAATCCATATCATTAATATTACTTTAAAAGAGTCCTCAACCTCTGACCTATATTTGACAGACCAACTATTGGCCAGTTGGATCCACCGCATGAACTGGAAAGGCTAATTTTCTATTCTCTACAGGGATGGAAACTATTGACTAAGATAAAAATCTAATTATTCACTACTGAATCGTTATCCCTTTTACATAATTTGTTTATAAAAAAAATGTTTTATTTTTATACTTATTGCGCCCTAAAATTAGAGCTACAGCATAATTTTCTTGCTGCCGAGTTAATCATCTCAAAAGAGTTAGCTCATTGATTAATTCATTTGAACAGTGTACTTCATTGAGTTATACAACACTGTAGGGCAATTGAACCCAGCTTATTACTGAACAAATATACAGGGTGACTTTGAAGTTGAGTCATTAATTTTCAGATAATGATTGTAGAAGGAATATAAACCAAAATATGTGTGCAGAAATAAAAAAAAAATTAAAAAAAAAATTTTACCTTGTTTTATAAAGTATCCTCCCGACAAGTATTTCAGTGCGGACCTGTATTTGATCGTGAGGTCCCCTGTGAGGTCTTAAGTCACCTGATTCACGAGCCCGTTGTACTACATTAACAAAGGCACGAGGGGTTGGTTGCACTCGATTGGGAAACCGATCCGCATAAACATGTGCCATTTTTTATTTCGTTTGAGCCACGCAACAGATACAACTATTCACTGACACTTACTGTATACAAATGAATGAAATAATTCGTTCCAAATTCTTTCGCTTTTTTGTTTCCGTTGCGATGAACCGATACGACGGATTATATCCATTGTCGCCAAACACGAGCACATTGAGACAGGGCGGTACTCAAACTTCCAAAGGGCTATAACTTTGTTACTTTAATTTTACCAGAAAAATGGTAAAGGAAAAAACATTTCTTTTGATCAGATCTACTCACTGTTAAAATAAATGACTCAACTTCGAAGTCACCCTGTATATATATATATATACAGGGTGACGGGAAAATAGATGCGGAGCCGGTGGGGGGAGATAGTACAAGTCAATCTGAGTCGATTTTACTATAGGAACTACTGTCCGAAAATTAGCCGTTTTCGAATCATACTAATTTTTAAGATTTTATAAAATTAACGTGAAAATTGGGTGTTTCATTCGATTTTTTTTGTTTTACAATAAAAATATTCTAAAATACGAAAAATGATACTCAAATGTACATTATTATGTACGTTATCTCATTCAGTAAGCTTCAAAATAGTTCAATTTTTGTTAAAAAAATTATTCGTTCATCTCAAAAACTCAATTTACCTACAAAATTTTCGTGCAAAACAATTTTAAAATATCTACGTTTCATAACCTATCAAATGAGGTATCAAGGTCACAAATCGATTAAGAATTGGCAAAAATATGAAAAAGCAATAAAAATACTACACTTACAAAATCATACCTTAATACAGAATAATTTGTTTGAAACTACATTTTTTTATTTTTATAATACATTTTCAATATGGCGCCCTGTATTTCTAATGCACACACGTGCTCGTCTTATGACAGCTGATTTTACTACCGCCGAATTCCTAAGAGAGGCTTGAATTTCTTGTGCTGCATGTATTATCCTGTTTATGAGGTCTTCTATTCTACGAAAATTTCTTAAGAAATATTCTATTTGAATTACTTGAAGACGTGCCGCTACACACAAGACAGAATGATATTTCAGCATGACAGGTGCCCAGCACATTTCAGACTAAGTAGCACGCAGTCCCGCTCTCACACTTATGGACTTTTTTGTGTGGGGTCGCATGAAAACTTTAGTATACTCTGATCAAAATCCTGTTCCCACAATAGAAGACCTCAGAAACAGGATAATACATGCAGCACAAGAAATTCAAGCCTCTCTTAGTAATTCGGTGGTAGTAAAATCAGCTGTCATAAGAAGAGTGTGTTGCATTATAAATACAGGGCGCCATATTGAAAATGTATTATAAAAATAAAAAAATGTAGTTTCAAACAAATAATTATCCTGTATTAGGGTATGATTTTGAAGTGTAGTATTTTTATTGCTTTTTCCTTCCTCCTCTTATAATAGTCATATTTTTGCCAATCTTAATTGATTTGTGATTTTTATACCTCACTTGAAAGGTAATGAAACGTAGATGTTTTCTATTTTGTACGAAAAATTTGTATGCGACTTTATCTAGTAAACTGAAGCTTTTGAGATGAACAAAGATTTTTTTAACAAAAATCGAACTATTTTTAAGCTTACTGCATGAGATAACGTCAATAATGTACATTTGAGTATCAATTTTCGTATTGTAGAATATTTTTATTGTAAAATCAAAAAAAATCAAATGAAACACCCAATTTTCAAGTTTTATGACTTGGTTAACGTATAAAGGACGTTAATTTTATGAAATCTTAAAAATTAGTATAATTCGAAAACGGCTAATTTTCGGACAGTAGTTCCTATAGTAAAATCGACTCAGATTGGCTTGTACTATCTCCCCCCACCGGCTCCGCATCTATTTTCCCGTCACCCTGTATATATACATATAAACATATATACTCACCACCAATGCACAAGCGAGACAGGGGACGCACAAACATTTGGACGCGTCACATGTGCTTGCAAACCCCTTTGATATGAGACCAAAAATCGGCATTCAATCAAGCCAAACGCTCTATCTGTTCGTTTGCGTTTGTGACGATTTGTTGAAGTTTGCTAAGCTTGCGGACGCGGCATTACAAAGATTCATGCCTACCGAAAAAAAATTAGGTCCGATCTGAGAGCCAAGCCAAGCCAGGTCGTGGAATTTTAGTTTTGCCATTGCCATTTCGTAACATTAGATTACACTCTTTTTGGAATTTAAGTAGGCCGTGAATCACTCATCTCATGACATAAAATAAGTTTCTCGCTACAGTATATAGTGATTATAGTTAGTATTAAACAATTGCTATTCCAGGTAACTCAGGCTGCACTGTCAATTTTAGAAAATGTAGTTCTAAACAGCACTGAAGGATATGGCCAAGTAGAGAGAGAAGTCCCAATAAGCTCACTAGTATCTCACCTACAAGCCACATCGGTGGTTCAGCAAAATGCTATAGCTCTCATTAATGCTCTACTGTCAAGGGCAGATTTAGCAAAACGTAGATCCTTGGTAGTAATGCTGTCATCAAACAAAGTCAGGACTGTTATACAAAATAATATTTTACAAACAGGAGCAGCTAAAGGAGCAGAAATGGCACATCAGCTGTATGTTTTACAAACATTGATGTTAGGGTTGTTAGAGCAACGCATGATGACAAAAATGGACCCACAAGACCAAGATGGTCATGAGAAAATCAAAGAATTGCGGCGCATAGCATTTGATGGAGATGGGTCTAACATTGGAGGTGTGCCTAGAGGCCCAGGAGGATTCACTAGGGATTATAAAAAACTAGGATTCAGAAATGATATTAATCCTGCATTGGATTTCACAGAAACACCCCCTGGATTGCTAGCACTTGATTGTATGGCATACTTTGCAAGAAATCATGCAGATGCTTATGCTAAATTGGTTTTAGAGAATAGTTGTAGAGCAGATGAGCATGAATGTCCTTTTGGAAGAGCTGCTGTTGAGTTGGTGAGGATTCTTTGTGAGCTACTGAAGATAGGTAAGTAAACATCGATAAATGAACTCATTTTCTTCAGCATCTTTTTCTACCACCTCTTGGTATATGCTACACCTAAATAAATTCTTGTTGGTATGTACATTTTCAAACTGCTAGGTCAAAAAAATAAAGCAAGTAGTTCAAAATGAAAACGCAATATTCACCATATCACCTTCTGACGCACTTTATGTAAATTGATTTTTTGCTTGAGTAGTCAGGTGTCTCACTGATTCCTATAAAATCCGATTATACGTTTTTTATTCTAACTAGCATTGACGTAACTCAATTAAAACTAGAATAACCGTTGAAATCATAATGGCTCCTCATAATTTCTGAATAAACGAAATACATTTCGTGTTACTAGGTGAGGCGCCCTCAGAACAGTGCATAACATATCAACCTCTATTTTTCACTCATGATCACCCATTTGAAGAATGTTTCTGCATCTGCATCGTTTTGCTCAACAAAACATGGAAAGAAATGAGGGCTACATCAGAAGACTTCCAGAAAGTTGCTAGTGTTGTCAGAGAACAGATTGCTAGGGCCTTAGAAACCACACCTGCATCGTTAGAACAATTAAAAAATAAGGTAACTATGATTCATTGTTGCGTGTTGATGACTATCTTGACTAGCTCTTCACGTTCGAGGAAAGGGTAGTGGCTAATTTTCAATGTTTTTTTTGGCATCTTTTATTTGTAAGATCTTATTTTTTATCAAACTACTCAATCCAGTATCTCTTAAACGTCGTTACCTAGTACGACAACGAAATTCATCGCTAGTCATGATCTAATGAAACTACGCCACAATTCCAAGGTTTTAAGTGAAGTACTACTGTTTTCAGCTGCAAACGTTAACATACAGTGAAATCACTCAACTGTGGCAGTTGCAAAGAAATACTAGAGAGGAATGGGAATCTCATGCTAAACCAGTGGTTGAATTGAGGGAACAAATTACGCCTGATATTTTGAGCTTGATCAAACAACAGAGATTGGCATTCCTAGTTGAAGGTAAGTTACAGCTCTTTTTGCTACAACCATGTAGTATGCACAACACTAACTACTATGATAATTCAGCAAATCAGTATCACGTCTATTTAGGTGTCTTTGTGTGTTAATTTTCGTACTGTTGGCAATAAGATCTGTTAAAATTCAGTAAGCAGAACTATTTTAATCAATTATTGATTATGATATTTCTCAACTGACCTAAAATATATGATGATTAACAGCCATACCAATTCTTTCGTTCTGAATATATGCTGAAACATTTTTGATTACTTTATGCAAAATAATTATCGCACTAATGTAGGAACTGGAAAATACGATTCAATAAAAGTACACCTCAGTCATTGACAATATAGGGTATATTGAATGCCAGTAAATGATCAGCTGTTATTTGTCAAAAAATCGTTAAATCAAATCTTATCTACAACCTTTGATTAACCTGAGGATAGCCAACCTAATATTATATTCCCGCGTCCAGAAAATAATCCGAATTAAAATTAGATACCGTAGCGTCATCTATGAGAAATTGCCACAGCTTTTTGTTTCTGTATTTATTATATACCTGTATACTTTGAAAAGGTTAGTGTCTCATCGATGGTGCTGTAGTCACATATATGCTTGTTTATGTTCTTATAGACAGCGCCATCTACGAGATACTAACCTTTTCAAAGGATATAAGAGGAACAGCTGCAACAAATTCTCGTAGATGACTCTACAGTATCTCATTTTATCTCTCATAATTTTTTGGATGCGCAAATATAGCGTTAGGTTGGCTTTCTTCAGATAGAATACGTTAATCAATGCTACGACATTAGTGGTAACATACTTAGATGCATGATTTTGCTTTAGGAACAAGATTCACGAAATATTCAGCCCGCGGACAAAGGATCAAGGACAAATTCTGGTACATGCGTCTCTCTCCCAATCACAAAATACTCCACTACGGCGACTGCGATGAAAAAAGCGCGCCATCTCACGACGAGCTACCGTCAAAGCTGGCTGTTTCTGACATCAGAGCTCTCTTGGTCGGCAGAGACTGTCCGCACATGAAAGGGCGTAAGGTAAGTGTGGAAAAGACATATAATTTAGTTTCATTTCTTGGCGAAATTATTTTTATTGTTTTGGTCCAACATTGTCAATCCAAAGTTTCGCGCTCGCACTTCGAAGCTGTCTACCCAAGATAAGCAACGATTTAGCAAAAACTGAACAAAAATCATGCAAGAAGCTAAATTGGCTATGGTCACTTTGGAGACTTTAATGAGCAATTGTTTCATTTTCGTGTTCCGTTGGTACAAGTGAATGAAACGTTCTACGTTTAGGTAATTTAGGGCGCTGAATACGAATATAATCGTCCATAAATTGTGAAGTATCTTGGGATAGAATGTAAGGTAGCATATTTGTCGCCTGCAACCCCCCGTGGATCGCAGTTGCCAAATTGGCCTCTAAACTACAATATTACGTTAACATGAAAAAAGAAAATCACATATCACTTGGATCTAAAATATAAAGTCCTTAATTTCCTATTGAATATTGGAAAATTTTGTGATGATTTTTTTTCTAGTGGTAAACCATTAGTTCTTAAAGCTTGATAAATGAGATATATTTCAAATGTCCTAGTTTTATACTTTTGAATACAAAACATCTTGATCTTAATTCATACGATAGCATACCAGACCTTTTCAAAATAAATTTGCTAATATAAGTTGGCGCTTTAATGTTTATAATTTTGTATGGTAAAATTAAGTTTTTCTTTTCTATGATTTCCTGCGAAAAATTTAAATGTTTTCTCGTGTTTTCGATTGATGTGTACTTATTGCAATTTAATAGTATTCTAATACACTTGTTTAATAACATTTAGCTTATGATCTATTGAACAAGAAATGAGTAATGATGAGCCATAATTGAAATGTGGATATATTATTGTGTTATAAATAATTTTTTTACGCCACTGAGACAATTTGGGCAAAATTTTGCCAAAATATCCTTTTTTACCATTTTTTTACATATATTGACCACTTGATTTTGGTCTAGAATAACTCCTAAATATTTAATTTTGTTTACAAATGTTATGCTCTCAACATTTTTATCGATGTTGTCCGATTTTAACACTTGACAGTGACACCGGAGTCCGATTAGCATACACTTTGTTTTGCTAAAAATTATTACATTGTATCCAAATACTCAATTCCCTCATTTGTTCATTTAATTAGAGGCCAAAATTTCCTTTTCCGTCTCCTGTTATCACTAGCGAACATTCAGGAAATTTTGAGCGCGGAATAAGAATATGGCGATAAAAAAAATTATGAGAGGTCCTGGGGTCGTATTTGGGGTAGAAAATTGGCATATCTTGTTTCTGATTTATTCTTAATTATATTTCTTCTTTTATTTTCCAGAGAGAGAGAGAAGTACATAATAGAAAACATAGTTCAAATTAGAGAAAGTCATTCTAAAAACCAACCAAAATTATAAGCGACAACGAGTTTGGAATTCAAAAACAAAAAATACCATGGATGCTATTTTCACATTACCCCAACAGATATACTCAAGTTTAAATGATGAACAAATTTGAATAGCTCTTTTTGTGATTTTTCCAAAGCGTGTTTGCTGACGATACTACAATACTTTTGGAAGACTCAGATACAAATGAAATTAAGAAAAAAATTGATAGTGATCTACAATTAATCAAAAAATGGTGTGACAACAATTATTTGACTTCAAATGTTAATAAGACACATTTTATGACATATAAGTGCTCCCTTGATTTTATAAATTTAAATAATAAATTGATACACAAATCAGACACCATGAAGTTTTTTGGACTGATCATTGATCATAAATTTGATTTTACTATTCATGTAGACAAATTGCTTACTCGACTAGCAAATATTTCCTTCACTATAAGAACATTTAGTTACAACATAGGTAAAAGTACAGCCTTAAGCAGTTATTTTGCCTTATTTGAAAGTAGATTGAGATAGATCATTCCCGTTTGGTGTGTCTGTTCCCAAAATTGTTTAAAAAAGTGCTGATTATACAAAAACGATATAATAGATATATAACCAAAAGCAATCCTATAGCTACATACAGGTCTTTATTGAAAAATTCAATATAAGTTACAATATTAGGCGAAAGCAAGATTTTAAATTAGTAGTAACTAAATCAATACTAGTGAGAGACTCAAGCACTTATAATGGACTGAAAATTTACATGTGTCTTCCTGATGCTATCAAAAGAATTAACATTTTACATATGTAATTATGTTATAGCTTAGTTCTGTTAGCTTTGTTGTTAAGAATGGTTGAATTCTTCCGACAATAAAGCATATTCATCTATCTCTCTAAACAAAATAAATATGTTTTATTTCTCAGGCATCCCACCAGCTAGCCTTCTCGTTAGCGTTAGAAGGCGTAGACCTACAATCCCTCGACTGCGTAGCCCCAGACGAGTTAGCATGGGCTTATTGGACAGACGGTATCAACTCGCTTTTGGGGCAACGGATGCAAAGCAAAGAGACTGAAAAGGACCTCGATACTTTGCTCAGCATGGAAATTAAGTTGAGGTTATTGGACGCAGAGGGTGTGACCATTCCTCAAGATCCTCCACCGATACCGCCCGATCCGCCACATTATCATTTTTGCTATGATCTGAAGTGAGGCTGGGATTATCGCTATATATCCTCCACAATGCTTCAACACTTCAAAACTGGTTAACCATTAGCAGCTGATCATTAAATGAAATTCAAAATACTCCATATTATTAAGTGACAGTGAGGCTTACCTTGTACGGCTTCGTACTTTCAAGTGGCGCCGACGTTTGCATGTGCATTGTTTTGCATAAAATAATTATGGAAGTTTTGGCATCCAATCAGTACGGACCAATCGAAATGGCTGCTATCATGACTTCATTTGAAGTCAGCCTAGAATTGAATAAATCGTATACAATATTTGGTGAAAAAAGTTCCGATATGCTGAATTTCAAAAGATACACTAATGCCGACAATACATAATTAACACAAAGGCGCCAGCAATATGTTGAAGCATCGTGGACAGTAGTGTATATCACTAGTCGTGGATTTCAGTTTGTGCCATCTTTTAAGCTTATCAGAGTAAGAATGCATTTTGGTTCTCCAAAAAGTTTCATTTGAAATCTGTGTATATTTTACAACCTTCCTTTCTCGGCACTTTCGGCCGCGTTTTTGAATTGTGTGAATGATACCAAAATTGCGTGCTATAATTTGTAGAAACTCAAATGGTGGCCCAGGGGTGCTGTAAACTGATATGTTCTGAATAAGATGCTACTGCTTTGATTTGCAGGCTGACTGCATACTAAATTACTTTAGTAACATGTGAAAGAAGTGTATTTGAATCATTGCAAGAGTTTGTTCAATCAAACTAGCATTCAAATAATTAATTGTATTTTTACATTTTGATATTTCTTGTGTTAAGTGATTGTTAATCTTTATACTAGCATTTTATACACCAAATATTATTTATACTATATGCGTATTTTTATGTATATTTATGTCTTGATTTGTTGTATGATGTACATTGAGTCTAATTGATAAGGTAGCTTTGTTTATCAGCAAAATTGAGCCTCTGAAATATGCCTATTTTTATTATATTGATCTCACAACCAAAACCAGGAGCTCCCCTTTGAACAATAAAATATAAAGCAATTTACATAGTTAGTTTTTCTACCAAATTTAGTTTTTTACATCAAAGATCAAGTGTGAATTTTGCATCTCTTTTTGAAGTATTTTTTTAGGATTTATTTTGCTGACTTTATCTCAAAAAAATGTAACCAAAGTTCTTATATTCGTCAATAAAGCATACCAGTTAAACAGATGATGTGTCTTTATTTTCATTTCTGACGACATTAAGACGAAAACAAACAATCTACATAGTTCTTACCTACAATCTAAAATTGTCCAATTTACCTTGTGGCATTCAAAAAGATTGCGCAGCTGCCCCCCTTTTCCCTAGCTCCGCAAACATTAAATGGAGAGAACATTTAAAAAAAAATATTCATGTACAGAGTTCTCCACAAGCTGAATCAATATCTATTAGACGAGAAATTGCTAGGATTAGTTGAAATCTGTGTTAGAAAGTTGCGTATCTAACTGATGGAATCAAGTATATCTTTGATAAGCATGCACCATTAAGAACTGTACGGGTTAATAAACCAGCTGCCCCTTGGTCAGATATTAAGCTTATGATAAAAAAAAATAACAAAGCTCTAACCGAGTTCAAAATTAACAAAACTGAAGAATCTTGGAATAAATATAAATGACTGCGTAATGCAACACTAGCTAAAATTAGAACTGTACGAGCTTATGCATCATTTATTAATAATCAAAACGACTCGGCTGCCTTTTACAAATTATCGAAATCAATTCGATTGCAAAATTGGAGAAATAATGGAATTCCTCTGCACTTAAAACATCCTACAGAAATAAACAACTGTTTTTGTTGTTTTTAATAAAAATACTCACACCTGCAAAGAAAAAATTCAATACTATGAAACACTTCACTTTTCAAATCATAAGTTTAGTTAGCCCATCAATTTTTCAGATCTATCTTCATTGTCACATTTGTTGAAATCGAATGCTTTGGGAACTGCTGGTGTATCTCTCAGAATGGTAAAAGTATGTTACCCTGCAATCTCTTCACACATCCTGCATATAATAAATTATTGTTTAGAAAGGAGTATATTTCGAAATTTATGGAAAAAAGCTCTGATTTTACCACTATCGAAAATTAACAATCCAAACTCATATACAGACGTACGGCCCATAAATATTTTACCTACACTTTGAAAATTATTGGAAAAAGCTATGTACATTCAAATAAATGACTATATTTTAGAACATGAGATTCTACGATGATTCCTCACTGAGTTTAATGCGCAGCTTCCTGATAAACAGACCGCAAAAGGTAGTCGTTGATTCAGAATTTTCTGCAGAACGTTTGATTTCCTCAGGAGTGCCTCAAAGATCAGTTCTTGGACCACTTCTCTTTATTTTGTATATAGCAGATATAAACAGGGTTGTGAAATTTTGTTGTACTCAGTTTTTTGCTGATTACTCACAATTATAGCAAGCCTCAATAGTGAAAATTTATAAATTTCGGAAGCACAAATAATAGAGGACCTAAATTCTATTGAAAATTATGCAACAGAACGTAGTTTTCCGTTGAAACCTACTAAATCCAAAGTTATTATTTTGTCTCCTAAAAATCTAAGGTCCCTTCTTAAAAATAATTTGAACATTTCTCTTAACGGCCATGCTATTCAGATACATATATTCTAGTGCTAGTTATTTTCAAGGGTTAAGTGGTATAATAGCTTGTAACTAAACTTCGCCTGAATAAAAATCGTTTATTAGTATTATATAAACTTGATTTTGCTAAAACCACTACATACGTTACATATGTTTCAAATACGAACGTCGCCTTTGGGATCTCGGAAACGGTAAGGCGAATGCCACACGATCAGTATTTACTGTGGTCCATACCATCAGTGGATTTATGTGTAACATTATGCATCAATAATTACAGGCTACACGGTCAATAAATATCACATCTCATGATAAATATATTGACGGATCACAGTAAGTACTGATCTTGTAACCTTCGCCTAAATGAAGCGGAGTACTCTATGGGCGCAAGTTGCGTACTAAAATGGAACTTGGACAATTTGGAAATTCTAAGTATTTTTGAATTTACTCCAGGTCCTGACTCCGAAATACTTTTCAAACATCCACATTGTCTACAAATTTCGAACAAAATACACAATACCATGACCACTTTTTCTCTTCTACACAGTAACATAATTAGAATTTCCATCTGTCGTTTCAACTACTAATCTTTTAAAATCATACCGTTTTCCATGTCTTCATTATTCCCCTTAAATAATATAAATGAGTTACATTATACACACATATGAAGTTGGGCTCTTGAACTTTAATATTTAATGCGTAACATCTTTGATATTCTATGAAATAAATGAGAACATATACGATAATTTCAAGGCTTACTCGGGATTTTTTTATAATAACACATTTAAAGTCAGAATTGAAAGCTATTCGCCTGTGTAAAAGTGGCATACATAAGAAAAATCAAAGTTGAGACGGGCGACAAGAGTCGAAAAATCATATGAATTTTATATTTATGCACCTTGCAGAGATCAAAAAGTGACAATGTCAATGTGCAGTTTATTTTGAAATCCTATTTAAAATAAATTCAGAAAAAAATAGAGATTTTGGGAAAATTCGTTCCCTTTTCCGTGTATCTCTTGAGATACTGGAAGCGTCAAAACTTTTCAAATGCATTTTCTAAAATATATAAGTAGGCAACTTTGCCACCGTTGCTCCGACCCGTATCTCTTACCGTTTCGGAGATCATATGGTCAAAATAATACATATTTGTTTTTCAAATGATTCTAGAACAAATTATAGGTAGGAACATATTCTTCTATATATTCTATAAAACTACTTTGGATGTTTCATATATTATATTATCTCAAGTGTTGCTTTCAATTTTTTCAAACGATTAAATTAATACTTAAAAAAGCATCTCGAGCAATATTTGCTTTTGAATGTTTAAAAAAAAAAGTTTTTTGAAGGTGCCCTCCCCCCTTCCGTTTTGAGCTGGGTACGCCCTTAATTCTACGATATCCTAATGAAATAAAGAGGAACACGCATAAAATATCTTACACACTTTGACTGTACTATACTTTTCTCTCAGCATCAGTGAGGCTATGATTAGGCAACACTGTGGTGGCACGTACGTCTTGTACCCCGAATTAGAGCAGATACTTGACACCTTGCCGATAAACGTCAAAAAATCGCAAATACACTAAAAACGTCAAATAGATTTGTATTAGTTGAGTTGGAAGATTGACGTGTATTTTTGGATATGTAAACATTTTGAATAAAATTCCGCAGTACAGCCCCAAAAATGTATCTTCCTGGGAGCGGAATCTTCGTCGTCAAGGGCGAGATGTCCGTCCTGATGACTGCTATGAAACGGGGCACAAGGTGGTCTTCACATTCTTACCAAGAAGATGACGATGGTCTCATGAAGGGCCTCCAAGAGTTGAAGGAAGTGCTGAATGCTGTGGATGATCTCAGTCTTGTAGAGCCTAACACATTTTTAACGCCATTCTTGAACGTTATCCGATCAGAAGAGACCACAGGGCCTATCACAAGCCTTGCTCTGTCAGCTGTTAACAAGTTTTTGAACTATGGGATCATTGGTATGTATAGCTGACTTAATAGAGGTTGTGAGTTTGCTTCGAAGAACCACAAAATCTTATGAGAAGGTCTTGAAGAAGGGCAAGTCTTCCACATTTCCAACAACCTTATTAATCTAGATTTACAATATATATATATATATATATGTACATACACCAGAAAGCACAATTTACAATTAAATGCATCTAAAGCAACAGCTTTACTTTTTTGCTCCAAAAAACACGGTACTTTCCTTTAATCAAAATTAAATAAATCTGTCAATAGTACCTTACTTGCATTTTCCCATTTGTCATAAAATGTAGGTTTATGCGTTGATGATAATCTCAAATTCTAGGAACATGTTAGCCATGTGTGTAAGTCTAATCTCATACTTATATATGTAAAAAAATATATCAAGAAGGAAAATTAAGAATATATTATGTAACTTATTGATACTGAAATATGGCTTATGGCAACATGGTTTATCATCCATTTCTGGATAAAATACATGTTGCCACTATATGAACAATTTAAGAAGGTACAATCATGTTTCTTACTCAACACCTTCCATGGATTGGTTAAAGATATCTGATATGTTCAAATACAACTTTGTCACATTTGTAATTATTAAAAACCTCTATTTCCTCTTATCTCTTACAAAAACTTATAGGAATTTGTTTCACAATTTGAACATGTGTGAATATAGGACAGCTATATCTCAATGCCCTGTCATGTACAACGAGTGAAATTAATTCATTTGTCAAAAACTTAGCTTTTCCAAAAAATAAACCTATAAGAATTGTTTATTAAATGCTTACTCATTTTTTTCTTGTGTTTTAATATTATGTGCTTTTGGAAAACATTTTGTCTGTCACCCAATTATTTCCTTTAGGCTAGGCTTTAGGTTAAGTTATTAATAAATGATATCAATGGTTGGGTGTGAATGGCCATGGGTCAGACTTCACCATTTGTAACTGTATTTGTTAGAATAAAGTTGATTGAATTGAATATTGAAATATGAAACAGTTTTTGAACTATGGAATCATAGGATATAACTTTTTTCTCAAACAACCCGAATAAATGTTTTTTAGAAGTCTAAACTGTGGAATCATAGGATAAGGCTGACTTTCTATAGGCTCATGTTTGTCCTAGAAACCCCAAATCCTAAGCATATTAAATCCTAAGGGCTATCAAAAGTTGTTCTTTCAAACTGTAGATATATTAGAAAGCTGAAATCTAAGCATTGGGAAGCAAAAATGTAAATCATTGTAATGTTATACTTATCTTAGTTTTACTAAATTCTCCCAGAGTTGTGTGTGGATATAATTTAAAATCAAAAAGTATAAAATATGAGACATTCAGAAAAATGAGTATTTGTTTTTTTACTAACTGATTAAATAAAAATAATTAATATGGCATAGTACCATCCTCTGCATTAGCATAATAATTCTAGCATTTTTCATTTTATGAAGAATCTAGAACTATGATAATACTTTACTCTACTGATTGATAGTGGTTCTACAAGAAATAACCTATGTTAAGAAACTCTCATGGGGGACACATTTTATTATGTCATTATATTATGCAATGTAATTATGTTGCACATGATTCATTTCTTTAGTGAAGTTTTTGTCTAACCATATTATAATACAAATCATAGAATCTGTTTAAGTATGAAACAATTTGTGGATCATTCAGCTAGTTCTAATAAGAAGTAAAGGGACTGTCAAATACAGTCATCTAAACAAATTATTGATATGATGTTTCCTATATACATGATCTCATCCAGTCTACTGTAAATGACAATTTGGACCTATTAGACATCATTGTTGGAAAGAACCTAATACCCTAATACTATATCTAACTAATAAGAAAAATTAGTAAATTGTAAATTTTGATATTTTCTTTCCAGATCCTTCATATCACTCTTTGCCACAGACAGTTCACAGTATTGCTGATGCAGTAACACATGCCAGATTTGTTGGCACTGACCAGTCTTCTGATGGAGTTGTTTTAATGAGGATACTACAAGTACTTCACACCTTGACATTAGCACCAGAGGGAGCTAATATTACCAATGAGAGTCTGTGTGAGATAATGCTTACTTGTTTTAGGATATGCTTTGAAACTAGACATTTTAATGGTAAGAAAATTTTGCATAAATATTGCTTGACACAATTTCAATAGCAGATATATTGAAAGATAAAAACAGTAAGATTGATGCTTATAAGTCTTGTACATTTATATTATTTTCTAGAATTGTTGAGGAGAACTGCTGAACATTATCTGAAAGATATGGTACAGTTAGTTTTTAGGAGACTGCCACAGTTTTCAGAAGACTTAAGGGCAGTCACTATAAAGCAGCTGAAAATGAGCTCTAGTGCCATTGATCAGACCAGAACTAGAAGAAAAAGTAAGAGTGCCAAGAAAAAAGAAAAAACTGGTAAGCAATTTTCTTCAGCTGCCCCATACTCCTAAAGTAATTGTCAATTATAAGCTGCCCAAATGGACCTTTTTACTTCTTTATTAAAATATATAAAGTATTTATATCAAGTTTTTAATGATAACATTGTTATTATCATAAGACACTGTTAAATTTTCAGAAAATGAAGATTCACAGTCAATTTCAAAGCCATTGCCTACAAAAGTAAGCCATTCTTCAGGTAACATTGTTGACATGCAAGGCACTATTTCACAGAATATCCCACATACTCCTGAAAATGAAGAGATCTCTAGTTTATTATCCAATTCAAAAGAAAGTATGCCTCAATCCAATGTAGATATTACTGTAACAAAAGATTCCAGTCCAGTAGGTGAAGATTGTAAGGACAATGCTCAACAGGTATACCTTTAAAAAAATGTTGCCAAAGATATGATGTATATATTTTTTTAGCAATCTGATGGCTTAACAGAAACACCTATTGAGGAAAATGAAAAACTAAGCTTATCTGAAATGACTGAAAAAATTGAAGAGCAACACTCAGAAAATCAGCCATCAGAATCAGCTCATGAATATGTGAACCAAAGAGGTAAATATCAAATTAGATAATTACTGATTTAAAATTCTTTCTTTTTTTAATATTAACGTTATTTAGGAATAAGATTCACTCCTCAAATGCAAGAAGAAGTCACATTGTCTCCATATGGTCTAGCAAGTGTAAGAGAATTATTTAGGTTTTTGATTAGTTTATGCAATCCCTTGGATAAACAAAATACAGAAGTGGAGATACATCTAGGTCTGACACTCCTCACAGTCGCTTTTGAAGTGGGTGCAGATAGTATAGGGAAATATAACACTCTTTTGGCGTTGGTTAAGGATGATATGTGTAGGAATTTACTTTCAGTAAGTAAAACACTGCTCTAATATTTTCTAACATAATATTAATTCACGAGAATAAATGTAAGCAGTGCCTCAATAGGTACTTTGGGATTTTTTTAAATTGAACCAACAGTTTAGAAAAATTTCATACGTCTGTATATTATCAGAATGTCGAAGTATGAGAGTTACGTTTCACAAATAGTATTCTTCAAATACCCTCATCATTTTGTATGTCACCGCTTAGTACAGTCGCGACTCAATTTCATCAACTTGCAGATAGTTTAAGTAGACATCATCCTTGAGGAGACCCTCATACGTACAAATTGTCTATTTGGGTTAGATGATATGATCTTGCAATCCTGAACGTCACCATTGCGAAAAATCGCCCAGTCATCGGGAAAATGGTTGCCTATGACATTCCTACCAGTTTTCCATGTCATATGACACATGGAAATATCTTGTTGAGAAAACATACTGTTAAGGTTCATATTTTGTCGATAAAATCAGGCTTTCTTCAAGAAACCAAGTAATTCAATGCTTTTGTGTTGTAATTCATTATTACAGATTGATATGATGATAATACATAATTATTTTTTTGAGATATATAAATGAATTGAAACTATTTGTACTTCTACGCAAAATGTTCAGAAATGTCCCTTTGATGTTAAACACACAATCAAAAACTTCAAATTTACAGGATATGAAGCAGAAAATACAAGAAGGATTTCCAAATATCAGTGAACACATGCTTGAAAGTGTGAAACATTTATTTGAAGACTTCGATTGCGTATTCAACATCAAGAGGGTATTTTAAGAGCTGTTTCTATAGTAGTACAAATAGTTTAAATTTTAGTTACTTATATGCGTCATTTTCAGACATCTCAAAATCCGGCACCTTTCCAAAAAACTGGAAATTTGCTCATGTCCAACCTATTCCAAAAAATGGATCTAAGACTGACCCTTACAACTAGATGCCTATATCTCTGCATTCTGTTATAAGTAAGGTGATGGAGAGATGAATAATCGTGAGCTTCTGGACTACCTCGAACGTCACGACTTGACTAGCGACAGGAAGTATGGTTCCGGCAACAGCGATCCACGCGTCACACAATTGTGGAGTAAACTCGTCCATTCTTATGGCGAGGCTCATGTCGTTGCTCTTGATATCAAGAAAGCGTTCGATCAACGCGGGTATTTGCCAGGAATCAGTCTTGGCTATGTCCCTGTTCCACTTACATATCAACGACCACCTTTCCTGTACGATCAATCCAATTCACAGCTTTATTAATGACAGCACTCTGCATGCAGGAATTCAGAGCGTAAAGCCGATTTCTGCCAGTCAGCTGGATAAAAGAAGACCAGCAGCGACTTCCTCTCTGACGAGAGACCTGGAGGTTATTATAATCTTGTACAGTTTAATGCTTCCAAAACACAGTACTGTGCCTTGATGAACAAAAAACGCCTTCATCCGCTTTCGATGCATGGCCGAGTTCTGCCAGAGAGCCGTTCATTTCGACTGATGAGAATCCAGATTACCGATGACTTGATCTGACACGAACACATCAAGCTAGACTATTTATTTAGGACTAAGAAGTACTTTTCTTCGCACGACCTCGTCACTATACAACGCCCAAATAAGACCTCGCCTGGAAAATCGCTCACTCTTTTGGAGTGCTGCCGCTCCGACTAGATTATTTATACTCGATGCGGTCCAGAGGAGGGCTGTCTGACTAATCGATGACTCTTCTCTAACAGACAGTATCGGGACCCTTTCGCACTGGCACGTCGTCGGCGACTTAGCTCTCTTCTACCGCTACACCAACGGGCTGTACTCCTCAGAGCTCTCCTCCGTGATGCCGCCGCGCGATGTGCCTGCTAGACAGACCCGTCTGACTTCGCCCTGCCATCTTAACCATGTCGCACTTCGTATATCCAAAACTGTACTATACTGCCGCTCCTGTCTCGAGGGTGTCGAGATCCTTGACCAATCTACAAGAGGAGGCAGTTCTACTAACCCGAGGCAGTTCAAAAATCGAATTAACGAAATTTATTTGGGATCCTCATAGCAGCCGCGGTGTCGTGACATTTAGACTTCTGCCTGCGCGGCTGCTTCGGTGTAAACAAAAATAATTTTATATGACAATATCAATCTGTAATTATGAATCACAACACAAAAGCATGGATTTACTTCTTGATAAAAGCCTGATTTTATAAACAGATTGTCCATAATCATTTACACGTTTTTTGCTTCCATGGATGGTATGACTTGTTTGAATAGAGAAATATGGATTTTTTAAACAAATAGCTATAAAGCAGAAATCGTTTGAACAAGCCGGTATTTTTTTGCGAAAAAGTACATTCATGAAATTCGAAAATTAGGTTAAAATTGAGTATAGTAAAATATTTTTGACACAAGATTCACTACCGCAACTATCAAAGTAGCAGGTATGCAGACTATCGAACTTTGATGTTTTTTATATATAAAATACCCAATAGCCCAACAATTAATTATCAAAACCCGTATGTATGTTGTAACAATCTCCTTTTGAAAGGACCTGTCCAGAAATATAATTAAAATTGGAGAATTCCAAATCGTATTTGATATGTCCATCAACCCTGTATAATGCTAATACTTCCTAAAAAGTGTCTCCAGATACCATACATAATAAATCGTCAATAAATAGTTCTTTGAATAGTTGTTGTTTAGGACCAATACTCCATCCTGCACAGTTGGAACGCACTGTATATAGATAAGCCAAGACGTTGAAAAATGAGGCCAAATTTAAATCCCAAAGTAACTAATCTGAGCCCCTTTATTTTTCTAGTAGTATGGTGCAATAATACTATAATTGTATAATTTCTAGTTGCTCAACACAGAAAGACTATCAGTCTTTGCCGCCGACCTGCAAGTATCCTTCCTAATGTTCGAATCTTTACGCATGCACTTAAAATACCAAATGGAATGCTACCTCAACAAACTAATGTCGATCATAGTAAGCGACTCAGCCAAAATCACATACGAACACAAAGAGATGGCGTTAGACAGTCTGTTGCAACTATGGCGAATTCCTGGTTTTGTTAGCGAACTTTATATAAACTACGATTGTGATATGTATTGTACGAACTTGTACGAAGAATTGACAAAGTTATTGGCCAAAAATGCGTTATCTGCGACTACTGGAGTCTATCATACACATTTATTGTCTTTGGATGCCCTGTTGTCTGTGGTTCAGGGAATTGAGAAGAACTGTTTTAGTTTGAAGAATGACAGTATTTCCACTCTTGGTGAGTATACATACTAAGAGCAAATATCCTCTGACAAAAATGTTAAAAGCCTACAATATTTTTGGAATTGCTAAAGATGTCCAGAACAGGATTTTTTCCACCTAAACAAAATGAATTTTAATCTAAACACCTGAAACTTACCCTGTGGTTTCCATGCTGATAATCCTTCATGTTTGTCTGTTTGCTAAATGAAACCACATATTTTACTGTTATGTGTACTATTTAATGATTACATTTAACACAACGGTGACTACTTGAAACAGGCCACCATCAGTAAACAGTTTTTTAAACATATGTGATATCATTTAGCGGCCAGACAAATATGGAGGATTATAAAAATTTCTAATAGCTTTGCTTAAATTTTTGCTTATCCTCGTTTTTTTTTCATGTATTGATAAAACATATTTGAAATTTGTACAAGGATAGGCAATTCAAATCCTCTGTATTTGTCATAGATGTAATCAGATATTCGGATTTGATTTTTATAGATAAAACGAGACCATACATTTCAAGCTATCTCACATCTGATGGAAAACTAACTGCCTCCGTAGCAGAAGTAAAGTCACATTCTAAGAATGAGGCCTGGAAAAGTTACGTCACACTCGAATTTATTACGTCACGGTTCTGTGCGAAATTTGATGCTTGAACTTTTGAGGGCAAGTTTTGCCATTTGTCTTCTATTAGAAATACTCGGAATATACTTTTTGGATGCAAAATATTGATTTTCCATTGAAGTGAAAATTTTAGAAATCATCCCATTTTTGTGTCTGATTCTAGAGAAACAATCTCGCGTGAAGGTGACTGAATCCATCCCACCCAAAGAAAAACTAGCCGCCATTAAAGCTATAAAAAAATGGTTGCCTCAAGGTACCGAATATTTCAACCAAAAACCCAAAAAGGGTATCCTATTTTTCCAAGAACACGGCGTATTAAAACAACAGCTCGATCCTACCGAAGTCGCTTATTTTCTGAGAGAAAATTCCGGCCTTAGCAAAGCGATGATCGGGGAATATATCAGCAATAGGAATAATCTACAAATATTGGAAGCTTTTGTAAAGACTTTCGACTTTACTGATGTGAGAATAGATGAGGCTCTAAGGGCTTTTTTGGAAACATTCAGACTGCCTGGGGAAGCACCGACGATATCGTTGATTTTGGAACATTTTGCCGAATATTGGCACGTAAGCACACATTTTGGAACTTTGAACTTATATCTAAGAGGCACCAAGGGTTCTCAGTTTGATAATCGTAGATCCCATAACGTCGTGTTGTCAGACAAAGTTGTTTAATAGAGAAAGGACTCTTTGGAAAGACGTTAAAGTAGAGTTGCCTTTTGCAAATGCATTTAAGTTCATTTTGCAGATAACTTTTCTTGGCATAATTGTGACTGGTATCTTGAGCATCACAACAGAGACATCTTGTGGTTGAAGTGTATTCATAGACATTCTTTCAAAGCGGCCCTGTAAGTCTTGTACCTCAAGACGTCTCCATGGTTGGTAATATAGCCAACTTGATATTGATAACAATACACTTTATAGTTATAGAATGTCTTGTGAAGTAGTTGGCTATGCGTATGTACATGAGACGAAGACTAAATATAGGAGGTTAAACTCATAGAGTGGGGGTGAAGTACCAAGCATATACCCTATTTCACGAGTATCCATCACGGTAGAATGACAGCTGATTATTCAGGGTGGCCGCAAAGTTGGAGTTATTCTTTTACACGACGTGTAGATCTTGAGAAAATAAGCGGATTTTCTACATCAATGTCTTAAGAGAACCGAGTTATTGGGATCCGCAAACTCAATCAAACCTAAACCAAACCGAAGCCGGTCCTATCCATCCCTCGATCACGTCCACAGTGCCAGTGTACAGTTATACGACGTACGACTACGATGTAAATACGCTAGTAGGCAACCTTACCTAGACGCCGGTAGTGTAGGTTAACAAACCATTACATTGGTAACCGATTACTGTTAAAAAAAATGGCACACTCACACACCAATAGCGAAATAGTCGAAATGACTTTAATTTACAGTGAGTGTCTCCAAAATGCGACCGAAGCTTCGCGAGCGTATGGAGATCGTTTTCCCAGACGTCATCCTCCAAGGCCCCGTAGATTTGTTTACCTTGTGCAGAGACTCAAGGTTACGGGTCGTTTGGAGGAATATCGATGTGGGCAGAGTGGGAGACCGAGATAACCCCGAATGGTGGAAACTGAGGAAGAAGTACTGAATCTCGTAGACAAAACTGCTCCAACAAGCACTAGGGACGTGGCTAGACAAGTGCAAGTGTCGAAAACTAAAGTGTGACAAACCCTGCATGATGAGGGATTGTACCCGTTTCACGTGCACGTACAAGCCCTCCAAGCTGAGGACTTTCCTGCAAGAGTGCGATTTTGTGAGTGGTTGTTGCACCAACATGACAATAATCCGGACTTTTTGGAAGTGCATATTAGTCACAGATGAATCCAGGTTGAATAACTTCCGCAAAACTCATGTGTTGTCAGGAGAAAATCCTCACGCTGTCCATCGGTCACACTTTCAACAAACATTTTCTGTTAATGTTTGGACTGGAATGGTAAACGGCATGCTCATTGTACCATTTATTCTCCTGAATCGGTTGGACGGGATACAACACCTAGTCTTTTTACAGAACATTTTACCAACCCTGCTAGAAGATGTGCCTTTGAGTGTAAGATAATCAATGTGGTTTCTCCCTGACGGTGCACTGCCCCATTTTAGACGCGAAGTGCGTGAGTTTTAAATGAATCATTTCCGAATAGGTGGATCAGACGTAATGGACCCGTAGCATGACCTCCGCGATCTCCAGACTTAACACCGTGTGATTTTTTTCTTTGGGGCGAAATGAAACGCTTGGTGTACAAAACTGAGGGGCACACGGTTGACGAATTACGTCTGATAATTGAGCAAGCTGCTGCATTCATTCGGGGAAGGGACTCCACTCTAAAAGCCTGCACCGATGCTTGGCTACGTCGAGCACAGACATTTTTTTTGAATCCAATGGCAATAACTTCGGACAGTACTTACAAAATACTTTCTCCAAGAAAAAGTGACAGCGACGTCATATTTTCGAGCTCTTTTTGGAATATCAATTCAACTGACCAGTGGGTACTTTTTCATTTTTTTTTTACTTGTCGCACACGTTTCACCATACATTAGCTTTGTTATATCAAGCGTCGTTGTGTCTGAAAAGGAAAACCCCAACTTTGCAGACTCACTGTATAGTAATATCTCAAAATACCCGATATCGGCATAGTACACATAATTCTGACGGATCCGTCAGAGCCGTATTTTGTTTTGACCTTTTGTACGCTACGGATTCATTTTGTACTTGCTAACAGCTCTTTCGTTTAGAAAAGTTAATTTGCATACAAAAAATAAAACGCCTCAAACAAGTTTTGCCAGATTTATACCCGATTTATTATTGCCAACGTTGCAGCGTAACACAAAAATGTCACTTGCTGTTCACTTCATTACGCTTCAAAGCGTGATGGATGCTCGTGAAATAGGGTATACCCCCTCCTCTCGTATGTACACTGCGCAGAAAATGATTATCAGGTTATGCGCATGCGGAACTTCTCTCTGTTGCTGAGATCCTGACTGTAAACAACTCCAGCTTTGACAGTTGGGACGAGTTGCAAACAGTTGCGGAAGGTTATGTTAAGTTTCTTGACAGTTTTCAATGCGCAGGTGCTCTACGTCCACTAGACTTCCGTGAGCCACACCATCCTTGGATTCTAGTCTAACCTCCTCTCTATAGTCTTTGTGGTACATGATTTAACTAAATCATCTTCAAACAAGTTTTGACATATCAGGTTGGAACTCTTGGTGACCCCCACATCTTATTACACTAGATGGAAATACTAACAATGGTAATCCCCATGCTTCTCTGGCCAATAAAATCACATATATTGACAGATCTTCACTGTAGCAAACGTTTCAATTGCAAAGGTGATCGTCTTCAGAGCACTGACATATATTTATTACATTAATAGATGGTTTTATTTGCTATAGAAGCAATGGGGGATTATCGACATGTAAACCACAGGATAAGTTTCAGATGTTACTGACAATGATTTTTTGTAGAAATCTAATGGAGAACCTTTTGCGGACGTAGATTCCGCGTTTACCCTGGCGTATGCGATAATAATGCTCAATGTAGACCAGCATAACGAAAATGCAAAGAAGCAAACGGTACCAATGACAGCAGCGGCTTTCAAGAAAAATCTTAAAGGTGTGAATGGCGGCAACGATTTTGACGAAGATATGCTTGATGAAATCTACACTACTATCAAGTAAGTAAAAATAGAAATTGTAAACTGATTCCTTCCTTTTAGAAGCAGAACCAGCATATGATATTTCATATAACATCCCCTGGTACCGAGTAACCCATTCTCTAGCTCAAATTGGGCACCAGGACACATTCCTTTTTTTTTCCTGGGTCAATTGGTTGCGTAGATTCCAAATATAAATGTCGGTCCGTCAACACTTCACTATTTTTTGATTATCATATCAATGACCTTTCCCGTCCGATCAATCCAATCAACGGGTTTGCTGATGACTTCACTGTCCAACAATTCAGAGTACCAAGGCGATCTCTGCCAGTGAGCTAGAGAGAAGACTAGTAGTGACTCTCGAGCAGAAACTGACAAGAGATCTTGAGGTTATCACTGCGGTTTAATGCTTCCATAATACAGTACTGTACTTTTAATAACAAGAAGCGCCATAGCGCATCCGGTTTCGTTGTTTGGCCGAGTTCTACCAGAGAGCCGTTCGTCACCTATGACTCGAACTAGCACGAACACATCTCATCAATCGCGGCAGCTGCTAGGAAAGAGCTAGGATGTTTATTTTTGGCTAAGAAGTACTACAGTCCTAGACTCTGCTCATATGTTTGGGATGCTGCCGCCCTCACTACATTACCCATGCTCGATGCTGTTCAGAGGAGGGCTTTCCGACTGATCGATGACTCCTCTAACGGATAGTGTGGGGACCCTTTGCCACAGACGGGCGATCTAGCTCTCTTCTACCGGTATGTCAACGGGCTTTACTCCTCAGAGTTCTCCTCCATGATGCCACAGCGCGATAAGACTACCAGACACACCCGCTTGACTTCAGCCTCCCATCCTAACCATATCGAACTACCGACACCCTGAACTGGCCAGTACAAACGCTCCTTTGTCCCTAGGGTTTCTAGATTGTGGTACTATAAGATTTTCAAAATTTCCTGCGAATCTGCGATCTATATTCCGAATCCGAAGTCAGTTTGATGCTATGGCCCGCGGAACTTCAATCTCGTTACTAATAAAGCACTTATTTCCATTTTTCTTCTCAGTCTCTGCAGCACCATAAAATCATGCCTGCTTATTTTTAGGAATGATGAAATTGTGATGCCTGCAGAACAGACAGGTTTGATCCGGGAGAATTATCTATGGAAGCTCCTTCTTCGAAAAGGCCAATCGAAGGACGGTGTTTACCTCCATGTAGGCTTAGGCACTTGCGACAGAGAACTATTCCAGCTCATATATGGTCCATTTGTTGCCGCATTGTCCTTTGTTTATGAGAAAAGTGAGGATCAAGCAGTTTATAAGAAGGTAACGGAGAACAAGTGCTAAATTTCAATAGTTAACGTTTGTTTCCGAGATCTTACGGTTATCACGTTGGGACTTTCCTTTCCAGACCAACTAAGCTTGAAATCACATACCGTATGTGCAGTAAAACATATTATATAAAATAAAAAACGTACGAGATAAACATACCTACGCAGTACATGATGAAAATAATCTTAGCTTCTTAGTAGACTAGTGAAGCAGGACACACACCGTAAACTATCTTCAAGTTCGTTATTGTTCTAAACACAGTGTCATTTTCGGTTTTTTCAAATCCGTTTTACCAATGTACATCTCAGTTTTGCTACACCACCCACAGTGTCTGGGTTTGATACTGACGCACGTCGTAACTTATCGTGGCAGTGCCAGATAGCAGGTCTTTTTTGAACCTAATAATTCGGTTATCTTAAGATTTTCAGGTATTTAACTGAAGAAATCTATATTTAGAGAAGCTATACAGGGTGTCCAGACAAGGATCCTATGCATGGAGATCTCAGTACCTATGGGAGATGCAGGTTAGGTTAAATTAGAAAAATCTGGCTTTTGGGCGTATTTACATGCCGTTGAGAAACTTGTAAAAATTTGATGGCTTGAAGTGTTTGAGAAAGACTAAAATTTGACCAAATCTTTTTTATTTTTTCTTACTCTGTTTCAAGATATATCAAAAAAAGAATGGAACTTTTCCATAGGCACTATATGATGGTGTTTTTAAATTTTGTGCCTGACGTTTCGTTTTTTAGAAACTATGATCAACTGTATTTTTATTTATTTTTTTATATGGTCCGAAAAAAGTTCACTCTGTATCATTTAAGGCCGTATCGTCAGTCGTTCCTACAATAATAATTGTAGGACGCATTTATGGCCTCCTTGATTTTCGTAGTCTTTTCTATACTTCTGAAAGGCTGGGGTATTTCTAGATATCTACTATTCCCTGTCAGCGTCAGCGCTCTCCTATTGTGAAGTCAGGTTTTCTTTTTCAATCGTAGGAAATTTCAGGCTGATAAAATAGATGATATAAATCAAAAGCATGATGAAATTTGATGTAAATAGATATTTGTGGCATAATCTCAAAATAGAGCGCTACAATTACTGTAGGGCGCATTTAGGGCCTCTTTGATTTTAATAGTTTTCTACTGTCCCGTGTCAGACTCTCTATTTTGAGGTTATGTCACAAATAACTATTTGCAAATCGTCCATGCCTTTAATTTATATCATGTGTTATATCGGCCTGAAATTTCCTACATTTCAAAAATAATACATAACCTCACAATATGAGGCGCTGCCGCTGACACGGAACAGTAGAAATCTAGAAATACCCCAGCCTGTCTGAAGGAGATAAAAGACTTTGAAAATCAAGGAGGCCATAAAGGCGTCCTACAATTGTAAGAACGAAGAAAAATGTTTTTTTTTTATTCTATTTTCTTATTTAAGTAGGCGCTGCAAACAAATGCTTAATGTAAGATTATGTGATTACTGATAGTTGCATATTACATAATGATTATGATGAAGTAAACTTTTATAAAATGATGCTTAATCTAGTGATATTACTATTCATCATTGTCCGTCAGAGCGGTCCGTGGAACCTTCGCTCTTTGTTAAAGTAGGTAGTAGGTCGGCCAGGTCTGGTTGCTCAGATACCAGACGAAGTCAGGGAGAAAGAAAGGATGGAAGGGGGAAGAGCAAAGACGGTGAAGTGTACCAGTTAAAAGGGTGCCTTGCTATTTTTAACTGGTATTCGGTTATTTTAAATTGATCCAAAAATTTATTTAGGAATTTGTATGTGTGGCAAAAATCGTAATTTTGGGGTTGTTGTGCGATTCCGCTTGACTATAACGTAACTGCGCCTGCTTGTCTGATGTAGTCCCTTAGGTAAGGGATGTCGAGGTCTCTGTGAAGGGTCTCGTTGGAGACATACCATGGTGCGTTAGTGACGGTTCGCAAGGTTCTGTTCTACAAAACCTGCAGATTACGCATATGCGCTTTGACGATAAAACACCATGCTGCACATGCATAACTGATTGCTGGTCTGATAACCATCTTGTATAGCCGAACTTTGTTGAATGTTGAGGTTCTACGTAGCATAGGGTAGAGTTGCCGAAACGTAATTAACGCTTCAGTGTCCTTCTGCCAGGTCATCCCACTGTCAAGAGTGACACCGAGATACTTAGAAGAATTTGCCCATGGTATGCGAGTTCCATTCACTGAAACCTTAGGCGGGGCGCCGCTACGTTTTTTAGTACAATAGATAGCCTGAGTTTTCGAGTAATTGATTTTGATTAGTCACTGATCTGCCCATTCCAATACCTCATCCACCGCACTTTGTAACCTGTCGTGAACCAGATTCCCGGAACGCGACTGGGCCATCATCAGCATTTAGATAGACTTCACAGGCGCTGGGGCAAGGGACATCATGTGTGAAAAGTGAGTAAAGGATTGGCCCTAGAACCGAACCCTGAGGGACGCCGGCTCTGATGGGCAGTACTGTCGACAAGACATTATTAATTTTGATCCGAAATTTCCTACCTTCAAGGAAGGATTTCAGAAGTTTTAGGAGCCAAAATGGAAAGCCCTTTGAATCAGTTTATAGAGAATACCCTTAAGCCACACCTTGTCAAATGCCTTCGAGACATCAGCAAGCAAGATGCCAGTAACCTAACCGCCTGTAAATCCGTACTATACTCAAACCGAAATCCAAATTGCACGTCAGGAATCACGTGGTGATCTGACGAGAAATTCGCAAGGTGACGTAGAATCACCTTTTCAGCGAGCTTAGACGGAGCAGCCAGGAGGCTAATGGGACGATAGTCCTGGGGAAATATCGAACCCACCTTCTTTGGAATCATTATAACTTCCGTAGTCTACAAGCCAGTGGAAAGTACTGGATCATTTGCATGGCATTTATAATAGCCACGTGATAATAATTATTCAAGGACTTCCGTGAAAGCAGCTTCAGCGCCTTATTAGATCTTACAATTTGTTGCTCCTCGTCGAGATCGTTATGAAGCTCATAGTTGGGAGAGAACTGTCATTCCATAGCATCAGCGAAAACCTCGACCTTGTCCTCTGTCCTGAAAACTATTCCCCCAGGACCGTAGTTGTGCGTTGTTCTCACTTTCCGTTTCTGAGTGACTTCGCCACTTTCCAAAGAGGAGTGCTTGAGTCAAGCATCCCCGCCAGAACGTCATTCCATTGCTCATTGCGGAATTCATGGAGAGCATTTCTTACTTCATGAACAACATTCGTCGTGTTTCGTATCACGTGGTTGTACAGTCGAATCCCATTGGTGGAATTCAACCTAGAATGCCATGCTCTGTGTTTGCAGTTGAAGTCCCCTGCTACTATAACCGGATCTGAATAGTATATAAGGACTTCCAGGTCCGCCTCCTGCAGCCTGTGATCTTCAACGGGGCACCTCCCGTCATATTGACCCGCATCGATACCACGTTTCACTAGGACTACTAAGTCCAGTTAATCTATCAGCTCGGATAACATAATTCATAACGATCTCCCGGATTAAGCAATGTTTCCTGCAACAGAGCCACATCTATACTCTCATCCAAAACTACTTGATGAAATTCCCGTTTTTTGGGAATGTCCCTAAGACCCAAACAATTCCAGAAAAGAATTTTGATTATTGCAGGCTATCTACTATTGTACCTAGCCATTTATCGGAAAGATCGCCTACAAGTCCTGTAACTCGCTTATGAGAGAACTAATTATCTGCTACAAGGACCTGAGCGCTGTTGCCAGGTCCACGTGTTGAGCAGTCAAAGGTGAGCTCGGGGCAGCAGGGACAGCCAGAATGTCAACCTTTGCTGCGTCTGCGTATGATTTTACTCGCCTTTGTGCGATGATCTGTAGATTTCTCCCAGGAGTGGATCTACATTTAGAACTGTTGGCCGGATGGTCCCCTCCACAGTTCGCACATTTGCGCGCATCTTGTCCTGTTTGAGGGCACAGATGTGCCATGTGGTCTTGAGCACATTTGAGACACTTTGGAGGTGCAGTGTCAATAAGATTGTGCATGTCCCTACTTCTGTCAGAGGTGACACTGCCCACTGAATCGAGAGTTTGAACCTCAACTCTGATAGCGAGCCCCAGCAGTTCGTGTTCGTTGAACACTTGCAGTGACTTCTCACCAAGGGCATGGACACGCCACCATTGCGGTTCAAGCAAATTACGTGGAGGGGAGTATATCCCTTCTGTTCGAGCTCCGCTTTGATTTCCTGCTTAGCAGTTGACGCTGGGATTCCTCTGATAACAGCGTGAATATCACACTCAGAGAGCAGGGGAAATGTATGGTGAGGAACATCCGATAATCGTCTTCGCTTTTAGGTACGACGCGTATCAAAGCATCAACAGGTACCGCTCAATCAATCTTAATAACAAGACGGGGTGATTGTGCCTGCGTGCCGAGGGTAGCGTTAGATGACGGAGATGTAGTGTTTCTGCCAGCCAAGGAAGCAGCATATGAGACTGGAATAGAGTTGCGACTTTCGTTTAAGCTAAATGGTTGCATTTGGGAGTGTTTTGGCTGGCTTGCAGAATCAGCAGAAGAAACAGACACAGGCAGCATCATGTCCATTGAATTGGTATTTATTGGGGATTTCTTAATCGGAAGGGAAGGATATTCGTTAATTTTACGAATCTATCGTTTTTTACGTCTCTGGTTAGCGGTAAAATCACTATCATATACGTCGTCTTCTGTCTCTGTAGGTGAGGTAGGACTATTGTGTCTTGTCTTGGGAGTCTTAATAGAGCTGTCATCGTGGGACATGAATTGATTTAAAGAAGTAGTTAGGCTAAAAATCTGGACATTGAGGTTGTCCACGCAGTCCGTCAGTCTCCTGATTTGAGCTGCCTGGTCAGCGATGATTTGGTACAGATTCTCCTTTTCGGTGTCTCTTTCAATCTCTGCAGCTGTCATAGCCTTACTATGGTTCGTATTCTCCAATCAATCAGGTACGCCGCTATTTACTTCTTCTCCACTCGCTGTGATGGAGGGGTCGCCTCTCAAATTTTTTAATGAGCAAAAATCTGACAACTTGTCAACAGGTTGCCATTATTTTATAAACATAAATATGATCTTCTAACAGTCGAGTTCATCACGTAATATTTCTGGTGTAATCATACCAAATGCTTCCATTACACGTTCTCGTAACTACTGCTCAGTTTCACTCTCGAACTTGCCTAGAGTTAAGTGCAGGAACACCCTCTTGTTGAAACCAACAGCTAACCTGTACCAAAGGTAAATTATCCAGGTAGTCTTGTAGATCAGGGCTGTCCAACTTAATGTGGCCCAAGAGCCACTTCAAAAAAAATGCAGTTTGAAGGGCCGCATTATAAAATATTTCTATACAACATTATTACAGAGTTAATGTAAGAATTGTGCATATTCGGTATTTAAGAGTAATTTATACATGTGATGTATACATGACCCGTGAAGCGGGCCGCAAGAAAGGAGTTCGGGCCGTATGTTGGACAGCCCTGTTCTAGATCATGTTGTAATAATTGAAGAAACCGTTCTGCAGTTAATGAATTGTGGTAAATCAATAAACCTAATATTTTGGTCCCGAGAATTCCGCACTACATATTAAACCCAAAGCGTTCTTGATGTCTGGATACCTTTTTAGCCCGCAGATTTTCTCGATCCCGGTAATGAGTGTTGCGGCGACTAAAGATACCATTGTTAGTGACCATACTCTAGTGGGACCATATTATTTTTGCAGGGAAATTAAAATTCACTTTCGTGTGTACCACTTACAAGAATGCTGGCGCGGTTCGCTATCCCCTGGTCTAAATTCTTGGCAAATCCTGAATTTATATGTTTACGCAAAATCAATTGGGCCGTGGATTTGGCTACTCCTACATTTTTCTAAAGTTGCCTAGTTGATATCTCACAGTTCTCAGCAACTGCTTGTAAAACACTATTTTGAGTTTTATCTAATGTAGCACCAAATGTAGCACGTCAGCATGTCGAGCTTTTTTTTATTGCTAAAATGACCACCTGACATCTTTGACAATAATAAAGCAATATTAACAATATACAATAATAACAATACTCCGTGACAGGTGTTTACGGCAAGTTAAGCATTTGTTTACAACGCCTACTTAAAAAAAAATCAGGAAAACGCATTTTTCCTGATATCCAAGAAAATAAATGTAACATGTGATGTGATGTAATTTGTATAAACAATGCTATCAGATACAGGGTGGACTTTTTTTCGAACCATATAAAAAATTAATGTTGATAATGGTTTCTCAGAAACCAATCGTCGGTTGTTAAAAATACCATCATGTAGTGCCTAAAAAGTGTCAATGGAAAAGTTTCATAATTTTTTTGATATTCCTTAAAATAATGTCAGAAAAAAATAAGAATGATTTTGCAGAATTTCAGTTTTTCCCAAATATCTCAGTAACCGTTTAGATTTGTACAAGTTTCTCAAAGGCATGTAAAGACGCCCCAGAGCATGCAACTTTTCCTAATTTAACCTAAGCTGAATCTCCCACACGTATTGAGATCCTCGTGCATAGGATCCTTATCTCGGACACCCTGCACACTGTGCAAAGTCCCAACACTCTGTACCGAAATCATGTTTGGATAATAAGTTCTTATAATTGAGGATCAAAAAGTATTCTTCACCTGCGACTAATTCAAAATATTACTCCCATAAATACTGATTCAAACTACTTGAGGTAATTTCTTATTGCAGGTTATGCACGGTTTTGAGTCATGTGCGAACATAGCCGCCAACCTCAACATGTCCAAAAACCTAGACATGCTAATCTTAACCATCTGCAAGTTCACCCTGTTCCACAACCAACAAAGACAAAACAACCTTGTCGTTCAGTTTGGTGCCAACTTTCGAGCACAGATGGCGTTGAAAACTGTGCTGTCATTGGTTCATCAACATGGAAGTAACATTAGAGAAGGATGGAAGAATACATTAGATTTGATTCTAGCACTATATGCTAACGGGCTGCTATCGAAGACGTATGTTGAGTCGGAGGATTTCATTGAGCCTAGTGGAAAGATTACTTTGGTGTATGCAGATGCCCCTACGTTGCCAAAACAGGATACAGGTAAATACAAATGTGCATTTCAAAAAACTCATAAATGAGATTGTTTTGCCATACACTCGGACCAACCGTTAATATCTAAAGTCTGTTCAAACCTCATTTACTCCGCTTCAAAACAATATTTCGCTTGTCGTTGCTTGCTCAGGGATTTATGGCCCACTAGCCAATAGCAGCATGTTAATTTGTTGCTGATGTTTATTTTGATGAGATTTGAAACATAGTAGGGTGCTTTCCAAATTCTTCCTCTTTTCTGACAGAATATCAGTATTTGGCAGCAAAAAAGGTATGTTCGGTTTTTTACTTTTTTCTATGAACGAGAAGTGGCGAAACATTCCATCCAAAGTTCAAATGTAAAATTTCACGTCAAAGCTGTGAAGTAATAAATTATAGCGTGGCACAATAAATTTTGCAAGTCCCTGCTCTTAGAATGTAACCTTACTTATTTTCTGATTTTGACAGTTTGGCATGAAATGCATGGGCACGTGAGAACAACATAGGATTCATGTTGGTTTTCTTTTAATGTATGAATTTCAAATACATTCTTACCAATACAATATGAGCGAAAAACTGAGGCTTAACTGCACCATATTTGGCAAATAAATGCAATTTTATTTAAGGATTATCTCAAGTTTCAGACGACGCTTGTGATTTTTGTATAACGCTTAATCTCATATTACGTGTCCAGCGATATAATGGAAGAGCAAAGGAATACTGGTGGGAAATAGTGGTGTTGCATGAAATATAGTTAGTTGATGCCAATTTTGCTCCCTCTAGGCGGCGCTAGTGTGGTTGGAGGCCAAACAGATTTGATAGATGAAGGCAGAGCTCGGTTTTTTAATTTGAGGTTACAAAAAAATTTTACTTGATACTGATAGTTCTCTTTTCGTCTTCTCAAAGGCCCTGCCTTAAGCTGGTTATAACCTTAGACATGTCCGCTAACCTAACTAGCTGTAACTCCTTCTAGCTTCTCAGATTACCGCCCATTGAAAATATTACTAGATTCACAAAAAGATATGAATATGTTGAAAGTCTCAAAAGAGCTTTCAACCTGTCACATTTTACAAGTCTGCAGGGTAACCAGTATCTGAATTAGGAAGTTTCCTAGATTCGAAAATACTGCCAGTATCACATTATATAAATGGTATCTTTCACAAATCTGAAAGAACTATTCCGATAAAATTTAAGAAAGTTATGACATTTTCTGTGTTGGGTGATGTAGCCATCCGTCGAGGTTCGGTCGTGACGTCAAATGACATAAGCTCAGCCTCTGGCCATGGCACTGACACAGCCGGATCACGCGACGACCGTTGCATATCGCATTAATCCTTAGCGCTCAAGTATAGACTGCTATGCGCTATTAAAGACATACAATAGGTAAAATGAAAGGTTTTTTTGCGTAACCATTCCACGTCAATCTTCCAAAGGTCGACATTTATGCTTTGACATGAATTAATATTTATAATTAAGCTCGCATGCGATCGACGCCACAGCTGTTCAAAAGTCCTAAAATATGGCCAAAATTGTATGAGCAAATAACGATTGTTCAAAAATGGAAATAGCGGTTCTGACATAGCCGCTATGTTTGCACAAAATATTCTGATTGCGCTCAAAATTAAGTTTCAACAAGTGTTTTTAAGATCCCTAATAAAACGAATTAAGTACCAATTCTTAAAAAATCTGAAAGGCGGATTCAGTATGATTTCGCTGAAATCACGGTTTTATGTTTTCAAGGTATAAGTTATGTATTATGGTATAATTTCCTACATAAGTATCAAACTTGCACTCAGCTGCAGCCAAAATTCACATATTACTTAACTGGCAGTCTAGTAAACATGCTACTACTACATGCTAAATAGAGCGGAGCTTATTTAAACTCTTTTTGGTTTAACCAATTACTCAACTCAACTCCACAATCCAGTTTGCCACATCTCAATCCAGCTGATTATTTTAAAACGTGACACTATTAGATTATGCAATTTTTTCAGATTTTTTGATTCCTGAACCACGCCTATGCATCTCCTCGTCGTCACGGACATGGTTCAAGGAGTAATTCCGGTTCAGCCACAACATGATCACTATAACAGTTTTCACATTATCTCGAATTGAAAGCACTAACCAAATCTATCCGTCATAATAGGCATATACACTAATATTTTTTTGATCATTTTTACCGTATTAACTAAATACCAACTTCAATTTCCGTCTAATTCTTCTATGTTTGGGCAAAGGTAAACATGTTTTTCTGAAGCTGATATGCCTAAATTTGTACACCTAGCTACAATAAAGTATTCGTAATAGGGAGCAGAGCAAGGTTTGTAAATGACACGAAACGTACGGGGCAAGCGCATCGCTTTGTGATAGTGACGGTAGCTGGTGTCATGTGACGTCATCACTCAGACTCATGCTCCAACATAATAATTCTCCAAATAATAAAATTCTGGGTAGCGTAAGTTTGATATCTTTTAAGGTATTAAAAAAAACTGACTGCTGTACTTCGCTTTACTCAGATTGTCATTTTGAGTGTGTTTCAAAAAATAGGAACCTTCCTCATTGCTGACGCAGATTGAAGGGCTATAGCAGAAACAAATTATCGTTAACTTGGGAAATTGATCTGACAGCCACAACCATTTCTTAGACGGTATTAACACGTCTGTTTCTGTGGCACTCCTCTTCGTTTTTATTGCTGCATCCTTTTGCAGGGTAGATTATCATGAAAACAATCTATTTCAGGTTTATTGAGCTCTCTATACTCGTACATGGTTTCGTCTGAAAACTTGTCCAAAATGCCATCTCCAGAAGAGCAACACTACATCGAAATTGCAAAAGAATGCATTAAAGACTGCAACTTGGATCAGTTAATAACAGATTCGAAATTTTTGCACGAGGAGTCTTTAGCGGAGTTTGTTCAAGCGTTGATAGATTTATCTAGGGGTCCAGATGTACAGAAGGGCTTAGGATATAATTATAATGAGAATGTGACTGTGTTCTTTCTGGAGCTGTTGATTAAGATCGTCATCCAAAACAAGTAAGTACAAGGTAGCTGATTTACCCAGGAAACGAATCTTTGTTTAAATCACTTACAGGGTGTCCCAGAAGTCGACGTCAAGCCGGAAACGAGGGATAGGCCAAGTCATGATGATGATGATGTGATGATTTTTTACTTCCCATTACTACAAATTTCAATTTTTTTCTTAGACGGAGTGATGGACAGTGTGATTCTACGTAGTGACAGCAAGTTAAGATAGCAACGCCACTTTTATCAATTCGTGAATGTATTTATTAAATTCACAATAAATGTTCAAAGTGCCTTCATTCAGCAACAATGGAAGCTTGACACCTTAAAAATGATCGGATGTTAGGCGGGCGAATCCCCCGTTATTAACAAACTTAGCTGTTTCCGTTATTATATCCCATAGCCCCGGTAAGTTTTCTATTGGCTTTGAGTACACTTTTTCTTTCACCGCTCCCCAGTAAAAAAATCGAGTGGATTTAAGTCAGGTGAGCGAGCTAGTCACGAAATCCCGACCTATCCATCTGCTCGGGTATTCCGCATCACGATATTCTCTAGTGCGTCTCTAAATGCTTACTGACACGTCTTCCAATAAATTTGGTAAATGATTTTGTAAAAAGTCTAAATAAATCTCGCCATTCAAGAACTCTGGTACTCAAAGGGTACAGTGATTCTCCCAATTAAAATCCCGGTCCACGTATTTAGTGTAAAACGGTAATGTGATCTGTCTTGTCTCATCTTTTTTTTAAATGTCAACTCGTCAGTCCATAAAATTTTCTCTAAAAATTGCGGATCTTCCCGGTGTCTCTGTAACATAGCTTGACAAATCACAACTCTTCGAAGATAGTCCCGGCGTTGTAGAGATTGTACTCGCTGTACGTGGTACGGGTAGAGCTCGTTCATTCGCAAGATTCGGTAGTCTGTACTTTTGAGCAGTCCCATGCTTGCTTCTATTTGATGTACTGAAGTTTTCGGGTCTGGCTGACGGACAGCATTCCGGTACCTCTCACGACAAAGCCTAGCTGCAGCACCAGCATTGCATCTACATTCCCAATAAATGAGGTGCATGCTGCCCTATTCCTGAACGGTGTACAGATACATGGTTGTAGTAATATAGTAGTAATTTTATAGAAGACAAAAAGATGAATATCCCTCCCTTGTGCGCTGGTAAAAAAAAAAATAGAAAATACTTACATACACAATAAAATGTTTTTTTATTCTTATTAACATATAAATGAGGTATATGAATTTGTGTGAGATTTCCATATATGTAGATGAAGTATGCATTATACTCATAGAATATGGTATAATAGAAGAAGTACTAACCACTTAAGGTTAACCTACTGGACCAAAACTAAACTTAATGATTTTAAAATACAACACTACAGATAATTTAAAATAGGCCGCTAAGGTTAAATGACTTAACTAAATTAGCCACAGATCTATCTACTATATAAGTATTTATTTGATCGTATCAGAGACAGCCAGGGGTAAATAAATCTACAATAAATAGGATACAAGAATAATTAAACAGTACTGCGACACTACATAATCATGAATTAAAAAAAGTGGAGTTACTATACATATGTCTTGCTGTCACTACGTAGAATGGCACTGTCTAAGAAAAAAATGAAATTTGTAGTATGAGGGATGTCTTTTAAGTTTTGCATATAGCAACATAGTAGGCCTCGCGGATCGAACGTCAGTACTGAATCTTAACCTCACTCTTTAGTAAACTTAAATTCAAGGTTTCACAACAATACGTGAATTTTTAAGTGTCACCAAGTCATTAGAAAAATGGAACTCAACCGAGAATATTTTCGCGCCATAATTTATTACAACTTTCAGAGACAGTTATCGCAACAAGAATGCCTTGCTGTGTTACTGTCTGCTTTTTGGTAACGAAGCGCCACATCAGTCGAAAATTTCCCGTTGGTATGGAGAATTCAATCGTGGACGGGTGAGTCTTAGCGACGATCCCAGGGTGGGTGCACCAAAAACGGCAGTCACCCAGGAAAACGTCGATGCTGTGCCCAAACTCATAATTTAAGATAGACATGTGACATATCGCGAGATTGAGGCGTCCTTGAAGATCTCAAAGACATCAATTCAAAAAATTTTACATGAAGAATTAGGAGTAAGAAAATTAGTGTCTCGTTGGATACCCCACCTGTTGACTGAAGACCAGAAAGCAGCTAGGGTTAATTGGTGTCAAAAAACGCTTGACCGTTTCAATTCCGGAAACAAAAAAAATTGTACAGCATTGTTAGTGGTGATGAATCGTGGATTTACTGTTATGAACCAGAAACTAAACGACAGTCGGCTGTTTGGGTGTTCCAAGGTGAAGAAAAGCCAACAAAAGTCATCCGTTCTCGAAGTGTTTCGAAAAAAGAGGGTCGCGACATTTGTGTCAAAAGCGGATCATATTGCAACAATTCCTCTTAATGAGCAAAGAACTGTTACTGCGTAATGGTATACCACCATTTGTTTGCCAAAAGGCATCATCGAGCTTCGAAAAATCAGCCCCGAAAGAAGAATCATCCTCCACCAAGACAATGCAAGCTCGCACACAGCCCAAAAAACAAGGCAGTATTTAACGGAAGAAAACGTGGAATTATTGGACCATCCTCCATATAGTCCCGATCTAAGTCCTAACGATTTCTTTACTTTCCCGAAAATTAAAAACAGACTGCGTGGTCAAAGGTTCCAGTCACCAGAAGAAGCAGTTGACGCATTCAAAAATGCCGTTTTGGATCTGCCAGCAAACGAGTGGAATAAGTGCTTCGAAAATTGGTTCGAGCGCATGCAAATGTGTATTAATCTTCGTGGAGAATACTTCGAAAAACAATAAAGTCATTTAAAACTACCTACCGTGTTGTTTTATTTCCATATGCAAAACTTAAAAGACATCCCTCGTAATTTGAACTAAAAGATCAACGCAGGGTGTAGATTTGTCAGATGTTTTAGAGCCTATAATTTGAAATGTACACGACTTAGATTTATTTATATTTTAACTATTATGACTTGGTCTATCCCGCGTTTCCGGCTTCGACTCCTTGGTACATGCAAAATTTTATCAGGAAATCTTAAAATATAGGCAAAATTTGCATTGTCATAAGCAAATTAAATTTTGCACACCTAGGTGTTTCGAAACGCTAAATACGAATATAACCGTCAGGAAACCGTGAATTATCGTGATGCTAATTTTGAGATAAAACAGGGATACACTTCACGTCGCGTATCATATGCTAGGTGATTCAAGAAATAATGGCAACTTGGCAAGTACACAGGCCTTCAAAGTGTATGTAAACTAGGGCATGCAATTATCGAACTCTTCCGATGATCGATTAAAACAATTAATTGTCGTATTTCTTTCGATTATACTGAAAAGCTATTTACTACCTAAAACAAACCACAATTATATTGAGAAATGATTAACATTCATTATGCATTTCTTAATTAAATAAAATTCAAAATCAAACAAAGTTATAATATTTCATTAATCATTTGTTATTTTATTATAACCATATTAGTTGTTTTCTTATACAAACCAACCCCTGTAATACTTATTCATCTAGCAGTTTCAAATAAAATAAAATGTTCTTAATCAATCAAAACTTGAGACCTTGTTGCTTACAGTTTTTAGTCTCTTAATATAATTCTTTGAATTATTATGATCATATACATACATGCAAGTAGTCTAAATAAACCAAGCGATTTAATACTTCCCTCTATAAATTTTAATGGTGATCTTTACTTTATGCACTAATGTACCTGCGGCCGACCACTAATGAACCTGCGGCAGACTATGGAGACGAGTAACATTGCACGCACATTCCAGTGATCAAATGACAGCGGAAAGACAGAGAGTGTGGCGCACGGTGTATTATATCGTTCGGGAATGTCATAATTCGGTTCATATGACAATCGACGTTCTTAAAAAACATTTTTATCGATTATCGGTGTATATCATTTTTTCTTTCGATTTTCATCGTTTTACAAAATGAATTAATAAATAACCGGTTATCGGTTTGCATATAAATGCTATTCAATGTCCCACGTTTTGCCTTTCAGAAAATAAGATATCTTGCAAACCTGGGATCTTGGACTAATAACAAAAAAAAGTTCCTATCAACATACATCCTTAAACATCCCATTACCAAGATATATGGTGATTTTAATTTCTGCGCCAGTGATGAGACTGAATAAGGACAAAACATGAATGTTATTGGAATAGCGTTACGATGCAATAGATTCACTCTCCTAAAACAATATAATATACCGTGTTTAGAAAGATGTATACTTTAATGAAAAATTATTTATCAAATAGACCGCAGTCAGTAAAATTATTAAACTTATATAGTAAAGGAATGTTTGTTAAATGTGGTGTACCACAAGGTACAATTTTGGGTCCTCTGTTATTCAATATTTATTTAAACGATATATTCAAAATTATTAGTACTGGTAAAATAGTCAGTTTTGCAGACGACACTGCTATACTCTATAAAGAAAAGGATTGGAACGACTTAAAAGATGTTATCCAAAATGACTTTTGCAAAATTATTCAGTGGTTTAATAACCGAAAATTATCAATTAACTTTACTAAAACTCATTTTTTACCATTTTCATCACTATCTAATCATCTACCAAAATATAACCACCTTCGCTTTAACGTAAATGATAAAAATCTAAAAATGAATAGAGTTAATGATACAAAATATTTAGGAATTTATCTAGTTCCCCACTTGAGATGGGATATACATATTTCTTACATACGAAAGAAAATTAGATTCATATCATATAAAATAAAATTTCTAACCGGTATATTAACTGAATATTATCCAGGAATAATATATCATAATATAAGGTATAGTAATATGGGGTGCTGCATGCGCGACATACCTTAACGATTTAGATGTGCTTCCAAGAACAATTTTAGAATCAATGTTTGGCTAATCAAAATTATACCCAACTAATGACTTATATAATCATGCACAAGTATATGATACTAAACAACTTTACTTCTTACATACCATCACTCATTATCACAAAATTAGTGAACGCGACATAATTCGTCCTTGGCATTGTAGTGACCATGTATGGAAATTTTATCGAAATCCGAGTAATACTTTCCAAGTTATAGGCGGCCCTAAGTTTAGCGGACAGACAGAACGACAGACAGAAATAAGTGACATGGTTTTTCTTGATGTACATGTCATACAACGCCCCAAAAACATAATGCCTCACATTCAAAATTTTCGCGATTACAGTTCTTCCTCGCCCGGTGGCGTAGGAAGTAAAAGTCAGTGACGGAGAAAAGTTTGCTTGTTTTCTTTGGTAGGGATCAAGAATTCCCAATTGCCGCGTCATTGGTATAGTCTCTCAGGTACGAACATTTTTGTATGCATTGTTTAATCTGTCATTGCAATTTCAGAAAAGCCATTTCATTCAATTCCAGAGACCGCGTGATGACCATCTGGCACGGCGTCAGAGACCACACCTACACCCTGGTCATGAACGCCTCCTTTTTCGACTACCAAATCCTTCTAGAACGTTCTGTGATAGGCCTTCTACGCATTGCCATCCGTCTTATGCGGAATGAAGAAATGAGCCCCATCGTGCTCCAATCTCTACGAATGTTGTTACTGTTGAAGAGCAGCACTCTGTGCAGGATATCCAGGCAGATTTCGTATGGGTTGTACGAACTGTTGAAAACGTCTGCGCAGAATATTCACACCGATACTGATTGGACGATTATTTTTACACTATTGGAGTGTGTTGGGGCTGGAGCTCAACCGCCTAAGCCTATTGCTGAGGATATGCCGCAGATGGATCAAGGTAAAGGAGTTCCTTTTTTGTGATTCATTTGGCCTTTAAAGGCAATAAATTTTATATGATATACCTCATAAAATTTAAAAAAATTACACCTGAGAACTCTGTTTTATGCTAACAGTTTGTTTTCCTGTAAAAACTGACCTATTGATATGACGTCACTCCTGCTATTTGTGATCACTAACACCAACGAGTTGTTTACAGGGCATTTGTGCTAGATGTTTCATCTCAGTGCTTAAAAGTTTCACACTGTACCGAGATTGAATATTCCATTCCAAGTCATGTTGCAATATTGATAGAAGGTTGTTAGAAGTGGTAATATCGATACTGCTTGGCTCAAAAACCTTTACTATAATCAAGAAAAAATATTAAAAACCTCTGGCACTTGAAAAAAAAAATATAGAGCGATCAGCTAATCATCCAAGACAAGCATCTACGGATTACGAGCTATAGACAAGGTGAATACAGTTGGGTCATTGAATTGAGGGTGTAATCAGTCGCCTTAATGCTTATCTCACATCTTTATTCCGATTTTGCTGTTTTGCAATATATGAGCATATTTCCATTATTTGAGAGTTATTCCTCTCATCCTACAAGAAGGTACATATATATTTTTGGATAATTTCAAAATAGAAACTCTTTTTTTTTTGGATTATTTTTTCCTTATAACATTTTAGAAAAAGAATAAAATCTTTTAAGCCTGTTTCCGCACGCTTCTTGTGACTGAAAATGAATACAACGGACTTATTGTGGAGTGCATTAGGTTTATACCAGAGAAGCTGTATTTGGCAATTGTATTCAATAAAGGTGTTCACGGAAATTGGATCAAATACTATTTATTAAAAGGTCTATACGTTATTTTTGTATGAGTTCAACCTATGGAACTTTGGACTTTGAAAACGTTTCCTTGATTATACTGTTTTTATATCTAACGGCACTTCACTGATATACAAAGGGTACTATAAAAGTTTTGCAATATGACGTAAACGAACGCAGGAGGCTGCATGTTACTGCATGTTGAGAGATTTCCATGAGTGTATAGTAGCCGCCGACAGCGCGTCTGTTAATTTAGTTGTTCATTCATATTGACAGTGTGAAGTGCGGACTATGGCATCGTGGTGATGTAGTGAGATAAGGACAGTTTTACGGTATAACTTTACGCGTGGTTTAGGGTCGTATCATCAGTCGTTCCTACAATTGTAGGAAGCCTTTATGGCCTCCTTGATTTTCATAGTCTTGTAGTGTTCCGTGTCAATGCTCTATTTTGAGGTTATGTTACAAATTTCTTTTTCATAAAATTGTTCATGCTTTTGATTTATCATCTATTATATAGCCTGAAATTTCTTACAATTATTGAAGAAGTCATAGCCTAACAATTGGAGAGCGCTGACGCTGAAACGGAACAGTGGAGATCTAGAAATATCCCAGCCTTTCTGAAGGAGAGAAAAATCAAGGAGGCCATAAAGGCGTCCTACAATTGTAGGAACGACTGCCGATACGGCCCTAAGGCATAGACCAGTGCTTAGAAGAAATGACGCTTGCATTAAAGAATGATTGTCCTCATCGTACGATTATATTCAGGTGGTACGGAGAATTCCAAAGGGGCAATTTCACTCTGGAGGACGCTGAGAGGGAAAAAGGCCGCGAACGCCAGTAACTGAGGAAAACATTACTGTTGTGAGGAAAATGCTTCTCGAAGACCGGAGAGTAACATACCAACAGATAGAGGTAGCAGCGGTGGCCGCAGTAGTAGACTCTTCGGTCTCCTGATCAGTCGCCGTGCGCTGTGCGGGTTCGAGTCCCGTCCCAGGAGAAATTTTTCTCTTGGCTATGGGTGTTGTGATTGTCCGTAGGTGGTAGATGGTCTCTGACTGTCGAACGCGGAGGTACCACCCGGCGGATCTCGTAGGCGGAGCCAGAATGTGTGCATGTTGCATGCACACGTGTTCCCTCGCCAGAGTCCGTGTGGCGTTCCCCCTTTCCCATGTATCCCCCTATAGCCCCACGGTACCCAATGGGTGCTTAGGCCTTAGGCCTTCGTGTTAGTTCGAGTATAAAAAAAATAGAGAAGACCTTACACCTTCATGCAACAGCAATCCATTCAATTCTGCATGACCAATTACAAATAAGGAAACTTTGTTCTCTCTGGGTACCGCATAGTCTGACGGAAGAGCGGAAGACTCGTCGTAGGACTTTTTGCCGAAGGATACTGAAAATGTTTGATAGGGGGCAATCTCGGTATGTGAACAGCATCGTGACAGGTGACGAGACTTCGCTCTAGTATTACGATGTACCGACCAAGGCTCAAAACAAAGTTTGGGTCTTTGATGACGAGAACATACCCGTAGCTGTCAGAAAATCCCGATCTGTTAAGAAAAAAAAATGATAGCTGTATTTTTCAAATCGAGCGGGATTGCGTGTCGTTTTGGATACACAGAAGATAGTCACAGTTAAGTGGTACACGGAACAGTGCCTGCATAAAGTAACGAGAGTCTATGAAAGACCTGCTGCCAAAGTCAAGAATGGACACCTGTTATCCCCACCATGACAAGGCTCCAGCTCACCACGCCAAAGCCTTCGCCGAGTATTTGACCACTACTAGACTGAAACTTATTGAGCACCCTCCTTACAGTCAGGATCTGGCTCCCTGCAACTTGGCACTCTTTTCGCATGTGAAAATAAAGCTAAAAAGAAAACGGTTTTCTCCTCGATGAGGACCTTCTGAGGTCTTGGGACAACGAGTGTGCCGCACTCCCGGGTGAAGCTTGGCAGAGCTGGTTCAAGGTCTGCTTTTGGCGGATGGAGAAGTGTATTGTATGAGGTGTACCTGAGCTCCACTCCAGCACGGTGTACATTCGAAATGTTGCTTTACCTTGAATACCTAGTTGTTGGTTAGATTCGTCTTTCAACATTTGTGTTTCAAGCATGGATTTTAATTTCAGGTACGAAATCTGACGGGGAAAACCAACAAAGTGGCGACGAAGAGGCTATAAGCTCCGATAGAGGTTATACGTCTGATTCTGAACTAACAAAAAGTCCCACAAAACATAACCATGGACAACAGAGAACACATAGTCCATCAGCTACTTCTCCCGTTGGTACGCCGAATATGGGTGGATGGATCTTAGTGAGTTAAGATTCTAATTACTTCATTATCTCTCATTTATCGAGAGCGGGTTCATATATATGAAATAAAAATGCTCACAAATAAATCGTTGCTTAATTATAAATATGGGTCCAAAGATGCTCCCCTTCTGAGAGACAGGCTGATGAAGTTTTATTATATATATATATATATATATATATAACAACAGGTAGGAAAATAATGGGTAAAATCCGCAAAAAGGAGGAAAATGGATTCGAGCAGAAAATAGGGCAGGTAACCCGAGCGATACGTATTTCTGCTGGTTGGCTTCATCAGGCCCGAAATGAATGCACATATGAAACTACAAAAGTAGATACACATGCCCACACATCCGGATACGGGTGTAACCTGAGGAAACGAAGTTGGAGGGGAAAAAACGACACACGAAGTCCACAACAAGAGCCAACCTACACATTGTAGTATAAAATGGCTATACGACCTCGAATTTTCAAGGAGACGTCTAACCACCACCACGCGGCCGGTTATAGCCACTTGCTGTGGTACTTTAAGCCCAAAGGATCTACAAAGAGAATATGATCATGCGGAGAAAAGTATATAACAACAGCTAGGAAAATAATGGGTAAAATCCGCAAAAAGGAGGAAAATGGATTCGAGCAGAAAATAGGGTAGGTAAAAGGCTATAACCGGCCGCGTGGTGGTGGTTAGACGTCTCCTTGAAAATTCGAGGTCGTATAGTCATTTTATACTACAATGTGTAGGTTGGCTCTTGTTGTGGACTTCGTGTGTCGTTTTTTCCCCTCCAACTTCGTTTCCTCAGGTTACACCCGTATCCAGATGTGTGGGCATGTGTATCTACTTTTGTAGTTTCATATGTGCATTCATTTTGGGCCTGATGAAGCCAACCAACAGAAATACGTATCGCTCGGGTTACCTACCCTATTTTCTGCTCGAATCCATTTTCCTCCTTTTTGCAGATTTTACCCATTATTTTCCTACCTGTTGTTATATACTTTTCTCCGCATGATCATATTCTCTTTATATATATATATATACAGGGTGACTTCGAAGTTGAGTCATTTATTTTAACAGTGAGTAGATCTGATCAAAAGAAATGTTTTTTTCCTTTACCATTTTTCTGGTGAAATTAAAGTAACAAAGTTATAGCCCTTTGGAAGTTTGAGTACCGCCCTGTCTCAATAATAATATCATGTGCTCGTGTTTGGCAACAACGGATATAATCCGCCTTATCGGTTCATAGCATCGGAAACAAAAAAGCGAAAGAATTTGGAACGATGTTTTTACAATAAATTATTTTATTCAGTTCAGTTATACATACAGTCAGTGTCAGTCGGTTAGCGTGTGAATAGTGTCTGTTGCGTGGCTCAAACGAAATAAAAAATGGCACATGTTTATGCGGATCGGTTTCCCAATCGAGTGCAACCAACCCCTCGTGCCTTTGTTAATGTAGTACAACGGGCTCGTGAATCAGGTGACTTAGGACCTCACAGGGGACCTCACGATCAAATACAGGTCCGCACTGAAATACTTGTCGGGAGGATACTTTATAAAACAAGTTAAAAAAAAATTTTTAATTTTTTTTTATTTTTACACACATATTCTGGTTTATCTTCCTTCTACAATCATTATCTGAAAATTAATCACTCAACTTCAAAGTCACCCTGTATATATATATATACTAAAATTCGTAAATAAAACTTCATCAGCCTGTATATATCTACTCTACTTTTCTGAACACATAGCGCTTTGTTTGTTTGCTAAAAATCATCAAATATTTCAATAGGTAGGTAATGAAGGGGAGATTCAGCCAGTGGTTGGCCGTACTGTACCACCCACGCAGTACGGCTTGTCCTTGGAACGTAACTTGGGACCACACGAACCTAGCAGCTTGATCAAATGTTGCGAAAGCTTAGCATTTCTAGTCAGAGATGTCGCCCACATTACGCCTTACAATTTTGATGTGTGCGTCCATTGTATAAGAACCTTTGTGGAGGCTAGTTTACACGGAAGTAAGTACTTTCATAATTCTTCTACACTTAAGATTTTCCAGTAAAATTATTGTTGGTTGTGAGAAAAGGGCCCAAAGGTCTAATGCTGATGTGCCATAGATGCATAAGTAGGTCAGGTCTAGTAATACAGGAATTAGATAGTATAAAATAGAAAAGGGAAGATGGAAAGAAAATAAAGCGAAAGAACTTTTTGGACAAGGGACATAAGGCATTAAAATTGTACAGCCAAAAATTGAATTTAACATCTGAACTTATCCAGTGGTTTTCATACTGATATCTCTTTGTTTTTCTGGATGTGCAGGCCTACATAACTGGCAAACATATCAAATGCACCGACGATTGGTCAAATAAGTAATTTAAGATCAGAAAAAAATGAATTTCAAGAAGACAATTTATTTTGTTACTAAACTAAATTATGTAATATCCTGTGTAGGCTCTATAAAGCTGTGTGATGACTTACAGGTTTTGGTAATACCTTCTGTTTTTATAATGCGTAGAGAACGCGCGAAAAGTGTGATTTATTACTTTATGAAAACTGTTATACTCACATCATCATATTGCTATTCAACTTTTAGGGCGCTTCGTGGATTATTATACGATTTAGCTTAGTAACAAAATGTCTGCCTGAAATTCAATTTTTTCTAACATCTTCTTCTAAATTACTACAAGCTCATGACAGTTAAGTCAGCTGCCAAAACTATACTCATATCTCGATTAGCACGTGTGATATCAATTATGTTATCCAAATTTCCCCAAAAATTTCGTCCTCTGTTCGTCACTATTCACGATACGATAATATAAAACCTACGACTTTTAACAAATATCTAATGATGTTAGCAATAAGTATGGCGTTCCATCTCGCTGGGATGGAGAGTCCTACACCGGTCTCGGTGCGATCCGTCCCCTACGACGGATCAGGGGAAACTCCCAGCCTGGCCTTAAAAAAAACACATATGTAGAATTGTTGTCATTTGCATTTTTGATTTGTGAAGTCAGTAAACAGTCAGTTCCAACCAAAAATATATATCATGTCTGCTAAAATTCCATGCATTAAAATTTTCTTAATAATGGCTGAACCAAATTGCAGATAGAGGTAGAAAAAGTAGTAACCGAGAAGGACGACCTAAGCGAAAAACTACAAGTAGGAGAAGGACTGAAATGTATAAGGGCAGAAAAAGTCCTTCCAGCAGCCCAGAAGAAGACGAAGGAAGTGATGAGGAAAACTTACCCAGTGGGTACCACCAAATTTCAATTCAGGTAGTTATAATTCATTAAATTATTCATATACTAAATGACATAGAAAATGCAACACCGACTAGGAGTGTTGTAATGTTTAGCATACTCAGGTCTACTGATAAATAGAATGTGATTTAAATTTTAACTCGAAATTTCGCAAAATAGCTTTATAACACTAATAGTGACCTGCTGCCGTAAGCAATGGCACCCCATACCATAACGCCCACAGTGCGATGAATATGCCGTTCGATAGAATATTGCATGACCATCATGTGTGCTCAATCAGAATCTGGACTCATCGCTGAACCCGACTAAGTTCCATACCATATTCCATTCAAGCCTCTCCCTACTGCATATATCATTGGTTCGCAATTGCCCTTGTGGAAAATCGATCTCTGAGTGCTAGTTGCCTCAAATAACAATCCTGTCGCTCTGTAGTCTGTCTCTGACGTCCAGTACCTCTAGCTCGTCGATTTCGGCCTTCTTGGAACCACTCTCAACATCTCATTTGTTTCGTGTGTTTCGATTCACCCGATTAGCGATTTCTCTAAAATAAGATCCGGCTTCATGTAACCCGATTATCCGACCCCTCACAAACTGGGAAAGTTGAGTGAAAGTAGCATCTTGTTTTTATGGAAACCTAATATAACCTTATAAAAAAATATTTTTTATACTCATAAGCTAATTCTATAAACCTAAGAACATAAATGGTTGTTGATCTGTTTCACTTTAAAAACCCATTCTGGACCATGTAAAACACTTGTTGGAAAGAACATATGGTGGCGAAGGCTAAGTGGTACCGTAGTGGTAGGTTCGAATCCTGCTGACACCAGATTTGCAAATTACAAATAAATATGCATTCTGTTTATTTTTTTGAGTGCGAGTGCTTATGTAAGAGTTCATGATGTATTTCTACTTGAAGCTTCTGGACCTAATGCACACGTTGCACACGAGGACAGCGCAGATATTCAAGTGGTGGGCTGAGGAAGGTGGTGAAATTGCTCAGGAAACGTCGTTATGGACACAGGGATGGTGTCCTCTCTTGCAAGGCATCGCGAGACTTTGTTGTGATAATCGAAAACAGGTAAGCCATTCACACATCTCCTAAATAATTCTAAAATGGACAATAAACATCAACAATCTAAGAAAAGGTATCTCAAAATTAAAATCTAATAAAAATTCAAGTGAGAATCTCTCAAAAAATATTCTAAATGATTGTTTCAATATAATTGGAGAGAAATTATTATTATTGGTGAATCATTGTTTAGTACATGGTAAATTCTCATCAAAACTAAAGTGTTCCACCATTAATCCTGTGCCAAAAGTTCAAAATTCTCAGCTCTATACAAATTTGCGACCGATTAATATCTTGCCCGATGTCGAGAAGCTGTTCGAAGGGATAATATACGAACAAATCATAGAATTCATTGAAGAAACTAAAATTTTGATAAAAAACCAAGCTGGATTTAGAAAAAAAAATTCCACAGAAATGGCAATCCAAATGGTGGTGGAAGATGGGAGAAGAAGTATAGATGAGAAAGAATATATTGAAACAATATTTTTAGCCTTCAAAATGGCATTTGAGACTATAGCTAGGGAAAAATTGTTAATGAAATTGCGTCACTATGGCTTTAAAGTATCAGTATTACACATTTTACAAAATTATTTAGTAAATAGAAGTCAAAAAACTAAAGTTGGAAATATTATGTCAAGTGTCCAAAATATATCAGTAGGGGTGCCACAGTGGAGTAAATTAGGGCCGTTACTATTTATTATTTATATAAATGATATCTCTGACATTTTAGAACACTGCAAAATTCAAATATTTGCGGACGATACACTTATATATATATATATATATATATATATATATATATATATATATAGCACATAAGCATTTGGACACTGCTTTAGAACTGTTAAATAGTGATATTAAAAAGATTATGAATTAGTTAAATGTCAATAAACCTAAAATAAACACTAATAAAACAAAATGTATATCAATAGGGAAACATTTAGGTGACAATACAATTAAGCTCATGATTAATGATGAAAAAATTGAAGTAGTCGAGTCATTTAAATATCTTGGTATATATGTGGATAGTACGCTACTGTTCCACGACAATTATGAATACATTATTTCAAAAATATCGGAAAAGATAAATTACTTCTATAGAGTTTCCCATATTCTTAGTATTTCCAAAAAAATTGTGCATAACACTATAATTCTTCCCCATTTTTTATATTGTTCAACCATCTTGTTTACAGCAAATGAAAACATATTTTCAAAATTACAAACTCTACAAAATAAAGCTATGAGAATCATTTTAAATAAAAACAAATATACTAGGATTAAGTCTATGTTAGAAGAACTGCAGTGGTTGGATGTGAAAAATTTCATATATTATTTAGTTCTCGTTTTCATATTCAAATTAAAAAATCATTTATTACCACCACATTTAGAGAACTTCACAAAATTAAATAGTCATTATCATAACTACGAAATTAGAGGCAGTATAGATTTTCATCTGCAAAATTGTAACTAGTACACCTATATTTCAAAAGGGAGTATTTGAATTTAATACATTGAATAATGATATTAAACAAAGTTCGATATTGAAAATGTTTAAGGGGAAATTAAAAAATCTTTTTATGAATAATCAAAATACATAGTGGCGTAATTTCAATTTTAATAGACAAGAATGTAAAATCACAGAAAATGAATTGAAGAAAAATATGTAACTGAATCATTATACAAAATTGACATTGTAGAATTAATGCTAAATAAATCTTCAACAACAACAACAACTAAAGTTAGGAAAAATTTGAGCATATAGATGGCAGTTACGCATCGCAATACTGAGGGGCAAGGGTCAAAAAAATAACCAAAACTCGTAGCAAGGATGAAATAGTCTGTTTTTCAAAATTTGGATTTGGATTGATATCAATATTTTGGCCTCCAAAAGTGTCTTCACCTTTTTTGTTGTCAACAATTGACAAAACTTGACAAATGTAAAATTTCAAAACTCTGACGTAATAAGTGTATGGTAATTAATGTTCTACCTCTATCGGAAATAAAGGTTAAATCTTATCGACTGATTCATTTAGCCTGAAATATAGAAGATTTGAATGAGTAAATATACGAAATTTGATCAACACACGAACGAAAAATTAAGAATAAACTGCATAATTCTTCACGACGTATGTAAACTAGCTATTAAAAATACAGTTTTGTCTATATGGGGAATACTCCCATTTACATATTCGATATGTTCGATAAAATTGAGTATGTTATCTTATCTGCAAAATCCACTGAAATTTCAGGTACGAATGAGTGCGATAACCTACCTTCAGCGCGCCCTTCTGGTCCACGACTTGCAAACCCTCAGCGGCCCCGAATGGGAACAGTGCTTCCAAAGGGTGCTCTTCCCTCTACTTGGCTACCTTCTGCAACCCATCGCACCCAACGACCCGGCTGCCATGGAGGAGACTAGAATGAGAGCGGCAACACTGCTTTCCAAGGTCTTCCTGCACCATTTGACACCACTGCTTTCACTACCGACGTTCTTCAATTTATGGATGGTTTGTATCAAGTCCAATTTCAGGAAAGGATTACCAAACAAAATATCATTCTACCAAACTTTTTTTCTCAAACATGCCTGATTGAATTAATACATTGTCCTTCTAAGTATTCGTCCACCACCAGTGTTGTCCCTACCAGCTTTCTTCAATCTCTTTTGAGTTTTCTAAAGATTTCTATATATAAGGTTCGACTCAATAAGAGATCCATTAAAGAACGGTCGTTAACTCGAATGACATGTTTGTTTTAAGAAGGCAGGTTACACATATGGTTTATTCAAAGTTACACAAAGCATATAGTTCTTTTAAGCGAAAACAAATTAGCAACACATACACCAAATTCTTGATAGAAAATAAATGATCGGCCATGCCTCCAGCATAAAATTAGGCGGAAAGCTACGATATGCGTCCGTATCCATCCTAGACGTCGTCCTCTGTGTAGGTAAACCGAGCTGTTTTTTTAAAAATCGGACTTGAAAGCAATCATGAACTGGTCGATTTTATTTTATTTTGCGAAGACTCTTCAAGAGTTTTCAGATAGTTTGTCTGGACGCTTCCATCTCGCGCACCAGTGTTACAAATTGAGAAGGGGATTATCTTTGTGCATGAACGGCGATAATTTTATTTATATTATTATTATAAGATAGGTGACAGGGTGGTACATGAAATCTCTTAAGTGTGCAATTTTTTACTTTCTAGCTGCTGTCTTACTGCTTTGTTATTTTATGTAGTATCAGTTTCAAAGAATCTTCGGTTTACTAAAATCAGAAAACAAAGGCTTTTTTCAGTCTAATTTTGATTTTAGATTCATAATCTAAGATGTGTTGCTCTAGGTCATCCTAGACTTCATGGATAAGTACATGCACGCCGATAAATCCGACCTTCTCTACGAGGCTATTCCAGAATCGCTAAAAAACATGCTGTTGGTGATGGATTCCGCAAAAGTGTTCGACGGTCCTGAGAGAAAGAACGCGATGTGGAACGCTACGTGGGAAAGGATAGGGAGGTTCCTGCCTCATTTGAAGGATGAGTTGTTCATGGAGATCGAAAAATTAGATAAAAACCAAGAAGCTGCTGAAGTCAATCACAAGGTATGAAGTGTTGTATGTTCTGATTAATGCTTATCTGTACTTTTTTATAAATAAGAAATTGTTGATGTGCTACTATCGATTTGATGGTAGTGCTTTCTTACCTTCCGCTCATGTTTTTTTTTTCAGAATCAACTAAGTGTTAATTTGTAAATGTCATGTTTAAACATAAACATATAAATGATAGATATTATTTTTATATCCAGGAAGAACCAAATGTAGAAACAGTACAGAAGCCAGTACAGCATAACGTTGAGAATGCTACTAGATCCAGTATAATATTACAACCTCCATCTATGCAACAGCCAGTATCATCACATTTATTTGCTCATCTAGGACAGGTGAGTACTTTTACACAAGGTGCTTTAAAGAAAAACGCATCAGAAGTTCACGCGCCCCCAAGATTTTTCTATTATAACGTGACCAACTTACACTATACCATTGTCTACATGAGTTTCTTGGTTTAAGTGTCGGACAACATTATGCCAAAAAACCTACCTTAAAGCTAGAAATAAAATGAGGAGATTTTAGTCAACATTATTACCATAACTTGATATTTCATTCTTGAACGTTTGAATTGTGTTACATGCGTCACGTGTAGATGGAAATCTGTTTCAAAGTTAAAAATCTGCAAAGCAGGACTAGCCTTTGTCTTATTTTCAGTATTGTTTGTGTCGTGAATGCAGAACTATCCTACGAAAACTGCCAAGTTGTAATGCAGGAGTTTATGGAGATTAACAAGGGTTGTTAATATTACAAAAAAAATCACTACCATGGCAAGAAATGTCAGAATATTTTGTTTACTGTCATCAACAAAAATGAACTGGCTAGTTCTGAAAAGTTGTTCGTCTTATGTTGAAGTGCGGGTGGGGGGCCGGCGGCTGCATGTTTAAGCAACAGTTCTGAGCGCGAATGTCCTTGTGAAAATTGAAGAGCGGGGAGCGGGTTACGTCTTCATGCTTCCAGTCTAGCAATGTAATTTCCGTACCAAAATACGGTAATATGTATCATTATATTGAACAAACGGCAAGTTTGGGTATCTAGGGGAGGACACGCCATTGTCTCTTCACTAAAATGACTGTAGGTAACCCTAGTTTAACGTCTGCTACTATCAGCGCACTTAGGTACAAACTGCATTAGAACCTTGGGTTTATTGGGTGTATTAGACGAAAATACCCCTGGTTTGCGAAATAATTGTAAATTCTGGTTTTATTGATGCAAGTTGTTCAAGGGGGGATTTTAAAACATGGACACATAAAATGAGTACACCAATTTTTGTGGGAAAGCTTTTTATTCGACAACAAAGAATGAGAAAACCCGTTTTTTGGTATTCAATCGGAAGGAACGAAAAAACTCTTCAAATAAGATTTTTAGGTATTTATGAGACCTACAGATTGAGACCACACGTAAAAAGATCCGACTTATAGTAAAAAAGCTGTGGCCGAAAACCGAGGCAAAATGCAGCGTTTGTCACTTGTTGCTAACACGACGATAATTTCACGCAGCTACTTAAAATTCTTCAAATCCGTAGGCTTGTAAATAACCACAACAAAATTGGAGCCGATTGGTCAAGTGGTTTTTGAGAATCTCCAATTGTTTATCCCAAAACACCTGTCTTCCGGCCATCACTACTAGTTTACTAGTAGAGGTTTCGTTCACAGGGCATTTTATACCAAAATTACACGAATGTACCTTGCCGACGTGAATCACAAACCATTCCGGAAGGTCATTGTTATTTTTATGCAAAAAACGAAGTGTTACGTTTTCTCTCAAATTCAGAAACATACGTTATTATACACAATTTAAAACAAAGCGGATGTTTATCACCATTTGTTACGAGGAAAATATTTTTTTTCAATATTTCGTCATACTCTTGTGTATACATATTTAGAGCTCACATTTTTACACGGTCACAGATGAGCCTTGAAGTTAAAAAAAAAATATGCCATACTGAAATACTGTGAACTGTTTATAAAGTTAGCACGCAAACTGAAGGCACAATTATGTTTCAAACTGTCTTAGACTAGTTAGTATATAGCATGTGCTGCATTGTTGATGACTGCATGAATAAGTAGAACACGTAATCCAGTTTCTTTACGAAGAAATATAATTCCCTAGACTTTTTTTCTAAAAGTACTAATATAGTATACATCTGTTTTCGAAATATCGTTCGATTAAAACTACTGCGAGTTCAAAATGTTGGAAAATAAACTCGAGAATACGAAGAAACACTAGACGAAGACCAATCAACCAATTGTAGCGAACATACCGTATTAAAAATTTGGCAAAATGCTCGGTTAGTCCCTATTACATTATTTAAAGTTTCAGCATTGTATCTTGTATGGTTTTCAAGAGCACTGTAATTGTTTATAACAGATTTGATATGCCTCCATCGTTCGCTTGACATTTGTCAGTGTCAAGTATAGTGGTATAAGGATCCAGTAAACCAAGAGGCGACGTAGCGTAGTGGGAAGAATTGACGATTGCAGAACCGCAGGATGGAGGTTCGAATCCACGAAACTCCTTTTTTCTCTATTATTTTTGTTAAATTTGGAGAAATAAATGCTTAATAACATATGTTTTCGAATATCGTAGCAAATCTGTTCAATTATCACATATACAAAATGTTTGAATTTGTTTAGAAGAAAAAACGTAACCCTTCTTTTTTCACATAAAAATAATTATCTTTCGGAATGGTTTATGATTCACGTCAGCAAGATAATTATAATTATTATATTAATATTTAGAAGTACGAAGCTTACCGATATGAAGAATTTCAAGTAGCTGCCTGAAATTATCGTCGCATTAGCAACAAGTGCCAAAACCTGCATTTTACCTCGGTTTTCGGCCATAACTTTTTTACTATTAATCGGATCATTTTAAGTGTGGTCTCAATCTGTAGGTCTCGTAAATACCTAAGCATGTTATTTGAAGAGTTTTTTCGTTCCTGCCAACACTTTCAATTGAATCCCAAAAAACACGTTTTCTCATTCTTTGTTGTCGATTAAAAAGTTTTCCCACAAAAATTGGTGTACCCAGTTTATGCGTCTAACCCGAGTTTATTTCGAGGAAATTTGCTAACATGATTAGACTACTACTGTTACTGTGGATACGAATTCTGACGAAATTTAGATCTGACGGGTACACATGTCCGATATCCTGGTCAGAACAAGGCGGTTACACTCTACGCGTTATGTGACATTTTGGCAGTCAATACGTCTCTGCCGCCCAACAAATATGGACGAAGTAGGCGAATATTATTTTCTTGAAAGTCCTTTACTGGAGTTAGTGTTATAAAACAACGCATGTCAATCCTTAGTTTTCTAGTATAGATGACAAAGAAAAGTTATTATTTTTAATTGTTGTCTTCTCATATCTCATATCCCACAATAAACTGTTCTGGCACACAGTAGTTATCAATTTATCGTTATTCGTGGCCAAATAACCAAGTAAGTACGCAAAAAAAGACGCAGGTCGTACGAAAAAAATAAATCTGTTTGAACGTTCAAATGGTTCTTATGACGTCGTGAATACTCTGTTGTGATGATCGCTGCCAGTGTAAGCACGCTCCTTGGAAAACGGGTGTTTTTTTATTTGGACAAATTAGTCAGGACTCGTCAGAACAAAATTTCGTCAGAATTCGCATCGATAGTAACCATAGCCTTATGGGGAGAAACCATGACCTGATGAATGAGTAATTAACAAACTTTGACTATCAGGTTTTTACTTTTGTTCCAGATGGTATCAACGCCCATAGGTCCCACCTACCCCACATCAGACACTCCAAGGCCCACCCCAATCACTCCGATGCCCCATGTAGCCACCCCAGTCGTGCCAGTGCCAATCCCCAACTCCACCCCCATTATGCAACCCACCCTGCAAACCGGTATGCCTTACATGTCTAATTTTTTCACCCCTACAACACCTCATTCCATTCCTGTTTTCTATAATAGCCCTCCGGTAATCAAGCAGGAATCTCAATCACCCTTCTACAGTAGTCCTTCTGCTGCCAAACAGGAGTCCCAACAACCCTTCTACAATAGCCCTCCGGTCGCCAAGCAGGATTCACAACCATCGTCTTTATACGCGGAGTACGTCAGCAATCCCTACAATGCCCCCTCTCAAGACTATAAATTCGAAGAGGATCAAAATAAAAATAGTGGCAAAAGCGATGAAATAGAAAATAACAATGCTACGAATCTGTTCAAGTCTTCGAATTATTTTGACGACGATAGAGGCGCTGGGAGCATACCAGCTGGGTCTGAGATTTTGTTTGGGGTTGAACATAGTAGTTCCAGTGTGTGTAATGTCAACATTCCGATCAGTACTAGTGCAGAATCGAAAGCCACTGATATATAAGTGTTAGAGATATGTACGGGTAGCAGGATGAACCTTGAATCAGGTTTTGTGAAGATTAAATAATGTCGGCAATTGACATGCCTCCACATAATTCTTAAGCACTTCCAGATTTGGTCAAAAGATGTGAATTATTATCCGCGGATATTGGGAAAAAGTACTGCATAATGTAGTTCAAATCTTATTGACACCAAATTTTGTTAAGTCTTTTGTTTAACTATTTTAGTAAGGAATGTCAATAGTATATCTTTAAAATCTAAAACGATGTATATGTAAATGTATGCATGATAAGGTTGCAAGCATTAGATATTGATAATTTCAGAAAAACATCTACTGTTCTATATTTCCAGTAAGTTCGAATTTCAAGTAAGTGCTGACGATGACATTCGAGAAAAAAACTAAATACCTCTGTCAATTTTACACATTAATAAAATCATTGATTGACATATTCCACCAAAAGATACCCAATTTAATTGAAAGCCGCTCCCACGCTACCAGCCACTTATGCTTACACACTACAATTGGCATAAAGCTCTGGGGAAACTCAGTAGCGTTTTGAAAATGTTTCGTTTTACAAAAATCGGCTTTGAGGATAATTACAAATTCCAGTTATGGATCAACGTGCAAAAATCTACGAATATTACGATCCATCCATGAATTTATATTTTTGAAGTCCTATGTTATGTGCTCAGAAATCTTAATAATATACAGCAGAAATACACACATATGCACTACGTAATGTTAATTACCTAAGGAATCCATACTTGCAACTGCTAAAAATAATCGACATAACGTTGAATTCTATGATTGGTTTGTCAATGCGAATGAACAAAATTTTGAATATATGTCTAATCAGGGCTACTCAAAGTTTCTATTCAGATGATGAATACTTTGATGCTATGACGTCACACCTATAGATAGTAAAATAGTTTGTACAGTGTGTTTCAGAAAGACATGCCAATATTTCTAGGGTAGAAAGTACATCCAAGGATAAAAAAAGTTCCTATAAATATGGGTCCAAAGATGCTCCTCTACCAAAGTACAGTGTGATGATGCTTTATTTACGAAATTGGAGAAAAAATATATCTACGGAGTGGATAAAGATACTGAGTTAAGATCTTAGACGTTCAGTGAGCACATGATAAGCAATAAACACACAGTTTTCCGGCCCAAACTAAACCAGGGTCGTAGAAACTGGGGTATCTGGATCCCTAGTAGGAAATATTTTCTTCGTCCCTGGCCTTTTCGGAGAAAAGGAATTCATTTTATAAAATACCATTCAATTTTCCATAAATTTTTCCTCTTAAGGAATTTTTTTCTGATCACTCGTTTTGGAGATATTCAGGTTTGATTATTTGAGGTAAAATCCTAAAATATTCTTATGAAAAGGCTTAGCCTCCCCTATTCTAAAAACATCTTGAAGCTTGATATTGGAAACACTATATGGCACCTCATTACAACATTAATTGAATAATATGCGAGTCTATCTTCAGTCAGTTACGTAACTTAAAGCTCCGAAATGCTAAACAATTTTGAGAATAAAGCCAATGAGTTCAGAAGTAAAATAATAAGTTTACTCAAATACACTAGTTGTGATTTTGAAAGAATCCATCATGGGTAACACCAGGAGAAATATGCCATACAAACCAGTGGCGTGCATAGACAAGCTTTAATGAAGGGTAAGCTTCTTCGTTACTGATTGAGGATCAGACGCGCATGTAATTCACTTAATGTTATAATGAGCTGCCATAGCTTTCTTCACTTGCCATATTGTGTTTCCAATATCAACCATCATAGTGTTTTCAGAATAGGGGAGGCTAAACCTTTTCATAAGAATATTTTAGGATTTTACCACAAATATTCAAATCTAAATGTCTCCAAATGGAATGACCTGACAAAGATTCCGTAACAAAATTGATGAAAAATTGAATGGCATTTTAAAAAATGCACTTATTTTCTCCGTTAAGACCAATGGCGTGGAAAATATTTCTTATTAAGGGTCCGATATCCCTGTTTCTACGTCACTGGTTCAGTTTGGGCTGGGAAACTCTATGTGTTTATTGCTGATGATGTGCTCACTGAACGTCTAAAATCCTCAGTATCTTTACTCGCTCTGTAGATATATATTTTCCAATTTCGTAAATAAAACTTCTTCACCCTATATATCGGTTGGGGACCATCTTCAGACCCGTATTTGAAGAAGCTTTTTATGTTATTTTTGGATGTACTTTCTAGCCTAGAAATATTGGCACGTCTTTCTGAAACACCCTGAAACATAAATGGTATGGTATATACAGGATCGACGGAGAATCATTGATGTCCTATATTTAATGTGTACGAGAGAGATAGAGATAAACACGTATGTTAGGGCGAGAGCGCGAATGAAGTATTCACAGACTCGTCCTTATTGTCGGGCATTATTCCTGCTCTCGCTCTGGCATATGCGTTTCTCTCCCTATCTCTCTCATACGTATTAAATAAGGGACCTCAATGATCATCTGCCGATCCTGTATATGTCGGTCACTAACTTGTGGTGTCAGTGTTGCCACCTCTCAGAGTGTTGCCGCATGCTTTAGAATTTTCCTTTGCGTCATTGAAACATTTTATGAATACAAATTACGGAGGTTGAGGAATATTTTCTTGGAATGTTGATGTTTAAACATGAACAAATCTTTTTAAAAAGAAAATGGAAGTATACTTTTTATTACTTTTGAGAAAATTAGTGACATCTTACTTGGCAACATAGGATTCTCACGATGGAAATCGTATATAAACATTCAAACATAGCTTATATGGCATCTTCCTGGAGAATACGTTATTCAGTGATAGTAACTTATATCATTTGATTATAAGTCCAAAAGACTTTATATCTGCCAACCTAACGCAATATTCTCACATCCAAAAAAATAGATACCGTAGCGTCATCTATGAGAATTTGTCACAGCTGTTTCTCTATTTACTATATATACTTTGAAACGGTTAGTGTCTCATAGATAGCGTTGTCTATATGAGCATATACAAAAGCATATCGGCACCTATGAGACACCAAACTTTTCAAAAAATAGTAAATAGAGATGCAGCTGTGGCAAATTCTCATACGATATTTCATTTTATCTCAGATAATTTTTTAGACGTGCTAACATAGCATGAGGTTGACAATCGTCGGCTATAATATGTTAATCCATGACATCTGTATAATATCGTAAAAACGACGAAGGTGCATTCACATGGTTTATTCAGACGATGTGACGAATTCATTACTTGAAAATTGCAACATTCTTAACCTTTATACACTAATAAATTGCGCTACTACACCTATTTACAACATGGACGTTTTTAATTAAACTTATAGTTAATTGAGAAAACATGAAAAATCATCAACAGCAGTTTTCCTAATATATCTATCAGATGTGAGATTTTTGGTGTGAGTACGGTTTAATCTGGAAATTAAACCAAAGTGCAAGTTATATTATTGGTTCTTTATTCTTGTAAATTAATATGTATATTACCATATTATATTGCTGTACATTTTTATCCGTGTATAATTTTGTAATATTTATTGTTGTGTAAAATTAAAAGTATATACCTTCAACAAATATATTTATTTATAAACGATACAACCGCTCTTTTCTGTACTTTCTTTCTTCTTTCCCATTCCCAGTTCCTCTTGTATCTTCAATTTACGTTTAAAAAACACAAATATACTGAGCCTAGTGGATGTTTCTTGGGTAGCTTTCATATGGCAGTTCGTTTTTGTAGTGATTATGTCAGATGAAGGGAACAGCCATTTTGAAAACTCAGTTATTTTGAAGGCCTTCCTGAATTTTTCGTTGGTTACTCCATATATTATTGGATTCAGAGACGAGTTTACGTACATGAGGTACTTGGATATGAACCACAATGTATGGTATCCACCTTTTGTCTGTAACAAAATATGTATTTAGCATTTTTACAGTGCAAATTGAAGCTCGTTAACCTACAATATTCAGACGTATTATCGCGAAAAAACGTCCGCCCTATAACATTAGAGAGAAGGCAGTTTCTTTATATACTAAGTGAAATAAACTGCAATATCCATAATTATTTATTGAATTTTGATAAAAACTTATTTGCTATCATGGAAGTATACGCTGATAAAATGTTGAGCCGTACTTTTTTTGTAATGGCTTTTTTGTCATATTGGATCCGAACAACATGAACATGTTTACTTAATATTCAGTGATTTTTCTGTGTTGGTCTCATTTGTTTCATTGCATTATCATGCCTAGAGTTCGCAGACGCACTAATTTCACTCAACTTTCCGAGTTTGAGAGGGGTCGGACAATCGGGTTACGTGAAGCTGGATTTTCTTTTAGAGAAATCGCTAATCGGGTGAATAGAAACGAAGGTACTGTAGTGAGATGTTGTCGCATTTAGATATCGATTTTCCACAACAAGGGCAGTTGCGAATCAGTGATTTGATGCTGACGGAAGCGTAATAACAATGAGGACAGTTTATCGCCGAATAAGGTCTACCGTCCCCATCTTGTACTACCTCTGACCCCACAGCATCGTCGGTAACGATTGGTATGGAGTAGGAAGAGACTTGAATGGAATATGGAATGGAAGTCGTGTTCAGCGATGAGTCCAGATTCTGTTTGGGCACACATGGTGGCCGTGCAATATTCAATCGAACGGCATATTCATCGCACTGTGGGTGTTATGGTATGGGGTGCCATTGCTTACGGCAGCAGGTCACTATGAGTGTTCATTCGAAATAGCATGATTGGCCAGCGCTAAGTCCATGAAGTTTTACAACCACATCTGCTTCCCTTTTTGGAAATACTGTAAGATCCACTTTTTCAGCAGGACAATACACGACCTTATGTCGCACGTGTTAGTTTAGACTTTTTAGAAGCGTCCGGAATAACTCTGGGACATGATGGGAAGAAGGTTGCGAAATTGGAGGCTCTATGAAGCCAAATTCAGATGGTCTGAGATACAATACACCAAACCTAAACCAATCAATGCTGCGACGGCTTAGCGAATGTGTAACGAAAAGAGGAGCTTAAACACATTATTAACATTAAGGTGGGATATCTCAGCTATTTTGCGAAATTTCTAGCTAAAATTTTAATCACTTTCTATTTATCAGTAGACCTGAAACTTATAAAAGTATGATCAAAATCACAGCACTCCTAGTCGGTGTTACATTTTCCATGTCATTTAGTATAATTGACATACAACACTGGGAAGTTAATTTCATCATCCTTTAAACCACCGAATAACTTCGACTACTCTAGTTCGAAATGTTTGCCTAGCAAATTGCATTTGAAGTCAATTTTACCTGACCATATTACTGCATCGACACGAAGATGTCGACTACTATTGTAGGTATTATAGTTACCAAATAAACTTGTAAAGTCAATTTCACCAGACTATATCCTTTAATGACGAATTCCGATATTATAATGTGATATATGACAATTTCGAAACAGTTATTAAGAAGTTGCAATGCATTGAAACAAACTTCCCAATGCTTCTCTTAAGTTTTTTGTTCAGTTTATCGCTGTACCTTATTTAACACATATTATTGTCGCGCAGAATCTTTGTAGCGTTATGAGGTCTAGATTGACAGGGGAGCAGTGCAGATCTTACTATACTGCACAGTTCCTCACGCACTTGGAAACTACCTAAATCGGGTAGAAAACGGAGAATACACGAGCTGAATGTATTGTTTTGACGGCGACGATACTCCTGAACATCTACTCGATATGTTGACTTCCAGGGTCAACTGGAAGTGATACTCGGCGAGAGACTCGCTGCTGACAATTTTGCCGAGCAAATTTGCAAAAAAGTAGCTTAACTTTTAGGAAATTGCATAGCTGTGTGATATTTATTGTAATGGGTGATTCAAATTGAGCTTCCACATTACAAATAATTATTTTTTTGAAACGCTACTGAATTTGTCAACGACAACATGCCATTTCTAACGTCAAAATATAAACAAAACAGTCATGAAGCAATATACGACCGAACAACGTGTTAAAATTATCCAAGCCTATAATGAAAACGGCCGATCAAGGAAGCATACATTACGTGAATTTATTGTCGCACAAAATCGGCCTTGTGAGAGGACAGTTTGGAATTTGGTGCAAAAATTCGAGCAAACGGATCCGTCGCTAACACCAAAACCTCTAGGCGTGCTCGTAGAGGTCGGTCGGAACACAAAATTGCTATTGTTGCCGAAAGTGTGGCCGAAAATCCAAGAAACTCGATTCGTCATCGATCGCAGCAACTCGACCTTACTTATTCCACTACACAGCGGATTTTAACAAAAGATTTGAAGTTACACCCATACTGAATTCAAATAACATAGGAGTTGAAGCCTAGGTCACACATCAGGGGAAACGATACAATTACTGGGCGGCAAGTTTCCAGGTCGCGTTATTTCACGTAACGGCGATATCAATTGGCCGCCGCGCTCCTGTGATTTAACTATCTTAGATTATTTTCTTTGAGGGTATTTCAAGAGCAAAGTCTACAAGAATAACCCGAACACAATTGCGGAGCTGAAACGGGAGTTCAGTCGCGAAATTACCAACATAGGACCTGATTTGTGCCATGGAGTAGTAGAAAATTTCTCGAAACGGATTACGTCATGCCACATGAGCCGCGGCGGTCATTTACTTGATATCATCTTTCATGCATAATTGTAATGAACTGCCCTGAAAGGACAAATACATATTTTTTTATAATTTTCAATTTCTTCCTTTTTTTAAATACTTTTAATGTGGAAACCCAATTTGAATCTATATAAGCTGAGGTCGAACTCCACGCATTTTATATCAGATAACAGAGATTAGATTACTTGCTCTTATTTAATAACTGCGATAAAGATTTTCTGTACACACTGGTCTAAGCATCAATCGCTAATACTAACAAAATATACTAATTTACGGGTCTTGGTTTTCAGAATTGCATGGTGAGTAAATAATTTAGACTTCGCGAAAATCTATACCCGCTGTTTGTCAGCTAAGGGCCGTATCGTCAGTCGTTCCAACAAATATTGTTGGTGAATTTCTAGATTTCTACTGTTCCGTGTCAGCGTCAGCGCTCACAATAGGAGAGCGCTATGTTTTATAGGAAATTTAAGGCTGCAAATGGATATTTGTAACACGACTTCAAAATGAAGAGCTAACACGGAACATTAGAAAACTATTTAAATCAAGGAGGCCATAACGGTGTCCTACAATTATTGTAGGAACGACTCACGATACGGCCCAAAATAAAATACCGATTTTGAATTTTTAATATCCCTCATGGCTGTACTTTGTTAATTATAATGATTATTCTAATTCATCATAAAATATATTTTGCGGCTTTGCAATGCGCCTGGGCCTCCGAACGAAACAAGATGCTGGTAAAATTTGGGAAAAGTACATTTAAATGATGAAAAAGTATTTGCTAGGGCTCGAAATAAAACGCGGCTGGGATGCCGAGTCCAAAAAGTTGATGCTAGCTATTTTTTATAAGATCAAGGTCAGGTCTTCAGTAACATTCAGCAAGGAATACAACCATGACCTTCACCTTCAAGGTTAATCCGTAGTCAACTTTATTGTTATAATTAGAAATCCCTATTTTTGATGCCGGCAATCGAAAGAATAAAAAATTTTACGTTTAAACACAGTCTCGGGTGCCATCTAAAGGTCAAAAAAGGAAAAACTCTATGAATCTCACAGTAATGAAAACAAATATCAAGGTCGGATATTTGGTAAATTTTAGCGAGGGAGTGAACGGTGATCTTGAATCTGACCTTGATCAGCACCTTCAATGTCATTATAAGGTAAACCTCATTTCTTTAATGGAAATCCCTATTTTTCAAAATGACCGCTGGAGGTCAAATAGGTTAGATAAAGGTTAAATATGTACGGCTAAGAAAACCTCTAGAGCAGAGATCGTGACGAAAATAGCTGGTAAAATCAGGTGTTTAGTAAATTAGTAGTAGTAACAGTAGCGGTGATCTTCATTCGACTATGAACCTCATCTTCAAGGTCACTTCAAGATCAAATTTATTTTTCCAAATAGAAACGCCTATTTGATGCCAACAATCCAGAAAGTCGAAAATTTCATGTTCAAATGTGTATTGGAATTCAAGGTCAAGGTGACCACTAGAGGTCACATAAAGGTCAAATGTGTGCCACTAGGAAAACTTCTAGACATCTCACTCGAATTGTGACGAAAATAGCTGACAAGGACAGGTCTTTGACTTGTCCCTGTGGGTTTCTATTTGAAAAAAATACCTTGAAATGACTTTGAAGGTAAAGTTCAAGGTCAAATTCAAGATTACTCGTCAAAATTTACTGCAGGCCTGACCCTGATAGTTATTTTCATAACTAATCCTATGAGATTTATAGAGGTTTTCATAGCAGCACATATCTGATCTTCATTTGGCCTTTATCAGATTTCTTAGAGTCCCTAACTGGGGAACATTTTTTGTTCTCATGTTCTTTGTTCAACTTCCTTATTGAGCCTCAACGGACACGGTATCACCATCAAAATAGAATTAAGTTATTGAGATCAGTCGTTTCTATTTTAAAAGGGATTATCTCCACTCATAAGCTATCATGTTATAAATTATAATGACAACATATATTATAAAGACTTTTGTACTACTACTGTTTGCTTTTATACGCCTGCCTGGTTGCTATATTTATTACATGGTCAAAACTAAAATTCCACGCTCTGGCTTGACGGGTCATATTTCCGATCGAGCTCAAAATTTTGCTGGAGAGTACCTATGGAGGCTTGAGGCTTTGTGAAGTTACAGGGTCCAAGGTCGAACGGTTCAGTCTGGAGATGCGTTTAAAGTTTGGAGGTTCGGAAAACATGTGAATTATAGCGTTTTAGCAACTTTTCCATTTTCTCGGTTTTTTTTAGACCCCATAATATATGAATGGCTATTCCGAAATAAAATTATCTAATGAAAGCAAAAACGGCGTCCAAATTCTGATATGATAATTCATTCTGCATATTATATTTCGGTCTTCCGACACGAAAAATACACAAAATTATTTTTTTTTTAAAGGAGATGCCTATTTAAACGGAATTTTTTACTGGGGCCTTTATATTTTTTTGGATTAAATGTTCGATATTTTTGACCAAAAATGGCCATTTTTAAGAGAACGGATGGATGCATGAGATTTTGTAAGACCTCAAGTTCCTAGGTTGAACAGTTCGCTCTGGAGACGCGCTCAAAGTTTCAAGGTTCGGAAAAAATATGATTTTTTTTTCGCGAATATCTCTTTAAAGCTGTGTTCGCCAATTGACGTTAAGCAATGCGTTGATGTATTTATAAGACGGCTAACATCTATAATCAGATCAATCTCAAAATGGTAAATTTTGGGCCATAATATTAAAAATTGCTTCTAAAGACCTACTCGACCAATTTAGAGGCACGAAGAAAAAAATTAAACTCATATAGTGATAAGTTGAACCTTTTCTCTATAAAAAGTATTAATTTTGCGGATTTCCTTGTTTCAGGAGGCATTCGAACTATCAGCCTAAGAAAATTTCTAAAAAGTGAGTTTTCTCTAAAATACCTGCCTAACGAATTCTCAGATCGCAATTTGAAGATCGTTTTTGAATCCCTGAGATGATTTTACTCCGGAGTAGTCACATATATTGCGGGTCCTAATATTTTCCAACGATTTTATTGAGTAGCGAGAAAATGGAAATCTTGCTAATAAGGCTAAAATGCACATTTTTCAAATATTGAAACCCTGAACGCGTCTCCAGAGCGAACATCGACCTAGGAATTTAAGGTTTTACAGAGGGTCATGGGTTGTCTTCAGAAAACAAAAATGAGCTCTATACGAGTCATAATCCACCTTGCAATAAAAATGACCAATTTTGGTTCAAAATATTGAAAGTTGGAGACAAAATTCAATTTATATAGGGGGATAGGGGGATAGGCTGCTCAATCTCCTTTACGAGAGGCATTCTAATTGCCAACCCAATAAATCAGCAAAACGTGTTGAGAAAGTGGCTTTCGACTAAAATATCTGCAGAACGAATATATATAATAATAATAATAATAATAATAATAATAAAATGTCTTTATGAGGCACATTATAAAAACTACAATATAATGTGACCTGTACGTAGCCGAAGTCTAGCTCTTGGCTACTCTACTTAACCTACCCAAATAATAAATTGAAACATCACTTAATCAAAGGAAACTTTGACAAGCAGCTAAAGACGCTTCAAAAGAAACGAACTTGATAGCTGGCTGACATACATAGACTTATACATATATACACATATATATATATATATATATTACGTATATAAAAAATAAAACAAAATATAAGAATTGAAAACTAACTTTTCCACAATTTCTACAATGACAAATAAATCTGTTTCACATGATTACGAAATCTGTTTACTGGCCAATCCTTTATATTGTCATCTAAATCGTTATAAATCATGATAGCATTGCAAGTGTATGAACTACGAAATAAAGTTGTTTTACACATAGGGATCTCTAGTCTTTTTTTTTGTGTCTGAAATCAATGTCTGAATTACTTCGTCTGAAAACAAATTTCTCATAAAGATACAAGGAGGAGTGAGAAGATATGATCTTATGTGTAAACACTGCTATATGGTACTTACATACATTTTCTATACACATCCAACCAAGCTGAAATCTCTTTAAGGAAACATGGTCATACTTCTTCAGATTAAATACAAATAGACAAGTATTTTGGAGTTTTTCGAATCTTGCTTTTGTGATAGAATCAAGACAATGATAGAACACAGTGCTACAGTAAAATAAGCTAGTAAATATAATAGTCTCACATAACATTTTTCTAACTTTAAAATTCAAAATAGAGCGATTGACATAAAAACACTTCAAAGTTGCATAACATTTTTTTAATATAGACGAAACATGCTCCTTAAACCGTAAAGTATAATCAATAATCAACCCTAAAATTTTTGTAGTATTTACGACAGCTAGACGCTCCTCATCGATTTTTACATCAACAGAATTCAATATAGTGTTACGTTTGCCATCAGGACAAAAAAGCATCACTGAGCACTTATCCTTATTGAGCTTAAGATTTTCACCATTTGAGTATCCTACACTATTGCCTCCAAATCATCATTAAGCTCATTGTTGAAGTATGTAAAGTGTTACTGTTAAAGCTCTTATATATCTGTGTATCATCGGCATAGCACATCAAAGAAGAGTTTTTCACAGAGCTACCCAAATCTATAGTATAAATTAAGTACAACAGAGGCCCTAAAACAAAACCCTGAGGGACACCTGATGTTATATCAATCGGACTAGATATAGTATTGTCTATCTCTACTACTTGTTTACAATTTGAAAGATACATATGTTATAAAAAACATTAGAGGCATGTCTGAAAAAACAAAAAACTTCAATTTAGCGTATAATAGCTCATGATCTATTTTATCGAACGCCTTAGAATAATCTAATGCTACAAGTGCTGAAGAATCTCCCTTAGCGAAGCAATGATGAAATCTAAAACCCTTGCCAAAGCTGTAGTTGTACTAAAACCACTGCGGAAACCAGATTGACACTTGGGAAAGAAATCATTATTAGAGAAATAATGATAAACCTGATGTTTAATCAATTTCTCCAATATCTCAGATATAACAGGAATCAAAGTTATAGGTCTTAAGTCTGAGAGACATTTTGGATTTTTACATTTAGGCAAGGGCTATATAATCATATATAATGTGGACCTCCAAAATTTGAGCGCATCTGCAGACTGAACCGTTCGAACTAGTGCCCTGAAATTTTACAAAGCCTGGTGTCTCCATATGAACTCAGCAGGAAAAAAATGTGAGCCCGATCTGAGAAATGACCCACCAAGCCAGGTAGTGGAATTTTACTTTTGACAGCATAGATTCTTGTATTTCCGGTTGAACCGCACATACTTCCCCTGTTCTATTCCAAATCAAGAATAAAAAAATCCGCAATTATTGTTAGTAGATCTCAGACATGATCATGGCAACATCGCGTCATTTTCCCGCTCTTTGCTGTCATATTTGGTCTGTTGATGTTGATAGGTTATGTTTTTGTTTTGTTTTTAGCTCCAAGCTCCAAAGTTTTTAAACATGTTTTATAGAAATGTGGATATTACTGGTCTTTAACACCAAATTTGCTGTAATTAGAAGGTGCTTTCTCTGACTTTCATTTTTAAAATAAAAAACATGTTCAAACCTGGATCAATAAGAAAAGTAGAAGTCAAAGACTTTGTAACTTATTCTCATGTAGAAATGTACCCTGGGCCCCATTTGAATATGCTGATTGGTCCAAATGGAACTGGAAAATCAACTATAGTAGCGGCAATAATATTAGGTCTCGGTGGTAATCCAAAAAGTGTAGGGAGAGGACACAAAATATCAGGTATTTGACTCATATTTACATATGACTACAAAGTATAAAAATTATTTTTAAAATAATTTCAGAATATGTTAAACGTGGGTGTAGTTCAGCTACAATAAACATTTACCTTCAAAGTGATGAGGAAAATAGGTTCCACAAAATTGCTCGAGAATTTGATTTTCGAGAAAAATCGTCATGGAAACTAGACAATAGAACTGTGAGACTGGAAGATATCTTAAACTTCATCAAAAAGTACAATATACAGGTTGATAACCTATGTCAGTTCTTGCCTCAAGATAAGGTGCAAGATTTTGCTAAGTTAAATAAGCAAGAGCTTTTGAAGGAAACACAGAAAGCACTGTGTAGATTTGACTTATTAGAAAAACAAGAGCAACTAATTTCCAACAGAAGTCAGCACACAGAATTACATAATTCAATAGACAAACATACAAAAAAACTGCGGGAAGCTGAGCAGGCCAACTCACTTTTGGAAGGTAGGGTTCAAAGTTTTAACAAGAAGAAGGAATTTGACTTTATGATAGAGAACATAGATAGGAAAATTGCTTGGAGACAATATGAAGGAATCAAGGACCAATTGATAGAAATCAAGAATGATAGAAATGAGGCGCAAAAGGTAAATCATGAATAAATTTATATGGTGAAGAAATGACTACCTGATTCATCAGTCTTCAGCATCTGTTGATATACCACACAAATATATTTTGTCTTTGTCATTTTTTTTAATCACACAAAATCACAATCTTATCTTATAAATGAATGAATTTGCCTCAATAAATCTATCACTGTTTACGTGCTTTACTGCTAGTGTTCCCTAAAGTGTAATGACTTTTTTGTTCTGCAGCCAAAGATAATTTGATTCCATGTTTGCTTTTATGAGTTTGTTGTGAAATCAAATAGAAGGTTTGGCTTTAGCATTTGTTTGTTGATGTTGCCACATTATATTACAAAGTGATGAAATCTGGCATCTGTAACTTATTTGAATTACTATGATTGGTTACATTCTCTAGATTCATGTATGTTTTCATTTTATAAAATAGAATGGTCCTCATTTTTCATTAAACTCTCGGTCCAATAATTTGGAAATTTTTTTGCACATTGTCTTCACCAGTATTAATAACAGAAAAAATGCATCACTGGCCACAAGGCAAAGAACTAATGCCAAAATTATTCATTGTCCTTTCCACAAATGTTTATTGATAATCATGTGGTACTTTTGAAGTTTGTCAGTGAACAATATTTTTTATTATGTAACAATCCAAACATTGAATTGTAGGTGTGTGATAGATATAAAGATTCACTGAAACCAGCTGAACAAGATATTAATAAACAAAAAAAAGAAATCATTGATAAGCAGCAAACACTCAATCGAACCAGACAGATGCTTAAGAATGTTGAAAATTCCCTAAATACAAATTTTGAAAAAGCAGAAGCAGTACGGCATAACATACAAAATATAATGGATGATATGAATGGTAAACTAGCTGAAATGGAACAGTGGCAAAAAGAAATTGAAAATGCTACAAAAAAGCTGAATGAGATGAAACAGTTCCAAAAACAGTTTCATGAGAAATGTGCAGAAAGTAGGTATTGCTTATATTACAAACCAAACTTTGATTACACAACTTTTTTTCATTTTCTTTCATTTGAGATATTTGTTAATATGTATGTATCTGGGAACTAAATCTTGAACCAATTGAGCTGAAATTTTGTACATACATTTTATTTGTGTGACAATTCAATGTCAATTAACTGAAGGCATTTTGAATCCAATAAACCATATGCCACAAAATGGCCATTAATCATTTCCACAGTAACCTCTTGATATATTATATGGGTATCAAATGAAATGGCTTGAGTCATTGAAGAGAGAAACACAAGAAGCAAAGTGACGTTATTCCAAATCCCATATGGCGATTTACATATTTCTTAGTCATTCCTAAACATATTAAGCCAAGTGACGTCATTTTAGATCCAATATGGCGGCGGCCGCTGAATAGCGATTTATAATTTGTATCGTCACCAGTATGATATGGATATCAAATGAAAAGGTTTAATGAGAGAAACACGATAAGCAAATAACGTCATTCTAAATTCCATATGGCGATCGCCGCACAATATAATTTATATCTAACAAAATTTTCTCATACAAATAAAGTAAGAAGTTTTATGGAGACATTTTTTGAAAAAAGTATTTTTTATTGTATTCATTGACTCCTCCACCATTGGACCAATTTTTAGAACAGATAAAGCTTCGTATGCCCTACTTTCATTGCCTATAGCTCTTTAGAATAATTTTGAAATCTCTTTTAATGTATAGTATTTTTTTTTCCTAGACATGAAAGTGAAACAAACATTAACCGCAGAACTAACCAAACTAGCATCACATCAAAAATCATTGAAAAACAAAAAAGATGAAATACTACAATTCAAGCAGGACTCCTTTATACAAAAGCGTGGTTTAGAAAACGAGATATCCCGTTTAGAAAACGTAAAGCAACGAAGACTAGAGTATCTGCAAAGAGTAAATCCTGATGCTTATAAGGCAGTTAAATGGCTAGAAAACAACAGACATCTGTTTGATGGTCAAATTTTTGAACCAATGATGCTAGAAATCAATGTGTTAAATAATCAACATTCAAAATATGTGGAGAATGTTATAAGCGTTAGAGATCGCCTGGCATTTACTTGTGTTAACAAAAGAGATATGAATAAACTGATTAAATGTTTAAGAGAGTCTCAGAAACTGTCTGTGAATGTCATTCACTCAGACTATAATCCACAGCAGGGTAATAGATTTCAGCCTGATTTTCCTATTGAGAAGTTGAGGAAATTCGGTTTTTTCACATATGTCAATAATCTGTTCACTGCCCCAGAGCCAGTTATGCACTATTTATGCAAAACATATAATTTACACAATATTCCAATAGGTAAGTGTATTACATATTTCTTACTTTTAAAAAAATCTTAAAATAACTTTAACAGGCTGACATTACACACACTACTTTTCTTATCCTATATCACTTTAGAAAACCCATTTGGATAAAGTTTTAGGATTATATTTCAGATATCTTGAAGTCCAGTTATCCATAAAAAATTGAAGGAATGCTGAATATTTTCCAAAATTTTGAAATAAAAATAATGTTGCAGACACTACCCATTTATAGCATAAATCATGTTCCTTGTAGGTGATCAAACTACAGATAAATGTTATGATGAAGTTCCCCCACAAATTCGAAGTTTTTTTGGTGAAAAAAGCAAATATACAATAAGTTTTTCAAAGTACACAAAAGAGAAGAGCACAAGGCAGACACAAGTTTATTCAGATGGTGCACTTTCTCTTTCAATGGATATTGTTAAATTCGATCAATTGAAGGGACAAATTCGGGAAATTCAAAGGTAAGAATTGATAGTATTGTCATTTTGATTTATTTGCTAAAAACATATGTAGCATATGTCAAGAAATACATTTTTTTTATTGAACGTCTTTGAAACAATATAGTTTGTTTGTTGTAGATTTATTTAGCACTAATGCTACAATATCAATGTTACACAGTATATCACACAATTGTCTTCAAGTCTAGATATTTTTATATAAAATTGGATTAGTATGAATTCTGATTTTCCATGAAATATCTCTTCAATTTTCCTTTGAACATTTTCAAACTCTCACAAATTTTGATATCATTACTTAATTTATTGAATTCGTACAATCGTTTTTGAAATACTGATTTGTTATATAGCTACTACAATTTTGTAAATGAAAGACAGTTCCTCTAGTAGAATAACTATGGTAGTCATTATTCAATTGAATAAAATTTTCTAAATGATTTGGTAAAAGATAACTTTTAACTTGGAATATGAAAATGAAAACCAAGTGAGTTATGAAATATTTGATATTTAACCATTGTATAGGGTTGTCCAATAGGGACGCAGGAAAGTAAACGTCAATTTGACCTGGACACCATCTTTGTTTTCTGTCACCGACATGTCATTTTGTTAGTTGAATGTTTACCATTGATCGTTATGGAGTCGTATTCGATTGAAGACCGCATTAAAGTTATTCAAGAGCACTACAAAAATGATGCAAACATAAAAAACACGTATCGCGCGCTTCGTGAACATTTCGGTCGCAACAACCGCCCAAACGAAACAACCATCGGTAGTCTGGTGCGTAAATTCGAGGCAACAGGTTCTGTGGCAAATCTGCCAGGCTCTGGCCGGCCAAGGAGCGTTCGCACACTGGAAAATATTGCTGTTGTGAAGGAGAGTGTGAGAGACGATCCGAAACAATCAACAACGCGTCGATCCCAAGATTTGGGCATTTCGAGAACCAGTTTGCTCCGCATTCTCCACAAGGATTTGAATGTACACGGCTACAAGATCCAATTGACGCAAGAGCTGCGTCGGGCCGACCATTTTTCGCGCCGAAAGTTCTCAGATTGGCTCCTTGAACACCGCCAAATTGATGCCAATCTTTCATCAAAAATCATGTTCAGCGACGAAGCGCATTTCACTTTGAATTGTACGGTAAACAAGCAAAACTGCCGCATCTGGGCGAACGAAAATCCCCGTGAGTATTAAGAGCAGCCGATGCATCCTCAAAAAGTGACTGTGTGGTGTGCATTGTGGTCAAAAGGCATCATCGGACCTTACGTTTTCGAAAATGCGGCCGGGGACGCCGTTACCGTCAATTCTGAGCGATATCACGTGATGATAGAGGACTATTTTTTGCCGCAACTTGAAGGAATGGATATGGACGATGTTTATTTCCAACAAGACGGTGCAACATGCCACACAACCAACGTCAATATCCATCGATTGCAGTCCTTCTTCGGTGATCGCGTGATTTCGCGCAGAGGAAATGTGCCATGGCCACCAAGATCGTGCGATTTGACTCCCTTGGACTTCTTTTTATGGGGATATTTTAATAGCAAAGTCTACGTCAACAAACCAGCCACCCTCCAAGAACTCAAAAACAACATCATTGCCGAGATAAATGCCATAGAACCGACCATGTTGCAAAATGTCATTGAAAATTTCGACCATCGCGTGGACGTCTGTAAATCCAGTCGTGGTGAACATTTGAGCGATATTATTTTTCATATATAAATGGTATAAATGAACCTTCAAAATAAAGTACCCAACTTGATTTGAATATCAATCTTTCTTGTTTTAATCTGCGTTTACTTTCCTGCGTCCGTTTTGGACAACCCCATAGTTCTGTCAGCAAAACACTTATTCTAGTATGTTTATTTTTATTTAAGATGATTCTCATAACTTTAATTTCTAATATTTGTAATTGTGAAAATATAGTTTCATTTGCAGTGAATAATATAACAAATGTAGAACAATTGTACACACATGTACACATTTTTTTTTTTAGGATAAATTAAGTTATGACAAAATCTATAAAAGTAATTTATCTTTTTAGATACCTTTGAAATAATAGTTCCCTTTGAATTTCAATTTATTATCTACATGTACGCCCAAATATTTGAATCATTCATTAACTCAATTTTTTTCACGATTTATCATATTTCCATCTAAAGATTTTCCTATAGCTATACATTTTGTTTTGTTTGTGTTTGAGTTTATTCACGTTCAACCAATTATTTTTTTCATATCATATAACAGCTCTATTGCAGTTTCAATGTTTTTATTGGATATACATACATATACAAGCCCCTTCCCACTTCAGTTGGCCCACTTCAAGATTTGTACCAAAATATGCCTTTACAAACTAAACATGACGAAACTGTTTACTTCTGGAATAATTTATTTTCTCAAAAACGTTTTAGATACACTCTAGTCGTAAAAAATACATATTTGAAATCACTTAGACTATAACTAATAGAAATTGAAAGATTACCATTGGGTAACATCACCTTTATTTTTTATTACGGTTGAAATGCTTTGGGGCACACTGTTAACCAAGTTTTGGCAAAAATTTTGTGTAAAACAATCCCATATATCTTGAAGCTTTTGTCACAGTTCGGTGATTGTACGAGCAGGATTTTGTCGTAGAACCTTTTTTCAATAGGTGACAGATCTGGACTGCTAGAAACCCATTTCAAAAGTGGTACATTATTTTCTTCCATCCATTTTATAGCCTTTTTTGAGGTTTGGCAGGCTGCACCATCTTGCTGAAACACAAAATCTTGGCCGGATGTCAAACATTCTTCCATCACTGGTAAAAGCAATTCTTCTAAAATTGCCAAATATTTGTTTGTATCCACATTTCCATCAATAAAATGAAGTTTTCCTACTCCTTTTGATCACATACTGCCCCAGACCATAATGGATGCTCGAAATTTCACTTTTCTCTTTAGACAGTCAACATGGAATGCTTCATTTTTTTTGGGAATAACTCTACTGCGACTGTCACCAACACAAACTTCGAATCGGACCTCATCACTTCGTTGTATTGCACACCACTGTTGAGGTGTCCATTGTCTATGTTCTTTAGCCCATCTAAGCCGATTTTTCTTTTGCAGTGGAGTTAATAGTGGCTTTTCTTTTTCCTATAAACAAGTTTGCAACTTTAGGGTTTTTATTTCACTTTTTTTATAAGAAAACTTACCTTGCAAGTACTAAATCCCAGTTTATGGGCCTCTCTATGAGTGGTGGACCTCGAAATTCTCCTTCTAACAGCGTCACTCCACAGAGCACTTAATTGTAAATAATTGGCACGCCTGTTTTTCACGATTATTCTTCTTAATGCTCTTCGGTCGGCATTTGTGATATTACTTTTTTTCACATATCGCGGCTTAATATTAACTGAACCAGTTACGTTATATCTTCTAACAATATTTCTCACACTGTACCGCGATAAGTCTAACAAAGTTGCAATTTCTGAGTTTGATTCCCCAGAATTAAAAAATTAAATTATCAGTAACCGAATTGTCTCACTAATAACCTTTCCTCTACCCATTTTGAAAACCTTAACTACCCAAAACTATTTTAAACGTATTCTGACAGCTGTGATTAATAAAAACAATTGTCATGGCTTTTATTTTTCACAGCCACCTATGCGTTATAGACTTATTTTGCATTGAAATGAAAATAGGTTGATATGCTGTAATTGCAACATGTGTTATTTTTATGCTGCAAATTTGATTAGGGAGTGATAAAGTTGGTGTTTTCTACTATATATTATCAAAATATTCATGTGTGGCACAACTACCAAAATGTTTTAATGCTTGGTGCATTGCCAATTTTGGTTCTTTGACTTATTTTTCGATTTTTCATATTCGATTTGTACCATGTTGCAGGTATAGTGGAAAGATGAGTAATTTATTTCGAAATGTGTGTTGTACTTCAAATTTGATTCTTTGCAATTTGGACATGTCATTGATCTTTTGATACCTCACAGTTCTAGGCCTGATAATCATTCTTACCACATTTTATGGTGAAAACCCTAGCAGTTAAAGCATCTCAGAAGATCATAATGCTCAAAAACTGTATAACGTCCATGGATACAAACAATACTGCTGCTTTCATTACTGCTTCAAATATGGATCTATCCAATCAAAATTGACGTAGATCGAAATTTCATTTTTGTAATTGCCAGTACTTTAATCGAAGAATCACTATTTATAACGTTTTTCACTGTTAAGTCTCTAACCAATTCTTTCATCTGTTTAAGTCTTTGCTGAAGCCCACTGCCTTAATCATTGGTAATTTCCTATGGAATACATTTACTTTATGAGTATGTCCAACACTATTCTATTTACAATCTAATTTTCAATATCATTGATAACCTTGCACTCAATTTTCAACACTCCATCTTTCAGATGGTTTGCTTTTTCAATAGATACATTCATTTTTGCTAGATTTATATATTTGTTCAAGTCCTTTGTTTGCGTACAGGTTTGGTTTGTATTAACAGGTTTAATAATTGTATTTTCCTATTGCATGTTTCTATTATTATTAGCAGGTATTACAGTTTCTTTTGGAAATGACAAACTAAAATTGGTATTTCCACGTGTTTTTGTTTATATATTTTTTCATATACATAGTTCTTTTATTAGTTTTTCTTTTATCTTAAAAATATCCATAACAAAATCATTTTTCTTCTTCTTCTCCATATGGTTCAACTCAGTATTTATTCAAGAAAGAACTGGACCCAGAAAAATTAACAAGTAATATCACTAATAAGTTCCATTAAAAATCCGTAAAACTCTCAAAAAGTGTATTCAATCACTAGTTCCAATTCAGCACTGCTCACTGGTGGCCTACATTACTCTAGATATTATAACCAGCACCAAAAAATCTTTGGAATCAGCAAATTGCTTTTTTTAGTACTACCTAATTTGCTGTTATTAGACTTTATTATTATCTTCCACGACTTCAAAAAGCTGTATTTAATTCCATAACGTTTTAAAATTTGTCTCTCCTTCTCGAAAAGTTATGCCTAAGCTATTCTTTGATTAACTTTTTTAGAAAAAACTAACAAGTTGTAACGTAGGACAAGCTTATGTCACTTCATGAGTTCTACTCATAATCATACGTACTCTCTACTATTACAAAACCCTCACTACTCTCTCGATTCGTAATTGCTTCTGCATTAAGTATGCGATACGTCGGTCTGTCGTTTGCCGTAACAAAATTTCAAAATAAAAAAATATGGGCTTGATCCTTGAAATTACATACAGCTTTTTACATAACAACAAATAGGTTTGAATCACTTTCGAAATTGGTTTTAAAGGTCAGTCCAAAATTACGATAATGAAATCGAAACCATAGACGGCCAACTTGGGAGGATCCAGGAGAAGGTAGACGGCATGCGCGAGGAGCAAAAAGCCTTTCAAAAAGAACAGCAAGATGCAGCAGCTAGGGATTCTAGAATAGCAGAGACAGAAAGAAAAATAAGAGATATGCAACAGTCTCAAAAGAGCGCTGAGGAGATACAGATGGAAGCACAGGCTCAAGCCAGAGGATATGTGAAAAATATGGAAGCGATTCAGGTAGATCATGCTTTAGTTTTGGAAAGGTTCAACATAAAATAGGGTGTTCCTATGGTACTTCAGGATTTTGGAAAAATATTTTGTATATAAATATCAAAACCTATTAAGTATGGGAGTTATGCTAAATTTTCTATAATCGCATAAAAATTCGGCTCAATTTTTCAATAATTTGAGAAATATTTTGCTTCATCTCGTTAATAAAAAGTGTAGTCTCTTGAAAGAAGTCAATCTCAAGCTGGCGGACATCGAAATTGCGAGAAATTACGCCGCCATAAGGAAAACGTGTCATTGGAAATTTAAAAGTTTCCATCTCCAAATGGCGCATGGCCATAGCTTATTGAAAAAACATTTGTTAAGGTACACATTATCCAATTGGGGCCACGAAAAATTGATTGTATTAACACTCACTATACTGTTTCTTGTTACAGTATTGAAATGTTCATGAAAGGAGAGAGGAGAAGTTTCCTAGTAAGTCTGCATAATTCTGATGCGTTTCTCCGTCGTAAGGCAAACCATTATCAAATTCCTAGTCGTTGAAAAAATGGCACCAAATTTAAATTTCTAAGTATCTATTGGAACACCCTCTAGCTTTGACGGTGATTTTTTTGCCTTCCCATGTTTACTCAATCTTTTTGGTCCAGACTCTCACTGTGAACAGTTCCTAGCCATCTTATTTTTGGGCACGCTGGTTCTTCGATCAGTGTCGGTACTTTATGACTGAATCAACAAGTTTAACGAACACGCTTGAAAGAGAACACACGCGAAGCGTCCACACTCAGTCATTAACATCAAAGTCCATAGAATTTTTCTTAAACCATATCCTGCCCTCCTCCTGCTTCATTTAGTTTTAAAGGTTATCTCATTCATGTACAGATCCAGATCAAAAACGAAACCGAAAAATTCTGCGAGCTAGTAACGAGCAGTACCCTACAAGAACAACATATCGAAGTCGTCCGTAAAAAAGTAGCCTACATGGAGAACGAGATCAGCGAAAACAAACGAAAACTAGAAGAAGCAGAACAACAACTGAACGTCATAAAAGACAAGTACAGCGAAGTTGCCAGCCAAGCCAAATCGCTTCAATCCAAAGCAAAAGGCTTGTCAAAGGGGTTTCTACCTACAGATGAAGATTTTGAGGAGTTCAGGGAACAGTACGACGCCTTGCCGAATGATATAGAACAGCTGAAGGCTAAGAAAGAACAATATGCTTCGAGAATAGCTTGTTTGAACATAGCTGATGATGGCGAGTTGCAAGAGTACGAGAATAGGTTGAATCAGATAAAAAATTTGACGGATGAAATTGAAACTTCCAATAGGACTTTGAATAAAATCTCTGCGAAAATAGGTAAATTTTTATAGTTCATAGCTTAGTAGTTCATGATTTTACAAGTTTTCCAATTTTTGACTCATAGGATCCACGGACGTATATAAGGGGGGGGTTTTGGGGGTCCGGACCCCCCCCATTCATATCCACCTTACTTGTCCAACAGAAAAAAATTACATGCACCGCGCCGATTGTAATAAACGATAGTTGCTGTGGAGCGTGTCCGTAGGGCGAGTATCGGAAAACGCGATGCGTATGCCCGCGTAGTGCGGGGTGAGGGGGGATGGGCACTTCCCCCGCCACCGTCGCCCGCGCTTCGGCGGCGCGCACCAAACCAAGCTAGTCTAGTAGTCTAGTCCACAGAACTGTCTAGTCTATTTTATCTCTTCGCGTTGACGCGTTGCGCAGTTGTTATAAATACAATATAGAAAGAAGTGTCGCTATGAAACGAACAAATCAGGTATCTCTTTTGGGTTTTTTTTGTAAGAAAGAGAGTCCAAAGCCCAATGAACTTTTGTCAATTGAAGAAGTAGGAATAAATAGAGCGGGGCCATCCACAGATACTGATGACGATGAAGTGAAGAAAGGTAAGTCTCTTATTTATTTAATTAGGAAGAAATCCAGTTATTTGAATTTAATAGACGCTCTAAAAACTTTTATCCTGCTCTTATTTTTATTCCCAGAGAATTTTTGTAAACAATTGTGTTGCCGTGAGCATAAAATATTTGACAAAAATGGTAATTTCAGTGTATATGCGGAATGTACCTAAGTGTCATAAAATCATTTCGCCTTTTAAGAGAAATAGAATTATATTTAACAACTAAGTGGCGCCCGCGACTGTGTTCGCGTAGACTTAATTTTTAGTTGAAAATTCTTATTCCCAACATAACTTTTTAGTTTTTGTCAAATATTTCTTTGTTACAGCCAGGATCGATTTGTGTTCGGCTCCGTCCGCAGCCGCAGCCAGGACGGGTTATGATATTGGGAAATACGTATGTCATCCTCCAAGCAATGACGAGGAAAAGCTGAGAGCATTAAAAGAGCCTTGGATTCCTCCGGACACATTTAAATTTCCAGTCACTGACACCGGTAAAAAGAAACTTTCTTTTCAACGCCATTGGACTAACAGGTACTCATGGCTTGTATATTCAAACCTCATGCAGGGAGCACTTTGCAAAGTATGTGTTCTACTTGGAAAAACGCAAGGTGGTCGTGGTCATCAAGAACTTGGAGCCTTTGTTAGTAAGCCATTTATTAACTGGAAGAAAGCTTTAGAGAGCTTTGATCACCATGCAGATACGAAGTATCACAAATTTGCTGTTGAGCAGGCAGCAAATTTTGCAAGGATCATGGAAGGAAAAACGCTTGATGTTACAGAATGCTTAAATGTAGAAAACAATAAAATTGCCGAAGAGAACAGAAAAAGATTAAAAGCCATTGTTGAAACAATTATTCTTTGCGGAAGGCAAGCAATAGCACTAAGAGGAAGTCATGATTCTGGAGAAATTGGGATAAATGAGCCTGAACATAATGATGGTAATTTTAGAGCACTTCTTCGTTTTCGTGCGCGATCTGGCGATGAAGCACTCAAGAATCATTTACTAACACAAAACATTCACAGTAGAGCCATGTATACGTCATCAGTAATTCAAAATGAGGTGATTGAACTATGTGGTAGTGCTATTCAAACGCAAGTACTTAATAGGGTCAAAGAGGCTGGTTTTTTTACTATACTTGCTGATGAAACACAAGACATTTCACGGCGAGAACAATTAGCGTTATGTTTACGATATGTACACTGCTCATCTGGGAAATCGGTTATACGGGAAGATTTTTTAGAATTCATTCACGTAGAAGATGTTTCAGCTCAAGCTTTGGCAACGACTATTATATCACATCTTTTATCATATAACTTGGATATGGATAAATGGATTGGTCAAGGCTATGATGGCGCTGCAGTGATGAGCGGCCGGTTACGGGGCGTAAGAACAATAATCTCAGAGCAATACCCGAAGGCGCAATTCGTACACTGTGTTGCTCATGTTCTTAACTTAGTTTTAGCGCATTCATGTGAGATACCAATGATACGTAACTGTATCGGAACCATTAAGAGCGTAATAAACTTTTTTCGCCAATCACCGCTTCGCGACGGACTTTTGAAGAAAATTGCGGATCAAATTAACTCATCTCATTCAACGCTTATCTCTCTTTGTGAGACAAGATGGACCGAGAAACACGTGGCTGTCGAAAGATTTGCAGAAATGGTTCCCGTTATACGCGAAACACTTGGGGCACTTCAAGATGCTGCGAGCAGCGACGTCGCTACTCAAGCATACCATCTTCAAACCGCTATGGATAACAGCCAGTTTATTGTTTCTTTAGTTATACTGAGAAAAGTTTTTTCATATACAGCAAACCTTAACAAAGCAATGCAGAAAGTCAATGTCGATTTGACCAACATTTGCGAATATACAAAAACGGTAAAAACGACTTTACTAAATGTTCGGAACGAAAGTCAGTTTGCAATCCTTTTTGAGCAAGCGCAGCAGATGAGTTCAGGCGATATAGTCGTGCCAAGAATAACTGGAAGGCAAACCCTGCGCAATAATATTGCAGCAGAAACTGCCGAAATATACTACCGACGAAATGTGTTTTACCCTTTCATTGATCATGTTATTGCAGAACTCGACGCTCGTTTTAAACCACATGAATCGACGATCGAAGGAATTCAAATGCTGTTACCTGAAAAAACTAGTAATGACTCCAGGATAAAAGAAAATCTTGAAAAAATTGCACAAACATTTCTTGGTGGAGAAAATGAAGGCACAATATTTCTGAGTGAATATGAGATATGGCACAATCACTGGAAATCTGTAGCACAAAAACCTGCAACTGTGCTTGACGCTATCGATAACTGCGATGATCAGTTCTTCCCTTCAATAAAAAAGCTTCTAATTATCTTAGCCACACTCCCAGTATCCACTGCAACCCCTGAAAGATCTTTCTCTACCTTAAAGAGGTTAAAAACTTACCTAAGAAATAAAATGGGCGATGAAAGACTTACTGGTCTGGCTTTAATGAGCGTACACCGAGATCTGGCGGTGCAACTAGATTCCGAAGAAATTATCAATCAGTTAGCAATAAAACGTAAAAGACTAAATTTATTATTTTAAAGTTTCAACTTTGTTACTTTTGAATAAATATTGCAATACATACATTAAACTTTTTATTTAAAGGCACCTACCTAAGTAACCTGAGTTATATATTATAGATTACCCGCGACTATACTTGCGTGTTATAATCGAAATGTTTAATCTGTAAGTAATAGATCCAATTGGCGTTAGAGCTCTGTTTTTTTTCACTTTGGGGACCCCCCCCCTTATCAGAGCTATAGCTACGTCAGTGATAGGATCTAAGGTACACCGGGGTAAGTGTAAATACGGGGCAAGTGTAACCTATGCCAATTTGTGGTCTTAAATTCTGTCATAATGGCGCCATCTATGGCCAAGTAGGTTTATTATGATACCGGCTAAGCATCGCAATAGATGTCTTGCGCGCTAGCAAAACGAACGCTTCATCACATTTCGTTACTTAGTGTGTTTGCATTTACAGTTGACGACGCAGTTCTGTAGTCTCTTATAAAAATCTCTTTGTATTAAAACTTTGACGACTTTTCATCGTAATTTCTGGTAAGCACTCCATTAAAGGTATTATCTATTAGTACTAAACTTATCTTTTCTGAATTTTAAAGAATTTTTTTTAAATGTTGTGGTTTACACTTGCCCCAAAAAAAACTCCCTTGGGGCAAGTATGAAATATGGTAGGTTACACTTGCCCCAATAATTCTATTACGTTTACACTTTCCCGTTGTTTTCAGAACATGGTCCGGAATTACATACGTAAGAAAGCTCCTCCAGCCTATAGCAAAAACGATTTGAAAGAGGCAGTACAAGCTGTGCAAAGAGGTACTCTAACATTATATAGAGCTGCATTATTGTACAAAATACCCAAAGTTACTTTATTTACTCATGTAAAGGGTAAACGGGGTATAAAAAGTAATACGGGGGGTAGGGCACCAGCTCTGCCTTATGATGTAGAACAAAAATTTTCCAACAGTATTAAAATACTCGAAAAATCGGGTATGGGACTATCAAAGAGAGAAGTTCTTCAACTAATTGGGCGGTATGTGAAAGAAAATAATATAGTAACCCCTTTCAAGAATGGAGTTCCTGGCAATGATTATTTCGTCAGATTCACGAAAGCATTTCATTTAAGCCAGAAAAAACCGCAATCTGTGGAAGTGGCTCGAAAGAGGTCTATGGATCCATTTGTTATGTATGATTACTTCAATATCCTCAAACAGCATATTGAAAATATCCCAGCATCGCAAATTTATAATATTGATGAAACCGGTTTCTGCCTGGATCCATCCCGGATAAAAGTTGTTGGAGAGAAGGGTAGAGCAGCCCATAGGACAACAAGTGGTCCAGGACGAGAGAATATAACAGTTCTCGTTGGGGGAAATGCTGCAGGTGAAAAACTTCCTCCTATGTTTTGTACCATTTTATCAAAAATCTGGTCACAAGTAAACCCTTCGTTACTTATCAAAGGATTTGAGAAAGGGGGGATATATCCTTTTAATAAAGAGGTCATTCCCGTAGAACATTACGATCCAGAAGCATATAAAAGGTGGTGTGATTCAAACTGCAAAAATAACAATCCGGAAGAAGCACAAGTAGCGCAACCAAATTTACGATCAACATTAGAAGAGCGTTTTAATTTGCCATCCACTTCAACAGTACCACCAATAACTCCGCAGACATCGTCAACCAATAACTCCGCAGACATCGTCAGTAAATTCAATAAATCCGGAAATGCCATCGACCAGTTCAGAACACCAGAATCCGCCAGTTAACAACACAAAAAGTTTTGAGAGCATTCTCTTAGAACAGCTAAAACAGATGCCAAAACCAGCGAAATCGATCAGAAAGAGAGTATGTATAGGTGCCGAAATTGAACGAGAAAGCAAACAAAATTAAAAAACCAGAGAAGCCGACAACTAAGAAAGATGGTAAAAAATTGAAAAGAAAGCAAGTATACGAAGAAGACACAGATGAAGATAGTTTTGAAGAAATGGAAGTCAATACTTCAGATGATGATTTTGACTTAGACGATGAAGTAAATGATTTGCGTGAAGAAGAAGAATTCGTGAAATACCTGGAGAAAGATCCTCAAGAACTGAAAATAGGAGACTGGATTCTAGTAAAATTTGCTACTAAAAAATCATTTAAATTTTATGTAGGGCAAGTAACAGAAGTAGAGCCATGTTTAGAAGCAACATTTGCAAGACGCTCGGGATCTTCATCACAATTTCATTGGCCAGATACTCCAGATGTCTCAGTTATAAGAAGAGATGAAATACAACACTGTTTGCCTGCCCCAGATATTCACAGAAGAGGACACTTCCATTTCAACATCACATTTGAGCAAAATATATCCTAAGTGATTTTTCCTAGTAAAAAAATCTGATTATATTTAGTCTCTTCTTTTATTTACACTAGCCCCAATCAAGTCTCAACACTTTTGTAGTAATTCAGACAGCGTATTTACACTTGCCCCAATTTGCTGGGGAAGTGTAAACCATTATTCTAACATGAAAAAAATCATTTCTAGAAAAAAATCTATACTGATTTTGTTTTGTGTTTGTAGATTTCGTTTCTACATATGCTTAAGACTATACTCTCAAAATTTCAGTGAATATCATAATTAAAAATAGGAAATACAACGCGAAAAAGTCGAACTATTGAAATTTTGGGTCACACTTGCCCCGGTGTACCTTAGTTCGACTAAAAAATTGGAACAAATTCAAATGTTTTTGAATTGTTGCCCTTTTTTTCTGATTTCTACAGGATGCGCAATGAATTCGTTAACACATGCTCGATGTGTGGGGAGGGGTGTTTTCTTAGAAATGTAGTCTGAAAATAGATGGCTTTATCAGTTCACAATTCGTTTTTTATGTAAAAAAATATATGAACAGCATACTACATTCCTGTGAGGCATTTTTTTTTTCGTATAGTAAAGAAATCAGTAAAGAAGTTTTTTAAACGAGATCGACATTAAATTTGAAGTAACGCGGAGACCCTAGCAATTGCAGCTCATACGCATCGAGAATATTATTTATCTAAGCGATGAGAAGAAACCAAAAAACGTATTTCTGTGACAAACGTCTGCTCAGAGAGGTAGATTTCATGAGTTTATGTGAGAGAGATATAAGTACATGTTTTTTCACGGTTTTTGACTAGTCACAGTAGACTACCGGAGTTACTTTCATACGTGCATCTCCCTCAGTTGGCGTCTATCCGCCGACGTTTGTTTGTGTAAGCTCATAGTGATAAGTCTTTTAGTTTTTTGCAAAGTTTTCTCATCAACATATGAATCTTCCATATTTATGCTCGTCACTGTCAGTATGGCTACTAGCTTGTCATGGGCGTGCGATATGAGTTTACTTCTTGTTAGGCTTCAACGATTGTTGAGTATCACACATTCTCATTTATAATGTTAGTATGGATAATATCGATTAAACGGTGACATAACCGCCAGAAGTCGTGGACATGACTGTATGTGATCCCCTTGGTTTTACTGTGACCCGTGAAAATCAATGAAGTGAACTATAACCTCATGCTTTATGCTAAGAGCCTCCTAAAATTTCATTACTTGTTTAAAAAAATGCCAGCGTCGAGGCCATTAAGAAGTAAACTCCTATAAATTAAATATATTGTAAATTAAAAATATAATTGTCTTAAATTTTAACGAATTTTTGGTCTGATCTCTACTGCATTAGGTTTGATCCAGCAAAATGTTCATTTAATATTCAGAACATATATTTCTTTCTCGGAGCATCCACTGACATAATATGAACAGCAACTAGTACTAACCCTGCTGGAACGATTTTTCTATTTCGGGGCATTATTCACCCTACAAAACGGTAATTTTGGCACATGGTTTGCATTTGGTTTTTAACAATCAAGGAAGATTAGGAATTCCGTAGTGGTACATTACAATAAAATGCAAAACTTAGCAGTACAATATAATTGCAAAAAAGGCAAGTAACTTTATGATTCAAACTGTTTGGCTACAAATGTAAACCACAAAACAATGATGCAAACCAAATATGCATAAACGCAAACAAGAAAACAAAACATCCAAAATATTCTCTCTAACCGTTAACGTGACCCTTAACTTTGAACTGCGCATCCCTAAACTATCAAGGAAAAGACATACACTTGAAGGACTCTTGGTATACAGAATCACGAGAATTACCATATGGATGGAAGAAAATAGCTTGAAATTAGTTAATGAGAAGACGGAAGTAGTTATACTTTCTGGCAGACATAAGCTAACTTCATTAGCTGTTAAGGTTGATAATTCCGAGATTCGGAGCCAGAATGCAATTAAGTATCTGGATGTGTGGCTTGACAAACATCTGACAATGATTAAACATATACGACGCGCCACTGATAAGCTAAATAAGGTCGTTGCATATCTGATACGACTAATTCCATCTGACGGAGGCGCGGGATTTTGGCAGGAATGGTAAACGAGATTATGCTGAACGGAGTTCCTTTGATATATAGACAGCTAATACTGAGAAGCCAACGAAAAGTGCAGTGCTGGTTGTAGCTGGTATCCCGCCAATTGATTTGCTGGCTGCGGAGAGATGTGAGGTGCTGTTTGTCAGATGGCAGGAGAGATGGGATGCAACTGGTCATGGTGCACGGACCAGAAGGCCGATCCCAGATATTAAAACTTGGATGGTCAAGAAAGCGGTGCGGTAGAGTACTATACTGGACAGTTCGTCACAGGACATGGTTGTTTTGACAGCTACCTGAAGAGGGTAGGAAAGAGAGTACGCGAATTGCGTATATTGCAATGAATAGGAGGATACTCCTAATCACATACTCGAATGTGGTAGATGGGTTGACTACCAGACAGCTGGAACTGACGCTCGGCAAGAGGCTCCCTGCTGACAATTTTGCCACACATATACTCAAGGGATATTCAAGCAGTAGTGAGGCGAATGATGCTGAGTAAGATACAGGAGAACAAAAATAGACAAAGGAACCAATAGTAGGTTTCTATTCTGTTCGATTGTACAAGTACATAGATATAAAAGTATGTATGTGTACGATAGAGCTTCCCACTATGAAAAAGATGTGTGGCGAACGACTGAGAGGTTTTAGTGAGTATGCAATTTCTGGAAAATCCCACAACATATTTGCCAGGTAACGAATTATTTCCGAACAAACACCAAAGATGATGGAACTACGAACATCAATAAAATAAACCCAGAACGGTTTGAACGAATAGCTTGAAATACGCATGCGCGTTTTCCATGCCCGTGCTAGAACAAAATTAATTATTCCTATTATTTACAGATAGAATGCAAGAAGACTGGCTATCACCCCTGAAAGAACTGGTCACTCAAATCGACGCAAAGTTCTCGCGCGCCTTCCAACGCATGGGTTGCGCGGGCCAAGTGACCGTGTATACGGGCGAGAACGAAATAGATTACTCGGATTACGGAATTAGCATAATGGTGACGTACAGGAACGGAGAACCGTTGCAGGAATTGAACTCGAGCATTCAGAGCGGTGGGGAGAGAGCCGTAGCCACTGCTGCGTTCATGCTCTCATTGCAGGAATTGACGCCTGTGCCATTTAGGTGTGTCGACGAGATCAACCAAGGTAAGAACAAAGTATACGAGGTCCGTAAATTAAGTGATGGGACTGGCAACGTAACGTTTGATGTGGCACCGGGCTTGGAGGGGAGACCTGAGAACACGTGATCCGCCTTCAGAACAAGTTTGATCTCGATTGTCCTTAGCGATTTTTTTTGTGAAACAGTTTTCCCTATTTTGTTCTCAAAATGAGTGACAGCAATTTCAAGCAACGGCTATCAGGTTTTGCTTCAGACTTGGACACAGTGCGACTGAAACCCTTCTAAACTTCTGTAGGCCTACGGAGATAGCATTTTGTCAAGACACAGGTTTTTCGGTGGTTTAAAGCATTTTCAGAAGGGAGAGCGTCGATTGAAGATGAACCACGAAGCCAAAGACCTTCATCTTCAAGAACGATGAAAATATCGCCAGAATCCGGAACATTGTCCGCTCGGTTGACAGTCAGAATGATCGGGGAAGAGTTAAATTTGACACCACCGTTCATCAGATCAAAAATAACTGGGTGTTGCATCACGATAATGGTCTTTGTCACACAGAACTGTCAATAAACAAGTTTTTGGCTAGTAAAAACATTCCTGTGGCTCGTCAGCCTCCTTATTCGCCTGCGTGAGTCCTTGTGACTTTTTTCTCTTCCCAAAGTTGAAAAATCACCTCATTTGGGGCAGTCGAAATCATTCAAACAGCTGTAAACAACCAGCTGAAGGTTATTCCAGTATCACTGCTATGAGAAGTGGAAGAACCGTCTCCAGCGCTGTGTGGATTCAGAAGAAAGTTACATATATTGAGGATGACAATATGAAATTGTAATCACATTTGAAACCGTTCTCTTCCTACGTCCAGGGAAAAGGGGAGGCGCCACACGGACTCTAGCGAGAGAATACGTGTGCATGCAACGTGCCTTCATTCTGGCCCCGCCTTAGCGATCCGCTAGGTTTTACTTCCACGTTCGACAGTTAGATACCGTCTACTACCTAAGGACAATCACAACATCCATAGAACCCGCGCAGCGCAAGGCGACTGATTAGTAGATTTATAACGTGTACCACAAGGTCATCGCTGCTGTCTAGTTCTGATAATTCTAGACGCTGATAAAATAGTCGCGCCCCGAGTCGTTTACGGTAGGAGTGTGGAAATCTTGCCGTCGTCTATCAGTCGAAATGATTAATGCTATGAAGAACCTAGAAACATATTGAATATACAAACTTGTTTGATAAAGGTCAACGCTGTCAGAATTTGGGATTATCCCCTAGAGACAAAACTAGATATAGGAAGGTAAACTCATAGAGTGGAGGCCAAGCCAAAAGTGTCGAGAATGAAGGCGGACTTTCTACTATAGCCATTGCGGGATCTGTGCATGTGGCATCTCTCTCATGTATGTATCTTTCAGGTGCATGTGTACACATGCGCAAAAGCTTTACGCGCACATTTACCTCCGGTATTGGCTTCATACAAATAGTTGTTTTTCCTTATGCAGTTTAACCTCCTATATCTAGTCTTCATTCCCAGAGAGTATTCTATTCCGCTGTACTCAAGAGTTGACACCCAGATTTTTCGTCCGGTTGAAAGTTTTTAGCTTTGTTCTCTCCAAGTCAACCGCAGAGATGTGTGTGTCATACTGAATGCCCTCAAATAAAATATCACACGAGCTATGTTTTTTACTCGGCCAGCAAAACGGACACGATCCCTGGAACAGTGTCGCAATTTCAAAGACGGCAACACACGCGGGTAGTGCCAAAGACTGATAGTACGTAGTATGCATTTCGCAAAAATTGCAATTTGACACAAGAAATAATGATTTGACATTTACACGTGCAACTATATAATGTGGATTTATAGTTGTGTATATTAATTCTCGAAGTGATTACCTTGTCTGTGAGATCCTCTTAGTTAGTAATTTATCTATCCATCTAAAGAAGGATCTTTAAGCAACATTTTTATTTCCTAAACAGATTTGAAAAAACGGACAGACTCGCCAGTTTCCAACCTCTTATTCAAACTCAAATCAACAACTGATTTGAACAAAGATTCGTTCATTTCGGCTGGTCGGAGTCCAGATCACAGAGGACTTCATCTGGCACAATACGCAATAGTGGCAGCTGCTAAGAAAAAGCTAGGCTATTAGTTTAGGGTTAAGAAATACTTTTCTCCACATCACCTCCTCATTCTGTACAAGGCCCAGATAAGGCCTCAAGTGCTGCTCAAATGTTAGGGGTGCTGCCGCCCCGAACACATTATTCATGCTTGTTGATGTTCAGAGGAGAGCTGTCCGACTGATCGATGACGCCTCTCTAATAGATAGTCTCGATACCTTTTCGCACAATCGGCGATCTAGCTCTCTTCTACCGCTACGCCAATGGGCTTTGCTCCTCGGAGGTCTCCTCAATGGTGCCGCCGCGCTATGTGCCTGCCAGACAGGCCCGCCTGGCTCGCGCCTCCCATCCTAACCCTGTCGACTTTCGTTCATCCAGAACTGGCCGATACAACCGCTCCTTTGTCCCTAGGGCAATCAAAATTGTGGAACAATTTACATGAGGAGGCTTTTCTCAGCTCTACTAACCTTAGTCAGTTCAAAAATAGGATTAAAAAGGTTTCTTTCATATAAGCCGCGGTGCCCTGGCATGTAGCCTTCTGCCTGCGCGGCTGCTTCGGTGTAAAAAAAAAGATGGCTCCTTGATTCCCAGGGTACCGAGAATGGAGAATCATCTACCTTTTCTCGAATCTTAATCGCTCCAAAACTAGGATGATTATAAAACTGTTTGTCTTTCCAGGAATGGACGCTAACAACGAAAGGAGAATATTCGAGTTGATAGTAGAATGTACCTGTCAACCAACCTCTGGTCAATACTTCCTCATTACACCAAAGCTGATACCAAACCTTTGTTACACAGAAAACATGAAAATTCACATTGTACATAACGGACCTTTTGTGGAAAGAGATAGAAAATGGGGATTTTCGAAATTGTGTAATCCAGAGGGGGTACAGATTGCATGAGACCTGTTTCTTACCATTTATCGTTAAGTGTAATTAGTTGCTCAACCATTTTTTTATGTCAAATATATTTTCACTTAAATACTGATCTTTTTAGTTGAAGTCCTACAGGAGTAGGTGGGCCCTGACTCAATAATTTTTGAGGCACCGGTGAAAGAAGGCACATTTTGATTTCTAATTTTTTACATTAGATTTGATCGTGGTCGATGACTTGTCGGTGACTGTGTCTGGGATCCGGCCGTGTGAACGATATCTATATAGTACGGCAGAATGAACGGGATATGTATGGCGGGATCTTGGACACGGTCACTGACAGTTTGGGGACTGCTGTACGAACAAGGCTAGTATGTTTGCATGTACAGAGACGAGATGGTAAGCTTATTCAAGACGAATGAGTTTTCTATAGTTTTTGATTCCATGATTTGCTCTTTAACTCTGGACGTTATAAAAGTATATAGCACAAATGGTTTCTATTTTTTCCCAGGCCATACTGGCGAAGAATTTTAATCGAGAAAAATTTCGAAAATGAGATTTTGTTTTTTGAATGTAATGTAATTCACAGGACCACGAAAAACCATGTCACTCATTTCCGTCTGTATGTCGGCCTGTCCGCTAATCCTTGAACCGCCTATAACTTGGAACGTACTTCTCGGATTTAGATGAAATTTTCACACAAGGTTACTACTATGCCAAGAATAAAAGAGCTCTGTAGTTTTTGAAATTCGGTCCAGTGGCAGCAGATAAAGACCAGAAACGAAAAAAGTAAAAATAGCTCAAACCTCGTTTTTTGATATGAGGATCCTGAGTATATCTCAATTTTTTGATGTTGGTATATTTATACGATCCTAACCTTGGTAATACCTATTAGACATATTTCACACGTCTGACCGGTGACCGGGTTAGGTATCGGGGAGAGGGGACGTTGCCAGATGGTCTACCGGTAGGACAGAGAAAAAAATTCTTATAGACTAAGTGTATGGACCTCTTTGATTGACTGTTTACACAGAGTCTAGCTTGCGCTGAACATAATCCTTCAGCAGCTTCAGCTTATTCGAGCCCTATTCAAGCTCCACTTACGCCACGTCAAAACAAACACAAGCATTCGATCGATAAATTCCCTAGTCAATAGGTGTGGTGGTTGCGTTGAAGTCCCAAATTAAGGGCCTTAAGTGGCCACGAACAGAACCAGAAAAAAGAAAGTGAACCACGAGCCACTAAAACCGTGCTTACCTTTATCGTGTGGTGCGGACGCCGGCAGGGATCCTGGTCTCTTCTGGAACTTCTTAACACAGCCACTTATATATATATATATATATATATATATATATACTAAGTGACATATAAATCCGAACACCCAGTTTAAATGGTTTTATTTTAATAAAAGTTGGTGAATGTATTTATCTTACTGTAAATAACAAGTGAAAAAATTTTCAGCTTTATCAGTTGGACATTCCGGTTTTTATACTGCTTTTTTTTAATTCACTAACGCTCTAAAAATGAATATTTCAGCCGCAGTAAAGAATCAACGTTGGCGGATTTTGGTTCTTGACATCCTTTACGATCGGTTACGATGCCTAGAGTACGGAGACCTGTACGATTTCGTCAACTTAGTGAGTTTGATAGGGGCCGTATAGTGGGACTTCGGGAAGCTGGACTTTCTTTTCGGGCAATTGCAGTTAGAGTGCAAAGAAGTGTAGACACTGTGGTTAGGTGTTGTCAGGCATGGCTTCGAGAAGGCCGTACGCAAAGAGCAAGTGGCACTGGACGCCGCCGTAGAACAACAGACCGTGAAGATCGCCGCCTAAGATTATTGGCTTTAAGGGACCGTTTCTCCACTACCAGGTCCATTGCAAATGAATGGTTTGCAGAACACGGAAGACCTATTGGCATGCGAAGTGTTTACCGATGAATGAAAAGTTTTGGCTTGTTTTCATACCGGCCACACTGGGTCCATTCTTTAACTCGAGAACACCGACGTAATCGCCTTGAGTGGTGCAGACAACGGTCACTCTGGGATCAGGAATGGAACAGTATTGTCTTTAGTGACGAGTCTCGATTTTGTTTAGGCATGCACGATGGTCGTGCCAGGGTTAGAAGGCGACGTGGTTAAAGGACGAATCCACAGTTTTTTGTTGAAAAACATGTTCATCACACTGTTGGAGTTATGGTTTGGGGTGCTATAGCTTATGGTTCCAGGTCACCTTTAATCTTCATCAGAGGTAACATGAACGCGCAACTTTATATCCACGAAGTTCTAGAACCCCATCTTTTACCCTATCTTGACACCCTGGCAGATCCAACTTTCCAACAAGATAATGCCCGACCACATGTTGCAAGAGTCACAATAGACTTCTTTCAACATAATGATGTCACACCGACGTAATCGCCTTGAGTGGTGCAGACAACGGTCACTCTGGGATCAGGAATAGAACAGTATTGTCTTTAGTGACGAGTCTCGATTTTGTTTAGGCATGCACCATGGTCGTGCCAGGGTTAGAAGGCGACGTGGTGAAACGAGGAATCCACAGTATTTTGTTGAAAGACATGTTCATCACACTGTTGGAGTTATGGTTTGGGGTGCTATAGCTTATAGTACCAGGTCACCTTTAATCTTCATCAGAGGCAACATGAACGCGCAGCGTTATATCCACGAAGTTCTAGAACCCCATCTTTTACCCTATCTTGACACCCTGGCAGATCCAACTTTCCAACAAGATAATGCCCGACCACATGTTGCAAGAGTCACAATAGACTTCTTTCAACATAATGATGTCACATTGTTACCATGGCCACCAATATCTCCCGACTTATTCCCAATTGAGCACGTGTGAGATATGATGGGTAGGAGATTGCTCAATATGCAACGTCCACCTCAGACTCTAGAAGCACTTCGAGATGAGTTGGTGGTTGCCTGGAATGAGATACCACAGGAGGACATTGACCACCTGATCAGAAGCATGCCTAGGCGCGTTGGAGAATGCGTAGCACATCAGGGTGCATCCACACATTATTAAAGGTCAAAGGGCTTTAAAGCAGTGCAATCATTTTGAAATTTTTAAAAGTTACTTATTATGCTTCATTAAGTACTTATACAAAATTTTATTAAAATAAAACCATTTAAACTGGGTGTTCGGATTTATATGTCACTTAGTATATATATGTATATATAACTTGAGACGTGGTCATTGTCGTCTAGACCAGTTAGGTGAAAAATTAAAGCTTCCGCCTTTTGTTGGGTACTTCGACAAAATTTATGCAATCATCAAGTGGCTTCACGATGTAATGCTCTAATGTTTTTAAATAATTTTTAATCTGTTTTTAACTTGTTCTTGTCATATTTTATATAATTTTGACCATTGTACCAACTATCCAGCTCTCACCATGTTACTGGACGTTTCCCTCATACTATACGTAAACAACAATTAGCAACATCCTCACATACTACTCTCCTGATGATGATGGCAAAGTCCATTGAAAGCTAGAGAGAATTAAAAAAGTATAAAGAGTCCTCTTTGCATAAATTTTGTCGAAGTACCCAACAAAAAGCGGAAGCTTTAATTTTTCACCTATATAATATATGTTTATGTATAGCGTTTATAAATCGCGGTTTCACAAAACAGTGTTAGCAAAAAGTGCGTTATTCTTACAGCGGTACTAACGATTCTACTTCTCGTCTTGTACTCCTTGATGTAAGAGTGCGCTCTTCCTCTTTTTTCCAAAAAACCATAGGCGCAACCAAATTTAGTGATAATAAAAACAGCGGCGGAGCAAATAATAAAAATTAAGGTAAAATTGATATTGCGGTCGCAACAATCGGTGCTCAAGGATTTGAAGTTACAACGCTGGAGTTTGTTTTTAGGTTTGGATAGGTCGAGCGAATCCTACTTGCGTTGTCAGGGATGGCAGCATTTTTACCGAAAAAGCAATTTAAAAAAAATAAATTACCTGGTTCATTATATTATTGTTAGATCCAAGCTCTTTGCTTTCAATCAGTTGATGACGATATATAATCAGCCCAGTAAAAGGCAATCTACATATCATGAACATTATCGTTACTACGAACATCATTCTTGCTGCTCTTTTTTTATAGCTGACATGTTGATTTTGCAGACTCTCCTGGACGACTTTTTCGTATTTATTTAGCTACAATTTGAACGAAATTAATGTCCAGTCAGTCGGCTAGATATTCATGCATTACCTTTATGAAAATGGAAATATAACAGATAATCTGTATGCTTAAAGGCAACCATACTAAAACTGTAATCATGACGTACCAGTAGATGTTTATTATCAGTGTGTTTTCAGTGCAGTACATTTCTACGAAGTTTTTCCAGTGACGTTCCTAGAACATTTGAAACCTTCGATTTCCATGGTATAAAAACAATGATCTTTTAATATATTTATATTTTTTAAATAAAATATTAAGCTATAAAAGAGGTCACACAAACCTTGTACTGTCTGTATAATGTTATTGGTATTGACAGTAATACGCCTGTCAACCATGTTATGACCATCACAATTCTGGCACCTTTCAATGTTAGTCTCGTCTCCTTAGGTAGAACTATAGCTGTCAGTCTGTCATATGTAATAGCTGACATGCTTATAACGCTGGCTATGAGTACCGAACCTAGAAAAGTTAAATCAATACCGGTGACTTTACAATCAACGATGGAAGCAATTTGGGCCTCCATAATGGATCGATAAAAGTAAAGCAAAAAGTTGTTTTAAAGAAAAGTCCATACATACACTCAACTGCACTTTCACCGCGACATACGATCGGTCCCAGTTCGTAATTCTGGAAAGATTCATAGATCATTATGACCCAAGGGTGGATCAACAGCGACAGCAAATCGGCAGCTGCCATGTTGCCAATTAGTAGGTTAGTGGGCGTTCTCATTGGTCGATTGTGAATCAACACGTGAATGATGAGGATGTTGCCAAATATACCAAGAACAACTACAGGAAGGATTATTGAGGTTTTCATTATTATCTCCGAAAAGGGTTTGTGGATCCAGATTGTGTTGGGAAATAGGTGGGTTGCATAGTCTATCTGAAACAAAAAAACATGGATAGATGCAATCAATTTTAATTGGCGAGTCAGACAACATATACTCTATTGCTTCATCTTCTCTGTAACGCATTAATTTTAGTCATTGAATCGATCATTTCAAAAACACATGATTCACACAATTTAATAACCACAGTCAATAATAATATTGGGAAACACTGTTCTGTACTTAAGTTGTTTTAGCAAGAAAAAGGGTTAGTAGCATATAACTTGACCAAAATAATTCTAGTCATATTTTTTCTTGCTTATTGAAAAAGCACTTAAATCTTGACTTACTAACATATCAAATGGTTTAATTTTGCAAAACCAGACAAAGCGAACACTCATGAAAATCCAATGAATTGGCCATCGACTTATTTATTCAACGTTCTTCAATAATTGGCAATCGGTTATAGAACTAACGTGCTTATTTGATTACCAAGCCGTAAAATGTATTTTTTTAATAATTTTATTTTGGAAGATGTGCGTATAATTCCATTTTCAAAAAAAAATAATTAAAAAACAATGTGACTGGATGATACGCTGGTCTTAAACTAGGCTTTAGGTGCAATCATTTGTATTTTTGACTTTTTCGTATAAGAAGACTTGCATTTTAACTGGATTCAAAACTAGTAATTATGAATGATTCAACTAGCTTGTGCTTACGTCATCGTCGTCAGGCTCGTCATTGTACATCTTGTTCCTAACTTTTGAGCAACACTCCAGGTTAGCACTGCTCCACACTACTGAGTAAAAAATGGATAAGGTATGATCCCCTGGGAAATTAATAGCCCCATCGATTATTTTATTGGTCCCTGTTATATCTGGGAATATTTGTATAAATAAGTAACCATATGTATCACGCAGATTATCTGGCAGATAACCATCGGGAGTTGATAGCTTTTCAGTAGAATTGCTGCTACTACTACTAAGAGAAAAATATGTTCACTGATATTGAATGCGTCATAGAAAAACGTGATATTTTTCCTGTGTAACGGTAGAAGCACCAAAAGGCTCAAACTCGGCCCCACCACGACGAATTTCGCCCTGCAAGATCCTATAATTAGGTCTATCGGAAAGTTGTCTCTTTGTAGGTCAAAACAACAAAACATGTTTCATACCTTGGATAAACTTCAATTAATAATATAAGGTTCACCTCTTGTCAACGTGACAGCTATGAGTATATTCAATTTTTCTTATCTATAGGTGCAAAAAATTGACCCAGTGCTTGTTGGACATCGTCTTCGTATTTTAATTTTTACTGCAGAGAATCGACAAACGACAAAAATCGATGAAAATCGGGAAAGGGGGAGGGGGGGTTAGATCTGGGCAGTATGGGTAATGTCACAGAATTTAACGGCCAAGGTCTTCGATTTTTTGACTGATCTCCAAAGCACTTTTGTACGTGGTCTTGATATTATAATGCAATAGTATAATTATTCTTTCCACTAAACATCGACGCCTTTTTTGCTCAACGAGCTGCCTTAAATTATCTAATCGCTGACAATATATCTCCAAAGTCAGCTTTTCATTCAGTTTCAATAGCTTGGTCCACATATGTCCCACCATATACTCACCTTCTTGCTGAGTCTCAAGTTCGGTTTGGAGGTGGAGGAAGCAGGTTTTTCTAGTTCATACACACATTATGTTCTTTGCATCACATTTTCATATGTGATCCACTATTCACCCCTTCTTGTTAGCCGATCCAAGAAAGGATTGAATTTGGCGTGTGGAAGCAGAGATGTGCATGTCAAGAATGTCATTCAAGTTCATCTGATTAAACTCATGTGGTCGAGTATCTGGGGCTAATTCTAGACTCCAAACTGACCTGGAACTCGCAGATCAAACGCATTAAAAGTAGAGTGGAGTCGACTTCAATGTTGACCAGACGCTCTCATGGCAAAACATGGGTATTGGGCGCTTCCATGAAGCACTGGACGTTCATTATGGTGGCAACATGATATCTTATGCATCTCTGGTGTGGTAGCCAAAGAAGAGACAACGCTCAGCCATTGCAGAATTAAGCAAGGTGCAAAGACTGGCTCTGCCTGTCGATAACAGGTACAATGAAGAGCGCTCCAACTGCAGCACTTGAAACCATTCTGGACCTTCCAACGATACAATTTGTAATCACGGGGGAGACGACATTGGGCTACAGTTACAGCCAAAGGGAAGATATGAAGACCTAGTCAAATAGCGAAACAAGGAGATCGAACGAAACACCAAAGACACAACCTGCAAGGGAAAATTACCTGGTACACTTACGGGTCAAAACTGAGCAAGGGACAGGTGCAGGTATATATGGGAAATAGGTACAATCCTGGGCACAGTATACTGCTTCGAAGACACACCTCTGTATTTCAGGCATTCGGGTCGCCAAAATGCACAATAAGGAATTAAGTCAAAGAATGGGTAAGAAACCAGCATTTAGTGGCTGGATGCAGGCATGGGAAAGAATGCACCTAGGGACGATGTCCAAACAAGACTGACGTATTGCACTCAATGAGTTGGAAATTCAAATTCATCAGTTAGCCCTGTTAGAAACTATATCTTCACTAAACACTATTAATTAATATTTACACGCTTCCGTAGCGTTTGTTTTTAGTGGAATTCGTACAAAATAGGGCCCCAACAGTAGCCACGGATGCACTATCACGTTTCCAAATTCTAACACGAATCGTTACCGGTTTAATTTGCAAGACCCTCATGTAAACATTAAATTTAGTGGTAGAAGTAGTAAGCCGGATATCCGACAACTAAACATGTGAGCACCTATAGATAATTTTCCAGCAATATTTCGACATTTTCTATGAGGAAAATTTCAAAATCCTCTACATTTTGGTGTAAAACCTGATGCGTTGATTTCAACTTAGTTCTACACAATGGCACAGGCGACTTCCTATCTACATTAAATTATGTTGACTAGGAGGAAAGAAACAAATTATAATATTCAATCGTATTATATTACAAAATATAAAAACAACAAATTATATTCTTCATTCGGCCTCATTTGGACTATCTTTCCCAATATCTTGCTCCAACTGATTTTCATCTACCTGCAGATCTGTATCTATATTTTTCTCCGGGTGCTGACTTTTCATGTGATCTCCCAGAGCAAACGCCCTACCGTAACTAGCACCACACAACCAACACGTAAACTTCAAGCTATTTTCAGTCTTATGAGTTTCCAAATGCGATCTAACTCCGTATAAAGTCGAAAACGGTCTATTGCAGATTGTGCAAGTGAACGGTTTTAGGTGACTGTTTTTATGTCCTGCTAGCTGAACTCCAGTTTTGAAGGTCTTTGGACAATATGGGCATTTGTAAGCTCTTACTTCAGAGTGGGTTTTTACGTGATGACTATACACTCCATGAGATTTGAATCTTTTCCCACAATGTACGCATTCGTAAGGTCTTACGCCAGTGTGTGCTCTTAGATGCAAAGTTAGGCAGTAACTCACTCTGAATTTTTTCCCACATATCTTACAAATATGGGGCTTTTCTCCTGTATGAATTCTCTCATGTTTTACTTTCTCGTAAGGCCTAGCAAAACTTCTCCCACAGTACTGACATGCATACTGCCTTTTGGCGCATTTTTTACCAACATGCTCTTTCAAACCCTCCTGTGTGTTGAAAGGTTTTTTGCAATTGGGACACATGAACTTTTTCTCATTCTTATGCGCTTTTGTATGCATAACCACATCCTTCAAACTAAAAAACTTCTTGTTGCATACTGAACAATCAAAATTTTCTTCTTTACTATGAGACTTCATATGCACAATCTCATACTCTTTATCATACGTATTATTACATATATCGCAAATGAACATTGTCCTCACATTCTTCTTTTCGCACTTATTACCAGTGATCGAATAACTTACTGGAGCTTCTATGGGTTTTTCCTTAACAGGCTCATGCATTTTTCTATGCAACCTAAGACTTTTGAATGAGGGAAATATTGTACCACACACTTCACAGACGTATGGTTCCATCGTGACAACTCTTTTCGTTTGACCATTCTGTTCTTCCACATGATGTGATTTCATATGTTCCTTTAAAGTCGCTACTGAACCAAAAACTGCTAAACAGTAAACGCACTTGAAATCAGTTATCTGTTCTGGATTACAAGCATGAATGCTGTATAAGTCTATTTCAGAGAATTTAAGGAAGCATTTAGGACACTTAAAAATTTCATTGACATTAGAGTCATCATTATGAATTTTCCTCGTCGTACCGTCTTCTTGAAGATACTTCTCAATGATGGGAGAAGAAAGCTTGTTGTGTAAAAATTCTGGAACTTTTAAGAATTTTCTTGTGTAGGCTATTCCATTGCTATCAAAATAGTGCTCTTTATGCAAGAGCTGGCTTACTGCAGATGTATTGCTATCCGTTTCTATTATTTCTACAATACATTCGCGGTTATTTTGGTTTGAGCTATATTGTACTTCAGGCTCTTCAGAGGTTGATTCTTCCTAGAATAAAAATATTTTTATAGTAATGTTATGCCAATAGTCCGGAAGGTGACAACGCCCGCGTCTAAAGGGTAAGGCACGAAAGGGCAGATTTAGAGAGGGGCGAGGGGAGTGCCCCCACTTCCCCTTAGATGCCTGTCTGGCATTGTTTTCATAAAGAGTATATCTTGCATTAAACTTAGTGTAACAATTACGTTGATATGCAGACCCCCCCAAGTAGATATATTCCACCCCCGTTTTTCAGTGCTGATCCCCCCGCTCTTCATTGTTTAATCGCCTGTTCCCAAGACGAACATCTTCCTAAATGGATGATACAAACACCATTGCCCCCCCCCCCCTTTAGATAGATTCCTGAATCTGTTCTTGGAGAAAAAGGTATTTACAAAAGTTGTAGGGTCTAATATTAAATTTGCCAGGAAATAAGTGTTATCGATAAAGTATTTTTTAAGTGGAACATCCTGTATATTTTTAGTAACATGATTTTTCTGATCCCAAATATACAGGGTGTTTCAGAACTTATTCGACAAATTTTAACCACATATGCACTATTATGATGACTTCTCAAAAAAAATGTAATAAAAGTCCTACAGAAATTATGTTGTAAACCTGAGTTTCAATAATAAACATTGAAAAATAAATATCTGTATTTTGCGTTCATCGTCGTGATATTAGAACACGTGTTAATAATTTATTGTAGCAAATTGTACCAAACAACTGACGAAAACAAAAGCACGGATGTGGTTTCAGCACGATGGGACACCTCCGCATTTTCGTTTAGAAGTTCGTGATTTTTTGAATCAGGTATACAAGATACGCTGGATAGGAAGGGGTGGACCAATTGCATGGCCTCCACGGTCTCCCGATCTAAATCCTCTGGACTTCTTTTATGGGAATACTTGAAAAACGAGGTATACCGTACTAGAGTTCAGAACATTGAAGAATTGCGTGACCGAATCACAGTGGCTGCCGATAATCTGAGCCTTCAGGCACAGCAGGAAGGAGGCGTATTTGAATTAGTGTGCCGAAATTGGATTAGACGCGCCCAAGCTTGCAATGCAGTCAATGGAAACAATTTTGAACAGCTTTTATAAGTAAGTGAACTGTTAAACTGTATTATTTTATTATCTCGATTTCTGTAGGACTTTTATTCCTTTTTTTTTTAGAAACCAACTTCTTTCGTAAAATGGTTAAATGATTCAAATTTGACGGATAAGTTTTGAAACACCCTGTATATGGTTCATTATACTTATTTTCATAACTTTAGTTAAAAACATCAAATTTTATGTCATGTCATACAGAGGATCAGCACATAATCCTTTGATGTATACAGGGGCGATAAAAAGAGAAACACGTATGTTAGAGCGAGAGCGAAAATAAATCATGCTCGGCGTCAAGAATAAGGAGTCTATAATCAATTTCAAGGGGATAACCAAATTAAAATGGTATTTACCATTTTGGATTGGTATTTACCGATCCGTTCAAGCGAGTGTGGTTATCGGTTTGGTTATAAGATCCGTGACGTCATGAATCAGCTGTTATGTGTCATAATTATCACCACTGAATTGTGGTATTTACCCAACTCAGGAGTAGTTTTATATTTCTGGTTATTATTTGACATGTGACAAGTTAGAAGTTTGGCGGGTATTGGATATTTGTATTGTACAGTACAGTCCCGATAATCCGAACAATATCGGACCGACCCCTGTTCGGATTGGCCGGAGTGACGGATTAGCTCGGTCACTGACTGAATTTTTCATACTAAACATTAGTGTTCTGTTCTGTAGTTTATTCCATTTTAAAATTTGTACCATAACTTGATGTACAGTGCGTAAATATTAAATAAAGAACTGTTTTGAACTAAGGTTTACACTGTTTTATATTGAAATATTCACCGATGTTCGTCCTTAAAATTATAAAATTTTCGCCGCGGAGCCGTTTGGATTAACCGGATGTTCAGATTAGCCGTGTTCGGATTAGCGGGACTGTACTGTACTTCAGCTTCATTTTTGGGAAAGTTGATACAGGCTGACTTCAGTTTTAGCATAAGAGAGCACCTTATTATTTATAATCATTACTGTTGTTGGGGACACTTTAAATCTAGTTCCTACGCTTAACAAAGTATCCTGTATAGCTATACCACAAGAATATTAAAATATGGCTATATAAACTCACTGGATGATGTCAACCTGTATACGGTTTTGTTAATATCTTTTTTTCATCGCTTTTTCAACATTTCTGCTAAATCAATAAATCTTTTCTTTGACATGCGGAGAAGTTTAGAGAATTGAAAGTTATCATAGCTACAAAGTAAACATTTTTTTCTTAAAAAAAAACATTCCTCCCATTAATGTTATGAAAGTTTTCTTTTTTCAACTTTCGATACCCCGCTGTAGACGAAAAAGCACCGATTATTAAGTGATAATAAAAATAATCAGAAATGATATACGCGCTTTTCTAAAATAAACAACTTGCAACAAACCGCGGTTAAAACTAACGCGTTCAATCGATTCGAGTAACTGACGTCATCATCCCGTGTGTCATCTTGAACCATATTATAACCGCGGTACATAATACGGAAATTTTGGCTATTCGCTTGGATTTGATTTATGGATGCTTGATTTGCGCTCTCGGTATAACATACGTGTTTCTCTCTCTATCTATTAAATACATGACCTCAATGATAAATTGCCGATCCTGAACGTATCGGCAGGGGTATTTACTTGATAAGTGACATTTGACATTAAGTCTGTTTTTTGACATTGTTTTTATGACATATAGGTTTTCCTACAAGATGTCAAATAGGAACTAGAATCAAATTCAAGCGAATAACCAAATGAAAATGGTATTTACCATTTTGGATTGGTATTTACCGATCCGTTCAAGCTAGTGTGTTTATTAGTTTGGTTATAAGATCCGTGACGCCATGAATCAGCTGTTATATGTCATAGTTATCACCGTAAAACTGTTGTATTTACCCAACTCCTGAGTAGTTTTATATTTCTCGTTATTAGAAATGTGTCAAGTTTTGGCGGATATTGGATATTTTTGTTGTACTTCAGCTTCATTTTTTGGAAACTTGATACATGCTGACTTCAGTTGTAGCATAAAGTAGAGCACCTTATTAGTTATACTCATTACTGTTGTTGGGGATACCTTAAATCTAGTTCCTATGCTTAAAAAAGTATCCTGTGTAGCCATATACCACAAGAATATAAAATATGGTCATATAAACTCACTGGATAATGTCCACCTGTATACGGTTTTGCTAATATCTTTTTTCATCGCTTTTTCCTATCATTTCTCTCAAATCAATAAATTAATGTTTTCTTTAACATGCGGAAAAGTTTAGAGAATTGAAAATTATCATAGCTACAAAGCCATGGTTCCATCATTAAACAAGAAAACATTTCTGCCATTAATATTATGAAAGGTTTCTTTTTTAAACTTTCCATACACTGTTGTAGACAAAAAAAACCCGATTAGTAAGTGATAATAAAAATAATCAGAAATTATATGCGCACTTTTCTAAAATAAACAACTTGCAACAAACCTCGATTAAAACCAACGCGTTCAAGCGATTCGAGTAACTGACGTCATCAAACCGTGTGTCATGTTAAACCATACTATAACCGCGGTACATAACACAGAAATTTTGGTTATTCGCTTGGATTTGATTTAGCTGTCGTTCACTTAAAGCTCACTCGTAACAGGCGCAGACTGAACTATAGTCGAAATCTCGAAAGATGACGCTAACGTCATCATTTTAGTACGTAATAAAGACGAACGACAGCGATTTGTGAATATTTTTAATGAAGTTTCAGATATGTTAGATAGAGACAAACAGAATTTTATTGTCTAAATAAACTGTATTGGTAATTTGCATGTATCCGACAAAGGTGGACGATGTTTTCATGTTGCATGATCGATCATATTTGAAAGATGAATAGTTTTATGTTAAAGCAGGTTAGGTTGTTTCGAATAATACTTTGGTCTTTGGTGTTCCTGTCTTACAAGTATTGTACTCACAACTTTTTTTTCAAAACAAAAACTCCCCACTAAAATTATTTTTAAGTTATCACTCAAAACCATGAAGTAAAATGTAAATTAAAATAATCAGTGAAATAACCTATCTTGGCAAAATCATAATATAAATTTGTTGTCATTATGTTACTGACATCGTGATTTTATCATCGACGTACGTCCATTGATTACTTCAGTACAATTTATGGTATGACGTATATAATAGTCACCTTTTGTGATTTTGACTATATTTGGACACTACCACCGCTACCAGCTATGTAGTCAACAAGTTCACATTTTGTCGGTTTTTTACGTAATAACCCTGCGGTCCATTATATATCAGTTATTCCGTATGCGGCTAGATGCGAACAGGTTCAAACTCGGATATACACATGAATAAATGACACGCAAAATTCAAGTTTTTGACCCTACCAATGAAAATAAGTATGAAAAGCCATATACCATTTGGATTCAGGAAAAAAACTTTCGCTAAAAATATACAGGATGTCCAATTAATTTCATTCGATAGTACTTTTTCTAAACCATCCTGAATATAAATAATAAATAATACAAAGCATAAAAAACTGTACATTAGACATTGCAACTTGTGTATAAGACTTTTTCTAAAGTGACATTTTATAGTAGAACACATATGCCAGTTGTCGTGTAGGCATATGGCTTTCAACTGAATTTGGTATCACTACATCAGAGTTTTCCCTCTCGCTAAACCTGTTTATTAAACATAGATCACATGTGTTTCATTAACTATGTTAGCATCTTCAGGGGAAGATTAGAACTGGGTATCTTCTGGCGGAATATGTTCATCAATAGTACAAAGAAATGCTGAAATAAATGACTCACCAAAACTACTTCTTCGCCTTGATGGTATTCATTCAAATGTTCATCAATAGAATCAAATCCTATGTTACACATTACACATAAGTAGGTACTTGGTTTGGTATTTTCACTTTTGTTCTCTGTATCTTCAATATTATTTGGGCTATCATCACCCATTTTATGATTTTCACCAGTGTTTGGTAAAACTGAATGATTACTGTCTACTTCTCGTGATTTTTTTTCTGATTCAACTAGAACAAAATACAAAATGGATGCATTCAAGTATGGAAGAGAAAAGTATCTGTTTCATTTCCATTTGTAATCATTTTGGAACTGATATTAAATGGACGGTACTTTTTATTGGTGAAAAAATATATAGAATAGTTAAAATGCAAATCAACATATGGGTCGTATTTTGCTATATTTTATATTTTGCTTTGGCGAAAAAATCATTTTTATACACAGACCATAAAAATATGATGCGTTCGTCGTGTTGAGGAGTGTATAAAAGCGGCTTTTTGTTTTAAGTTTGCAGTGACGTCTTTTAGTGCTTGCAAAGCAAATCAGTAAAACCCATTTTTTATGATTTTTATTGACAATAAAATAGTTTCATCAATCACTTCGTCTAGGACTAGGCTGAAAGGTGTTTTTTATGTATAGGGTTTTCAGACGTTAACACCCAGTTTTCAATCCACAGATCCGTTTATGCCCTAAGGCGTAAAATAACTTATCTGGCACCTCATATATAGGTAAATTACCTATGTTTTATTGAACACAATATAACTGCTAGGGGCACTGTAATTAATTTATTCGCTGCTAGACGACTGCGCCTATCAGCGACAAAATATTTGGCACACCCAATTTATTTTTAATCCTACTTAAACATTACTACATTTTTTCAATTTCACTGCTCGTTGCACATTGCAATGTCAGTGATATTTGGTTTCCCATGTATATAGTCGAAATCATGAAAGATGACGATTACGTCATCATTTTAGTCTGTAGTAAAGACAAACGACTACGATTTGTGAATATTTTTAATGAAGTTTCAGATATGTTAGACAGAGACAAACAGAATTTTATTGTCCAAACAAACTGTATTGGTAAAATTTGCATGAATCCGACAAAGATAGACGATGTTTTCATGTTACATGGTCGATCATATTTGAAAGACGAATAGTTAGGTTATGTTAAACCTATTGTTTTCTAATAATACTTTGGTCTTTGGTGTTCCTGTCAAGGTATTCTACTCATAACTGTTTTTTGTTTCAAAACAAAAACTCCCCACTAAAGTTATTATTAAGGCATCACTCAAAACCATGAAATAAAATAAAAATAATCAGTGAAATAACCTAACTTTGCAAAAACATAATATAAATTTGTTGTCATTATGTTACTGACATCGTGATTTCGTCATCGACATACGTGCATTGATTACTTCAGTACAATTTATGGTATGACGTAAGTCATCTTTCGTGATGTTGACTATATACCTCAGTCTTGTGTTTTGTGCCTGGGTTTTTTATCCCGTGGGCCATAATAAATTATAACTTCCCGCTTGACGCCTAGATACATAAATAGCTATTATTTACATCTTTTATACCTGTTCCTCCATTCTCCCCATCAGTCGGTTCTTCTAACTGCCAACAAAGAGTACCTAAATGATGTACTAGCTGTCGAAGATCATCACAACATTTGTTACAAGATGGACATTTCAATTTTTGTAAAATATTTGAAATATGATTTTTTAATGCATCATGAGAGGAAAATTTCTCTTGGCAGCATAATGGACAAATCAAATCTGATCCCATTACAATACTATCGAAAGTACTATTACATAGAAGGACGTTTCTAACAAACTTGGATTTGAATCAAACTATTTCTTTGTCTAGATAGCGATTCGTCTTTGGTTTTACCAATAACTTCACTCTTATTATTCTACTGTCACGAAATTGGATGGAAGGTGGAGAATGACATTTCTTCTTCAATCATGCTGACAAACTGTCACTTGCACAAATATTTGCTGCCACCTCGACCTGAAAATTAGAATCACAATTTTCATCCTTAGTTTGACTTTTGCCGAATAGATGTCGTCAGATGTATTGCACTAGTTTTGCTTTATTTTGTTGCTGATTTTTTTATGTTTATGTTTAGTTGATCCATTTTCTTTTTTTAGGTAAGATTAGATAGTTGGGTGTTTTTTGTAGGTGTTTAAAATAGATAGTATGATGTCAGTCCAAGTCTTGGACACCCCTGTACATCAAAAAATGTAGGAAACTTGAATGACGTTTCACACCGGCATTTCCTGCTCTGTCGATAACTGAAAACTGAACAGAAACTGAACGAGAATGAAAAAGGAATAATCTCGTGCAGTGATGTGATTGTCATTTTGTAACAATAAATTATTTCCTTATTAAAAGTATTCCAAAATTAAGGAATATAAGCGATTAGGTAAGATGTTTTCAATTTATATTCGAAGCTATTGCATGGATTTCAAGCATATAAACATTTGATGACTAATTTTGATTGAGCGGCTAAAGACTGTCGGCCATAAGGTTGTAGGTCAAGTTTTCCTGTCAAAATTGATGGAATTTGTGTTATTTATGGTCAAAAACACATGTTGGATGTATAAATATTGGTAATAAGATAGTTTAAGTAACATATTTCTGAATAATAAGCCATATAACAATATTTTGCCACTCTGAAGCTGTATATTGATGCATCATTTATTTCCTCATGTCAAGTATTGCTGTAACAATTCGAGCTATTGTATCGAATATTTGGACATTAGTATAATTCAATATTTTAAATATCCTGAGTCAAATCAAAATTTAGTTAATTCCTAACGGCTTCATCCTGTCAGTTTTTATGTGAAGTTAATTTTTAAACTGAATACCTACTACCTCTGCTGCTTCTATAATTTTAATAAATTGTACATTATTATTCTTTGACTTGAGCAGGGACAAAACTTGTTTGGCGATAAAATACCCAAAAATAAAACTGAAAATCACTGGCAAACATTCTGTGTTGTTGAATTTTGCACATTCACCTTCATAGTTATATATAGAACAGATCTAGCATGTCCTGCTATTCTCTTTATTTATGTTAAAGTAGGCAAAAATCAAGAGGTATTATGGAAAAGGGATGAATTTTTTATCATTGGTAACTCTACAATAATTTAAAATGACTGTTTTAGCTTGATATTTGGCATGCTTGTGTATTATTGTTTTTTATTCTTAACCTAACTAGTGCACTAAATATAAATCTAAATGCATTATTTTGGTTGCAAATTGCTGGACATGTTAAAATGAGTGCTTATTTTCAAGATCCTATAACAGACAAGTATCAAGTTTTCAGACGAATGAAAGAACTAAAGTATACAACTTTAAGAAAGCAAACTAATCTGCTCTATACTCAGAATTCTTGCAACAAACTTTAAAATTTCTCAATTTCTACTCTGATGTAGATAGTGTCATGAATTTATATTACAATAAGCTATATCTTTTAGACAATTTCCCTTGTATGAGACAGAAATAAACCTATTCCAGTGGGTTCAACTCAGACATCATTACAAATATAAAATAAAAAGCTGAGTATCATAAAAGATATCAGTTTATTTAATGGAATTCAGAAGATTACATGAGTTATTAAAAAGACAAATTAAATCTTCATATGATGAATACTTGGAACTCATTCAGCAGGATATTTTTTTGGATAACTCAAATCAATTCTGATCATATATTCATACCAAGAATAGAAGCACTAGGAAATGTGGCTGGATGGAAATAATCTTTCTGACAGTAATGATATTATGAATGCCTTCAAAAAGTTTTTCCAGCAGGTTTAGATGACAGTTCCATCCAGTGGCATTAATTGTGTAACTGATCAATATTGAAAACCTTACTGAAGATGAAGTTATTTATGCAATCTATAAATTGAAACATAAAATGACTTCTCGTCCTGACAACATCCTTTCTTTGGACAAAGGCTTCTGTTATGTTTCAGCTAGGCTGCTCATAAAATTTGTCAATTTACTGGTCTGGAAAATATCCAAATTTGTGAAAACATGCAAGAATCTGTCATATATTTAAAAGTGGGGATAAATATTGAAAATTGAATAGCTGTATTGATTTTTTACATCTTTTCCAAAGTTTTTGAGATTACCCTTTACTATTGAATACTACCATCTGTTAGGAATTAGATTTCAACAAATCAACATGGCTTTATAGATAAGAGTCATCAATCTATTTATTGTTGTGCAATATGTTTCAGAAGTTTTAGATGAATATATGTTATTTACACTGATACACTGATTTCTCAAAAGCTTTTGATAAAGCGTCCCACAACTAACTATTGTCTAATTATGGTTCTTCTGATAACTTGTAGATCTTTTCAAATGCTACTTGTCAAATAAGTTTCAATTTGTTTTATATCATGCATATGTCAACCCCCATTCTAGTTACGTCTGGTGTTCTGCAAGTTTCAAACTTTCATGCTTTACTATTCATTCTGTATTATATATTGATAGCAGCAGTTAATTGCAGTTTTATGTTTTGCAGACAATGTCAAATTTTTTTCAAGAATTAATCAGGTTGAAGATTGCCACTTCAAATTAATTTGATTTTAATTGAAAACTGGTGTAATGAAAATAAACTCTTTCTCAATGCCCAAAAATGTTAAGTCGTCTCAGATGGTAGAAGAAACACTGTTATTAATTTCAACTAGGTGGTGAATAATAATCAAAGAGCAACCACTTTCGAAGATCTAGAGATAAAATGATTCTAAGTTTACATTTGCAAAACATATTGAGCAAAAAGTGTATGAGGCTTTGAAACCGTAGAAGCTTTTTAAATGGACGGCTTTTTGCAGAAAAGAACCAACCCACTAAATATAAAAAATCAAGATTTTAGGAAAATAATGTATTACAAGCATATAACTTATAATTTTCTTAGTTTCAGTTATTATATGCACATATTTAAAGCCTTTAGTATGCCATTCATTAAAATCGTTTTTGGTCTAAAATTAATTTTTTATCATTGGCAAAACTTGAAAGCCTAATTGCTGAATAATTGTTTTTCTGGGTTGGTTCCTTTCAAACATCATTGCAATAGAAAGGGTTCAACATAAGGCAATCAAATATTAGGCTTTTAAAGTAGACTAGGAAATTTTATGTACCATATTGTAGCAAAACAAGAAACTTTGCAACTGAGGTGAAAAATAGCATCTCTTTCCTTTCTACACAAAATATTACATAATAGCATAGATTGCTCTCCCATCATATGCGAAATAAATTTTAATGTACATAGGTTCAGTAGTAGGACAATTATTACATTTGAGTGTAGTAGGCCAAGGACCAATATCTTAGTTAAATCGTCCGGTCGTGTAATGTGTAACAATTATAACAGGATACCTCTTTATTGTGATATTTTCACTTGTACATTGATGGAGCTAGTGGATAAAGCTGTTATACATCTATTGATCATTTTTTGTAGTTAGGCACACAATAATTTCTGATTTCTCTTAATTACCCTGTAAATGGTTAGCTGTTGGTTAATAAAGTTATTATTATTAATGATGGTAAAAGTTGTTTTAGTGAAAATATTGCTTTTCGTGAACTGTTTTTTTTCCTCAGTTTTCAATAAATAAGCCCATTTCCTTCATTTTGTTTATTTTGTCATAAGAAAACTGGATTATTTGAGAAAAATCTAGTTTTTTTGTCATATACTCAGTGCTACTGTAGCACCATGTAACAAACAGTTTAAAACCATGTAATTCCATCTTTGGCTGAATGAGTTGTTGTTTTACCTTGTGTTTGAAGTGTTTGACATTCATTGGCATGCTCACCTAATCTGATGAGGCAAGGTCAACCAAGCCAAGACCTTAAACAATTTTGATTTTTGTTTTTTTAGTAAGGAGGGTTGAGCCACTGTTGGTTATGTAGTATTGTAGTATTAGCAACAATAGACTACTCAATAGTCTTCCATTAGCATAAATTACAAGCTTTTATTGAGTAAATTGAGTTACATAGGCCTCAATCAGTTAGATCTTTCTTTCTTTGAAATGTATGTACCCAATAGATATCAGTAAGTCAAAAAATTTGTCGGATATACCCCAAGGTTCTGTATTTGTAGATGATACTCAATTACTGCATTTATTCAAACTTAAAGAGGTGACAGATACTTCTAAAATTTGACAACCTGATGTTTACAACCTAATACAATTTATTTTTCAACCACCACTTAAAGATTAATTCAGAATAATCAAGAATTCTGTTGATTTGTGCTGAAAGAAAAAGACACAACTTAACATTTCACCTAATAATTCAGATAAATAATCTAAAGTTGCTGTTCAAAGATTCCACAAAAAAATTCTTGTGAGTTGTTTTCAATACCAAATTGAGATTCATTGAGCATGTCAAAAATTTAAATCAATAAACTTACTTGACTTTTAATTTTACATAAAAAACTGAAGCCTTAAGTGTAAGAGTAGCTAAGCTAAACTTTGCCAATTAGGTTGACTCCAAAGCATTGTTATCATGTAAATTGTAACAAATAAAGTCGCCTTTATTATTATTATAACTTGTTCTTATTTATAAATTACTATTTTTTTTGTCTATACAGTTGTAAAAAGATAGAAAAAATATATTTTGCTGTACCTATGATTGGATCATTCTTGCTGATATGAAAGCTCAGTTCTGAACAAAGAGTACTGAAATTGCTGCACATTAGCAAAATAATTCATTAATGTGACAACAAAAGCTACAGGGTTTTACCACTTGTCAAATTCAGTTTAAAAAATGTCATGTGTAAGATAAAAACAGATTGAAATTCAGCTCTGGTGGGATGTAAAACCAAGTAATGTTTGTAGTTTCAAACTCTAAAGGATCCAATATTGTATATTCTGGCTACAGTCAATACATCGTAAACCTAATTTTTACGTTTTCAAATTTTAATTTGTTATATGTATTGATTGCTGACAAAATCTACATATCTTTATCTAAATCGCTTATAATTTATCAATAATTCCAGTATCTAAACACACAACTTTTATCTTATTATTACTAAATATTTCTAAACCTTATCTAGATATTTATGTAACAAAAATAATCTCCTGCAGTACTACATTTTTGTCTTGCCAAGATTGACTGTTTATTGAACACTTTGGTAGTTTCAGTTTTATTGTGTTCATTTGTTGCGTTGTGTTGACAGGTAATGGCAGGTTATGTATTTCAAATAATTTTTTAGCGTTTATGTGACCCAGCAAGTCAGGTTAATTTGTAAAATGTGGCATCGGAAATATGAGAATAAATAGTTTTAGATATCATTATGCTAGTGCAAATCTAATTATACTGTATGATGCTTTCATCCATGCATCTAATTGTATACAGAAGGTTCATGCTTGTTGACAATCATCAGCACAGTCTAGGTAGGATGAAGAACAAAAGCAGAGTAAGATTAACATCTATCAGCATAGTCAGTTCTGGTGCTGCCATTTTACCATAAATCATGAAATGATGGATACTATAGTCCATCTGTCGAAGAAAGAAACTAAACCCAAACATATTCACGCATACTTTACGTGGTCGGACGGCAAGGCTGTATGCACCTCGGTGTTGTCTCCCACTCCACCTTCCTGGTTTGGCATTGGTCCTGTTCATACAGCAGTCGCCAAGCTGCCCTTGATCGTGACCAAGATCCCCCCACACAAATTCCGTTCACTCTGCTACGCTATATAGTCGGACTTCACACTGCCGGATCCCAGACACAGTCACCGACCACTGTACGGACAAACCTTATTTGAACTCGAAAAAAACACCGCACGACCTTATCACATTATAAAAATCACTGGTCTTGACCTTTGGAAAGTGAGTCGATTCAACTCTGATCATTTTTTTTACAGTGTTGTTGGGGCAGAGCAATGCACAATCTAAATCCAGAAGGCCAATACTCTACCGCAAATGGGGCCATGAACCCAGAAAAGGTATGCATCCTAGACGCGGGTGCCCAGTATGGTAAGGTGATCGACAGAAAAGTCAGGGAACTGAATGCGGAATCGCACATCCTGCCATTAGATACTCCCGCTTTCACTATCAAAGAAGCTGGATATAAGGCGATCATCATTTCTGGGGGGCCCAACTCGGTCTATGCTGAGGACGCGCCCAAATACGATGCAGATATTTTTAGAATAGGGGTGCCCATTTTAGGTCAGTATCATTCCTTTTTATAAACTGATGCCCATCCCAAAAAAGGTGTGCTATTCCTGTGGAACTTCTCCGTAAATATTTATGTGACAAAGCACAGAAAACTGATTCCAAAACTGTAAGGTCGGGAACTCGGGGAGAGAAAAGTGATCACTAAAACCAGAGTTCCCGACTATTGCCCCATACTCTACAGAAAATATTAGCTTCCACTTCACATGCACAGGGAAAGGGAACTAGGCAAATTTGGCATGATGACTGCTTTTATTAGTTTTTATAAATGTGTCTCTAGGCATATGCTATGGTATGCAGATGATGAACAAGGAATTTGGAGGCACAGTAGTAAGAAAAGATAGTCGAGAAGATGGACCTTATACTATAGAAGTAAATACACAATGTCTATTGTTCAAGTAAGTTCTGTGAAAAAACAACTTTTATGCTTTTTTATGCGGTATAGTGTCATGAAAACTAAGTGGAATCGACAGCAAATGGATAAGTCAATAAAATCTGTATTGCAAATTCGTCGGGCAAAATCCTGCTTGAAAAATGGCGTTTTGAAGAACGTGTCAGTTTGATGACATATGGAATCAACTAATAATAGTAAATACCTAAACTAAAGAATGAACTGACATATTGAACCCTTTCAGTGACGGCTCTGCCAGATTTTCCTTCCATGTTTTTTATGTGGTTTCAGTGAGGAAGAGCAATAGTATATATTTGCCTTCAAGTTAAATTAATAACAAATCTCAAAAACCTATTCATCATTTTACGTTTAACTAATGTTATTTTGACTTTTTTAATTACTTATGCACCTTCAAATTACGAGTATTATAATGGGAAAAATATGCGGCAAAACTAAAATACCGAAACAACGCTATTGGCATGACGTCAAAATATCGGCAAGAGGCGCTGTCATTGATTGTCAGTTTGATCAGCACCAAAGAGTACTGGTAGACGCGGAACTTTTCATCACCGTTTGTCAGCGGACGTGCTGCCAACCTGCAAAAGAATTTCGCCACCATGACAACATTGGAAAAACAAAAGAAAAGTAGGACCCTTCAAAAGTTGATAGCAAATCGTAACAGCAAATTAACCAAACATAAATCAATTTTAAGTGACCTTCCAATCATAATCAGTTGTGTTTAGTTTCAACATTCCCATGTTATGTGACGCGGTTTGTAACAGCTGTCAAATGATGACGTCACGAACTGGTCTTCGTGACGTCACTGTTACTGACTGTCAAGACCAATAACAACCTTGCACAGGCGGTGGTTTTTTTGTGTCAAATGTCAACTCTTGAATATAACATAACCCCTTCCTACTCTTTTGTGTTTGTTTTGTGTCGTCTATGGCTTATAATTTTCCGTAAAAAGTTATCAGTGAAAAAAACGACAATAGGCGTAGAACTAGTGAACTTCTGTGGAATCATACGTTTTTTTTTGTACAGAATTTAAAAAGTTGTTAGGTACGTTGTTAATATCATAGTAAAGTATATTTGAATTACATATATTTATAATTGTTGGGCCACAAAACAGTTGCGTGTAGCAATCATGTTCTCAGCTGTGTGTTCTGTATCAGAAGTGCAAATGACAGAATAATCAAGAGCATAACCAAGGAATAACCGCGGTTCATCACTTAAAATTGCTTATAGAATAAAATGATTATGAGTTGTGACGTCACTACGAAGCTCGCCAAAAATGCGGTGTTTAAATCAACGTCATTGGTAGTGCACTTTTAAATATTTAATTAAAAAAATATAGACATTTTCATCAATGAGGTATTTGTTTATGGTACTGTATTCACGTAAATAATCGACAAAAAATACAAAAATGCATATTCACTTTTGTAGAGTGCTTGTAAAGCCATACCTCGAGTTAAGGGGTATTTTAATGAATTTAGGAGTACTTAATAATTAACTTTGATATTTTAGGGGGTTGGAAAAAATGCAGTCAGTGCTCCTGACTCACGGCGATTCGATAGACAAAGTAGCAGACAATTTTCGAGTTATAGCACAGAGCTCGTCATTTTGCGCGGGCATTGCCAACGAAAAACTTAACCTATATGGTGTCCAATTTCATCCAGAAGTAGATCTCACTCCTAATGGAAAAACCATGTTGAAAAATTTCCTATTTGACATCTGTGGACTTACTGGAAATTTTACAATACAGGTGCGACACACATTTTTCTTTTGCATTCTCTTTGTTGCATCATACTCCTTATTTTCATTTTCGATATTTTAATTATTAGCTCTTGGATATTTCACTGTTTTATGGTGATAAGCATCCAATCCACCTAGTAGGATTTTCAACTTGACTATCAATCTTTGTTCCAATGTTAAAAAACAAATATAACAAAAAACTTATTCTTTGATTTTTATTTTAGGGAAGGGAGGAAGAATGTATAAAATACATAAAAGAAACAGTAGGTATCAACAACAAAGTACTTCTATTATTGAGTGGAGGTGTTGATAGTACTGTGTGTGCGGCATTGTTGCACAAAGCGCTGAGGCTCGAACAAATTATAGCCATACACATAGATAATGGATTTATGAGGAAAAATGAAAGTGAAAAAGTACATAGGTAAGTTACATATGTAACACAATTTTTTGTAGTACAAACTCCAATACCGTGCTATCTCTGCCGCTGGCGGGGTTCACTCATCGCATCTGTGATTGCAACGTTGTCGCTGCTGGTCGGTAGGGAATTTTTGAGATCGCTACTTTGAATTGGGGACTAATTGTATGGGCCTATTTGACTGACTTGATCCATCTAATCCCGCGGTTTTACACGTACGTAGTTTTAGTCAACTTAACGAGTTTTTTTTGCAGTTCCCTTCAAAAGGTAGGCTTGAACCTACGCGTGATCAAAGCGGCATCCAGTTTCTCTGAAGGCCAAACTATTGTGCCCATAGACAAACATGAAGGCAACTCTCGAACTAGGATAACCAAGATGCTCTGCATGACCTCTGATCCTGAGGAAAAGAGAAAGATCATCGGTGACGTGTTCGTCCGCATCTCGGACGAGATCATTAGCGACCTGAATCTCAACGCGGACGAGGTCTTTTTAGGTCAGGGTACTCTCAGGCCCGATCTCATCGAGTCTGCTTCCAAAGCAGTGTCGAATAAGGCGGATACTATCAAGACACATCACAATGATTCCGAATTGATTAGGAAGTTGAGAGATGAAGGTGAGTTGCATTGTATGTTTGCTAGTCAACAAATGAACCGTTCTGAGCCTGTCGTTTGAATTTGCGAATGTTGAAATGCAAATTTCTCGAAAAACTTTTGTTTATTCGTAATAATAGATGGTACTGGCAAGTAGTAGGGAGATTCTAGGCTGTAACTAATACGGTCTAGGTTAATAAATGGAATACATTTGCACTCCTTACCCTCAGAAACCGTTGTTACTCGATTTCGAGTATTGTAACTTATGTACCCTTATTATCCCATTAACGACATTTTACTCTGTATCACTCTTTTTAAACGATTAATCAGATCCTTCTATTACGAACCACCCTGTATACTGTTTTTTTTCTTTATGGAGGTACAAGAAGGTATGTTCCTCTACAATTTGGGAATGTATTGATACAATCCTCCTACATAAAAGAATCTTGTAAAGTCATGTCTTCTGAAGATTATAAAGACATGTAAAGGCCTCGATCGACATCCTCATGATCATGATCAAAAAACATTTTTTAAAACTTGTACTGTCTAAAGCATGGAACAAGATAAATTAACATCAGTTTTTCAAGGAAAATGCATTTGAAATTCGTACAACTTTTAAATCTTTAATATTCCCAACAAAGAACTCAACCTAGAGGATTTGGCTTTTGTTACAGTTAAGGATAAAATGTGTCCAAGGACTAGTTATATTAAGAGGCCTCATCATCGCGTACTGTTATGATACGATAAAAGCTTGTCAGATTTTACGTACATATTTTTATGCTAAACAGCAAACTTACCGAGTTTGCTGTTTTTTTACTAATTTTTAACACTCAATATCAGCACGCGATGTAACTAAAACTTTGCGGTCGGCTCTTGAAATAATATTGGCTTATAAACAAAAACAGACATTCATGTGCGGACCATCATTGGTTACCGAGGCGGTGTTGCCAGCTGCCATGAAATATAACGTTTTGGCTAAGCAGAATGGAGTTCAGCCCTTTTCACGGTATTTGTTTGTTGCGGTAAAAAGTCATACGAAATAAATAAATATATCGTCTCGACAATTGGTAAAATAGGCAATTTGAGGTTAGAAAACTTTTTGATTTCAAGCTGACGTACTTCTATTACTACTAAACTAAGTGTAATTTATATCTTTATTGAATGAATAATATATTTCTAGTCTGGAAATGAATTATAAATATCCACACCATGAATAAATGTCCAAACAGAAGTAGACTTCAACAAAACAATGTGTTTACTACAAGTGATGGTCAAAGCATTCATCCAAAACGGATTATTTCCGACTAATTAGAAAAGCCGTGTTTAGGCGCCATCAGATGTTTTGTGGACGCTATGTTTTTGGAGTTATCTCTTATCTCTATCTAATTTATTGTCAGCCTTCTCTTCATCAGGGTGGCCGATATGTATTTGACTGGTTTGTATCTTCAATATTTGTGAAATGAAATAAAATACGTCCATTTTTTTCCATCTTAATATTTTATTGAAACTTAGAAATTTTGTATGAAAAATAATATCGGACAAATGTCCGCCTCTACAAGCCACGCAAATCTGAGCCCTCTTGATTACATTTTCCATCACTTTTTGGTGGGTTTCGCGAGGAATATTTTCAATCGCTTCCGTAATATTGTGCTTCAGCTGTATTTGGTTTATTGGCATAAACCGAATTTTTCAAAAATCCCATAAAAAAAGTCAAGCCGTTAAATCCGGTGACCTTGGTGGCCAGTTGACTCACCAAATCGAGAAATTAAACGTAAATATTGTTCGCAAAATATTCATTGTTTCCCCAGTTGTGTGACAAGTTGCTCCGTCCTGCTGTAACCACATGCTTTGCAGGTTAAATTGTTGGATTTGTGTAGCCAGAAACTTTTGCACCATATCACGGTAGCGTTCATCAGTGACTTACCAAACCGTCACTGGTCGAGGCTGTAGTGGTTGTTGATGGATGACACGAGGGTTCTCTAATGCCCAGATACGTCAATTTATTCTGCTTTTTAACAAATCCGTTCATATCGAAGTGGGCTTCATCGCTCATTATCAGGTGTCGGTAAAAATCGTTATTTTGGGTATTAAGCTGCAATATTGCATGACTGTATTGTCGGCGACTTTCATTGTCACTAGTTCTTGGGCTAACTGAATTTTGTATGGCCATAAATGCAAGTCTTTTTTTAAAATAGTGCATAATGACGTGCGACGAATACCTAGTTCTTGAGAACGATGTCTGCTTGACGACTTGGGGCGCTCCACTACACTTTCACGAACTCTCCCGATATTTTCCGGGGTACGAACAGTTCGAACACCTGGCAAGTCTTTAACGTTACCTGTTTGTTCAAATTTCTGCACCAACTGACGAATGGTGTTGACACTGGGCACGTTACAGCAAACAAACCTTTAGGATACATAATAATGGCATTCCGTCAGACTGAAAATTTTGAAATATCCTAAACGTCCTAAAACAAGCAAAGATATCAGATGATTGGTTCAAATTTCCCGCCTATTTTCTATGAACATTGAGTATTGAAGATACAGTATGAGAAAATGTATCAAATTAGCGCAAAACGAAAAACAAAAAAAACTTTTGGAGACATGATAATGGCATTCCGTCAAAGTGCAAACATTGAAAGATGCGGCATTTTGAACCAAATTGATAATGTTACAATATCGAAACGAACGTCCTAAAACAAGCTAAGATATTAGTTTCAGACGATTGGTTCAAAGTTCGCACCTTTTTCCTTGAACATTGATTAATTATTCTACCCCAAGGTAGCCAATCATGTACTGTAGTTCGGTATCCAAAAAATTATCCTGGAATCATCTATGAAAATTTGTCAGAGCTATGTTTCCTCCTCTCCGCAATAATTAGTATTCTACCATGGAAAGTTTCATGTCTCAGCCGCAGAGGTATCACGTATCTTGAAAAGTGACATTTATCTTGAAAAGTGACATTTTGTAGTTTTTTTACATTATATAGGTTTATTGTGACTTGTAGGTTTTTTATGCAAGATGTCGACTTAGAACTAGCTGTTGTTGATGCGCACTCGCTCTGAGTCTGAACATGTTGCGCGGGCGCGGTGGTGATATCTTGTAATACTTCTCAAAGTTTTTGAAAACGAAAAAACGAGGAAAATCGTAATTTATACCTTTGAACATAACCTCTCTTCAGAAAGGACAACACAAATAACACGATTTTTAAGCAAGTCATAGTTAACTCCTAAGTAATACTTACCCAACTTTAAATTTAACTTGCGATTGAAAACTGAGCCTTAGATGGCCATCTATGAGACACTAACCTCTTCAAAGTATTTTTCTAATTATTGTGGAGAGGAAAAACAGCTGTGACAAATTCTTTTAGATGACGCCATGATATCTCTTTTCATCTCAGATAATTGTTTGGACGCCGAAATACAGTACATAGCTGACTATAGTCAAGAAGAATACGTTAATCAATGCTTTAAATCTAAGGGAGCTAGCTAATTAGGTGTCTAGTAAGGTATAAAATCTGCAAACTGACTAAAATTGTGTAGATCTGAGAAGCTTTAAAAATAAAATTCTACTATTATAAAATTCATTGCTTTGTGGTGTATCACTTCATATCAAATTCATCAAACTTTATGGACTGAATTATTAAATAATCAAAAATAAATTTTGAAAAACACTGAAGTATTTTACATAATTCAAACCACACTCACTTAGAAAATAATTTTGAATGCCTGCACTAATATATGAATTCGACTTATCTACACAGAAGCTTTACAATAAAAATGCAGACGTCTGATGTGTTGCGCCAGCATTCTAAAACCATCAGGCATCGATTGGATGCTATTGAAAATAAAGGCAAAATGTGTTTCATATTTTCATTGTTACAGCTTTCTGTGACAATCCCTCACCCCCTGCACCCTAATCATTTAGAAGCAAGACCCGTAAGAATTGAATAGTTTGGAGTTCAAATCAAAAACACAAAATAAAAAAGATTTTCTGACAGTATGTTTACAAACTGTCAACGCCAAAACAACACATCAAAAGACATTAGGTTTTTACCGTTGGGTTCCCGTGTACATTTGCTAGTGTGGGAACGTAACAACTCTCAATTCAAAAGCACTGGTAAGCTAATATGTTGGAGTTGGCTTGACATTGACATGAGGTGTTAGGGATGACATAAAACACAAACACAGAGTGCTACAAAACCTACAGAACACTCTATTGTTCAGACGCAGTAACAGTGTTGCCGCATCAACAATTACGATAAACTTAACCAGAACTTAAAAAACGAATACGGCAACTGCTAAATTTAATTGAAAAACGGCCTAAATTGGCTTCTGTGTTTTTTTTTTTCAGGGCGAGTAGTAGAACCTTTGAAAGACTTCCACAAAGACGAGGTGCGTGCTATCGGTCGCGACCTTGGCTTGCCACCGGAAATAGTGATGAGGCATCCGTTCCCCGGGCCTGGTCTAGCCATACGAGTGCTGTGCGCAGAGGAGCCCTACATGGAAAGAGACTTCTCGGAAACGCAGGTGCTGGTCAAGATCATCGTCGAGTTCGACCAGATGCTGCAGAAGAAGCATGCACTGTTGAATAGGGTGGAGGCTGTCACTAGCGATGAGGAAAGGTATGTTATAAGAGCTTGTATAACCATATTTTCTATGCTTGCCTAGAAAAGATGGTTGTGAATGTACCTAGTTTCCGGTAGGGTGTGTGTCGAAAGTCGACAATGGCATGAGATGAGAGGAGAATTAAACAGGTCAGAACGTGTTAAAATTCAACGAACTCTATTAATAAAAAACATTAGCATTACATAGATAAAATACAAAAACTCACATCAAATATGTTATCAATTTTTTGCCAAAAAAAAAATGTAATTCGTAAGTTTAATATTTTAAAAATTTCCAGTGTTTATGGAAGCCATAGGCCGTAGATCAGGTTTATGTATATTTATCCATGATTTGGAGCAAGCCTAAGGTTCAATTAGCCTAGGTTTAACTCAGGTTCTGGGAGAGACAAAGGTAAGCTTTCCATTCCGGCCGAGACGTAAGGAGCCCAAGGGAAGCCTTAAGTAAGGTGTAGAACAGACTGAAGCTAAGAATGCAAAAGGTTAAAGTCAAAAAAGGGTGCCTCCCAATCATTTTGTCTAATTAAACACACACGATTGATTTTGCACTTGGTGCTCTTAACTTTACGTGGCCAGGAGAAAAAAATAAATTTGATGTTTCTGTAATGATTGCAAAACAAAAGAGAGGAAGCGACCGGAAACTTCTCCGCAGGTAAATAATATGTGATGTACTAGATAATTATTACCGCACAATAGCAGAAAAACTAAAAAAATACTATACAAAATACTGATTATCCTTTAACAAATCTAAACCATATAGATATAGATCAGGATTTTTTTGCTTTATCCCAGTAACGTTTATTAATTGTACTTAGTATTAAGATCTATCAAAAATACAAAATCATCAGGCATTGATGAAATTTCTTTAAATGTTATACCGAATCTTTCACTTGGTGCTCTTGATACGCTCAAAAATATTTGTCTTAACATATCCTCCAAGGGATAAGTGGAAGAGCACTAGATAGTGAACTCCCCCTTGTGGTTTTCAGACAGTCGACATTTGTTTTATTTATTTTTTTTATATTTTCCTTTTTTTTTGGTTAATACTCATGTTTCTCTTTCTGATTTTTTTTTTTGAAAACTGTTTGGAAATAAAGTATTTATTATTATTATTATTATATATCGTCGGCTTTCTCACGAAGTGTCCTAACCAACGGTTAGTGAATTTTACAGGAGAGCAAGAAAACGAAATCAGCGTGTTGTTGATTGAGCATTTTATGTAAAGTTTAGATATTTCCGAATTGAAAATTCACGTGTATTAGACTATATTCATTGTGAATCATATGCCGTTTCAATATTTGCGGTATAATAATATTTTAAGATATACAGAATTTGTTTCATTCACTTAAAAGCAAAGAATCATATTTCCAGCCAAGGGGGCGATTATCTCAGAAAATTTGTTGATTGTTAAATTTTTTAAGTAATCGTTGGTATGCTGACAGCAAAGTTTATGTAAAAAAGTTCAGATCGACTTTTGAAGTTTGGCTACCCCCTCAAATATTTTCCTCAATGTCCATGCCTAAAATTGATGTAGATTATGACAAAAATATTACGTGATTAGATGAAGAAAACAACTCGAAACGTCAAACCAATTTTTATTGAAATAAGAACTAAAAGAAAAGCAACTGACTTAAATATTATATTTTGACATATTACCAGCAAATGTTGATGTGTTGTGAACACAAAAAAAGGCAAAATTATCAATAATTCGATCCGTTTCATGGACCAAATTTTGTAAAATTTTTGGAATTCTGGTAAGCGTACAACTAACTGGCGTTTTTCGGATTTTACATAACGAAATTAAGTCGGAGTACTTCTTATTTGTTATTTTTAAGTTGTTCTAGTTTAATATCATTTATATTATTACTATTTCTCATCAGCCTTTTTAACTCAATACTGTCATAACTAGTATCGTGGTCGCTAGACTTAAAAAATATTTTGGTGGGCGTGTCTTTTATTACAATAAACTCCGTTTAATATTTTGCCCCTCCTCAGCTTGCCGTGTGGACAATATTCTTAAATCTTTTGAAAGTTTCTTGAAGTCAAAAAATTCATTGGGAATTACTAAATAAGGTTGACGTTTTCTGGCGAATCAAAAAACCGGATAGAGTTATGAGGGTTCAAAAAGATCTCCAACTCCCGTTATCGCAGTATGAATTGCACTGTGAGCAGATTCTCCCTCACTTTGGCCATGATTTCACCACTGAGGAGCGTATAGTAACAAGGATTATTGGACACTAAGGGACTTATCTTCATTTAGGTCTCTTCATGGGAATCATAAATTTACCTTTGCAGATACGACACCCAGGGGCTAACGGTGTGTTGCCCACACTAATAGAAATATAGTTATGCTTCTTCGTCAGATTAACCAGCATGGAATAATACACCTACTATATATATGCGGGTTATCTTAATTTTTGGTATTTTGTCAGTTAGAACACTTCGTGAGAAAGGCGACGATATGTTTACCCAGGATTATTGAAAACATAAATACTTATTAATATTTATAAAAGAGATCCAAGTGATTTACCAGAAAATTATAGACTCATAAGTTTAATTGCAAGCAATAATAATAGAAAAATAGACCAAATTAGATTAAGAGACTTTCTAAAAACCAACAAAATTATCGTAACAACCAATTTAGATTCTAAAAAAAATACTGTGACGAATCATACTGTCGGCGCCATCTGTTGGGCGAATCTCCTACTCGCTAGAGCTTCATGGCCGATCGATGCTTTTACGCGAATCACGACCGCTTCAGCCATCTGGCGGCTGTGACAGTGGATCGCCTTCTAGATCGCCGCGAAGTGATCTCCAACAATAGCTGGAGGAAAGAGAGTGCGACACGGCCGGAAGGAAAGCAGAATTACAGGAGCGGCTTGGTCAAGCACTGATTGAGGAAGATCAGGACCCGGATAATTTCATTTTTACCGGTGCAGGGGTTATTGGTTTAATGCTGCAAAACCTTTTGACCAAGTTAGAAAACAATTGTGCCAACCTAGAAGGAAAACTCTTGGAGTTAACGAAAGTACAGCCAAATTAGAAGAAAAGTTTTTGGAAAATACTGCCAATTTAAAAAAAGAATTGGAAGATAAAATTATAGAAAAATCTTGCGAGTTGGAAAAACGGATTGTAGAAACTTTGGAGGGCAGAATTCAAGAAGTGCAAGGCAAGTTTGCCGCTTTAGACGACAAGACCATCGACGAACGACAGCGTGGACTTCCGTTGGAAAAATCTAGTGAGGTTGGAGCTTCTGTTGGGTCAGCTGGTCATCTGCGAATGAAACCGCCTCAATTTGATGGTACAACACCTTAGAATGTCTACCGACGTCAGTTTGAGGCAGCCGCGAATGCAAATGGTTGGTCATCGAAAAGGCAACTGCACGGCTACCTCCTGGACAGAGTGTGGATTGTTACTTCTTCAAGAACTCTTACTGTAAGAGAGGGCCGTCGTGCCGATATCAACATCCACCGTCAGTAAGATCATTCCGGGACGGAATGACTTTAGGGAGAGAATCATACTGTCGGCGCTATCTGTTGGGCGAGTCTCGTACTCGCTAGAGCTTCATGGCCGATCGATGCTTTTACGCGAATCACGACCGCATCAGCCATCTGGCGGCGGCTGTGAGGACCGTGACAGTAGATCGCCGCGAAGTGATCTCCAACATTCTAAATACCGCTTTGTGGTCTTTTCTCGCAGCGGTAATTGAACTATGTACCTGTATAACTCGGCGGCCGGGAGATGGGGCAGAGAGTACGGAATACGGTAGAGTAGAGCAGAGTGAAGTGTCCAGTCAGTGGTGCGACGTAAGAATTAGTTAGACATAAATAGTGGTGTATATAAATGTTTTATCCAGTAAAATAAATTAGTGCATTTCTTTTTGTGAAATCCAGTGTTTTAATCCACACCCAAAAGAACACAGAAAAACGCTACAATACCATGGATGCTGTTTACACATTACTCCAACAGTTATGTTCAAATTTTAACGATAAACAAATTTCAATAGCTGTTTTTGCGACTTTTCTAAAGCTTTTGACTGGGTAAATCATGATATAGTATTAAAAAAATAAATATGGTTGTACTGGAATTTCTCCCAAGTGATTGAAATCATATTTAAATAATCGATCCCAAATTGTAAAACTTTCAAAACATATTTCAAATAAATGAAATATAAACGCAGAGGTACCTCAAAGATCAGTATTAGTTCCTTTCCTATTCTTAGTCTATATCAAGGATTTATTAAACCTAAGCATAAATGGTAAATTCGTAGTTTTTGCTGATGATACCAGAAAACTTTGGCAAACCAAAGATATCGATCAAAAAGTAGTGTTACAGCAATTACTTGACTTTCGATGTCAATAAGACAGAATGTATGGCATTTAAAAGCTCTCTTGGTTTTATATATTTAAATAATGAATTGATACCTAAAACAGACCCCATCAAATTTTTGGGTCTGACCATCGATCATAAATTAGAATTCACTAATCATGTAGACAATTCGCTTACTCAACTAGCAAAGATTTCTTTCATTATAAGAACAATTAGTTACAACGTAGGGAAAATCACAGCCTTATGCAGTTACTTTGCCTTATTCGAAAGTAGATTGAGATATGGCATTCCTTTTGGCGTGTCTTTTCCCAAAATTGTTCAAAAAAGGTGCTTATTGTACATGCAGGCTTTTATTTGTAATTCTTAAAATAATGACTTTCGTATCACTGTTCATTTTAGCAACTCTTATTTTTAAAAATAAATCTAAATTTCAAACATTAAATATAAGTTACAAAATTAGCCGAAAAAAAAATCTCAAATTAGTAGTACCTAAGGGCCGTATCGTCAGTCGTTCCTACAATTGTAGGACGCCTTTATGGCCTACTTGATTTTCATGGTCTTTTCTATCCTGCAGAAAGGGTGGAATATTTCTAGAGTTCCACTATTCCGTGTCAGCGTTAGCGCTCTCTTATTATGAGGCTATGTTTTCGTTTTGAATCGAAGGGAATTTCAGGCTGTATTACCTTAAAAAGGATCTATAATTAAATGAAGCCATCCATACTCCCACTCTGTCAGATAATGTATTTTAAAATCCTATTTAACGTTGTTATTTTTCTTTTCTTAGAAAATCACGTGTGTCTTTTTATTTCTAGTTTAAGTAGTACGTAATTATTCATAAGCTAATGCATACCCGCGTACAAGGCTAGCCTTCTGCGGGTTTTCTACAATGTTTATTGTTCTAAAATATGTCATTTCTAGTTATCTGTTATAGTTTTGACAATAAACATTATTATTATATAAATCAAAATCTTGAGCAATTTGATTCAAATGGATATTTGAAACATAACCTCAAAATAGAGCGCTGACACGGAACAGTAGAAAACCATGGAAATCAAGTAGGCTATAAAGGCGTCCTACAATTATTGTAGGAACGACTGACGATACGGCGCTAAAACAACGCTTTTGAAAGACTCAATATGTAATTTATAATGGTCTGAAAATTTACATGTGTCTGCCTGATGCTATAAAAAGAATCAACAATTTAAAGTTATTCCGCCTTGAACAAAAACGTTTTAATATGTAAACCATATTATATATATACCTTGTGTGAATTCTACAATTCTCCTTCTTAAGATGCATTTATGTAATTATCTTATAGTTTAGTTTTAAGTTAGCTATATAATCAAGAATGATTGTGTTCTTCAGACAATAAAGCATATTTATCTATCTATCTGAGTAACGTGAAAGCGATTGTTCTGTCGTCTCGCTTTCGGATTTGAGTGTTCTCCGATTGGTGTTGCCTTATCTAGACTCTTGTTACGAAGCCCGAAAGCTCTCGAGAAGCATATACGTGAATCGCTTTTCGCTGTGTCATTCCCGGACTCTTGTCTTCTCTGATCGTTGTTGGTCTTATGCCCAAATATAAACTTTGTTGAGACTGATGAAGAAAATGATACCATATTGATGGGCTGGATGTAGATATTTCAATTTTATGGTTATCGGATAGTGTAGGTAGTATACCACTTATACAGAACTTAACAGGTACAACATTTTTTGAATAAAATGCATTGAACACTTCTCTAAGCACGACCACTATGTACCTTAGCGTTTTAATGTACATTATGATTATCTTGATTATCGAATTATTTGTTGGAATTTTAACAATACACATTTCACGAAACAGCAATTACCAAAAGAAAGTTACTTAACTATGTGTCAAAATAAATTGTTCATCTGTTTTCATCGCCTATATTAATCATACATAACTTGCTGTGAAAGACTTTCAGTGTAGTCTGTAATGTTTTCTACATAAATTAGAGTGATTAAGTATTTTTAATGAATATTACGGAGGATGAAAAACGGTATATTCCTGTAACTTTGGGAATGTATTGATAAATCACTCCTATATGGAAAAGTCTTGGAACAACCTTGTCTTCTAGAGAGTATAAAGGCAGGGCTACACCTTGATTGACACGTTTCGGTTATATAATTTTATCACTCGCTAAATCATTGTTCATATGACAGTTGCAATTGCAAAACTCACATGGTGTTTTCGTTATCCATGGAAGAATGACTCGGCGTCGTTTTGCTGTTATTTAATTAAACCACTGCAACCCACATTTCACTAGCAGGGTTTGTCGGATGCAGAATCATAGGATATAGAGTATACTTTGGAAATATGTTACGGAAGAAATATGACCGAGTATAAAAATCGCATTTTGCTGATTGTCTGTGCATCAACGGGTATGTGTACAGGCTCAGTGGATCATTGTATCGGATGTGTGGAATATTACTTCTGTATATGCTGTCCATGAGTCGGAAAGGATTCAATATGGGTTAGTAAAGCAGGTGCCATCCTGGAGCAGTACAGGAAGTACAAGCCAAATGCCACTGGCGCTATAGCTCTTATAGCTAGTATATAATACCGAGAAATTGTAATATGATAGTTAAGAGTAAAATTATAGTAAAGTAGTTCTCCTCGCTGCGATGCTCATCACCAGACTAACATCGCCACCCGACCCATAAGTAATGTCCAGACACCTCTACAAACCTGCGGTGTATCACCTAGTCTATAAATTTTTAGTTGGCGAGACTTATTCTAGAGTTTTTTAATGTTTACGAACATTTCTTGGAGTGCTTTTGCATTCTAAATATTGTTAGTATCGTAAAAATTTACTGCTGAAGTTTGAACTATTCACATGCCTTCTGATTCTGGTGTTGGAGGTGCAACAGTAAAATAATAATAATAATCTTTATTTGTTCTGTAGATCATTTGTCATGACATAGAACACGTCAAGGTACTCTATCTGGAAACTAAGAAAAGCATTACCAAAATAGATAAAAACGAAAACAATACACATATGAAATATATGACAGTCACAAAAGTGTAATTCGAGGCGATGCAATTGAAAGAAGTCAGTAATTGGACAAATGAACGGCGTCAACATGAAACACAATTGAAACAAACGGAATGTAAGGTTACGTTTCGTCCACGTCCGAAATATACGACGGCACGTGGATATTGCTCCCGCTAGGAAGCGCTTGTGCGGTTGGAGGTCTAGCTGTTCATATGTATCTATATGTACCTGTATATATTTAGTTATAGCTTTCCATACTACCCTCTATTGAAAGTTGCATGTTTCCCTAACAAAATGATGTCGACACATCTACCAATTATTCAGTAAAGTGCGACTAAGAAAGGAACAATGTGTCATTGTAGTGCGCTGATTAGTCGAGTGTTGCAGACAGCTGAACTGCTTCAATATGACCGTGCCTTAAGAATCGCAAATACCTAACAAGTATATCGAACGTTAACGTTTTCTACTAACACATCTTTTTGATTCCAGGACGATACTGCGTCGAATATCCAGCAAGCAAAAACTAGCCGCCACTCTTCTCCCAATCCGTAGCGTGGGCGTGCAAGGCGATAGGAGATCGTACAGTTACGCCACAGGCATATCCAGCGAGTTCGAACCCGATTGGGACGACCTGATGTTCCTCGCCCGGTTGATCCCCAGGATATGCCGTAACGTAAACAGGGTCTGCTACGTGTTCGGGGGCATCATCAAGGAGCCGTTACCGGATGTGACGCCCACCTACCTCACCAGGAATGTCCTGGCTACGTTGAGGCAGTGTGATGATGTTGCCACGACGGTGAGTCAAGAATCAGTTTCAGAGATGTTCCTTGAGGTTTGAGTAGCGTTTGAGGAAAAACGTCTTCTTGAAAACAATGAACCAATAACACGCTTCCTTGAGGAACGTTCAAGGAAGGATTTAACATTTTCATTTTGCAGTAGGCTCTAACATCTGGCATCACAAACTGTCATCGATGTTTTTGTTTGTTGACGATTATGATTAATGCTACTATGACAAGTTTGTATAATTATTGTTTACACATTTTTTTAATCAATTTTCTGTAACTTTAAATTCTTGTTCGTTAAAACTAGATCACTATGCATTTCGAGTATCCATACAGTGATTTTTTAATTTCACCTTAAACATTTTCTAAATCGAACATTGTTTAACCATCATTCAATTTGTTGAATTCGAATACTGCCTTTTGCAGATGAAAATCTATACTGTCTCTAGTTTCGTAGTCATGATTAATGGCTATTTAATTTTGTGAAGTTTTCAATTTTTTTTTAATTTAAATATAAAAATGAGATCTAAATAACATATGAAATTGTTTACATTCAACCACTGTAGTTCTTCATACATAGACTTAATCCTAGCATATTTGTTTTTATTTAAAATGATTCTCATAGCTTTATTTTGTAATTTTGAAAATGTTTTCACTTGCTGTAAACAAGATGGTTGAAAAATATAAAAAATGGGGTAGAATTATAGTGTTATACACAATTTTTTTGGTGGTGAAAGACTGGAGAAGAACTATAAATGAGAAAGAATGTATTGTAACAGTATTTTTGGAATTCAAAAGGACTTTTGAGACTATAGACAGGGAAAAATTGTTAGAGAAATTGCATCAGTATCGTTTTAAACGATCAGTATTAAACATTTTACAAAATTATTTAGTAATTAGAAGTCAAAAAACTAAAGTTGGAAATATGTCAAGCGTTCATAATACATATATCAGTAGGGGTGTCACAGGGGAGTAAATTAGGGCCGCTACTATTTATTATTTATATAGATGATATCTCTGACATTTTAGACCAGTGCACAATTTAAATATTTTCGGACGATACATTGATATATATATATATATATATATATATAGCACATAAGCATTTGGACACTGCTTTAGAACTGTTAAAAAGTGATATTAAAAAAATTATGAATTAGTCAATAAACTTGAATTGAACACCAGTAAAACAAAATGTATGTCAAAAGGGGAACATTTAGGTGACAATACAATTATGCTCATGATTAATGATGAAAAAATTGAAGAAGTCGAATCATTTAAGTATCTGGGTATATATATGGATAGTAAACTACTGTTTCACGAGCATTATGCATTCATTATTTCAAAAATATCAAAAAAGATAAAATACTTCTATAGAGTTACCCATAATCTTAGTATGTGTTCCAAAAAATTGTGTATGACACTATATATAATTCTTCCCCAATGTTTATATTGTTCAATCATCTTGTTTACAGCATATTTTCAAGAATTCTACAAAATAAAGCTATGAGAATCACTTTAAATAAAAACAAACATGCTAGGATTAAGACTATGTGAGAAGAACTACAGTGGTTGAATGTGAAAAATTTCATATGTTATTTAGTTCTCATTTTCATATTCAAATTAAAAAGTTATTTATTACCACCACATTTAGAAAACTTCTCAAAATTAAATAGTCATTATCATAAGTACGAAACTAGAGGCAGTATAGATTTTCATCTGCAAAATTGTAATAGTCGATAGAATAACTAGCAAATCTGCATTTCAAAAGGGAGTATTTGGATTTAATAAATTGAATAATGATATTAACAGTGTTCGAATTTAAAAATGTTTAAGGTGAACTTAAAAAATTACTTTAAGAATACTCAAAATACATAGTGATGTAATTTTAATAGACAGGAATGTAAAATTACAGAAAATGGATTGAAGAAAAATGTGTAAGTGAATAAGTATAGAAAATTGACTTTGTAGCATTAATGCTAAATAAATCTTCGACAAACAAAAACAAACAACATTTTTTATAAAAGTAATTTTTTCTTATCAGTAAGGTTCATACTGCAACATACGCATATTTGCTATTATATTATTTCCTTAGCTGTTACAAAAGTGTTCTACTAACCTTTGTTTGACATTGTTTTTTCAGTTGCTTGCTTGTCCTCTTGAATGTATTGGTCTCATTATAGGTTTTTGCAATTTCCTCCCAAGTATTGCTTTTTTAATTTATTTTCAATAATCCCTTTTCATTTATTTAATATTTCAAAGTCATCTCTTATTCGCTAAATTTCTTTTTACTTTCAGAGTAACACATTATAAGTCGTCCAAACACAGTTGATGTAAATTAAGGACTAAAATATTTGAAAGCGAGCTTTACAACTAGTGAAGCACTTTGTTGCAATCGTGGTTGGCGACACTCAATTCAATTCGCTGATTGTGACTTAGCTATTCTCTTTAAAATCCAGAAAGCAAACATTTTGGTTGATATAGATGAAGTGAGCCGTTATTTGAAAAAAGTGAATCTTCCTTAAATAACCTTTTTTGCGATTTTCCACAATTACTAGTGATCAAAGATGCTGTATAATCTAAATTTTCAATACATTTTTTATTTGCAGGTATTACAGAACAGTGGCCACTTAAACTCAGTAAGTCAAATGGGGGTGATTCTAATTCCTCTACACTTTGATAGGGATCAGGCACTCAGAATTCCTTCGTGTCAAAGGTCGATCGTCTTGAGGCCGTTTTGTACGCAAGATTTCATGACCGGAATGCCGGCCATTCCAGGAAAAGAGTTGCCTATCGATGTAAGTTATTCATTTTTTATTTCTGTACAGTTGCTTTTGATAGTACAGTTGAAATTAAATGACTGTTAAGTTTTTTCGTGAATTTTTGTTACTTTTGCACAAGTTTTTTTTTAAGAATGGCAATGTTTCTATAGCGGAGTATATCGAAAAAGATATTGAAAATCTCCTTTAAACATTATCCCGCAAAAACCTTATAAAATTAGCATTATCACACAACAAAGTTCAGGGAGTGTTGAAAGTAGAGCAGTTTTGTGTTTAGAAAAATTATTCAAACATAATGGGTCAGTGCCTATAAGCCAGTTTTATGAATCATTTGTTTGTTAGAACATTTATTTGACAACATATAGAGCCCAAAGAAGTATCTGGGCCCATAAGCAATGCTTTCTTGCTTGAAAATAACTCAAAGGCCCACCGGTCAGTCTTAATGAAAATTCGACTAGTGATAATCCATGTTTTTCTGAACCAATGTTCTAATGGGCAGAAACCCCTGAAATACTTTTTATTGGAGATACAGGGTATCAAAGATTGGTGCTTTAACCCCTGTGAGTACACATGATTTCACCATTTTACGAAAATTAACTCGTCTCTAATGTACGCAGGAAACTTAACAATATAATAAAAACACTTAAATTTGTCTGACGGCTTGAGTTCAATGTAGTAGTAGTAGTAGTAGTAGTAGAAAGATTTATTTAGCACATTTGGCTACATAAACAGAATAATTGTAAACAACTTAGAACTAGTAAATTCAAGCCATATGGTGTATGATGTAAATGCTGGGCAACCTATAATTGTAGATTTAACAAGTGATTTCTCAATTTTACTTTAAATTTTGTCAAAGTTTTCTGGTCTTTTATCTCCGAGTATAATTTATTATATTCAATCAACCCTTGATGGAATACAGATTTGTAGCATATGTTATGTGTACGAGAGAGAAGTATGTATAGACACATACATATGTTAGAAAGAGATACAAGCCGCCTGGATGGCGAAGTTCATTACCGCGGTGCCTAGCAACGCAGATACGGAAATCTGCCGCGTTGCCAACATGTTACACCAGTTCCTTGAATTAAGATGCATATTGAAAATATGGGTTAGTTTATTCTTTACGCCCAAATAATGATTTTAATTTGAGTGTACACATTTTTGAATTGTGAATTGTTTCGAATCTGTTTAACATTGATTCCCGATCGGACCTACGGCTCTCCATTATAGGTCGAAATGGAAGGTCAGGATCGCCACAAATTCTGCAACATTGCATCATTTGTTCGTTTGATAACACCTCTTGTACATTTCAATGCAAAGTGTCCACCCCCATGATCATAGTTGAGCGATTTCGGTCAGTACACATCTAGCGTGCGTAGGTGAGTGACGTCCTGCTTCGAAATGGCTTTCACCTTCTATTGCTTAACGTTATTTGTTACATTTTCCAACCGCATCGCTGTCGAAAAATGTGACAAGTAACTCAGGATGTGTTGACTTTATCACCACCGGTGGAAACCAAAGATAATTCTTAAATAAATTAAAACACTTAGGTCTCATCAAAATTGAAATAAATAATTATACCTAATCAAAATATTAAATTAAATGTTCGAACAGACCTTCTTTTTGGGTTTGGCAGTAACCTAACCTATTATAGCAGCCTATGCGAACATTTTCTGGTGTAACATATTGGCAACGCGGCAGATTGCACGACGTTCTGCGTCTCGCGCGTTTCTCTCATACACATTGTACTCAAGCTGTCAGACAAATTTGATTTTCCCTGTATATACCGGGTGTTCCTTAATGATATGCTAATATTTAAGGGCTGGAATCTACATGAAAAATTAATGTTAGTTTGCTTTATAAACTATGGTCCAAAAAGGTTTCCTTACAAAAACTCGGGGTGTTGAAGTTTTACGGAAAAAATTTAAATTAATTAATATTTTCAGAACCGCTTCAGATATTTCACTGATATTTAGCACGTAGTGAAAGTTAATAAAGTTGCATATTTTTCAATGCAAAAATAATTTTTAGCTTTAACAGTGGCGTGCGTACGGGTATTGACTTCGATATTTTTTAAGAAAAAAATGTTACGCCAATGACAAAAAATTATCACAAGCTGCAAATATTCTTTCTCTGAATTCCTCTACAGTGTTAATGAAACTTGTGTACACTAGTGTCTTTTAATAGCCCCACAAAAAGAAATCTAAACTGTTGAGGTCAGGGGACCTTGGTGGCCATTCTTTGGGCCCACCGCGGCCAATCCAACGATTTGGATAAATAGTTTGTAAATAATTACGAACCGCTACACTGAAATGCGCTGGTGCACCATCATGCATGCACCACATATTGTTTCTTATTACTAACGGAACATCATCAAGCAGCAAAGGCAACTGTTGTTGAAGAAAATTGAGGTAAGTCTGACCGCAAGTCGTCCCGGCAAGGAGAATGGGCCAATAAAGTGGTCGCCAATAATTCCTGCCCATACGTTAAACGAAAATTGGTGTTGGAAATGGGTTTCGGTTACGGCATAGGGATTTTCTTCTGCCCACAAATGGTTATTGTGGAAATTCTGAATCGCAATTCTAGAAAAATTAGCTTCGTCCATGAACAGAATCATTGATTCAAATTGCGGATTTTGTGTAATTTTTTGAAGATACCACTGACAAAAGGTCACACGCCTTAGAAAATCAATGGGAAGTAATGCCTCTACTCTTAAAATATGGTAAGGATATAACAAAAAATCCACTAAAATCCTCCAAACTATTTGATGGCAAATATTTAAGTGTCTAGCGATCTTCCTCGTACTCGTTTCAGGATATTCTTCGACTTCGTGCAGCACTTCTTCCTCAATTTTAGGTGTTCTCAAACTTAGAGGTCTACCTTTAGAACACCGACGGGAAGGCCATATACGTAATGCATTTCCGCCATTTCTACATTTGAATAATTCACCATTATTACCAAGATTGAAAAAACTAAATAATGAAAATGATGTCACAGCGAACAGATTTGAATAACAGAGACTTGTCAGATGTCAAAAGCCAGTGACATATTCCAGAGCAACTAGATATTTATTGCTAAATTGCATTCATCAATTATTACATTAATTTTCTCGGACAATAGAACGATTTTTGATTTTTTCCTCAAAAATGGCGCATCGAAGGAAAACAATTCAAGAGCGATCATTTGTTTTAAATTGAACGGGGAATTCAAAAATAATTTTTATTTGGCAAAAAAACACTGGTGTACCATTTTTTTCTTAAAAAATATCGAAGTTAATACCCGTACGCACGCCACTGTTTAACCTAAAAATTATTTTTGCATTGAAAAATATGCAACTTGATTAACTTTCACTACATACTAAATATCAGTGAAATATCTGAAGCGGTTCTGAAGATATTAATTAACTTCCATTTTTTTCCTAAAACATCCAACACCCCGAGTTGTTGTAAGGAAACATTTTTGGACTATAGTTTATAAAGCAAACTAACATTAATTTTTCATGTAGATTCACACCCTTAAATATTCGCATATCATTAAGGAAAACAAAACACCCTGTATATACAGGGTGTTTCACAACTTATCCGACAAATTTTAACCACATATGTACTGTTACGAAAGAAGTTGATTTCTCAAAAAAATGTAATAAAAGTCCTACAGAAATCGAGATAATAAAATAATAACTAATATGCGACACGCTGTTGCATGTGAGACTTCTGGGACTGTTGGGCTAACTGCTTTGTTTTTATTCCCGGATTTTCTTCCACAATATCAAAAATTTCGTCTTCGGCATTTAAAACGCGTTGTAGGCGAACTCGACCCCCATCCACTCCACATCTGGGGCGCAAATCTCCACTAGCACGTGCACGTAAAACAATTGAACTAAATGTTTCTTGATGTGGTATGTGCCTATTCGGAAATCGGTGTGCATACAAACGAGAAGCCGCTCGCGAATTTTTACCTGCTTCTCCGTACGCTAAAAATATGTCCACTAACTCCTCATTAGTGTACATATATGCCTTTTTATTAATAAATAACTAAAAACATAAACTCGCAAAATACGTTCTTATTTGACTTCACAAATATCGACCGTTCTTCATTCAGATTACCCACGATACAGATTAAACCTTATTTACACGTTCTTATCAGCATAAAAAAAAACAAAAAATTCCTGGTATTTTGTTTTCGTCAGTTGTTTGGTACATTTGCTACAATAAATTCTCAATGCGTGTTCTAATATCACGACGATGAACGCAAAATACAGATATTTATTTTTCAATTTATTATTGAAACTCAGGTTTATAACTTAATTCGGTAGGGATTTTATTACATGTTTTGTGAAATCAGCTTCTTTCGTAACAGTGCATATATGGTTAAAATTTGTCGGATAAGTTGTGAAACCCCCTGTATACATATGTTATGTACATAACTCTTTACGCTATTTTATAAGGGGTGAAAACAACCTCAAATTCCCAAAATCATTATAGAGGAGAATCGCTATCATGAATAATTCATAACGCAAAAATGCTTGTTGGCAATACATAAAAATGATCATCCTTAGCCATCATAAAATGAATTTTTCTTTAACTATCCATAGCTAAAAATCGACAGCGTCCCGATATCCCTTAGTCCGACCTTTATACTTTTAAAGCCTGGCCAAGTCCGGGTCAAAGTTTGGCACGCATGCGGCCTCACCATTATCCGCCAGAAATGTCCTACATCCCCATTTACGTATTACCAAAGAGCCGTTCATTTCGGCTGGTCGGAGTACAGATCACCGAGGACTTGATCTGGCAACCTCAATCATGAATTCCGTTGTCTAATAATAATATAATTTAATTTCAGGTGGTACAAAAGATGGTTCAAGAAGTAGTTCAAGTACCGGGTATATCTAGGGTATTGTACGACCTGACATCAAAACCTCCTGGAACGACTGAATGGGAATGATGCGGCGGTACCACCAAAAATGGACGCTTTGTGTAAATTATTAACAGAGAATTTGTTAGATCGGACTCACGAGGAGAGTTCTTGTTTCATTAATATTCTGTTTGATACTACTGTTACACAACGCTAGCATGTGGCGTTTCAAAGAGTAATTTTTTTATTGTCAATAAAAGTCATTATTTATTGGTAAATTAATATTTGCACTTTACGGCTCAAATGTTGATATGTATACAGAAAAGACGTACTTGCAAAAATAATATTGTTATCATTTGTACCGTTTTACCTACGTTATTATGAAATAGGTTCCCTTAATAAAGTACATTTATTTGTAGCTCTTATCTTTCACTAGCTTTCTGTCCCGCGGAACATGTAGGTGGCGCCATTAATAAATTAACCAAATTTCCCAAGCATGCAAATTGGCTGTCAGTTTACTAATGCCATCAAATATACAAAACGTGATCGGAGTTTTTTTTTGTTTTTTACCATTGGTATTCGTACGCCACTGATTTCTCATAAAATACAAATTATTGAAATCACCAGTTATTTCAAAACAAATTTGATCACTTGATCGGATGCACATTTTCGCTTAAAAAAATGAGAACCGTTTCCCTGCATGATCGTAACAATCTCCATGTAGAGAAAAGGATTTTATTATTTAAGTGAAAACCGTGCACCGGACTAAAAAAAATCAGGAAATCAAATTTGCTCATAAATGAATACAAATTTACATTTTTCTTTTATTTTAAAAAAAGTCAGTGGCATGCCAAATTATTTATTTTTTAAAACTTTACCATTCTGTATCTCAAGAGTTAAGGCGTTTAGGGCATACGTTTATACGAAGTTGTCTTCTTACGTAGAAAATTCTGCTTGGCTGTGTCAATGTATGACATATTATACATTTTTGGAATCAGAATTAAAAACTCCATTCATATGTGCAAAAATCCAAAATGACGCCAATAAGAAAAAATAAAGTTGATGCTGTAGGACAACAGACGAAATATGACATTCAAATTCTAATTATAACATCTTGTAGAGGAAAGAAGTGGTAATATTAAGGTGCAATTTATTTTGAAATCACACCTCAACTAAATTCAGGAAAAAATTAAAACGACTTTGGGAAAATTCGGTTTTTTCCGTCTCTCTCCAAAAGTACTTTGAATTTCGAAACTTTCTAGGCGGCATTTTGTTGATTATCTAAATACGCAACTTTGCCCCCATTTAAGCTACTTTGTATCTCTTACAGTTTCCGATATTTCAATGGTGGGGGTCGAATTTGAAACACCCCGTATAAACTAGCATTATAACAGCAACTGTTACTGTGTAAAATTTGTGCTAAAGCATATAGTCTAATCATATTAGCAAATTTCCTCGAAATAATTGTAAAGTCTGGCTTTAGGTATTCATGAGACCTACAAAATTAGACCACACGCAAAAAGATCCGACTAATAGCAAAAAAGTTATGGCCGAAAAACGAGACAAAATGCAGGTTTTGGCACTTCTTGCTAATACGACGGTAATTTCCTGAAAGTACTTGAGGTAAGAATTCTCAAAAACTACTTGACCAATCTACTCCAATTTTGTTGTGGTTATTTAGAAGTACGAATTTGAAGAATTTCAAGTATCTGCGAGAAACTATCGTCGCGTTACCAACAAGTGCCAAAACCTGCAGTTTGCATAGGTTTTCGGCATCTTTTTACGTGTGCTCTCATTTTGTAGTTCCATAAATACCTAAAATTGTTATATGAAGAGTTTGTTGCTTCCTGCCAACAGTTTCGATTGAATCCCAAACAACACGCTTTCTCATTATTTGTTGTCGAATAAAAAGTTTTCCACAAAAATTGATGTACCCATTTTATGCGTCCATGTTTTAAATACCCCCTTGCACAACTTGCAGCAATAAAACCAGAAATTACAATTATTTCGCAAACCAGAGGTATTTTCGTCTTATATGATTAGAATAATATTTCAAACACATTTACGCCGCGTTAAAAGCAACACGAGCACTTTTCAAGGAGCATTGGCGCAACCACTGTAAAGTAGGCAACCCGTACAGCATGAGTTCTGTTTTGAATGCTCTTGACCCCAAATAACCCCTGTGCCAAAAAAATAACATCCTTTAGGGCTATATATAACACGTTTCCATAGCTACGCATCTGTATAATCAATTTGCTCCGTCAAGCACGTGTCATTATTTTGACGTTCATTAATTCGCAATTTTCATTGTTCTTCGCGTAAATATTTTATATTCACCAAAATGTCCGTAATCTTGATGACGAATCACGACGAGAACATCTACAATATTACGAAAACACAGGATTTGAAGAAAATGATGGCTCCAGCCTATAAGTCCAAGTTCAGGGATAAACACAGGCAGATAAAGCAGTACAAACAGTGCGTAAAGCTACACGATACCATGGGTGTTTCCGAGGAGGAGCCCCCAGATCCTACAAACTATCTAAAGAAACATACAGGTAAATCATTTCACTTCATTATATTTTCGATACCATGGAAAATATATAGAAACCGTAATTCCCAATCTGTACATTCCTACCATTATTGTTTCTAGGAAAACCATCGTACACCATCTGTCAGCCAATAAAAGAGCCAAAATTATGTCGCTTCCGTCTAAAGGATCCCCTTCCAGATCTCAAAAATCTCGAAGGACCCACAGACCATCCCCCGAAAAACTTCGTCGTCGAAAACATAAAAGCCGCCAAAAGCATGAAAGCCAAGGACCCTGATCCCAGAACGGTGATTGACAATCGCGGTAGGAGCATTGAAATGCACAAAGCGGGATTGGAACCAGTCTACATCAAGGCGAAAAAGTTTGGCAGGACGCCAAAGTATTTGGAGAGGTTCATGGCTATTAGGGAGGCAGAGTATCAGAAGAAGAAGGATTCTACTGGAGTACAACAGCCGTTGTGTCGGTACATCACCAGGGATCAAAGGGAAAAGCTTCTCAACGTAAGCTTTAATTTTCCCCTGAAGATGTTAAACTATTACCTACGCCATAAACATGTAACACACCTAGTCGCAACAAAATCGAACTGTACGTGGATCGTACTTAGATTCGATACTGAACGACCGAATACGGCAAAAGCTGAGATTTATCAATTTTCTTGCTAAATATTTCAAACTCGGTTGATTACATTCCATTTCTACAGTAACGTTATACTGCTGCTCAAGTTGTATACTCAGTCTTGAACATTTCTTTAATTGATTTCCTTCACGATTGGAAACAATTCGGGAAAACGTTAATGCGGTAGAAACCTCGGATTTACAAAATTCCATTCCAAATAGTTCCAAAGCCTTCACTGCTTTATATGATCAGTTTTTAACCGTTTCTAGAAAATTGTTTACCTGAGGAAATTATTATCTCAGGAACCAAACGGTACATTTCCTTCAAATTTCATGTGCTAATAAAATACCTTTGCACCACTGTTTAATTCATTGTACCTGAATATTGTCAACCATGTACTGTAACCCGCGTCCAAAAGGGGATCTGAAAGATACTGCTAGCGTCATGTGTGAAACAGTAAGGCAACTCAAAAATCTACTTTGAAAAGATTCTTCTACCTCATAGATGGCGTTAGGCAGGAGTATTACGTATCTTGAAAAGTGACATGAAGTTGGTTTTTGTGTGACTTGTAGGTTTTTCTACAAGATGTCAACTTAGCAATATCTGTTGTACACTTGTTGTGTACTCGTTCCGTAGCTGTTCGTGTTGCCTAAACGTCATGATGATTCAACTATCAATGTTTGGATCTGATATGATGTAACATCGTCTGCTTCAGAGATGACATTATTGGAGGTGGTGTAAGTTATATACTATATCTGGAAGGAAGGGAGGGGTAGTGCATAGTGACGATTTGTGTGGTAATAATCTGTGTTGATAATTCCATTTCTTGTCTTAAACACGTTTACTTGAGATGTATGCTTCATCCCGGAAATTACATATGCAAATTTGCTTAATTTAAAAAATGAGAGAGATAAAAAAAGAAAATCTTTGGTTGGCGAAGTATATTATAACTAACAGGCAAGAAAATAGGCGACAAACAGGAATATTTATGAAGCGTGAAAAGGTTATTACATTTTACATTATTTTTTATTTCCAGTCATGCGATGTCAAGTAAAAATACAACTAATCGACTAGATGGTAGGCACTGAAATGTTTTGTGTGTGATCAGGCTCGTTTTCAGGGTAGAGCGAGTGGCCTAGCGCTAACAAATAAGTAAATATTTTTTTTTTAATGAAAGTTATATAATAATGTACAAATATACGTGCCTAAAATATATGTCTGATTACTCTCGCAATGTCGCAATATGTTGAATTGTTGATTAATTACAAAACCCACGAAAGAGATAATTGTGTCCAAAAGAATGCAAAACATCGTTTGATAGTGGCGGGGGGAGGGGGGGGGGTCCGGGGTGACAGCCCTCCAAACCCTGCGGATGCCGGTGGGTAACACATGCGTGCAGGCGCGTTGCGTTGTTACTTCAAGGGCTAGTTCAGCTTTTTTTGTTTCAGAAATTTACGAGTTGAAGATTTTGTAGCGACCACATTGGTAGCAAGAGAACTTAGCGAAACTCTGGGTGTAGAGCCAAAGTTCAAAGAAGTCAGACAGAAAGAAAAGATTAATGTCTGAATTCGAGGGAGATTTTTAATTTAATTTTCTGCTTCTGTCTCATATATGACACTAGTATTTTTCAGCTCTCTTTTTTGGAAGCCAGATTGCAATATCTGTTTGGCTATCTTCAGGTAGAATACGTTAATCAATGCTAGAACATACAATTCCAGACATTGATATAAATTGTGACCAAACATAACCACCACCTTAAAACATCAGACCGGCGCGAGTTGTAACTCAAGGTTAACTTAAGTTGCTAGCGGTAAAGTTGAATTGCTTGTTAATAGTTGGTTCATTGGGTTGTCTTAGCAAAGTTTCTCTAAAAAGACGGAACGCGGCTATTTATCGATTCATAGTCCAAATACTTTTTAAATAAACCTTCTGTATTGTCTACAAATTATGACCAACGGTTGAGTACGGATGATATTTTTTTTGCAGGGTTTGAAGCAAAACTGGGAAGAGCTTCAGAAAATCTATCAAGGTCTACCGATCTTAACAGATACAATACCAAAGAAGTTTCGCAAGTCAAAACTTGAAGCTGAGCTAAAGCAGCTCGAAAAAGATATCGTGTTTATTGAGAGGCATCCGTATATCTACGTTTATAAAGATAATGAATTCAATCTATAATAAGCTGTTAAATGTAGGACGTTAATAAAATATACATATTTACGCTGTAATAATGCACAATTTGTTGTCAAAATAAGTATACGCCGGTAAAATAAAAATAATATGCCATAAGATGTAAGGGTATTTCTGTAATACATTTCACAAAGTTCTGCAAAAAAATTGATTGACTGTGTTTTTGAATAAACCGAATGGTGTTGCAATCAGAGACAAAGCTGCACAAGTAATTCTCAGAGCAAATCCTCATTTGAAATGTGGCAACGTTGGATCATCAAGACGGTTTCTTTGGCTTTGACAGCTGTTACGTAGTTGCTATGGAGACCAAAAACAAACTTGAATAATGCTTCCGATAACATGAAATTGCAGATCTAAAACCTACGACATACAAAATTAACAAAGTGCTTAAATATCAGTAGAGTAATTTTATTTTTTTAAAGATCATCGAATTATAATGATCAAGAAATGAACCCTAATCTAAAAGAAAAAGACGATTGTAACGTAAGAGATTCCACAAATATTCCTTCTCATGGTTCTATTCCGAAGTGGTTAGAAGATATTACAGAGTAAGTACAAAAATACCACTTTAGCATTGAAATAATTATGAGTATCATTTGCAGAACGATAGCTAATGAATACTCTACAGAAAAAGCAGCAGATAGTCATCGAGATGAGTTATCGAAACTTACGGATGGACTTTCGATTTTGAAAGGCGATGATGATGCTTCAAGGTAAATGTTAAAGCTTATTCTGTTACGGACTATTTATATTTATTTTGGCATACTTTTTCGATGTGTGCCAATCACGTATTTGCATCTATGATTCATCCAAATTTATTGATTTCTCATCAACTGGAAAAAATAGTTTTTACCTTCATGTTTATTTTCAACGCATAACCTTCATTACCCTAAACCTTGATGGTGATACCATTTTCAATTTTACTTTCCTGTAATGTTATATACATACAGGGTGCGGCAGCATAACTTGTCTTTTTCAAAACCATAAAACCCATTGAATAGAACAGAAGTTTTTTGTTTGTTTTTATATATATATATATATATATATATATATATATATATATATATATATATATATATATACTAAGTGACATATAAATCTATGGATATATGAATATATGGACGATACTCTTATTTCAGCCGGCTCTTTCGAGAAGGATATGATGACATTAGAAAATTGCATGTGATCATTAAAAAAAGGCGGTCTAACTATACTAATTGACATATAAATCCGAACACCCAGTTTAAATGGTTTTATTTTAATAAAAGTTGGTGAATGTATTTATCTTACTGTAAATAACAAGTGAAAAAATTTTCAGCATTATCAGTTGAACATTCCGGTTTTTATACTGCTTTTTTTTTAATTCACTAACGCTATAAAAATGAATATTTCAGCCGCAGTAAAGAATCAACGTTGGCGGATTTTGGTTCTTGACATCCTTTACGATCGGTTACGATGCCTAGAATACGGAGACCTGTACAATTTCGTCAACTTAGTGAGTTTGATAGGGGCCGTATAGTGGGACTTCGGGAAGCTGGACTTTCTTTTCGGGCAATTGCAGTTAGAGTGCAAAGAAGTGTAGACACTGTGGTTAGGTGTTGTCAGGCATGGCTTCGAGAAGGCCGTACGCAAAGAGCAAGGGGCACTGGACGCCGCCGTAGAACAACAGACCGTGAAGATCGCCGCCTAAGATTATTGGCCTTAAGGGACCGTTTCTCCACTACCAGGTCCATTGCAAATGAATGGTTTGCAGAACACGGAAGACCTATTGGTATGCGAAGTGTTTACCGACGAATGAGAAGTTTTGGCTTGTTTTCATACCGGCCACACTGGGTCCTCCCTTTAACTCGAGAACACAGACGTAATCGCCTTGAGTGGTGCAGATAACGGTCACTCTGGGATCAGGAATGGAACAGTATTGTCTTTAGTGACGAGTCTCGATTTTGTTTAGGCATGCACGATGGTCGTGCCAGGGTTAGAAGGCGTCGTGGTGAAAGGAGGAATCCACAGTTTTTTATTGAAAGACATGTTCGTCACACTGTTGGAGTTATGGTTTGGGGTGCTATAGCTTATGGTTTCAGGTCACCTTTAATCTTCATCAGAGGTAACATGAACGCGCAGCGTTATATCCACGAAGTTCTAGAACCCCATCTTTTGCAATATCTTGACACCCTGGCAGATCCAACTTTCCAACAAGATAATGCCCGACCACATGTTGCAAGCGTCACAATAGACTTCTTTCAACATAATGATGTCACATTGTTACCATGGCCACCAAGATCTCCCGACTTATCCCCAATTGAGCACGTGTGGGATATGATGGGTAGGAGATTGCTCAATTTGCAACGTCCTCCTCAGACTCTAGAAGCACTTCGAGAGGAGTTGGTGGTTGCCTGGAATGAGATACCACAGGAGTACATTGACCACCTGATCAGAAGCATGCCTAGGCGCGTTGGAGAATGTGTAGCACATCAGGGTGCATCCACACATTATTAAAGGTCAAAGGGCTTTAAAGCAGTGTAATCATTTTGAAACTTTTATCATTTACTTATTATGCTTCATTAAGTACTTATACAAAATTTTATTAAAATAAAACCATTTAAACTGGGTGTTCGGATTTATATGTCACTTAGTATATAATACACTGAGTAAACCGATTTCTATTGTTTGTCAAGTCTCTTTTACCAGCATAGCAGGCGTTATGTTAGCAATTTCTTCCTGAATGTTGGTCTTAAAATCTTGTAGGGCGCTTGGACGTTTCCACAAGATTTCAAAAAACCCCTTAGACAAAAATCACAAGGGGACAAATCGGGAGAGCTGGTCGGATTGCCCCTAATTGAGATGAGGCGCTCTGGGGAATGTTCCCACAAAACAGCCATCGATGCTCTTGAAGTGTGTGCCATTGCACCATCTTGTTGAAAGCAAATGCTCCCTAAGTCCACCTCATCGAGGTGGGAAAAAATTGTTCACCAGTCCGAATTCACTGTCACTGCGATTTAATTTTCCTAAACGAACCAGGGACCAATAATTCCAGGAAAATGCACACCACACTGTGACTTTACTCGAATGCAAAGGCCTTTGAAGCAATTCTTGAGGATTGGTGTCAGCCCAGTAGGGACTTTGAGAAGACGCTCTCACGCGTCCATCCGAGCTTGTTGCAAGTTTGCGCGCAGAACTTCATGGTGATAGCAACATTGAATCTCCCACTGCCTCATTGTTTATAGTTTATTTTATGTGCCGAGTGACTCCAGTTCTTCGTCTTGTTGCACTTGCAGTTTGTTTGAACGTAGTGACCCACTTAAAAATTGATTTCCTGTCCAGGTTAGGGGCCAACGGGGCTAAATTAAAGCGATTCCGAAAGCCGCTCGAAATTTAGACCTCAATAGCAAAAATGGTAACTGAACTGTATCGGAACAAAACCTCATAGTCCTGTCTCTCGAACGAGACCACTGGAGCTCCGCTACATCACCGACCGAATGGCGCGCATTTTAAAAAAGGAATTTGGTTATGCTGCCGCGCCCGGAACTAAACCAGTCACGAAGGCAAAACCTAAATATTGCGATTGCTAGAAAAAAAATTAGAAATATCGTTGTGAGTCTTAGGAAAATTGTTACACATTCTCGGTTCTCATCCACCCCTCGATCTACGAATCTCGCCCATGCTCAAAACAAAAGGTGAAGCCTGGCAAGTCCATTTAGCAAACCAAACATGTCGTAGAAGTACGAATACAAGGTTGCTACTATGGCATTGTAGTATTTTTAAATTGCTGAAACTTCGATTTTAATGCAGATGCTGTTGATCATTTTTTTAAACTTTTTGTTACTGGTTTCAAATATTGGGGATTGGGAGTGTAAGGGGCGGGTGAGGGTATTTTTGGGCTTTAGAGAGATCGGTGGCTGGGAAGTGGCTAGTGGTGAGGTTAGTCATTGATGTTCGGTACTGTCGGTAATATAGGGAAGAAATTTCTAGATTGCGACGTGTCAAATGGGTGGGTACTATGAACTTATTGTATATGCTTGATTGACTGACTTGATCCATTTATTTTTTTTCTCATATGGGCTAACTTGTGCCCTTCATGAACTGATGACAGTGTTGCGTAGAAAGTGCAGATTTAACCTACTTGACGCCATTTTATTATATTATAATTTGATTTTTCCTTTTAATATTTGTGTAGTTTTCCACTAATTTTTCCAGGGTGCAAAATCTACTATGGAAAAATTGTGTACATAAACACATATCAATAATCTTTATGAGTTTAAAATCATTTTTTATTGCAGGAACAAAAGTCATTCGGCTAGATACGGACGTAGAGCCTCTCTTGCTTCTGAACTCGTTTCCACAGGCAACAACAAAAATGTGAAAGTCTCCGCCGACTACATTCTACCGAAATTTGAAAACTTCAGTTTTGCCTCAGGAGAGCTCAGGCAGTCGGATTTAGAGCGGTCATGGAAGAGTCTAAACGAGTTCAATCAGTCCCACCGAGGCAGGTTGAATTCTGGCTCCAAAAATAATTTATATCAAGAAAATCTTGGTGAGTCTTTTGAATAAAGTACTCACTTTTGGCTTCAAAGTTGTTTTATTGCGAGTATCAGTTGGCGAGTGAGATTTGATCGAAAAGCATGCCTTATGTGTAAATATGGCTTTCAACCACGTCGATAAACACATGGTTCAAATGCAATTCGTATCAAAGATAGTTCATAGAACTTCGGTTGACTATCGACTGCCTGCCACAAATACGCTTAATTCCGATGGCCAATTCTTGAAAATGAGGGAGTAGAATAATCAATAGAATAGTTGTAGGTGATTTTTAGGTTTTTTTTTTGACCGGTCTTGACGACTATCAAATAAGTTTGCTCCTAGGTTTTCCATATCATTAAATGTTCCATCTCAACTTTAACTTCGTATTTAGAGACTAGACTAATGGACGACGACGAGATTCTCGCACTTTTTTCCTATTATTTGTCAAGGGAATAATTCGGTAAGCGACTTTTCTATCAAGGAAACATAAAAAAATACGATTTATCGAAAATTATTAGAACCACGCCCATTTTCTGCTACTCATTCTACTAGACTGTTTTGACGAATTCACCTCGAGAAATCAAGCGTACTACAATATCATTGTTAGATAGTACATATGAAACAATATTTTATGTTTTGAAGTCTACTTATTTTTATACTTAATTTCACTACTATGAATTCTGGTTTTCCATGAAATATTTTTTCATTTCCCTTTCAACATTTTCAAAGTCTTGACAATAATCTCAAATGCCCCCGTGAAATCCAAGAACAATGTCACTGTAAACTTTTGTTCATCCATATTTCACCTCCATTCTTCTACTATTTGAATTGTTGTTTCAGTAGAATATTTTGTTTCGAAACCCTGCTTGACATTTTGTCAATATGTTGTTTTCTTCAATATATATGCAATGATTTGTTCATATATGATTCCTTCTAAGATACTTTTGAGTTAATGTAACATTTGAAAGTTATCCTGTGTTTTTAATGCCGATATGTTTTCTTGACGCAGGAATGCATATGATTTGCTGATTTTTCGTGGTGCTATTTTAAAATTGTAATGGCTTCGCGTGTCTCGGCGTGGTACAGAACCGTTTAGGCTGTTGCTGCAACACACTATATCGTATTGATTTGTACTTTGAAACAGGCAACCGGGGTGATCGAAACGTCAGTAAAGAGTTATTATGATACATGGTTTAATTATGCTACCGTTAGACAACACTAAGTTAATGCCTTTCCCTATTAACGAGCTGTATCAGCTGCGAGTGAACCATAGATTTATCTACTACAGGATTTGTATGTATGTGAAGCAAGTTATGTCTCGACCGTTCTCAAAAATAATGTTTGACCAAATTTCAGATTCTGGTACAAATTCTTTGTCAATACTAGATGACCATTATAGTCCATATAGCAGCTCAATGACTTTGGATCAAGTTCCACCTAGATGCACGAGTCAATTGACGGATTATCTACCCATGTACGTTTACGAAAATATTAAGAAAGCTACGGAAAAAGAATATGAATCAAATGATAATAGAGTATTTAAATCTCATTCGTCCGAAAATATTTATACTCCAGGAGAGTTTGATATAAATTTTGAAAAGAAAATGTACGACTATAAGAAAAAAGTCGAAGAGGAGGAAAATTTACGTGATAATATAATACAGGAGCTACTTTTTGATAACGAAGTGGTCACTAGGCGAAAAAGTTGTGATTTTGCTCAAAGCAATAAAATACTTTCAAGGCATAAAAACAAGCCTTTGTTTGACGATCATACTGCGGATATGGCTAATTCCCCCGACGAATATGCTCAAAAGTTATATAGAAGAAACTCAAAGTACAAAAATAAAAATTCCATACTATCGGAAATCACTTCGAATGAAGACTATGATGATCCCTTCGGTTCCGATTCTGAAATTTTCATCATTCCAAAACTACCACAAGGAAAAGCACTGTTAATAGATATACTAAGTACGTGGGGTGATAAATATTATGTTGGTTTGAATGGGATTGATATATTTGACAGCGATGGACAAATAGTGAAAGTTAAAAACGTAAGTATACATTTTCTATGAGACGGGTTTTTAAGATTTTTTGTCAGTCTCACAGGATCTATTTCTTGCCCTAGCCTCAAAACATGAATAATTCAATTATGCAAATTCGTAGCAAACAAACACTAGCGTCGAACGCGGCTGTTGAAGAAATGGATAGATTCGCTTATTGTTCTAGTTGGGATTCTTATAAACCACAGTCGATTAGAGAGACATCTATCTCTCATGGGAATGTTGGCACAGGATGCAATGTCAATCCATTTTCTAAAGCATACCATCCTTAATGTTATTGTATAATGCAATTTTTCAGATATCTGCTATACCGCCAGACATAAACGTCCTACCAGAGTATAACAATGACCCAAGAGTAGTCAAAAACTTACTGGATGGGGTCAATCGAACTCAAGATGACATGCATATCTGGTTGGCCCCATTTGAGGCTGGTTGTAGTCATATAATTACCATAGAGCTTGCTAAAGTAACCACTATTGCAATGATTAGGATATGGGTAAGAAAATGTGATTTCTCAATTTTATCATATGATTGTTTTTTTGATCCATCTTCCTTATGTCATTTTATTGATTTAGTATTTAACTTCAATGTACATATCGATTTTATACTTTAACAAGATTGCCACGGCAATAGAAACGCCTGTAGTATCTACTTTATCTCTTCAGCATCTGTAATCTATTTATCCTAAAGTATATAATATTCATTGTTCAAGAATTACAACAAGTCGCGGATTCATTCGTACCGAGGAGTGAGAGATATGGTGATGTTCCTGGACAATAGACCGATATTCAAAGGAGAAATCGCCAAAGCTTGTGGTGGCATATTAGGAGGAGTTCACCATTTTGGAGACGTAAGTTCGATTTAAAACATGTACAAGTACAAGTTGTCTGGAAAATTCCGGAACCCCACGATAACTTGTGAACTAATAATTTGACCTTGACCCATGATCTTCAAGGTAATTTGACGATCAATTCGATTTTTTTAAATGGAACGCCCCATTTTTGACCCCGGAAATCAAAAGAGCGGAAAATTTTAGGTTCAATCATGATCTTGGCCGTTCTGGAATTTCGATCTTAGGAGGTCATGGTCAAGGTCAAACTCAGGTACGGTGATTGAAATCCAGAAGTCGCATAGGGAACTACCGAGACATTATTTTCATGATCTTCCCCCGCATATCCAATGGTGACCTCAGTCATGACTGTCAAGGTAATTCAGAAAACTGTGTAATCCCCAGATAAACTGACTACAAAAATCGACTTACGCTTCACATGACCTTGAAGGTCATCATGGTTAAGGTCAGATCCAAGATCACCATTGGATATCCGGGGAAAAATCATGAAAATAATGTCTCGGTTTTCAAGTTATCGTTATCACCGTGTCTGGGTTTGTCTATGACCTCCTATGGTCAAAACTTAAGAATTGTCAAGGCCATATTTAAACGTAAAATGTTCAGCTCTTTTTATTTATGAGGTTAAAAATGGGGGTTTCATTTAAAAAATCGACTTACTCTTCACATGACCTTAAAGGTCATCATGATTGAGGTCAAACCCAAGGTCTCACCATTGAATAGTTGAGGAATCAACTGCGGGGCTCAGTTTTTTCATACCATTATTAGTTCACAAATTATCGTGGAGTTCCGGATCTTTTTCTGTATGTTTTTGCATTTTTATCCATTGGGTGCCAAAGTCAACGCTCTATTACTTTGATAAATTCTCGTGACTGCACTTTTCTAAATATAAAACGCGGCGATTTGTCCAGAGGTTGCCCTAAATTGTACTTTTGAATCAATATTTTATCAACTCACATAAAGTATTTTTTCAGACGATTCTGTTCACAACAGATGAATTCATCCTAGAGAGGATCTCGAAGAACGATACCTCCTTTAGTTGCCTAACTTCAGAACCAAGCTCCCCCATAGAAAGCAACGATCGGCCTCCAACATCTCTCATGAAGTCTGAGGTTTGCAATTACATTGATTTGTTAAAATTATTTTCCTTCATACATTATTTCAGGTCAGACCAACAACAGGAATACCATCAGTAGGTCAAAGGAGCGGGTTGAATACTGTTGAAGGCAATCCAGAACAAATTTTGTTTGGAGCTACTCAAATGGATCTTGTACTTTTGACTAACTGGGGTTTCGATGGGTTGATAGGTTAGGGCATAAGATATTTTATCCATTATATTTTGTGCCGTATTCTTTGCGAATTGACTATGGAATTGTACATTTAATGGGCATTTTTATTCCAGGTTTAACGGGATTTGATGTAATAGAAGGAACTGATTCAATTTTGAAGCTGTCATCAGTTCAAATAAGTTGTAACGCTGAAAATCAGTATTTAGAAAGTCTAATTGATGAAGAAAGTGTTACTACGAACCCAAAAAAGATGTGGTTGACGCAATTTTATAATGACGATCCCGTTATTATTTCCGTCAATTTCGGATCTTTAAAATACATCTCGGGTAATGTGATTTGAGTCAATTTACTTGGTCCCGTATTTATTTCTTCCGATTCTTTATTCTTTCACATTCTTTCCACTGAGTTTCCAGACTTCATATAAAACTTGACATACTAATCAAAGGACCCATAGACGGTATTGTAAGTTGAAAACTAAATTTGTCTGACGGCTTGAGTTCAATGTGTACGAGAGAGAAGCGCGAGAAGTGTGTATCAACACATGTTAGAAAGAGATAGAAGCCGGCTGAAGAACGAAGGTCATCACCACATTGCCTAGCAACGGTGAACCAGAAGGGCGTGCAATCTGCTGCGTTGCTAATATGTTTCACCAGAAAATGTTCGCTCGTTCTTCTACAATAGGATAGGTTACTTTCAAATCCAAGAAGGAAGTCTGTTCGAACATTTGATTTAAAATTTTGTTTCTATTTTTATTAAATTTATTTCGATTTTGATGCGCCTTAGTGTTTAAATTTATTTTAGAATATACACTTCTCAGAGTACGTATTTTCACGATTTTTCGCATGTACAACTATAGGAAATACTTTCATACATCCGTCTCTCTCTCCCTTGCATATGAAATCGGCCTCTATGCGTGGACGTTTCTGTAAACTCAAATAATAATAAATAGTTTTGTCTCGCCTCCATGAACATTTTTTCGTTAACGTACGAGTCTTCCACATTTATGTTTGTCATTTTCAGTATGACAAGTTGGTTGTCACGGGCATGTGATTTGTGTTAATCCATGTTGATTTGCGATATAAAACATATTAGTGCCTGAAGATTCAACTACAACGTCGACAGTCTGTATTAGACGTATTTTCAGAAACTGAGTGAAAACAACGATTTTCTGTCGTCCAGTTCATATATGTATGCAAGAGCGAGTAGCAACTGCATTATGGTACCAGTAGTTAATCTGTTTACTCATATAGTAAACGTGAACGTGACGTAACCTGCAAAAACCCTGAAAGAAATAGACGTCAACGTCAGGTAGTCAGAGCAGTATTTTACTTTGGTTTTTTGTACGCTACAGATTCATTTTGTACTTGCTAACAGCTCTTTTATTTAGAAAGGTTCAAAAAACAAAACGCTACAAACAATTTTTACTAGATTTACACCGGATTTATTATTGCCAACATCGCAGACTAACACAAAAATGTCACTTGCTGATCGGCTGTTCAGCTCAGTATGGTATATATGATTTTTACTTTTTTCTAGGTATACGGATATGGAACTACAACGAAAATCTCCAATTATCCTACGCAGGTATTCAGACCATGAACATACTTCTAGACGGAAAAACTGTCATCAATCCCATTAACAAGTCGGAGCTGTACGTTTTGAGACGGGCACCTGGCAATGAACACTACGATTTTGTACAGGAGATTAGCTTTTCCTTATCGCATGGGAGAAACCCGCCCATGCATTCCGAAATTGAGAGTTCCCATAGTATCGTAGGATTCGTCATTCAGATTGTCGTTTATTCCACATGGGGTGATAAATATTATTGTGGGCTGAATGGGATTCAATTATTTGATGAGAACGATCGACAGATTATTTTGGAAGAACAGAGTAAGTAGAATATTCCTTCAACTGTTATAAAAATGTAGTAAGCTTGAAGACATTCGGAGGCTGTTCTAATTGGTTCATCCAGGAGGTATTGTAGCTTAAGTAGAGGTAAATGCGAATTAACTATGTGGTGTTGGAACTCAATTGACATAATGGCGATACTACTGATGATAGCTCAGTGCATGTTATATTATGATTTCGGCAAAAATAAAACATCAGCTAACTATTGGGATTTTGTTTTTTAGATGTTTGTGCATATCCTGAAAGTGCCAATATTCTTCCAAATGTAGAAGGCGATGTAAGAACACCAGATAAGCTGATAGACGGCATAAATGAAGATCATTCTGGAATGCATTCTTGGCTGGCTCCAATCATTCCAAGGCATCTCAATAGAATATATTTTGTGATGGATTCACCTGTGTGTGTATCATACATAAAATTCTGTAATTATTCCAAGACTATAGCCAGAGGTGCCAAAGATTTTGGGGTAGGTTCCAACATGTACAGGATATAGTCTGTAAATGTACTCATATCCCATTTACGTTCCGTCAAACCAAACATTACCACTCTGTGTGTAGGTTTCAGTCGTTGTCCAAGTTCCAAAATGCTTTTATTTTGAGATTGTAGATAAATTGAGCCTTCTTTGTTTTAGGTTCTAATAGACGATTTGCTGATATGCACAGGCTCCTTGCGAAAATACAATGAAAATGAACCAGAACAAATCGTAAATTTGATGGACGCAGATCAGCCATCTTTTGACGAAAATATGTAATGAATTCCATTAAATTTCAACCCGCGTGGCTTTAAGCAATATTTTTGTAGGATTAACCCTGTTGTGGTGCTGTTGGATGAAACAAGGAAAGATGCGGAAAATCTCTTATCTGTGGACCCAGCATTACGCCCATTTACCTGCATTAGCCCATATAACAGAAAGTTCACCTCACAGAGTAATTAAGTGATAAATAATTATTGCATGGCCAAACTATTTTTATAATATATAGGTATTTAGTTATTTTGTTAGATTTTGTCATTAACTATACTAGATATATTTGTTCTAGTAAGATGTAACAAATATAAATTTAAATGCATTTTATAACTTTTCAATGTTAATCTAAAATTCCTGTACTATTACGAATGTAAAGTTGGTTGTCAGTTGCCAGCAATAGTATAGAACATCAAACAATGTTAGAGCTAAGTAAATTTGCCCACGGGTGCTGAATGTTGACAAATGTTGTAAGGCACATACAGACAATGGAATTAGTAACAAAAAATAACACAGATTTACACTATAGCTTTATCAAAATAATAAAAAGTATTTTAGGAAGTGTTATTGAAATATCTCGTAAAGCTTTTAAATTCCAATTCAAATAGACACCCTAAGTTTTGACGATCACAGTTATGGGCGGAGCTGAAATTGACTCCAAACAAATTGGTTTGCAAGGGTAAATTATCAAAGTCCTTATGTTTTCTGGTCTTCTATAACAAAACAAGCATTATAGTGTGGATACTTCATCAAAGCAACGTGTTAGTTAACACGTTGACTGCCACCTTTTTTCGGTTGGTTTTACCCAGGAGCCAATTAGTTGTCTTGTGACAAATAGCGCCATCTGTTGGGCGATTGCCGATCTTTTAGAAAACTCAGCTAAGTTAGAAAATAGGCTCGTGGAAAATTGTGCCAACCTAAAAGGAAAGCTCTTGGAAAATTGTGCAGATCTTTTAGAAAACTCAGCTAAGTTAGAAAATAGGCTCGTGGAAAATTGTGCCAACCTAGAAGGAAAACTCTTGGAAAGTACAGCCAAATTAGAAGAGAAGTTTTTGGAAAATTCTGCTAATTTAAAAAAAGAGTTGGAATATAAAATTATGGAAAAATCTTGCGAGTTGGAAAAACGGATTTTAGAAACTTTGGACAGAATTCAAGAAGTGCAAGGCAAGTTTGCCGCTTTAGACGTCAAGACCATCGACGAACGACAGCGTGGACTCCCGTTGGAAAAATCAAGTGTGGTTGGAGCTTCTGTTGGGTCAGCTGATCATCTGCGAATGAAACCGCCTCAATTTGATGGTACAACACCTTGGAAATGGTTGGTCATCGACCGAAAAGGCAACTGCACTCACTTTGGCCCTACGAGCAATAAGCTAAAATAACAGTTCAAAATACATACCGATACCGTAAATTATGATATTTACTTGGTAAACTGTGTAGAGGTGTTGTGTTGAGATTTTTTAATTCATCTTGAAATTTCTTAACCATTTTGTTTCGCGTACCTATTTTCAATGACATAAAGTTTTTACGATTATAAGAAATATTTGAAAGTAGAGATAATTCTCAACGGCCATTTTATAACGTTCATTTCTTGACAGATGAGATAAATGATGTCCATTGTTGCCAAGTTATTTTTTTTTTTAAAAAACATTTGTAAAATAAACGTCTTAATTTATTGTAAATGGCTTGTTTTATAAATAGTTATCCCAATATTTACTGAAAATTAGATGAATTTTTGAATACTGCGTGCCTAAACAGTGGAAAATGCACCAGCGGGCAGGCGTGAGATAATAAATACAAAAAGCTCCAGCGGTAATTGCATATAAAAATAACCAACTTCGATTCGCCGATTTGGACTCACATCCACCCAACATATCATAAAATCATCAAAGAACTTGGATGTTGTTCAATGTTATGTTTTCATTATTTAGTGACTGGCAATAGCTACTTTTCAGTAATTTCTGATATATATATATATATATATATATATATATATATATATATATTACATTACATTTAATTAGGTTTTGTGACACCAGCTTCACTTTAAATAATTCTTCAAGTACATACATATATAAAGTAAATAGATTATAACTATAATATAGGAGAAACAATAAACAAAGTATTTTTGTGAAGGGCATACGATATTCTTCAAAAAAGTGTATTTAGCTAACGCTATCGTAGAATACGAGATAGATTTTGTACAGTAAAACCTGCTGGTCACACCTCCAAAATCGCATTTTCATTTCAATCATGTGCCGATTGCACATTTTTGCGCTAGTATATAAGTGAGAATTTGACAAACCAAATCAAGGTATATTACAATCCATGGCTTGGCAACCTTGCAACTAGATGCAGAAATTATGATAGTGATGGGAATATTTATCTGAAATAAAAGAAGTGACTACTGAACAATGTTCTATTTTCATCATTAAAATAATGCAAAATTGCATTGTTGCGATGAACAGTGTCACAGTAATATACAGTTTATGTTATATTCATATAATGTTGAGCATTCTTTTATATAAACAAGAAAAAACCAGCTTATAAAGCAGTATTCTATACCACAGTATTACCACCCAAAATCCAACATTGAAGTTCTATAAAATAGCACGCAGAGGGTTCCTTAAAGAAAAAAAAAACATTTTCTTACAAGTTACATCCTAATCTTTCATTTTAAAACAAGAAATGAAATATTTGCGATATGCGCTAAAGTATAGTTCAGCCTAATATTTTATTTGGATGTCATTCATTAGTTCAAAAAGCAAAACGAATAATTCATTCGATGGTATACCAGGGTACATCAATATATGAGTATCATTTTTTTATTGCCGCATAACTAAACGTTGTTGTTAATTTCTCTAATCTTTCAATTAATTCATTAACTTGATGCTTCAAAAAATAAATCTCAGCATCTTGAGGAGCAGATGATGTGCTGAGAAGTAAACTCAAGTTTAAATCCAGTCACTGTTTTTCTGGATTGTAAGAGGGTTTTGGTGATTCACTTGGCAACTTATTAGACAATGATGGATCATCGACTTCTTTCATACCTTGAGTGGAGCAAGGCTGTGTTGAAGGGCTTGATAGTGAGTCAGTATAAAGGATGGCTGATTATCCTGTTGCGTTACTCATATGTTATTATGGTCATGCTTTTTATGCAACAGTAGGCACACATTTTTTCTGTTGTTATGTTTAATCTCTTTTTAATTTTAAAATCAAATATATTGGTCCATTTTTCTTATCCCGATCTATAAAATGGCAATCGCAATCTTTTGAGAATTGGCTAGGATCCTTTATCTTTTCTCCTGTAAATAAAAACAATTAAAAATGTTTCTATAAAAACTGATGTATTATTTCTTTACCTTGTAGGAGAAATCCGTCCATTCCTCTCCGTCTTGTTTAAAGGAAACCGAAAAAACCTGCACCTTTTTTCACTGAAGTGCTTACAGTTAGGCACAAAGCACATTCCCATTATGATGAATCAGCTGTGGACACCTTAAAATACATATAATTAAAACCAGGAATTCAGTTATTTCATAAAATTTAGATAACATATAAACAACCACGTAACCTTAAAAAGTTTTAAAACATAATTGAAGAGTGGTAATTCAAAAGCGTCTAAGTACCACATTTAGGTATTTTCGAATTTCTGAGATTTTAAGGTCTATGTACCATTGCCAATAGTATACTGAACAGTCTATGTGCCAGTCAAGTATCTGCAGTTCTATATACGTATTTCAAATTCACCTGCAGTCTATCCCCACGAACATATGGGTATGTTTTTCTTTAATTTCGCAACAAAACATTTTTGGCACTTAGACGCTCTTGAATTACCACTCATCAATTATGGTCCTAATATTACGTACTTGAAGGATAAATTAATACAAATCTTTTCAAATGCATGTTTTTAAAGTCAAATAAAGTCAGGATCGTCATAAATCTTGCAAGTTTGCATTATTGGTTTGTTCGATAACACCGGATCTTGTACTTTCCAAGGCAAGGTTTCTACCTCCATGATCATTGACGAGCGATTTTGGTCAGTACCCATCTAGCGCTTATTGGGGAGTGTCGCCCTGCTTCAAATAGGCTTCCTTCTTGGGTGTGACCGTAACCTAATCTATTGTAGAAGCCTGTGCGAACATTTTCCGGTATAACATTTTGGCAAAGCGGAAGCTTGCACGAGCTTCTGCGTCACCGTTGCTAGGCAATGTGATGACCTTCGCTCTTCAGCCGGCTTCTCTTTCTAACATGTGTTGATACACACTTCTCGCGCTTCTCTCTCGTATCATTGAAATTAAGCCGTCAGACAAATTTGGGTTTCCCTGTATAAAAATTGATTGCAAATTAATTGGCGTCAGAAATGTTAATATCGCCAGTTTGCTGGATACTGGGCGTCAATAAAGTAACCTATCGCCAAGCTATCCATTTGATTTTGTCAAATCCCCATTTTGACGATAAATCGCCACGCCTGGCAACCCTGAATCCCGGCAAGCAGCATGTCAGGTGATGCCGGTAATACAGTTACCTATATTTTGCGTGGAGAGGATGACCTTGGTGTTTCCAGTTCGCGCATAAGACGTTTCACTTCCCTGGTTATAATCGAATTTATTTTGAGTCAATCTAACCACCGCCCATCACTCTGAAGTCAGACTTAAGGCCTATTCATACTCAGCCGTGACGTGATAGTGCTGTGACCGGCGCGTGATCCGCCGGGAAAACTAAAAACATTCTTCCTGGAATTTGGATGAACTGATTCACACTAGACCGGCACGTGGACGTGGCCGTGGCCGTGTTCTCAGTGCACTCGACGACGCCGTACCGTGGTCATCGCATTTTTTTGGAACGATATTTTTCGATTTTCACGGCCGTGTTTTTATTTATTGTCGTGCTATAGAACCAGTCAAATTCAAATTACATGGATTACCGTTTTCTTCTCGTTTTTTCTTCTTCATCTTTCGTAGATGGTAGACGGTCTCTGACTGTCGAACGCGGACCTTCTAGGCGGGGCCAGAATGTGTGCATACTGCATGCACACGTGTTCCCTTGCCAAAGTCCATGTGGCGTCCCCCCTTTCCCCTGTGTTTCCTCCTATAGCACCACGGTATCCCATGGGTCTTTAGGGCTTAGGCCTTCGTGGTAGTTGAAGTATAAAAAATCCAGAATTAATGCAATGATTGCAAGTTCATCCTCGGAAATTTTTCCCATCTCGACCTCACGTGAACACAACTGCACTGTAAGAGCACGAAGAAAAATACTGACCGGTGTGAATTGAAAACACTGAGCTCACGTCAGCGAGAATCACTGGCACGTCACATCACAGCTAAGTGTGAATAGGCCTTTAGGCTGTCTATTACCTATTTTCTGTACGATGAACTGCAGTCCAGTTCTATATGCGAGACCTCAAAAACCTTTGATCTGACAAACATTTTGACAAATAATTTTTGTGGTTATGTTTATATCACAAAACTGATATGAATCAAACATTTCTTATCAAATTTCTTGTAAATGTAATTGACATACTATTCTAGCTAAGATAGATGTTTCGTTTGAGCAAATTATAAATGCCTAATAAAAAAATGATAATTGCGATGCTTTTCAGGATTCCTTTATGACGTTGCTACACAGGTCTAGTGACAACAGAAAATGGAAAATATTTTTGAAGAATTAGGAATACCAAAGAAGTACCTGAAAAGAACAGTTAAAGATGATAGATATGCAGCATTAGTCCATAAATCTTGGTTGAAGTAAGTGACTAAAAGAAACTTCCTTGTTATTTCGCTATATCATTTCATAACAAAACATTGCTTCTCTATACAATGTAACTGTTAAATAACAAACTAAGTTAGTAAAAAGGTGATTGCTTAGCTACACCAGCATTATTTAAAAATTCTCAATGTAAAAAAATTGACTTTAGTTCACCAGTGCCAATTTCTAATCAAGTATAGTAGTATAGTTCCATTTCTCTAACTGAAGGACAGTTAAATCTCAATTTAATGATATTATTTTTTAGATTTAATAAACATTTTTTCCCATTAATATGCTGTTCTCTGAAAATGTAAATGTCATGAATTTTCTTTTAGGTCTTTAGTGAAGCACTCAAAGCTGTCAGACTTTATTGAGAAGTCACTCTTAGAAGTATGGCCTACAACAGAGGAAGAAGTAGGATCTTCATGGTTGAAAATTTTCATATCTGTTTTCAAAAAGAAAGATTGCAAAGTGCTGCCTCTACCAAAAATATGTCAACCATCACAAGGACAATCCTCATTGCTGTTTTCTCAATTGATGCAATACATTTCTCAGACAAACTATAAAAATTTATGGAAGGAGGCTTATAAGAAATATTGTTCTAATTCAGAATCTAATAAGAACACTCACGTAAATCTAACAGATTATAATGATGTACTGAGGGAAATTATCAAGAGACTATATGGGTGTCAAATAATAAATACTTGTAACCCTGAGTTGAGTATTGAAGCTACATCTACATATGATGTTAACTTGAACCTTTTACCTGCAATGTGTGCTGTAGAAACTATGAATGCAATATTTTTGTTCTATCATCCTTACATAGAACATAATATTAATGATTCTGTGACATTTTCACCAGCCATCCTTGAGAAATGTTATTCCAAACCTCTCTTCATAGTGTATCAGTTATTGAAGGTTTTAAAGTCTTTACATGATCATAGCTTAACTTTAGGTAAGTAACTCATTATCCATTAAGCATCAAAAGAGTTAGGATAGAAGAAAATGCTCCCACAAATAATTTGTGTGGGGTTAAGTGTCACTTTTTCATGTTATTCACAAAAGCAGGAAGGGGGTCTTAGGGAATTAAAATACCTGTAAAATCAGACCATATATCTTAGACCAGTTGCTGTTACTCCTGATCAGTTATCAGTGTATGTGAGTCTATTCTATACCCCATTAGTAGCTCATTTACGCCCAGACAAAACACAACATGCCCAACAGAGATTGAACAGGTCTGAATTTTCCTCAATGGTCCTGGAATAATCTAACAAAATAAATGATTATTTTTATAGTCAGAAGTGCACATACCATTCACAATTCTTTATTTACTGGAAGTAATTAAATCATCATCCAAATGGTTAATATTAATTATTACAGGTTCAATTTGAATGCGATCATATTTTGCAGATCCCACATTTTTGTTTCGATTGTCTCTTGAACCTGACAGATGCAATCTTTCCAATGGTTTGCCGTCACTTTGTTGACAGCTTATAAAACAAATTTTTCACAACCAAAAATTTGAAAGTTCTATTGTTTGAAGCCACATAGTTTTTTATATTTGCCCAAGTCATTTCAATGGGATTTAATTCGCAGTGATAAGGGGGTAGCCTTAAAACAGTCTTATTTTGGTTTTTAACCATTTCGTCAATAACATTAAGATTATATTTATATTTGTGCTGCCTGACTAGTAGATGGATAAGTTCTGCTTTAACTATATTTTCACTGAGACTAATGTCTTTTGATAGGAGTTATTGTTGAATTTCTGCCTTTCTTGTGGACATTGTGGGAATTTTTTCTAGTTTTCTAGTGTTGTATGCAGCATTATCAAGTACAATGACGACATTGTCGTCAAGCTTTGGGATCGTTTCTTCAAAGCATCGTTCAAATGAACTCCCGTCCATTTCTTCATGGTAGTCGATCATTTTCTTTTACTGAAATGTCCATAGGGCAGTGGGCACAAAGCCATTTTCACTGCCAATGCGACAGACACAGATAACAAATTGTTTTTCTTTTCCTGGAAATAATTATTTCATATAGTATTCAAGAAGACTAATAATAATACAAGCAGTTTAGTGTAGCTAAGTTTTCAGCATGAGCACATAGATGCAGACTACTTGACACCATTTTTATAACACAAATGACGAATTGGTTAGATACACGTGCCTGATGGATTCTCTAGTCCAGTGGTTAGTCCAACTAAGAAGGCGTGTATTGCTGATTTAATTGTAGAGTCAGCCCATACTTTAGGTTTTGAATATCCAGGTTTCATCCAAGTAATAAATCTTCCTGTCCTGGTCGCGGTATTTCTTAATTGATTTTAAATAATTTCTTCTCCATAAAATAATCTCTTGGCTATCCATCAAAATACTATTTCTTCCCCGTTTTCTATAATCAAAATGTAGTACTTGGAGTAAACTATATAATGTGGTCCTTTTGAAAGTAGGTAAGTCTTCATCACTCCTCCTGTAATACTTTGTCTATGGTGAGAAGTTTCTGCCTTTCAAGAAATTGATCGACTTTGCATCTGATGGCATTCCAGTCAAAAGTTATCAACTGTATCCAACAGCTTTGTGTAATGCAGCCTCTTGTGTGGTGGAGACAATTTTTTGTCTTTTTTTATATTCTTTAAGAATGTTGAAAATTGTATTAGGACATAAGCCTGTTTTGATCGCCACACGTCTTTCAATATTATGAATTTTCATTTCAGGATGCTCTATAATTTCTCTAATATAAACGTTAAGCACAATTTCTTTCGCAATGAATATTCAAATGTCCGTTCTTGTCACGTTTTCGGGAAGGAGACATCACTGGAGAGGAAGCATTGGGAGAAATATTCTGTTTTATCTGTTGTATCAGTAGACGCCATGCTAACGTATGCACCGATTATGAACAGCAACTGCCGGAGTTCGCGTGCTGGCGATACCCAGAGCCTGAGTTCTATCCTGTCGAATCCTGCACTTGTTCGTAGATTTATGGCTGAATGACCAATAGCTATTGCAACACATATCAGTATAAAAATCTGACTATTACACTGTACACATAGCAAGTCGCCAATATTACAGAAATCAACAATTCTCACAGTAAAGCTTTGCATATCAATTGGAATCACTAGATACTGATGTTGTCAAGAAGACGTCACAGTCTGACAAATCGATGTTATTGGTTAATGTTGTTTGCATGGATGTAAGCCTGAATTTAAGTTATTTCCTTATTTGAAGGTAATTGGAAGCGGAAAAATGTTTTTTTTTTGTGTTTTTCCAAAGAGTATGAAGTATACAAGTTGTTTGCAAAAAGTTTTAGGGGATGAAAATACCTTAAAAAGACCTATAATGTTTAATTCGCTGCATCGGTTACCTCGCTGGTCAGTACATGCAGTGTTCTCACTACAGTGAATTTTTAAGTGTCACCAAGTCATTAGAAACATGGAACTCAACCGAGAACATTTTCGCGCCATAATTTATTACAACTTTCAGAGAAAATTATCGTAACAAGAATACCTTGCTGAGTTACTGTCTGTTTTCGGCAACGAAGCGCCACATCAGTCGACAATTTCCCATTGATATCTAGAATTCAAACGTGGACAGGTGAGTCTTAGGCACGATTCCAAGGTGGGTGCACCAAAAACGGCAGTCACCCAGGAAAACGTCGATGCTCTGCGCAAACTCATCATTGAAGATAGACATGTGACATATCGCGAGATTGAGGCGTCCTTGAAGATCTCAAAGACCTCAATTCAAAAAATTTTACATGAAGAATTAGTAGTAAGAAAATTAGTTTCTCGTTGATACCCCACCTGTTGACTGAAGAGCACAAAGCAGCCAGGGTTAATTGGTGTCAAAAAACGCTTGACCGTTTCAATTCCGGAAACTCAAAAAATGTGTACAGCATTGTTGTGGTGATGAATCGTGGATTTACTGTTATGAACCAGAAAATAAACGACAGTCGGCTGTTTGGGTGTTCCAAGGTGAAGAAAAGCCAACAAAAGTCATCCGTTCTCGAAGTGTTTCGAAAAAGATGGTCGCGACATTTGTGTCAAAAGCGGGTCATATTGCAACAATTCCTCTTAATGAGCAAAGAACTGTTACTGCGGATTGGTGTATCACCATTTGTCTGCCAAAAGTCATCACCGAGCTTCGAAAAATCAACCCCGAAAGAAGAATCATCCTCCACCAAGACAATGCAAGCTCGCACACAGCCCAAAAAACAAGGCAGTATTTAACGGAAGAAAACGTGGAATTATTGGACCATCCTCCATATAGTCCCGATCTAAGTTCTAACGATTTCTTTACTTTCCCGAAAATTAAAAACAGACTGCGTGGTCAAAGGTTCCAGTCACCAGAAAAAGTAGTTGACGCATTCAAAAATGCCGTTTTGGATCTGCCAGCAAACGAGTGGAATAAGTGCTTCGAAAATTGGCTCGAGTGCATGCAGATGTGTATTAATCTTCTTGGAGAATACTTCGAAAAACAATAAAGTCATATAAAACTACCTACCGTGTTGTTTTATTTCCATATGCAAAACTTAAAAGACATCCCTCGTACAGATAAGTTTCGACTATTATTTCAAATTTGTTGTGCACTTTTCGCTAAAAATAAATAAATAAATTGATAATTGGAGAATGACAAATCGACTGCTGCAGCAAAGTCAACATAAAAAGGTCTGATTTTAAAGGTGCTTTCATTCCTTACAACTTTTCTGTAAAACATTTATGTCAACACATCATAGTTTTTTTATTATACATTTTTTTTTTAAATTTGACGTTTAGTAAAAAGTTACCGAGCAAAATTTTTAGTATATGTTGATGAGGCGCCTTTTTGTTTAGCCTAAGAATATAATTCCATTATAAACTTCTCAAATACAATGTTTCTGCAACGGGGACCATTTTTGGCTAGTTAGCCTGATCTAAAATGGGATATTACCTAATGATTAGGCACAATATTTTCAATAGGAGACTGAATACTAACCCTCTTGTAACCACAAAAAGATTATATTTTTACTATCATTTGATGCTTTGAAGAAAAAACAGTACCAATGTTTGATTACCTTACGATTTATTCAATTTTGTAAAACCATCTGTCTCTATTATAGGTGATATCAGCTTGAGTGATATCCATATGACAGAAGACATGTGGATCCACATATTCCCTCAGATCAATTCCAATATCTATATTGAAGAGTCTGACTCAGATACAGTTAATTCCAGCAGACAAGATTGCCGAAAATCCGGTCACATGTTCAACAACAAGCTAAACTGCGAGATATGTGGCATGAGAACCTATGACGCAGTCCAAGTTAGCAATGAGAGTTTAGAACAAATTTGCCAACTGTGGATAGACGGCCAGATATCTAATTTTACGTATATTTCTGCTTTAAATAAATTGTCGGGAAGAAAGCTTGGAGATCCAAACTGCCATTATGTCTTTCCATGGGTTACTGACTTTACATCACGTTGTGGTAAAAACTGGAGAGATTTGAAAAAATCAAAATATCGCCTGAATAAAGGAGATCGTCAATTAGACTTGACCTATGATAATTCACAAACTCAAGTACCTCACCACATATCAGATGTGCTATCACCCATTACATACTATGTATATATGGCTAGAAGAACTCCAAGATCTGTATTATGTAAGAATGTACGAACAGTCTGGGTTCCAGCGGAATATCCAAGTTCTATCCAAAGGATGCAAGAATGGTCTCCAGATGAGTGCATTCCAGAATTTTATAGTGATCCTACAGTATTTCACAGCATTCATGACGACTTGGAGGATTTGGACGTACCTCCATGGGCGCAAAGCCCTGAGGATTTTGTTGACAGGCATCGTGAGGCGCTTGAAAGCCCTTATGTTTCAGAAAGGCTACATTATTGGATTGATCTCACCTTCGGATATAAGTAAGTAGATTCTCAATGATTATTGATACTTTGACATCTTTATATGCGATATTGGATAATTCCTCGTAGATGAATACTACAGTTTCAGTACTCTCCTAACCGGTTCTTAATAACCGTGCCCACCAAAATCAAAAAATTATAAATATTACACGTAACGAAACATTAATATCAGATTCGTGAGCTGCGCAGCTCAGTTTGGTGATATCTTACCACAACCATGGAAAAAGGGCGAAATATGCGTTAGGCTGAAATCTGAGCCAAACCATGTTAATAATACGTTTTTTGGGTCGCTGAAACCGATTCTGGAGTCCTTTAAATCCGGTAGTGTACCAATTTTGATGTATCGTCAAGAATTCTGGTTATTATAAAAGTATAACAGATGTTCAAAAACCCCTGCGTATCCGTGATCCAGATGACAATTTACTGGATAATTCGGGTGCGTAGGTTCAGATTCTAATGTCAATTTGGCGCTGAGGTTTGGTCCCAGGTGAATCATTTCATTAACCTCAACTTCAGTTCCACGATACTTCACCGTGTTAATGTTTAAGGTTAACTGGGAATCCAGCCGTTAAAGCAAAGAATGTCTGTCTGCAGCTGGTAGACCAACACGAGAATTTAACAAAGTCGGGCTTGGTGCAATTATTTTCCCATCCACACCCGCCTAGAGCAACTAATAACTTATTTTTAACAAAAGTCGCGCCAAAGATATTCATCAACAAATCTAGCCGACAAAGTAAGTATACATTTTCCATAAATAACATTATTTGACATGATTATCGATACCCTTATTACATACCTGCAACTTCAAATTGCAAATCATTATGTCGAATTACGATGTTTTTAAATTCAATACTAGGTATTAAAGTCTATTGAAACCTTTTATTCAGCATCAAAACAAGCACAAGCACTCGATCGCCGCTTCCTTTCGCTTGTCGCTGCCTACCGAGGCATTTAGGACCCGCCAGCCAATAGAAACGCACGTATTTCATGTGATGGAGTTTTCACTGGGCATAAATAAGATTTGAATACACCTTAGTAATCAGTCTCTTGTACTAGCTTTGAGTGTTGTACTCTTTGAGATTCCGATGCCGCCAAGCGGCAAATACTATCTTTACACTCGGTTGTAATATATTTCCTCCGTCACACCTTGCTGCAAAAGTGTATTCCATATATTATCCTACGAACCTGCAACCCACAAACCTTACCTGTGAGGTGCGGGTTTCAGTGGTTTAGGTAAATATCGGCAACACGGCCGTTTCGCCACAACCCCTTAGATGGCGCCGTAGGTGGCACTCACATAGTATTGTACTGCAAAAATGGTAACCCAGAAGCTACACTCGGGCAAAAATCCCAGTAGAATTTTCAGCCTTCAACACATAAGCGATAGGCTGCGACGGGTCGCGTGCACCTCCGTTTACAGAATTAAGCGTTCTAGGTACAGGTTCTTCCAAACAATGAATTTCCGATACTCCCGAATGGTCATACATTGCCGATCAAATCGTAGCAAGGCATTATCATATCAATAAATTCAATGGATACAGGATGTAAACGTTATGGTAGTCATTATTCAAATGGGTAATAGGGGTGGTCGAAACAAGTCAAAAAGTTCATATGACCCATGGTCCAAAAGTCAATAGATTTTTGTCTAAATGGCTTCATAGTTTACAACTTTAAGTGCTTTATATCGACCACAATCACCACAATCTTACTAATGTTTGTAATCTAATCTGAAACGTTTTTAAATTGGGTAATTAACAAATAAATGGCATTAAGTTTTTCTAAGTTAACCAAAATTTGTAGTCGGTAAGTAAGTAAATTTCATTAAATCAAGTATTTAAAACACTCATGACAACAACGCGTCGGTCAACATCACTCTTATTAAACCGGCAATCGAGCGCAAACGGTAACAGGGGTTAGTTATCGGACAACGGGCGTGGTGTTTACAATGTTCTCGAATATAGAGTTCGCCGACATGTCTTGACGATCAGGTAATTGGCCCTTTCGAGTTACCCCCAAAGTTGTCAGGAGAAAGATCCCTTAGCTTTCTAGCCAATAACCTACCAGAACTTTTGGAACAGACCTTAGACAACATGCCATTACAACGGAGATAGAATTTGTGGTTTCTTCATGACGGGGCACCACCACATATTCTTAGAGGCGTCACTCAGTATTTGAATGAACATTATCCAATTCGCTGGATCGGTCGAAATGCTCCTGATCCTCGAAAATGGCCACCAAGATCTCCTGACCTCAATCCGATGGATTTCTGGTATTGGGGAGAACTTAAAGGGATGGTTTATGGGGCTGGTCCAATAACAACTGAAGCACAACTTCGCGAATAAAAAATTAAGGCGGCTGAAATAATAAATGGACAACTTCGAGGACCTGGAGTAAGAAGAAACTGGGTTCGTCGTAATGAAGCTTGTGTGGAAAGTGGAGGACGACATTTTGAACACCTCATTTAAATACAAAAAAAGTGCAGTGTGGGTTTTAAAAAGGAAAACAATGTATGTATCAAAATTGTATTCCCTATTTATAAGTGGATTTTTTTAATACGTTCAATAAACTTTCACACACCGGGTGAAGCGCTGAGACAGTTAGTGGTAAGTCCGTTTTTTCTTGTTTGCAAAGGTAATTATCAAATAATGAAATAATACCTAAGAGCCAAAAATAACAAACTCCATCTTTATTTACACTGCGTTCCGTCGTAATTTGCGTCTGGCATTGCGGCTTTGTCAGATTTTGTTTTACTTTAAAGTCGCTTTTCTCTAAAAAAATGACGTTTTGGCCCCCATGTTATATGAAACTTTTTGCTTATTTTAACCCCCTCTATCACCCATTTAAATAATCACTATCTTAACCTTTACACTCGCTATAGGTGGGAGTAATTTGTACAATGAATAAGGCACGATACATAAACAAGACTATACAGGGTGTCCCAGGAGTCTACGTCAAGCAGGAGGGATAGGCCAAGTCATAATAGTTATCAGAAAAAATATAAAAAAAAATCTAAGTCTTGTACTTAAATTATAGGCTTTAAAAAATGGAAAAATCAACATCCTGTTATGATCTTTTAGTTCCCATTACGACAAATTTCAATTTTGTCTTAGTAGTTAATCCATATTACATGAAAATACCCCTGGTTTGCGAAATAATTGTAAAGTCTGGTTTTGTTGATGCAAGTTGTTTAAGGAGGTATTTAAAACATGGACACAAAATGGGTACACCAATTTTTGTGTAAAAACTTTTTATTCGACAACAAAGAATGAGATAACGGTTTTTGGGAGTCAGTTGAAAGTGCTGGCAGAAACGAAAAAACTCTTAAAATAAGATCTTTATGTATTTAAGAGACTTACAAAATGAGACCACACGTAAAAAGATCCGACTAATATTAAAAAAGTTATGGCCGAAAACCGAGGCAAAATGCATGTTTTGGCACTTGTTGCTAATGCGACGATAATTTAACGCAGCTACTTGAAATACTTCAAATCCGTAGGCTTCACACTTCTAACTAATAACTTCAACAAAATTGGAATCGATTGGTCAAGTAATTTTTGAGAATTTCTAATTGCTTATCTCAAAACACCTGTCTTCTGGCCATCACTACTAGTTTACTGAGCAATATACAAGATTCGTTCAAAGGGTATTTTATAGCAAAATAGACGAATTTACCTTGACGACGTGAATCGCAAACTATTTCGAAAGATAATTGTTATTTTTATGCGAAACACGAAGGGTTACGTTTTTTTTCTTATAAACAAATTCAAAAATTTCGTATATGTGAACAGTTTCGATACAATATTCGAAAAACATGCGTTATTTTATACATTTCAAAATGAAGCGGATGTGTCTATCACCTTTTGTTACAAAGAAAACAATTTTTTTCAAGATTTCTTCATGCTCTTGTGTATACATATTTGGAGCTGAGATCTTTACACAGTCACAGCTGAGTCAAAAGCATTATTGATGACTGCATGACTTTGTCAAATAAGTCACGTAATCCAGTTTCTTTACGAAGGACGGAGTTCGAATCCACTAAGCTCCTTTTTTTCTATATTATTTTTTTGGAAAGATAAATGCTTTTTCACATTATGTGTAGACACTACTACTATTACTAACTAGTCTAAGACAGTTTGAATCATAATTTTGCCTTCAGTTTGCGTGCTAACTTTATAAACAGTTTAGCGCATTTCGGTATGGAATATTTTTTTTATAAACTTTAAGACCGTGTAAAGATCTCAGGTTTAAATATGTATACACAAGAACATGAAGAAATTTTACTTACTCACACATACGAAATGTTTGAATTTGTTTGGAAGAAAAAAAACGTAACCCTTCGTTTTTTGCCTAAAAATAATTATCTTTTTGAATGGTTTGTGATTCACGTCGGCAAGGTAAATCCCTGTATTTTGCTATAAAATGCCTTTTGAACGAACCATGTATATTGCTCAGTAAACTAGTAGTGATGTCCAGAAGACATGTGTTTTGGGATACACAATTAGAAATTATCAAAAACTACGTGACCAATTTACTCCAACTTTGCTGTGGTTATTTGAATCCCAAAAACACGTTTTCTCATTCTCTGTTGCCCAATAAAAAAGTTTTCCCACAAAAATTGGTGTTTTATGCGTCCATGTTTTAAATAGCCCCTTGAACAACTTGCATCAATTCAACCCGACTTTACAATTATTTCGGGGAAATTTGCTAATATGATTAGACAATAGATGGGGTGATGGACGGTGTTGTTCTACGTAGAGACAGCAAGACAGATAGTAACGCCACTTTTATTAATTCATGATTGTGTAGTGCCACCATGTCTGTGTAAATCGTACAGGAATACACAAAAATACACCTCATTTATTGGGAATGTAGATGCAGCGCTAGCGCTGCAGCTAGGCTTTATCGTGAGAGGTACCCAAATGCTGCTCGTCATCCCGATCGCCGAGTTTTTCTGAATGTGCAGCGGTTACTCTTGGATGCACGATTCCCAAATCAAGCATATGTCGTCGTCCCACAAGCAGAGTTCTTGCGTACGTTAAATAGAAGCAAGTACGGGAGTGCCTAAAAGTACAGTCCACCGAGTCTTGCGAAAGAACGAGCTCCACCCGTACCACGTACTGCGAGTACAATTTCTGCAACCCCGGGATTATCTTCCAAGAGCTGAGTTTTGCCAATATTACAGAAACTGGGAAGATCTGCAATTTTTAGAGAAAATTGTATGGTCTCAGAAGTCGATATTTAAAAAAGATGGTTACACAAATCTATACAACTTTCACGAGTGTCATGTAAAAAATCCTCCATAAATGAGACAAGATAGATCACAGTATCGTTTTAAACATGTGGACCGGGATTCTAAAGGCCTTTGTATCATTTGACCTGACGTTTCTTGAATGCCGAAATTTATTTAGACTTTTTACAAAACTATTTACCAAATTTATTGGGAGACTTGGGCTACTAAGCATTTACTGAGACATGTGGTACCAGCAAGATGGCTGTGCCTGTTCAGTTAGAGAACATTTATTGTGAATTTAATAAATACATTCACGAATTCATAAAAGTTGCATTAGTATCTGTCTTGCTGTTACAACGCAGAATGACACTGTCAGTCTAAGAAAAAATTGTAATTTGTAGTAATGGGATCTAAAAGATCATCACAGGGTGTAAATTTTCCGATTTTTTTAAAGCCTATAATACACGACTTTGATTTTTTATATTGTTCTGATAACTACTATGACTTGCCATAGTTGTTCATAGCCACACAACTTTTCGAAGCGACGAAATTTCAACTTTTTTTTCGAGAATTATATGAGAACTGGATAGAAAAAAGTGGAACTAAGTAGGTAGCCTCAGTATTCCCAACACATTAGTATCTATACCCACATATATGTGCCTTCTTCCCATAAATTACTATATAGAAAATCAAATTTTGCAAACTTCTCCAAATTTGAATTGATCAAATGCGGCTCAGAGCCATTTTAGCTACACAGATATACCAAGTGTTGTTAGCGATATAAGTAACCATAGAAGACATACCTGGTTTTAGAGTTTTACATTATTATAACCTATATTTCAACTATGTCTCGAAATCACAAGTTTTCGCGTTTGTTGACCACCATGAACTTTTGTACTGTGCCATAAAATGATCAGCAACTCCGAAAACATTCAAAAAATTGAGTTTGTTGTCGCTCTCAATATTTTCTCTTTTTACTTGTTTCTGTGCATTTTTGGGTGAAAGTATTTCAGCTGTTCAAGCATTGGCCTAGCAGTAGTTTTGTCTCAACATTATATAGGACCTTGTAGCTTTTTTGCTGAAGTTATTTTAAAGACCCTTGTTCTGATTTAAAACACTCATCCATATACGAACCTGTTTGATCCATAATGTAATTAATGTAATCAAGCACTTTAATGCTGATCACTGCAAAAATCATCGCAGCTAACAGCGCTGAAAACACAGTTTGACCCTGTACCGCTGTGTCTGTCGCTGCCTCTTGTTGAAGCGTGTGCGTCGGCAGCTCGGGTTATTTTGGAGCTGTCTGTGCTAAGATCATGTGCTGCCATGCGTGGTCGTAAAATCCACTCGTGCAACAAATATTTGTCAGAGTGATTTTAATGGCTCTATACTGTGGTAGTACTTAGTGCGCACTTTACAGTCGCAACTGTCAGATTGTGATTTTTCACCTAATCAGCATGCGGGTCTACATTATTTTATTGTGGGATTTGTAGGGTCAAGGGAAAGAAGCCATTCAACTTGCACGGCGGCAGAAACCAGCAAAAGCGACGATGAATCAGAAGATTTTGCTACGAACATATCAAGAACAATAGGCTTATCAAAGCTTTTGTCACGATCTAGGTCTTCTCTGCATGAAGAGCAAACCAACAAATCTAGCAGGAGCCCTAGTAACCATCGCAGTGCCAGTTTAGGCCCTAAAAACCCTACTTTTACATCTCATGTTGCGAAACCTAAGTCAAGTCAATCCAATAGCAATACTATACGTTTACCTAAAGAGTACAAACCTGAGCAAGCCTTGGATTTGTTAGAAAAACGTCATGCTTTTATTTCAAAAACTTTTCATCCTGAGCAGTATAAAAAATATTTGAGCGAGTCTGACGAAGTGAGTATGAAAGAAAGTGACGATTTGGTGGTGCAGAATGCCTTCACAAATTTCATTTTTTCTGAGAATTTCAGAGAAAGATTTCGTAGTGTAAAACCTAGAGCGATCAAATCTCTGACGTTTCCATTAGACAACCGTGAAGTTTTTGCTCACAGTTACAACTCTACGAATCAAAAAACTGACAATCACATAATTTGCAACTATGCAAGCATAATTTCAACAAGAAGAGTGAGAGAATTGCAGATCCTAGGATGCCTGATTGTCGAAATATTCATGTCTAAACAACTACGTGCTATGGGTGCAAGCTACTCGAACTTGAGCTTTAACAGGAGATTGAAAGCTTGCTTAGCAGTGATAAGCAGTTGTAAGAAAGATATACCGTCCTGTATTTCATATGTGGTGAACTTACTGCTGCAACCACATCAGACTGATTTAAAGAATTTCACATACCCTGCTGTCACCGAGTTTGGTTTACCGCCACCAAATGCGCATTTGCTTTTAGAACCTATGTTGCACTGTGTGATTCCATTTTCGAAACATTTTCCAACTTTATACAATATACTGTTTTCACTGAAAGACTTTACAAATGTTTCATCTGAACTTGATATACTCTATCACTTCGAATGTAATGGGGAGATGTGCTCCGAGTATGAAAGTGTCGAAAGAACCAAGATTTTATTTGAACAAAATATTGGCGAATGCAAGGTGAAGCTGTGTGCCAAACAACTAGAAGATTTACTGGAAGTGATCAATCCGAACACAGATAGAGAAGTTATAAACATTCTGCTGCCTCATATCAAAGATCTGCTTGAAGATTCTCCTACGTCAGTTCTAGCAGCGTGGTACTTATTTGATCCCATTTCGAGGATGTTAGGTACCCAGAAAACTGAGCAATATTTATTGGATTCTGTGTTGAAGTTGTATGAAAATGAGCCAAATGAGGCTCATATACCTTATAACGGAAAAATCGCAAAGTTGTATCATCATAGTTTCCTACTTCGCTTGATGGTGAGGTTTGGCTTGAAATGCTTCTTGGATAATTTCGTGGTATCGCTAGTAGAAGCAGTAGGGGGATACAAGGATTATGATAAAGTGGACTTTTTCTTACATAACCATTCTGAAAAAGTATTGAAAAGATCATCGCATCTCAAAACGATGGATAATGAAAATTTGGAAGCGTCTGTAAGTGATGATTCAAGCTGTAGCGAGAAACAGGTTAGTTTATTTTTTAGTAGTTAATTGCGATTCAGAATGTTTCATTTAAAGAATCCAGCATTGATCGACATATTACACCACAAGATACCAAATTTTATGTGTAAATAACTATACGTATCGTGCCGAAAATAATCACGTATGACATCTATTCAGAAAGCCTTCCCCACCTACTTATGTTTTAGCGAGTCAATTTAGCTAGTTGAAATTTCGGGATGATGAAATTGACGCATACATTTTCACTTTAAAATATCAGGTAAACATTCGAAAATGGGGGCGGGGGGTTACCGACGATTGACAATTAAACAGCGGTGGGGGTGGAGGCTGCATGCTTCTGAGAGCAAATGCCCTATGACGATTGAACAGCGGGAGGTGAGGGAGTGAGATGTGTCTAGGGGGGTTCACGTCTCGGGATTCTAGCAAGGTAATTTTTATAGAAAGATGCAGCAATTTTGAAAAAATGTCAGGCTTGGGTGTCTAAGGAGGGGGGTCGCCATCTTGTAACATTTCTTTAAATGGCATGGGGCGTCACGTAATACCTTAATTTGAGGCTTTTTGTGAGTACTTTATATTTCTAGATTATAAAATCATTATCCTCCAAATTGGTAGATTTTGAAGCTGTTAAAGTTGAAAGTTTTTGTACATTGAATCGTTTAGAACTCAACGACTAATCACTAAAGCGTAATAGATTTATTTGATTATAAACTGTACTTACATGTTTTAGCATTGTCAGATCGATGGAGCACATAGTAGGTCTACTATGCTTAGTACGTTATATCAGTCTTGTTTTGGAACGGTATATGTGAATGTGCAATAAAATGTGGGGCATTCCATTAAAAAAAATGAGTAATATTTGGCATTTTTTTTTACTGAGTGTTCCACATTTTATTACATTTTCAGATAGAACCTTCTAAGAGAGAAAATATTCATTTGACATATCATACTTTTTGATAAGTGGTTGTTGAGTTATAAGCGACTCAATGTACAAAAATGCTCAACTTTGGGAGCCTGTCAGATCGCCATTTATATTCTAGGGTTATGAAGTACGCATGAGGAGCTTAAACATAAGATATCACATGATCCCTCAGTCCATTTAAAACATGTTTCAGAATGGCGCCCATCTGCCATCATGAAACTTTCGATTACCACTTTTATGCTAAAATATAGTATTCGTGCATCAATTTCCTAATGCCGAATTTCAGTTTTCTAACTTGAACTGTTCCAAAAATAAGTGGTGGGGGGACCTTTTTGAAAAGCACTATACGTGTCAACCACCGGCTTTATGTGCCAGTGTTGCCGCCTTTCGGATTGATGTAGTAGGTTATCGGATTTCCTTTTTCGTGGCTGGGAAATTGCGAAAATACGAAATATTAAACATAATTACTAGGGGAGGTTAAGGGCTGACCTTTCATTGGAAGATTGACGTCATATTTGTGAATGTTCCCATACAGAATAAGGCTGGGTATCTTCTTAGGCAATACGTTAATCAATGATTCTAGGCAAAAATGTTATGGTTAATAACAAAATTCACTAAACAAATGTTTTTTGCAGGCAAGTGTTGTGATACCGTCCAAAGTTGCAAAACCTACAATCGAGGAAGAAGTTTTTGAATTTGAGGAAGACCGTGAGTCTGACGACCAAATGAAATCTCTAATGGAACATTTAGAACTAAACGTAGCTTCTGACTTACCTTTTAATCATTCCACAGCTGAAGAAGCACTGGATGCCTCTTTGGCCGAAAACATAGACCAGTTACGTAATTTGGAAGAACTTAATCTGGATGAAATCGGTGATACGCATACTGATACTATGTCACCCATCATTCCAATACCTTCTAACCTTAGTAACAATTTGATAAATATCAGTTGTGAGGTAGGTAGTAAGAAAAGTGAAAACTCTTTCGTGGAGAACAAGTCGAATAGTTCACAAGAATTCAACATGGAGTCTCCAAATCTCAACATGAAGAAAAAAAACTCAACAAAAAAACAAAATACGAATATTTCCGAAATGAGTGCTGACAGCTTGGTTTGGCTGTCACATAGATTAGGACCAGTGCTTACGGCAAAGTATCTGACTAGAAATCTCTTGAAGATGTTGACTTTGTGTTATGTTGGGAAGGAGAATCTAGTATCTGTTATAAGAGAAGAAGAGAAAATAGCGAATGATGTTTCAATAGCTGCAGGTTACGTCACTGGTGATCAAAATGCTACGAAGGTGATTGAGTGTCTTACTAGTATTGCAGGTAAGATATTTTTTGGAAAATATTTTTAGGGATCATAATATCTTTAACAATATCCCAACTCGATTATATTTAGTATTGTTTTGAGCACTGAAAAAACAATCATGAAGTTTTTCGAGAAAGTTATAATTTTCTGTATTTTTTTTATTATTCGAAATACTGGAATCTTTCCAAATCACTAGATTTTCCTTATTCTATTTTCAGCACTGTATGGGGAACAAATAATTGTATACCAATACATTCCACACTTAAGTGAGCTTATATTGCTTTGTAAAAGGAAGTTGACTTTAAATTTGGAAGGAGGACTTATATCATGCCTAGAGCTTTTAAAGCACACCATTCCATATCTTTCGGATTCCACTTTAATGGATCAACTACAGGTATGATTTTCATGCTTGACAACTACACGGCATATCGAATACTATACATCAACGCATGTCTCGACGATATGAGGGGTGCGCGCATGGTATAACGCGTATCCGCCTTATTATGAAGAGTAAAACGTTCACTCCATGAACGACTGCCGGGTATGCCGAGCTCTCAAGGTCATAAGAACTCACGAAAAAACTCAACGTAATTTTCAGGGAATAGTGTAGATGTATAGTATTATGGGGCCTCTAAACGGGCAACATTTTTATTGCATCATCTAGCGAACATCTGCGAAAAACTACCGTCCTATCAGTCTTGTGCCTATAGCTGCGAAAATAGAAGAAAAGATCGTCCAAGAACAACTTATGACATTTGCATTCAAGAACAACCTACTGCCTAGCAACCAACATGGTTTTATTCCTGGTAGATCAATTATCACCAACATGTTACACTGCATCGACAATTGGACCAGATCTTTAGACGCAAATGAACCGGTCGACGTGGTTTATCTGGATTTTTCCAGAGCTTTCGATCGAGTTCCGCATAAAAGGCTCCTGCACAAGTTTGATCATCTCGGAATCAGGGGAAATTTGTTGTTATGGATTTTTGTTAGATAGATCTTCCTCCGTCCGTGTTGGAGACGCCTATTCTTCTAGCCATCGTGTTACTAGTGGAGTTCCACAAGAATCTGTGCTTGGGCCAATACTTTTTCTTCTTTATACAAGCGACCTTCCCACCCGACTTCCTTCTATGTGTTCCATCTATGCAGATGATACTAAAGTGTATAACACTGCCATGAACTCATCTGTGCTTCAAGAAGACCTCAAGCTGATCAGAAAGTGGTCAAAGCTGATCAGAAAGTCGTCAGAACTTTGGCTCCTGCCTTTAAATCTCTCGAAATGCTACGTTCTCCACCTGGGAAAGAATAATCCTAACTTAACATATAAGATTGGCAAACATACCTTAGAGACTGTTTCTCTTCACACAGATCTTGGTCTGACAGTTAATGACCGACTCACCTGGTCGGAGCACATTCAGAACATAACCTCTAAGGCAAAGCGGTTGCTATATATGATGGGAAGATCATTTAGCGGTTGCACCGTTAGTACCGCCTCCTTCTTGTACACAACTTTCGTACGACCCCTACTGTAGTTTGCTGCTCCGGTATCGGATTCAAACCTTGTTCGCGATAGCAGCTTATTAGATTCCGTTCAGCGTCGTGCTACACGTATGCCTTATGGCACATGTAAGCCGAGTTATGAAGACCGCCTCGAGTTATCTAACCTGCCTGCTTTTGCTGATAGAAGAATGCGAGGAGATCTCATCATCACTTTCAGAGCACTGCATAATTTGTTTTTTGTGGACATGTCGCATCTGTTTCGTCTGGCAACAATCTCAGAGGCCATAACTTCAAATTGCAGAAGGGAGCTTTTAGAACATCTACTCGTCAGCGCTTTATCTCAAACCGTGTCTTCGATGCATGGAACAGTCTTCCATCATATGTAGTGAACTCGTCATCCGTCAACAGTTTCAGAAACAATTATGATAGACGCCACAGTGCTTAACATATTGTTCCCATTCTGTATATGTCTACTTCAGAAGTGCTAAGATTGTCAAATTGTTATATTTCTTTTGTCTGTACACTATTATCTATTATGTGTTTGAGTTTATAGTACTTGTACTCAAGTCAAATTTGTTTAATAATAATAATAATAATAATAATAATAATAATAATAATAGCTGCAATATGGTATCCAGCATCCTAAGGCAATGTTTTAAGTATTGCTTGGCTATATTGCTACATTTCGAACTTATTTTCTTACAGAGTCGTACCAATATTTCTAGGGTAGAAAGTACTTCCAAAAATAACAAAAAAGTCACTATAAATATGGGTTCAAAGATGCTCCCCTAACGAGGTACAGGGTGAAGAAATTTATTTACGAAATTAAAAAAATATATCTACGGAGCTGGTAATAAACACACTAAACCAGGGACGTAGAAACTGGGGTACCTGAACCCCTAATAGGAAATATATTGTCTATGCTCCTGCTCTTTTCAGAGAAAAGTGCATTTTATAAAATAACATTCAATTTTCCATGAGTTTTGTTTCTTAAGAAATTTTTGTCAGATCACTTATGAAGATATTTAGGTTTGAATATTTGAGGTAAAATCCTAAAATATTCTTATTAACAGGCTTAGCCTCCCCTATGCTGAAAACACGGAGAAGCTTGATATTTGAAACACTATATGGCATGTGAAGAAAGCTATTTCTATTATTCTCTTTGTCTAAAATCACAACTAGCAATTGTAAATTCTTATTATTTTACTTCTGAAATTATCGGCCTTTTTTTTCTCAAAATTATTTAGCATTTCGGCGTGACAACATCGGAGACGGAGGATGAGAACGAAGTATACAGAAGGCTTTCAACATTGTTCTTACTACGCTAGGTATTTTCCAAAGAGGAGAACCTTTGGGGCGTAGAGCACGGGCTTGTGTTGAAACCAGAGTTGGTCACTTTCAACACCTCCTTTAGGTTGGATTTTGTTTATTCAGCATTATTTTTTATTCACATTGTTATGTCCTCATAAAATTAGAAGTAACCACGTAAGTTGTATCAAATGTAATGTTTATTGTTGTCGTGTTTAATTCTTATTAGCGTTATTTATTTATGTTCGAAATAAATGATTTGTTTGTTTTGAAGTTTCTTTATCGATAAACAAAAATGAATATGCCAGCAAAACCAGTGGCGTGCACAGGAAAGGGTTATGAATGGTAAGCTTCTAAGCTACTGATTGAGGATAAGACTCGCATATTATTCAATTCATGTTGTAATGAGGTGCCATAGCTTCGTTCAGTGCTTCCAATATCAAGCTTCACGGTACTTTCATGAGAATATTTTAGGATTTTACCTCAGATATTCAAACATAAGTATCTAATTTCCTTAACAGTCAACATTTATGGAAAATTGAATGGTATTTTATAAAATGACTCATTTTCTCCGTAACGGCCAGAAAACATTTCCTACTAGGGGTCCAGGTACCCCAGTTTCTACGTCCGGATTTAGTTGGGGCCGGGAAACTCTGCGTGTGTTAATTGCTTATGATGTGCTGACTGAACGTCTAATTTTAACTCAGTATATTTACCTGCTCCGTAGATGTATTTTTTTTTTCAATTTCGGTATCTCGGTAGGGGATTATCCTTGGACCCATATTTATAGGAACTTTTTTTGTTATTTTTGAATGTACTTTCTACTATAGAAATACTGGCATGTATTTCTGAAACAGCCTGTATATTACTGTCAGATGGCCGAACTATCAAACTTAAACTAATGGAAGTATTTAAGCTGCTACGGTACGTACAATTTCGTCAGTCATTCTTGCCTGATTTTGTAGCACTTCTGACGTTAAATTCTGAAAAGTGTATGTGTCTACACATTGCTAAGATACAGCTGATATAGCCGAGATATATACTAACTGACATATAAATCCGAACACCCAGTTTAAATGGTTTTATTTTAATAAAATTTTGTATAAGTACTTAATGAAGCATAATAAGTAAATGATAAAAATTTCAAAATGATTGCACTGCTTCAAAGCCCTTTGACCTTTAATAATGTGTGGATGCACCCTGATGTGCTACGCATTCTCCAACGCGCCTAGGCATGCTTCTGATCAGGTGGTCAATGTCCTCCTATGGTATCTCATTCCAGGCAACCACCAACTCCTCTCGAAGTGCTTCTAGAGTCTGAGGAGGACGTTGCAAATTGAGCAATCTCCTACCCATCATATCCCACACGTGCTCAATTGGGGATAAGTCGGGAGATCTTGGTGGCAATGGTAACAATGTGTCATCATTATGTTGAAAGAAGTCTATTGTGACTCTTGCAACATGTGGTCGGGCATTATCTTGTTGGAAAGTTGGATCTGCCAGGGTGTCAAGATAGGGTAAAAGATGGGGTTCTAGAACTTCGTGGATATAACGCTGCTCGTTCATGTTACCTCTGATGAAGATTAAAGGTGACCTGGAACCATAAGCTATAGCACCCCAAACCATAACTCCAACAGTGTGATGAACATGTCTTTCAACAAAAAACTGTGGATTCCTCCTTTCACCACGTCGCCTTCTAACCCTGGCACGACCATCGTGCATGCCTAAACAAAATCGAGACTCGTCACTAAAGACAATACTGTTCCATTCCTGATCCCAGAGTGACCGTTGTCTGCACCACTCAAGGCGATTACGTCGGTGTTCTCGAGTTAAAGGGAGGACCCAGTGTGGCCGGTATGAAAACAAGCCAAAACTTCTCATTCGTCGGTAAGCACTTCGCATGCCAATAGGTCTTCCGTGTTCTGCAAACCATTCATTTGCAGTGGACCTGGTAGTGGAGAAACGGTCCCTTAAGGCCAATAATCTTAGGCGGCGATCTTCACGGTCTGTTGTTCTACGGCGGCGTCCAGTGCCCCTTGCTCTTTGCGTACGGCCTTCTCGAAGCCATGCCTGACAACACCTAACCACAGTGTCTACACTTCTTTGCACTCTAACTGCAATTGCCCGAAAAGAAAGTCCAGCTTCCCGAAGTCCCACTATACGGCCCCTATCAAACTTACTAAGTTGACGAAATCGTACAGGTCTCCGTACTCTAGGCACCGTAACCGATCGTAAAGGATGTCAAGAACCAAAATCCGCCAACGTTGATTCTTTACTGCGGCTGAAATATTCATTTTTAGAGCGTTAGTGAATTAAAAAAAAGCAGTATAAAAACCGGAATGTCCAACTGATAAGGCTGAAAATTTTTTCACTTGTTATTTACAGTAAGATAAATACATTCACCAACTTTTATTAAAATAAAACCATTTAAAGTGGGTGTTCGGATTTATATATCACTTAGTATATATAGTCGTGCCATTGGCTGCAATACGTTCATAATCATATATTACAACAAAAATATTGCCCGTCTAGAGGTTCCATCACATACGTTGTGGTTCAGGTACAACTATATGATGCAATTTTTTTCTTTGTTTTAGGACGTACTGTTGAAAAATATAATACACCCAGCAGTTAAACTGTTGGGTTCTACGAAATATACATTCCCTAGTAGTTATATAGCCCGGGACATTCTTGCCAGAAAGTATTTGGACGCACTGTACGCCATAGCTGTTAGGTTAGGGTGTGATATGACGAAAAAATATTTGGCGATACCAGCTCTTCAGAGATTCTTTCTAATATTTGACAAGATCGATGCCAGTGAAGATTATGCCTGTCAGATGAAGGTGAAATTTACTCTTCTACCTTGAAGCCTCATTATTGCGAGAACGCCTTGTGTAAATATACCTATTACCACTTGAGAGTTGCAGAAAAGCGTCAAATATCAAAGTACGCGGTTTTTTCCGCTTCGATGCCTACTCATCGCCGCTGGCTATCAGAAGGTGATTGATGCGTTATGCGGAATATGTTTGATCATCGATTAAAGGGCTCTCCAAGATGCCCAACCTTATGTTGTATTTAGACGTTCACGTACATTTGCCGTCGTCACCGCCATATTGCCAACCAAGTAGGTTTGCAGTAACTTAGAGGTAATAAAAACATTCTCAGAATTTCTCAACAACGGAAAAGGGAGTTCCATACCCTGCGACAACAAGCCGAGAGGTGGCAACGCTGACACCTCAAGATAGTGGTTCGACACATAAAGGTTGATAGCGCCACGGTACATATAGTAGTGGACCTAGTTTACTACCTACCAACAGGAATATTATTTGATCTTGATAATGTAGAGCCAATTTTGGTTTTTTGACTTCTGTCAATTAAATAGTTTTGTAGAATTTTGATTACAGATCCTTTAAATGCGTAGTGATACATAATAGCTGTATAATATATTAACAGTCAAACATACTCTGCAAAAATAATTGCAGATTATTGCAATGCTGATTGCCTATATTCAGACTAAGCCGCTCTCTGAATCCCCTATTCGATATAAAATAGAGAAAGCAAACACATTTCATTACCAATTTGCATTATTTAGTATCATTCAGTAAAAAAAACATCCAAAATTCATCAAAATCTTAAACTGATACGGCTGGAAAGAAATATCTTTCTGTTATCGATGATAGCCTGTGTTGACAACTGCTACAGCCCATTGTGGAATGAAAATATTGAATTTTCCCACGAACGTCCTTCAAGGAAGCGTTATTATTAATTTAAAATCCAGGTATAGACCATTCATCAGACTACACTCGATTCTCACGGATTGTTTATAAACATGACTCCAAATTCTTCTTTTAGACAAGAGAACAAATGAAAGAAGGCCTTACAAGATCGATAGAAGAATCAAGTTTCGTCGAATACTGCAGAGACGGTACAACAACTGAATGGGCTCTAACGGGTAGACCAGTCCATATCTCACACGTCCGTCTCAAAGACTCAGAATCCGCTGACAGTTTATCCCCACCTATTCCCTCGCATGTGGTCTCTTCATTAGGTGAAAACAGTGTAGTAAATCTCGCACTGGAAGAATTGAAGGTGGTGTTTACCTCAGAATTGGCGCATGCGGCGTATCTGCCGTTTCTGAGGCACATGGGGCCTGCCGCTATGGAGACTTGTCTTCACAACCATGACAATGTTAGGAATCTGTGTCAGGAGTATGAGCAGGAGATGAAGATGAACAAGCCTAACGTGGTGCCGAAGTATACCCTGTCTGATTTCAGTAGAAGTCAAGGTAAGTAACTGCATCAAGAAAGTTTGAGAAAGTTTTAAATGAGATTATGACTTCACAGCAACATAGTGAAACCAGTATAAAATGATTTGCATTTTTAATAGCTGAAATAGGTTTTTATATCCATTTTGAAGGATTACTATCTTTTCACTCGTGTTTCGGAAAAAAAATATCTGGAATTCGTACATTGAAGGGAACTCATTTAAATTCCCTGCATTTCCCGCCAGAGGGATCAGAAAAGGATTTCATGTTTACTACGGATACTGTAGCAACCTTGATACGAAATTTTACTTTTGAATTTTGGATAGCATGATTGCCACTTTCATAGAAACATGTAAAAACATCTAAAATATACTTTCTTTGAGCAATAAGTTACAGTTCTTGTTTTACATGAACATTTTTATCATCATCCTGTAGCAAAAGAAATATGGTGAACTGATATGTGAAGGTTTTTTAACCAGTTGGGATTTTTGATATAATGCCAGACAAACGTTTGCGTGCTTCTCAATCGCTACTAGCTAGCTAGACAAAATATGCTTTGATCTGATTGTTTTTTAAAATTTTTGTGTATGTATTATCATTTGGTTTTTTTCAGGAGTGTCAGCTTCAAGCAGTATTGGAAGCAACATAGCCTTGATAGGTAACCGAATTGATGTCCAAACAGAAGATACAGATGGCACTAATACTGACTTATTGAATGTAGTGAAATACAGAATGGAAAATAATGCTAGACATCTTAGAGGGAACTGGTTAGCATATTGGGAACATGAAATCGGAAGATCAGAAAAGGATAATATGTTCAATTTCAAGCAGATAAAGTTGCAGACTTTTACGGGTAAATAAGCAACTTGTAAATACAAGACTTAAAATCTGACAGTAGCTACCGCTCTTTTAACTGAGTCAACACAGACCAGGAAAGTAATATTTTTCTCATTTTCAGGACATACCCATAGTGTGAAATGCCTCTACGCCCTCGACAACGAGAACAGCTTCATATCGGGCAGCAGGGACAAAACTGTCAAACTATGGTCACTCCGTAGCCAAGGTGACGGATTTGCTACAAACACCTGTCAACTGACATATACCACTCACAGAAAATCCGTGATGTCTCTGACCTTCATCGAGAGCATGCGATTAGTAGCATCGTGTGACAGCATTGTCCACATCTGGGACCCTTTCATGGGTGTCAATTTGGCTGTCTTGGAATCGCCGAGGTACTGTCCTGTAAACGTGGTACAGAGCATGTCATCTCCATCCAGTTTGGTTTTTACCGCTACTACAGAGGGTAGTGTCAAAGTGATTGATATCAGGCTGCTTAGTTATATTCAAGAGTTGAAGGTAAGCTTAACAATTACACATGGACAGCTATTAACGCCAGTATCGACATTGATTAACGTATTCTACTTGAAGATAGGCAACCATATATTGTATTTCGGCGCCAAAAAATGGGTCTGAAAGACTATGAGATAGCAGAACAGGAAAATTAATTTAGAAATCTTCTTTGAAAACTGTTTGTGTTTGGTTCTGATACTATGCTAGGATCTTTAATTCCTTTTTGGCGTTCTTCTAATGCCTATATTAATTGAATATAATCAATATAAATTGTTGAATATAACAACATTTGATTTGAACCCGATAGCAATTCGACTTCAACTCGATTTCAAATTGTTGCCTGGCTTTCGGGTTCTTACCAAAAGCAACTGCTGAGCAACTGGTAACTTCATCTTGAGGTTGAGGAATTTGGAATGTAATTTTTATTCTTAAAAACCTTGACTGAAAGAAAATCGTATACTAAGTGACATATAAATCCGAACACCCAGTTTAAATGGTTTTATTTAAGTACCTAATGAAGCATAATAAGTAAATGATATAAATTTCAAAATAATTGCACTGCTTTAAAGCCCTTTGACCTTTAATAATGTGTGGATGCACCCTGATGTGCTACGTATTCTCCAACGCGCCTAGGCATGCTTCTGATCAGGTGGTCAATGTCCACCTACTCCTCTCGAAGTGCTTCTAGAGTCTGAGGAGGACGTTGCGAATTGAGCAATCTCCTACCCATCATATCCCACACGTGCTCAATTGGGGATAAGTCGGGAGATCTTGGTGGCCATGGTAACAATGTGACATCATTATGTTGAAAGAAGTCTATTGTGACTCTTGCAACATGTGGTCGGGCATTATCTTGTTGGAAAGTTGGATCTGCCACGGTGTCAAGATAGGGTAAAAGATGGGTTTCTAGAACTTCGTGGATAGAACGCTGCGCGTTCATGTTACCTCTGATGCAGATTAAAGGTGACCTGGCACCATAAGCTATAGCACCCCAAACCATAACTCCAACAGTGTGATGAACATGTCTTTCAACAAAAAACTGTGGATTCCTCCTTTCACCACGTCGCCTTTTACGAAAACAGTGCACTCTAGGAAAAAAAACAATTGTAATTATTTGTAGCAAATTGAGGGTAAATTTTGAAAAAATGTGCATTCTGAAAAAAAAACAGTGCCGTACTATTTTTATTTGGAAAAATAATACCTCTAATCCCCTGTATCTCCGCCACTGCTGCACGTTAATTTTAAGTAAAGACTTTTGAAAGGGTAAATCCACATACCAAATTTTAGTTCATTCCAGTTTACGGTTTTGAAGAATTTTTAAACTTCAACACCGCGTATCTTTTTGAAGAAGCCCTCGAGACCACCCTTAAAATGCGGTCCTGGTCATTTTTGGTCACGACTTGTGAATCACCCTGTATAATGTGCAATGAACGATTTGCGGAAAGTAACACCTTGTACCCAAACATATTTCTAAACTCTGAGCCGCACTCGTACACTATTAAATTGCCTGTCTCACTTCGTGTATTAACTGTAGTTTTTCTGGAAGATTTTCATCACTGCTGGTCCAATTGAATCAATTCGAAGAACACAAAAACGAGGTGGATGAAGTACATTTTAGTTTCTGAACAAACTTTGCGTTTCAGTTTCGGTCCAAAATCCGAGTTTCGATTTCGGCAGAATGTTTGATAGATTTTTTCGGTAGACGCTAGGCGGTACAATATTAATCGCATGTTCGGATTCTTGTTGGTAGTTGCTTTTTAGCTTGTTATACAGGGTGAATCAAAATGATGTTTCATTACCCCAATTTTGGCATACTATATGTGGGAAGCCGTCATCAGCCAATCAGAACCACCCATTCCATTTCATTAGAACCTCATTATTTCTATTTGTTCTTTACTCATGTCAGTGCCTACAGTGGATGTATTTTTAGAGTCAACTATACTTTCACGTTTTTATAATATTCTATCCGCATTTAACATTTTTTAGACGAAATTGTACAGAAGTTTATTGTCTTTTATTGGTATATCAAGTTTTTTCACATAGTCTATCATTTTGTTTTATATACTGAAAGGCTGTAAAAGGAAACTATTGCCCTAATTTTATAAGGTGCAGTATAATAGCCAAAGGTTAGGAACTTAGAAGAAATACATTATTTTATTTCCTAACACAGAAGAGTATTTCTGTTTTGTTAGACCAACATTAAACATTAAAGAAAGACTGATGTCCATTTTTTTTTTTTGGAAATACAGTAACATCTAACCTCCCGTATCAAATGGGAGACGGCTTTCAGAACGCCTGAATTATTACGATAATTTAACTACAATTGCCTCCCAAAGTGACAACGTCGTATCAACATAATAATACCGCTGGAAAGATTTACCTTCATTTGGCTTGTGCCGCTCTTCGCAAATTATGCAAGAAGTACCATGTCCTAAAATCGTCGAACACCAAAATTATCTGCTAACAAAAATAATACGAATTTAAAAAATTAACTTGGTTCAAGTCCACTTGTAGTTATGCACTTTTATCTTGACTACAAACTGATATTTTGAAGACATACAAATCGTAGGATTGCTCCTTCTACCTAGTCTGAATTCGTTAGGCATGACGACCCATAGTATAGAACTAATATATCTTAAGATATATAATGGCTATATCTGAAGCAGATGTTACATTAAATCAGAACCAAACAAGTCTCATGTCGTTTAGGCAAACACACAGCTAGTACAGGTGAACTTGAAGTGAATGACAGCTAGTTCCAGTGTGACATTTTTCCGGACAAATTTACATAATGTCATTAAATATCGATATAATGTCACTTTTTATGTTACGTAATGCGGGTGCCGCAGGCGTATAACGTAAGAATCGGTACAATGTCAAATACAGGTGCGGAAGGGTTATTAAGTAAAAAACATATAAAATGGCACAAAACCGATAAAACGTAATCTTGTTGACTAAGTAGGGTAATGTGCAAATAGTTCATTCCGCGCTTGCAACAAGTGCTACAGCTAGTTCCATGTTCACGTGTTGTAGAAAAACCCATTTCATGTGATAGAAAAATCTACATAATGTCACTTTTCAAGTTACGTAATACCCCTGCCGGTGAGGGATGGCTCTAAGAGTAAACAGTATTCATTCCGTTATTTGACAATGTACTGTCGTATACTCCTTTTATGAACCCTTATAAACACTGTATAACGTAAAATATCGTTCCAGATCAGTTTGAACCCATCCGGCCTAATCCGATGCCTAGCCATAGCGCCTTCAGGACGTTGGATAGCAGCAGGTCAATCTTCTGGCAACATCACGGTCCTCGATACCAGGACCGGGCTCATTCTGTCAAACTGGCATGCCCACGAGAGTGAAGTGTTGAAATTGGTTGTGTATGGTGAGGATACACTCATATCGAGCAGTTTGGATCAGATGACCAGTGTTTGGAACATTGCAGATGGCAAGTTGAGGTTTCATCTTAGGTAAGGAGATTTTAAAGAATCGAGATTTTTAAATAACTATAAATTAGCAGTTACATTTTACTACCATGTCACTCGCGAGGAAGTATTGTATTCGCGAAGAATTTTGAAAATATCGTTTATGACTTACATCACGAAAAACCATGTCACTCATTTCCGTTGGTTTGTAGTTATGTCTGTCTCCTAATCATTTTTAGAAGAAAAAATATGGGTGTTGAAAGTTGGGGATGTAGGGAGTGGGGTAGGGTATATCTCAATTTTTTGACTTAGTATACGAGGTCTGTAAATTAAGTGATGAGACTGTCTTCTTTAATTTCTCTATTCAAATGTGATTACAATTTCATATTGCCACCCTCAATATAATTTCCTTCTGAAGCCACACAGCGCTGGTGACTGTTCTTCCAGTCCTCATAGCAGTGCAGGAACTCCGATACTGGAATACCCACTTGAATGTTTTCGACTGTCCAAAATGATTTCCCTTTAGGTGATTTTCAACCTTCGTGAAGAGAAAAAAGTCACAAGGACTCAAGTCAGGCGAATAAGGAGGCTGAGAAGCCACAGGAATGTTGTTACTGGCCAAAAACACGTTTATTGACATTTCTGTGTGAGAAGGAGCATTATCGTGTGCAACATCCAGTTTTTCTTGATCTGACGAACGGTGGTGCGAGACAGATTTAACTCTTCCCCTGTCAACCGATGATCTGAATGCACAAGAGTCCGGATTCTGTCGATATTTTCATCGGATCTTGAAGATGAAGGCCTTCCGCTTCGTGGTTTATCGTCATTCGACTCTCTGCCTTCTAAAAATGCATTAAACGACCGAAAAACCAAGGCTCTTTGGAAAACACTGTCTCCGTAGGTCTATTTAGCGAGAGTTTTCGTTTTGCACTGAGCCCACGTCTGAACTGGTAGCACAGCGTTGCTTGAAATTGTCACTCATTTTTAGAACATAATAGATAAACTGTTTCACAAAAAAGGATCGATGCGGATAACCAAATGACTCGAGCGAACTCAAACTTGTACTGAAGGCGGATCACATATTCCCCTGTCTCCCCTCCAAGCAGGGCGCCTACTGTTGCAAGATCGAACGCTACGTTGCCAGTCTCATCACTTAATTTACAGACCTCGTATTTATATTTTTCCAACCTCGGTAATTCTACGCACCTATCAAACATATTCCACACATAACATTTACGATGAGCGTTGCGTGGGAAGTGCAACATCAAACAATTTGACGCCATTTTTACAATGTTAATCTCACAGAATAGTTATTAGCTTTATTCGGATTACTCATGAAACTGACCCAGAACCGTTATGACACTGCATACCTTGAACGGTTCTATGACGGCTTCATGTAGATCCCGAATGAAACTATGAATGTTCTCTACCATCTAATTCCCTAATAGTTTCTGTCTTCCTAGGGGAGCCACAGAACCAGTTCATTGCCTCAATGTCTACAACGACGAGCTGATTTCTGGCACAACTGCAAATCGGATAGGTGTCCACACGTCCATAGACGCCGATGCGTGTTTCTCCAGCACTAAGTTGAGTTCTGACGCGTTCAAAGGCCTGCTCACTTCCATGGCGCTCTTGCCACTCAATAGATTGTTGTTATTAGGAGCAGATACTGGTACTATTACGCTGTTATGTTAGAGGCTCTCACGTTCTTACTTATATACTTGGTATATTTGTTTTCGATCATCACAGGTTAGGCTTGAGCATTAGCAAAGTCGTTGCAATGACAGGGACGAATGTCACACGATCAGTATTTACTGTGATCCGCACCCGTATTTCGTAACTTGTAAAGTGACGTCATATAAATTTTTAAGGACATTATGTAAGTTTTTCCGACAAAAATTCAGCTTGGAACTAGCTGTCATTCATTTCATGTTTACTAATACCAGCTTGTCATGTGGCCTAAATTTTCCTCTTGAACTAAACACTTCTGTCTTTCTTTGCTCTTCTCTTTTTTTATTCCCTTTCCCTTTTTCATTGTCTGGTTTCTGGGCAATCAGGACTGAGAAATTCGACTAAGGCAAGGCGCGCACTGAGGTAGTGTGGTAGTGGTGAGGTATTGGAGTGGTGAGAGGCATAGGGATGGTAAAATTTGGCCTGGCGATCGGAATAGCGGCGAAGTGGTATGAAAGTGATATAAAGCGCACTGAAGTGGCAAACAAGTCAGTTGATGTCACCGGTTTACCATGTCGTCCTCAGAAGATGAAGATGCCCTTTTATTTATGCAACTTGTTAATCTAAATGCTATAAGTCAGGAGACGAAGAAAAAACGGCATTGGGTTCATCCGCTGTGGCAAAAAATAAAAAGTTTGGAATTTTTCATGTTTATAAAAAGGATTTGAACTTGGACGACCAAAAATTTAAACTTTTCTATCGAATGAAGAAAGAGACTTTTAGCAAGTTACTGACTAAACTACGGCCTATGCTTCAAAAAAAGGATACGAACTTCAGGAAATGTGTTTCTCCCGAAGAAAGCGTTCTAATAACACTGAGGTACGTACAATGAAAAAATATAAATACAGATATATTGACTATCCAAATACAAACTTATTGTACAACATTATTCTTAAAAAGCAAATTCATGATCAAGATTTAGGACTCCCACTTTATATATTCTTTTCTGCTTGTCTGTCATTTTTTTTAAATCGGGCAATAGACTCAACAAAAACTGCACATCGGCATCATCATTAGTGAAAGCAGGTGGTCTATACGGTGCTTGCTTCTTTTTTTCAAAAAATTCAAAGGCAGATTTGTTAACATCTGCCAAAGATATTTGATTCGGAGTAGTTTTATTTCTTTTAGGATTATTTACACTAGGTACTGACGAACTGGATACACTTCTCTTTTGTGTTTTTTGCTTTGGACCTCCAGAATCATTTTTTTCCAAACTGTCTGTCTGAGATACAATAATATTTGATACAGGCTCGTTAAATTCTTCAGGAATCGACTGTTCATCATCAATATCGTCATTTCTCCCTTGGTTGTTTTTGTAATTTCCAATTTTTGGACTTCCTAATTGTTGAGTTTCAAGCTCTTCGGTCTCTAGGTCCTCCGTAATTGATTCTTCATGAATTATATCGGCCGTTTCAATATTCTTTGGTGCGTCAACATTTCCTTTCGGTTGGCGGGACTTAGTGAACGGTAAAACAAAACATATGTACTCCGAGAGATAGTATGGGCGTTTTACCGATGCTCCAGATCCAGATGGCATGTATGTCTTTAAATGTTTCGTGTAACTTCCACGTAAATTCTTCCACCATTTTTTGCAATCTGCGATGGTAGCTACAATAAAAACACATCATTAAGATATACAAATGAAGCGTGCTGAGCATAATGTGTGTGTAAAGTTTACTTTATTGCTTCCTATTATTATAATTGTTAATAATATTGTTATTAATATTCACTTGTTTACGCTTTCGAACACTATTAAAAAAAAAGTGAAATAACGCCAATTAATATGTAATTTTTTATATTTGTAAAACCAAAATGCCGTGATGTGGGGAAAACCACCACTTCCACACTTTGTTTGGTAAAATAAAGTACCTACTTAATTATTGTTTTTCTTTCCAGGTATTTTGCAACCGGCTGCAATCTAAAGGCACTATCATGTTATTTTTTGAGAGGTCATACTACCATTAGAGAAATAATTGCAAGAACTTCAGTAGTAATTTGGAAAGTTCTACAACCAACTTATCTTCCTAATCCTACCAAAGAAACATGGGTACAATCAGCTCGAAGATACTGGGAGTTATGGAATTTACCAAATTGTGTGGGGAGTATAGACGGTAAACACATCAGGATCAAACGTCCACAAAATCAGGTTCCGAATTTATTAATTACAAAGGGTATTTTTCCATTGTTTTGATGGCTGTATCAGACGCAGATGGCTGTTTCTTGACCATTGATGTTGGTGAGTACGGCCGAAATAGTGACGGGAGGGCATTAAAAGAAAGTAATTTTGGAAAGAAATTAGTTAACAGCACGTTAGACTTGCCAGACCCATCTCCATTACCAGGACAAGACACAAATTTTTCATTTTATTTTGCTGCAGACGAAGCTTTTCCATTGATGTGTAATAATGAAACCCTACAATAAAAGAGGCTTAACAAATAGAAAAAGGGTATTCAATGGTAGGTTATCAAGAGGTCGCAAATCAGTTGAATGCTCATTTGGAATGATGTCATCCAAGTTCAGAATTTTACACACAACAATTGGTCTTAATATAAATACAGTGGACAATATTGTTAAAGCAGTGTGCTTACTGCATAATTTTATTAAAAAAGAGGAAGGTATATTTTCGCGCCCGCGAGGAAAGAAAGGAAATGATGATGACATAGAAGTAGAAAATGAGGAACAGCCTTATCCGAGACTCTCAAATCAAAGAAGAGCTACCAATCCAGCAATTGCTACACGGGAGAAACTTTGTGATTTTTTTTTAACAGTGGACGGGTCACTTAAAGGTCAAAAACGATTTTGTGTATGAAAACAAGAAGATAACAATATTAACAGAATAAAAAGATAACTAAATAATGCCTTTAAATAAAAAAATATATTTTTCAAGGAACCACATTTTTTTATTACTTACCTCCTTCCCCAATGTCTTTTGCAATTTTCGCCCAAGCCCGTTCTTGCACATGGATCATATGATAATCCTCCCGTGTATTGTCATACAGACAGGGATATGCCTCTACAAGGGCTACAAAATTAATGTTCAATTCGTGGTCGTCTCGCATGATTCACTCCAGGAAAAAGTAAACAAAAACCCACGTCACCAACCGCTTGCCAGTCGAAAATTAAACTTGCTCGAGATTAGTGGCACCAGACTGACATCACGCCACCTACAAAATGCCACGCCACCGCTACTCCATTTTGATACGCGCGTCTTCATTTGTTTATATAGGCTTTAGTGATTCCACCTGCCACTTGATCACCGCGCCACTACCACGTCACTTGCTCACCATCTCAGTGCGCGCCTTGCCTTACGTTCATTAGACAGTGACTAATGGGCAAAGGTCCTACGGACCGCCCAGACAAACAAGTGACGAAAGTATGTTGCCTAAACATCATGAGGAGCTGTATGGTTTCACTCCGATGTGATGTAATATCTGCTTCAGAGATGGCTCTAGTGGAGGCCATTTATAGCTCCCATGGATTAACTTGGGCGTTCTATACTACATATTACAGAAGTGAGGGGTTGGCTTGCCAGCCCTAATGTCCCTGCGACCCAAGTGGATCTATTGTGACACCCCTATATAATTTCCAAAGCACTGTGCACTGTGGGCCTTCGTTCTTTGATGAACTCTTTTGCCTGCCTTTGCCCCAATCGGCTGTTCCATAATTCTAGAGACTTTTTTTGGTCCAATTTCTTATTTACTGTTGTACGTGTTCTCGTCACGCCTCAGAAAGGCCTATGAGGCGATTAGGCGCACCCTATCGGGCAAGCTCATCCGCCTTTTCATTTCCTTTATGCCCTTCGTGTCCTGCTACCCAAAGCAACGTTACCTTGTTTCGGTTTTCCAGCTCTTTGAGAGTGTTCACGCAATCGCATACTAGTCTGGACGATATTTACGATGAACTTAATGCCTTTATGGCTGCCTGGCTGTCCGAGTAGATGGCGATCGACTGATTTGCAGTCTCATTTCTTATTAGTCCTTTTGCACCAACGAATTCGGACTAGGTTAGAAGAAGCCAAGCCAATATGTCGTTAAAGGATTATTTATTAGCAACAACAGATCATTGTTTACACAAAATTTGACCTTGAACGAAAATTGTATTCTCTTCCCCGAGTAGACATTGTCGTGCGTAATATTTTTTTAAAGGTAAAAATAAGATACGGATTCATAATGTCGAGGGGAAAACAATGTTCAAAATATGAAAGAAGCTACCTTTAAATGTAGGTTATTTGTAGAATTGTGAAGCAACTGAAAATACATTCAGAAAAGAGGTTTTATAATTAGGCAATAAAATATGAAGAATCTAATCTTAACTAAGAAATATGATCGAAATAAGCTCAATTCACGTATATTGCTTTTTATTAATTTGCCTAATCACCTGGATGGGTAAATCTTGTGAATGCTGACAATGTTTCATTGTGATTGTAAGCAATAAATTAGCCTCTTCTACAGAAATGATGTTAGGTTTGAGTTCCAATGCTGTGTTGATTGCTAGACACAGTTGGGTACAGCTTAAATCGAGTTCAGCATTGTAGTGATCATTAAAATTGATTGAAATCGACCATATTAAAGCAATACACAATGGATTTTTTTGCTTGCACATTAGGTTGTATTTGATAATTTTATTTTTTGCATGGAACTTGAATCTGCTCTGAAAATATATTAGCATCATGGGCACTGTAACAATCTAACCCATTTAATATAAACATAAGGATACATTAATTAATAGAACACCCAAAACCCAAAGGAAAACAAAAATAAAGACAATAAAAAACATTTATTGATAGTACAATGCTAAGTCTATACATAGTATGTATATGCAAGTATGTGGATAAAACATTACCAAAGCACAATAAAAAAAATAAAAAAGATTGCATTGATTTATTAGTTCACTGATATTGGAATAGCAAACTTTTTGTCAACTTTGATCTGATCCTTTGATTTGAGTCCTTCAAACTATTTAGTTCGTGGTAGATTCTTATACTATAATATTTTTGGAGGATCAATTTTATAGTGTCAAAAACATGATTTGTATCATAAATATGCGAACCAAATGAATCTAAGGAAGAGAATGGTATATTTTGCAGTGACTTTTGCGTTAATGTGGGAACAATGTTTTTCTTAAATATACTCCCACATGCCTTAACTACTCTGATACTTTTCCCCTACTTTACATATGTCTATTAAGAATTTAGATGCATTGGTCAATGTTCCAAAAGTTTTTTTAATTTGCAACTGTGACAGAGGTTCTTCGCTTTCTAACAAATTGAGACACGAGTCACACGTAATGCATTTCTTCAAGCATTTAACTACAAAGCCTGCAATGTATGCAATAACATCTTCACAATATGTAGTCAAATGCCACACTGGAGAGCCTGGAAAGTCCATTTCATTAATTTTCCTGGAAACATCTTTATATTCCTGAATATCCAATAAGTTTTCACCATTTTCACTTTTAGTCAATGTAGAGCAATGTAATATGCTTGTACAGTCTAAAGCGACTGCATTAGCATTTTCGCTACTTTTTAAATGCGAGTGAATGAGTAGTCTTTTATAAATGTGTTCAAACTGAAGTGCAGTTGGATTATTATTACTTCCTCCTCTGTTTCTAATTGCACTAAATAAGATTTCAAGATGATCGTGTGAAAATTTATATGTTAGAAGCAAATTTAAAATGTTTGTTTCTATGTATTCCTGATATATATTTTGAATGCTAGTGATGGTAACCATAAAGCCAAGGAATCCAGTTTTCCTTCTTGTATTCAATACTTGCATTCCATTCAAATTTATACCTTCCATATACATTTTACAATAATCTAAATATGTGAAAATGAAATGTTTTGGTTTTGGACTGAGAGCTCTTTTATAAATATATTTTGAGTGTATTGTATGGACGGTGAAAATATCAAATAGGTTATTAAATATTTCTGTAAAAACTGCTGTGGATTCAACATTTTCAAATTGTTGTAAATGTATATCATCTCGTAAATAACGAAAAGCATCTGCTGTGCTTTTGCTGAATGTCTGGGATGCCAATTTTACTTTCATTTTCTCACGGAACCATTCAGTATGCCTTTTTCTGATTTTAGTTCCTGCTTTAAGACCTTCTTCTGATTCAAAATCAACTAAATTTTTGAAATAGCTCCATAAAATTTGCTTCCCATCTCTATCTGTTAAAATTTGCGGACTAGCCAAACAATTTCTAACTAGTTTCAACATATGAGGAATATCACAAAAAAATTTGAATTTTTTTATTATTAATTGGGTGTAAAAAATATGATTTTAAATTTGAGATATTGCTGAAATCAGCACCCAAAGTTGTTGCCATACTAATGTTTGATGAAATTCCATCAAAAGTTAGTGACATTATTACAATTCCTGTGCAATCAAGAAATTCTAACAATTTTAGGACTATATTGGCTTTCTCATTCCCATTAAGTCCATCAATGAAAAAATATCCAACAGGAATTTTCCAGTGTCCGTTTACAGCAACTACCATAAACACTATTGCTTCCTTTGCCTCAGGCACCTCATCTGAATCCAAATTTGTGCCAATATATACACGTACATAGCCTGTGAACTTCTTTCCTGTCCACTGTACCTGCCTCATTATTGCCATTTCATCCATAAGTTGCAAAAAGTTTTTTTGCCATTCTTGCCATTCTCAGCTACCTTCATTTTGATGGCATTCAAAGATTCTTTGGTGAACCCTGTACCTCCATCAACAGATCTAAACCACTTGGTGATAGTATTTATGTGTGGCAAACTTTTATTAAAAGTGTTGCGGACGTAATTGTATGCTCTACTAGAATAAAAACTAAGTGTTATTGCAAATGATCTGAGTTGTGGAGAAAACTTTCTTGTTGAACTGCCTTTTAGCATTCTGGTGAATAGATCTGCTGCAAGTGAGTCAGGGAGTGATGCCTGAAGATAAAATTCAGTTTCATTAAACTAAGAATATTTTTTTTTTATACCCTTTATAACACTCGCAGCACTTTCTGTTACACCATATTTGTCCTGCAAATATATTACTAGAGAATTCAAATTATGAATTCTCGCCTTCAAACTCCTTTTAGCAGATTGCAAGTTTATTATTTTCTTTTTCTGTGAGGCAATTGTTTTCTTCGCTATCTCCCCTCTTTAGAATTCTGAAAATACCTGCTTTCAACTCTCTTGGCAAATTTGTTTTTTGGGATCTTTCACGCAGAAGTGGTTCATACAGTTGTTTGGACAATAATTTTAAAAAATCCATTCTTTGTAGCCTATTTGCGTTGACACAAGACTGATGGATGATGAATGCATTTATTGAAGACATATCCACAATTCTGTAAAACAGAGCCATAGGCCAGCGTTGCGTTCTTCTGCTACAGCAATATTTACTACATTTTTCGTCTACAGCATCCACTCCAGATTTTGTGTTATTATAAAAGGCATTAATTTCTGGCAAACCGCTGTCTTCCGGCTTGGAGCGATGCATCGAATAAATCATTATTACAGCTTTATTTTTCTTTGGTACTGTGGAAATCAATGTTTTGTTACTTGTAAAGCCATATAGTGTGGATTTCACCGGTCTTGTTTTAGAAGGTAGAAACTCTATGGGTATTTCACGTTTGTTTTTTTTCATAGTACCCACGTAGGTAAGTTTGTTTTTGATGAGATGATTGAGGAATACCAGTTATCACCAGTAATATTTCTGTTGCTTCCAAATATGGGCTTACAAAGACGAACAACAGCTTGCGTTGGAATAGAAAAGCGTTTTTCTTCTTCTGTAATATCCTCTAGCGAATCGGTGCCCTTGCCACAATAAATATATGTATTTTATATGTAGTGGGTCTGAGCATCAACAAGGCATTGCACTTTCAAGCCATATTTTACAGGTTTGCTTGGTAAATACATTTTGAATTTACACCTGTCTCTAAAACTGACCAACATCTCGTCAATAGTTGCATTCGCTCCCAAACAGTAAGCTGATTGCGAATTTTGATTGAATTTTTTATATATATATGTGAGATTGCTGCAGCCGGGTCAGTTTTTATTCTTAGTACTCTCTCTTCATAAGAATCGAATCTTAGGCAAGCTAATAATACGGCGAATCTTTTTGCTGACATTACCAATCGGAAGATTTCTCTACCAGTTCCGTCGGTTGCAAAGATTGATTCAATAGCCTCATTATTTGACTTGAAAACAGCATTCAACAGCAAGAGTCCCAGAAAACCATTAATTTCAACAGATTTTGTTTCCCTGTATTCCGTACGATTTTCATTCCCTGGCTTCGAATGAAATTCCTGGATTTTCAAATTTGTGTAATGTACAACGATTTCTAGAATATCGTCAGAGAAAATTTTCCGCCATGCGTCCACCGGTTCAATGTTTGGCAAAGCATTTTTGTTTCCATTTGTAAGTATCTGTTTTTTCCGTAGAAATATCTGTTTACTGGTTCACTTGTTTCACTGTCCTCTTCACTTTCAATAACCTGCATCTCCTCTCGGCCATCATTATCAGAAGCACTGTAAGAAAGCTCACTCGTTCTTTCGTGATCACTTGTGATGGCATTCTTAGAAGTAATATTGCTCTTAGGATCTGCATCTTGATCTGAAAAGTCTTCGTCACATTCTTCAAACCATCTTTGTACAGTTTCTTCAAAATTAGGATCCGTGAACCTAACTCTGTTTGGATTCCCGTTCATAGTTGCAAAAGTGAAAATATAATACTAACTGCGTCGCGGAGTCCCACGGACTCCCAAGTTCTTTGTTACGCGCACTTGCCTGGATGATAGACTGAAGTCAACTGAACACACGCAGGGATGTTCCGACATGCACACTTGTGCATATTATACACAATTTTACGAACATATGCACAAATGCACCCCCCACACAAAATATGCACAGTCGTCAATAAATAAAGTGCATTTTTTATACAAAACTGGCAATACATTTTCTTAACAGCTTCACGAACTGAGTGAAATATACTGTTAGGCTGACTTGTTTTACCATAAAGTGGAGCACCTTATTAGTTATACTCATTACGGTTGTTGGGGACACTTTAAATGTAGTTCCTATGCTTAACAAAGTATCCTGTGTAGCCATATACCACAAGAATATTAAAATATGGCCATATAAACTCACTAGATGATATCCACCTGTATACGGTTTTGCTAATTTCTTTTTTCATCATTTCTGCTGAATCAATAAATGATTTCTTTGACATGCGGAAAAATTTAGAGAATTGAAAGTTATCATTAAAAAAAAATCTGAAAAAACATTTCTCCCATGAATATTATGAAAGGTTTCTTATTTAAACTTTCCATATACAGTTTTAGACGAAAACGCACCGATTATTAAGTGATAATAAAAATAATCAGAGATTATATACGCCCTTTTCTAAAATAAACAACTTGCAACAAAACCGCGGTTAAAACCAATGCGTTCAAGCGATTCGTGTAACTGACGTCATCAACCCGTGTGTCATCTTGAACCATATTATAACCGCGCCACATAACACAGAAATTTTGGTTATTCGCTTGGATTTGATTATATATCATATATGCACATTTTTAAAGAAATATGCACAATTTCTATTAACATCTTTGCACAATTCAAAATCTATCGAGAACAACACTGAACACACGTCGCATCCCCCCACCATAGGAAGGTACTGAACGGCGCACTCTGTTTAATAAACGGAGACGGAATTTATTAACTAGTATATACTTGCTGGAGTCCGAAGGACTCCGCAACGCTGGTTAAGGGTTAAACTGCTTTTTACACAACATGCAACACTTCACCATCTTCGAGAATAGTCCAAAATGCTATACATTCTACTGAAATATTCCAAAATCCTCAAAACTATGTGAAAATACCACGAAAAACACACGTAAACATAAGCAAAACAAAGCTTCCCCTCAATTCTACAAAGCCGCAGTATAAAACACCACAAATCAGCCCAGCTGTTCTTAATTTGCCACCACAGCGTTGCCACGCGTAGCAAGCACATCGTAGTCTTCAGGAAATATCACGGGGATATATGTAATGCATAATGCATATTTCTTGTCTTCGGTGCTTATTTCAGATATATTTTGAAATGCTGAGTACGAAACCAGAATAAGAATAACTCAAGACATTTTCGGTTTATTTTTTGAAAAATGATCATATTTGTTTTAATTTGTGCGAGTTCCGTGAAATTGATAGGTTTTGAAGCTATGATGACACTGCATCAGTTAGTGGAAACATTATACTATGAAACATATTAGCGTACTGAATCAAAGATTTTCTTTTTGGTGCAGGTGTTACAAATAATTTATAACTGTACATACACATGAGTTGTTCTATTTGAAGATATTGGAGACAAATGAATACTCTTTATTTAGTTATCACCACGTATAACATTTTATGATTATTTTTGCACTGCTCAGTGTTATCATCTTTTGGTTGCGTGAAGGCAGTTGTTGATTTTGAACAAGATGTGACAACACCGCATAAAACAGGTAGCACTCAAGTTTGTTGTCGCGCTGGATGATTGATTCAAACAAATCCTTTATTTACGTCTTCTACCCGTATTCGAAATCGTTGTTTTGCACTACTTGTACGGACGTTACTTCAGCCTAAATTATTGTTGCAATATTGCCTAGACTTATAGAGATCTCAGTTTTTGACCTTGTCCCATAAATCCCGGCTCCAGCTCCGTATTCAGTTTTCAAGCCGTCCGTGTACCAGTAGCTTTTGGCAAGTATAGCAGGTCCTTTCTTTAACGCCCTCCTTTCTGGTACTATCGTTTTATCGAAATTGTATACTGGAACAGTTGTGTCCGCGGGCATTACTAATATAGGATCCGCCTTCAATTCTGTGTAGTGTTTGATGGTCTTTTCCGTGCTGCCAACTGATCGGTGATTGCCCTTGAGCTAGTCTGTGAGTCACGGAAAGGGCATTACCCTGAATAAATACGTGTAATGGTGGTAGGACGAGATGGACCTCCAACGCTGCGGTGGGATCGGTATGAATGGCCCCGTGGCGCTCAAGCAAGCTAGCATCTGTACGCCACTTAATAACTTCACCGCTCCCGACTGTGTAGTATTTGTGCACCATGTCACTGATCCATACATAGGTTATCATGGTTCTCACCACCCTCGTGTTTAACCACACCTTCCTATGGCTAATGTAGCTTTCTGTGCTGTTCTGTTGATGTGAGAGCTCTACGTTAATATTTGGTCAAAGATGACTCCAAGATATTTTGCCTCGCTGGCATAGGGGATCTCTACACCATGCAGGGTTAGTGGCGTGAGGCCTTCTAGAACCCACCTTCGAGTAAAAGTGGCGACGGTTGTCTTGTGCGGATTTAAAGCTACGCTTTCCGTCCTTCACTACCTGTCGACAATATTAATGGCCATTTGGAAGCATTGGGAAATGGTCCTTGCAAACGGGCCTTTAACTATGACTACGATGTCGTCGGCATACCCTAGAACTGCCCATAGCAAGGGAGATAGCACTCCTTCCTGAGGATATTCCAGCCCCACCTTCGCTTCAATGGTGGTATCCCCTGATACAGACGTTATAGTCCTATTTTTCCGGTTGGCCTCTATGCATTGGCATAGCACGGCTGGAATCCCCTGTGGTGTAACGCATTCACCAACGATTGCGTTTTTGCGTTGTTAAACCCACCATCTATGTCTAGAAACGTTTCTACTGCTATCTCCTTGTCTAATTACTTGGATAGCAGCCTGCATAAATGATCTGGCTTAATCGTTTGATTTCCCTGGTTGATATGCGTATTGACGGCTACTGAGCGGTTCCGTCTGCAGTGCTTCGTCCCTTATCTACCCATCCACTAATCTCTCCAGCATTTTGGAGGAGAATCGATGTCAGGCATATTGCCCTATACGATTTGGCCGTTAAGTCGGATACCCTGCCTATTTTCGGCAGGCAGATGACCTTTGCCTTCGATAAATATCGGCGGATCGCAGTTAATATTGAACGTGACGCATTCACCTTATCCTATTGTAGCTTCAATTAAAAATTATTTTATCAGGTTTCATTTTGTTTAAAAATTCATATGTAAATTGAAAAATTTTATAGAAATCGACTTTCATTCAAGATTTCTACTCATTGGGCCAGAAACTGCCTTTTCTCTTAATTTAGGAGACACTTAGTTAGCAAAAACATTAGTATTTTGTCATTTTTCCCTTAATTGCAGAAAGATAACATTACATGATTTGCAGTGGTTAATTTTAATTATTTAAAAAAATTACTGAGGAAAAAGTGTAAAGCGTATTTAAATCAAAATAATCTAGAGAAAGTCTGAAAAGGAATTCAAATTATTCCCTTTTATCACATTGTCACTATCCCTTTGGTAAAAACAGGTTTTCTCATAATACCTTATTTTCCTATTGCACAATACCATTTACAGTTGTCTTTTGAACTCGAATCACCCCGTATATTTCAATCGTTCTCTCGAGGTGTCTGAACTGTCCAATATGCACATACAAAAACTTGTTCCACAAATTGTTGTGACGGCAGCCCCCAATCGAGAGCTAATCGTAGACCCCTCGTATCTACACATTTCAAATTTCCCGCCAAAGCTAACCTCAGGAACTAGGCTTTTCTTTTTATGAATTCAGTGACAAATAGCAATCTAGTGGTAGTGATTATGATAAGACAAAGCTATTATAGTGTCAATTTTGTAAGAATATCGTATTTATTTCTTAAATAACAAATTTCACATATAAGGTAGGTTATCTCTTGCTAACACAACCTTTGCGTAGTTAAGTATATAATACGGTATGAACGTATACGTTGTTGTGTTGTATGAAAGGAGAGATGTTTAGCACTCCCCTAGGCAAGGATGGAATACAAAACAAATGGTTAAGGCACAACTTAACCACAATTTTTTTGAACAGTTGAATTTTGATACAATAAATTATAGGTTTGTTTCGTAATGTAGAAGCGCTATTTACTTTTATGAGATCTTTTAAAAGGGTTTACAGTTATTTGACTGCTCCTAGGGGAATGCTTATATTGCAGCACCAATGTATCGAGTGATATAGAAGAAACAATTAAAAACTTGATGTACATGTCCTATTTTATAGTCCCTGTCAAACAAGGATTAAGGGCATCACATTGAAGTTATTTATATTCCCTACATTTAACTAAGATGACATTCTACAATAGGTGAAGCATGAATATGCGATTGCTAGCTATAGATTTTTGCATTAATGGTATTATTAAAAGCAGCAATTCCTCATCTTGAAAATTTGTAATAATGTCATTAGGTTTATTGCACTGTGCTGCAAAGGAAACATAATAGTTCTTTTCATATGCATAAATATTTCCAAAGCTATTTTTGTAATCGTCAGTTCTCATAAATTTGCTAAAAGTGATATTCTACAGCTTTAAAGTCTTACCTGAGTCAACAACAGTTTTTTTGCAGCAATTCTTTCACTGTCAAGTCTTTTTCATAGCATATTTGTTGTAGAATCGAATCTGTATGGTATATTAGGAGCAATAGCGGTTTGTTGTATTTTATTGTTCAAACTATTTCAAGTATATGTAGATGAGATAGGCATAAATAAATTAAAAACCTAGTCTGTTATATTTTAGTCCTAAATATGAACTTTATATTTATTTTTATAGAAGATCTGACAGACATTTGTTTACATGAAGATACTTGTTATAAATCTTTTATATTTTTATTTCACAAAGTATTAATTATTCCAAAGAAATCCAGAAATATTTGTATGTAGCGATATTATAATAAATCTGTTATTATGTTGTTCATCTTTTTATTTCATCTAGTTTTTCTTAAAATAAGCTTCTGATGGAAGAAAACTTTACCAAGATAGCAAAATCCAGGGAGGGCATGTTTGGTTTACAGGTTGTGCACATTTAGGAGAAAGTTGTGCGATAAAAAACGGTAGTAATTGATCGTTTCGCTGTAGAACGGAGGCTAAGGCTCAAAAACGGAAATTCTATCGCAAAAACGGTAGATCTGGATTCGCTGATGCAGGCCCAGTCAACAAATTTTATGTGGGCATTTTAAATAGTAAAAAGAGTTTTATATATATACTTATGCTTTGGGACCTCAGGCCAAGCATATACAAAATTTATTGATTACCTGACGGTTGAGTTTTTGTAAATGTGTTCTTTGTGTCAAATCGGACAGCTTTTTTTGTGCCAAAAAACCTCAGCAGCGGGGCGTTTTTTTTACAGACAATTCTTCACTTTTAGGTGTCGGACAGAAGGCATCCCCCCATAAGTATGTCCAACAATAGTACCTCTCGATTTTACACATTTTTCTTGATCTATATTTCAAAATCCCAATTTTGAGGTAATTGACTTTATGAGTCATAGCTGCTTCAATATAACAAGTAATGACCTAATAAAATTAATTACCTCACAGTTGGGGTTTTGAACAATAGATCAAGAAAAATGTGTAAAATCGAGAACTTCTAGCCGGAAAAATTTATGGGGCAGATACCTGCTGTCCGACGCCCCAAAATCAAGAATTGCCCGTAAGAAAAACCGTCCAATTTGAATTTTGGAAACAGTACCAAATATTTATAAGCGTATTTTTTATACTCTCATTCAATATACATTTTTGGGCGGTAGATAATATAACGTCAACTATTTGACTGGCATTATTTAATTTTACGTGCCAGTTTTTCAAGTCAATTACAATAATAAGTCGCCTCATGCACGATTTTTTGTAAGAACGCAGCAATCAAATACAAAACATACAGTTATGCACACACACACACACTTTCCTACCACCTACCATGTGCGGTTCCTCCACCTCCACCACCCCTGTTCCAGGCAACCTCAAACCCTTGAGGAGTGGGGGAAAGAGCAATTGGCTCTTCCCCCCTCTCCCAACCGAGGCACGGAGTGGCGCTGCGTGGTTCAGGCTACTGCACGTTCCTCGAGTGTGTGCTGCGAGCGAGCTACCCCCCTCCCTAATTTTGCCCCTTCTTCCTAAAGTGACTCGATCACGCACACGACGCGGAAGCGCGTGGTGGACATTTCTTCCAACTGTCGGTTCTCGACTTTTATGGACACCACCCTCTTTCTTGGGGGTCCTGCGCTGGGGGCTTTGGCTTTGACCTTAGCCCCGAGTCTAACGCTATGTTGCACGATGAGTCTTATTTATACCCTAGAGGGGAGCGCAGAATGGTAGCAGAAATAATATCTTCTATGTTGAAATGTTTTGAAGTGAAACAAATTCACACGCCAATTCTTACCCAAAGATTGGGTATGTTATTAAGAATATTTCACTTTGAGGCAGAAGCCCCCCCCCCCGAATGGGCGCCTATGCTGTGGAGAGCCCTAAACAATCATGGCCAGTTCGAATCACATTTCGACGACCTTTCTTATAGCGGTCATAGTATTTCGGTTGAGAATATAGAAAAAGGCAGTATAAGAGACAGTGGCAGCCGAAACGTTAGTAAAATCTCTTCAAATTGATGTTTTCAGTTAGCAACCACACAGTAACGCCCAGTACTTACATTGTTGACTAATTTGTTAGATCAATAGTAGCTACACCTATCAAGCGGTAACACGATATGTGTCACATATCTCTGCGTGAAATACGTGTTCCTAAAGATAATATTGCACTTAAAATGGGACAAACAAGTAAAACAGGGCTTCTAGCTAGTCCTACTAAGAAAATAGTGAGATATGAACAGGTAAACACAAGATTCCGAGTTGAAGTAAAAATGGTAAAAAACGATACATTTTTAGACAAAAGTTATTCAACTGAAAGCTATTGCCAAACCTGCACCATATGTATTAAAACCTTACGCGGGCATTTACAATCCTTATTCATATGGTTGCTCCTTGCTATGTAACCATCCTACAGATTGTGAAGTTAAAGATTTGTTGAAGAAAGCAAAAGGCAATTGGGTAAGTTATATATTATAATATTCTATAAGCTCAGTTTCGTAGTATAACCAGAGGTCGTATTTAGAACCTTTGTTGTTTTCATTGTACACGTCGGATTGCAAGAATCAGTTGGAATTTTGCAGTATGATGCAGCTTTGTATTAAATGAAAACAAGACTGAAATGCTTTTCTTTGGATCAAGATTGTGAGGTTAATAACAACCAGAATTTTAGAATCTGTATTGAGAACACTGTATTACAAGCAAGCAGTCAATGTAAAAATCTCGGACTTTATATGTATAATACTCTAAGGTTAAGTTGAAAAACGCTAATCTTAGCGACACTTCGCCTTTTTTGTACTTTTACTTAGGTATTAAATAAAGCCCATTTATTATTATTATAATCCTCTTAAATTTGCACGCCACTTACAAAAGGCTTCTGCTAAATTAAGGACTCTATCTTCACAAGAATAATCTTTCTTATGAAGTCAGGCTGAATATATGCGATTCATTGATATTGTCTTCTTTGTTACATGCTGATATTGTATACTGGACTGCTCTCACTGCTAGAAACAAACTTTATATCCAAAAAATTCAGACCTCGTGTATTACATTTCTACGTACGGTTTGAAAAAATATGACTACTTCAGTAATGAATCTTACAATACCAACAAAACCAACCTACCCTTTTACCTCTCTACCAAACTTGATTTTATCTTCATGATAGGCAAACACGTACTTGAAACCTCTAATTATGTGCCATTCCATAGTACTGAACAGTTTAAAAAGTGCTTTACTTATGTAGAACTGTACAACTCATTTCCAGATACAGTAAAAAAATTCGCCCTCATTTAGATGCTTTCTAAAAAGAGTCAAATCCCATGTGAAAATAATACGATAGTTTTATTACTGTTCTTTGTATTAATTACAACTATTATTAATTTGTAATTGTTAGGATACTCTTTTAAAACAGTGTTATTTACGGGGGTTGCATGGAAGAGCAACAATGTTGAATGCCGCCTTCCTCATCGAATGAATTTGTTTTTTTTGTAGTTTTAATCCAAAAAAGACACATTTATTAAATAATGAACTTATGCCCTCCCAAAGATCAAAATCGATACATCTATTTCTTACTAGTATAGAAGTAGGTTGAAAGGGAAAGCCTGGCAACTAGACCACCTTTGACCCTTTTTGCCGACCCCGTAGTACCACCACAGTACTACTCCATAAGACGTCTATTGGTAACTGATTATTGAATAAATCAGCTCCAGCGACGCCGTGTACCTAAGTTGATTTTGCCATTCTGATGCATGATATAGACAACAGAACATACATGGCTGGAAATTATGTTCCGAGGCGGAGATTCGAACCCGCGAGCCTGGGGAAAAAGATTATTAGCTCGACGCGTTAAGTGGACAATATAATTTTAGATGAGCTAGTAAGTAAAATTTTATATTTGAAAACATAGGCAGGTGAAGGAAGAAACGTCCTCCTCGCTGAAGAAATACATGCAATAAGGGAAGGCTTGGAACATCTTGGTAACAGCCCTGATAACATACAGCATATACAAAAATCTATCTGCATACCGCAGGTTGAGAGTGTTCCCGAAGAACTATTTAGGAGGTAATAATACGAGGGATGTCTTTTAAGTTTTGCATATAGAAACATAGTAGGCCGCGCGGATCGAACGTCAGTACTGAATCTTAACCTCACTCTTTAGTAAACTTAAATTCAAAGTTTCACAATTTTTAAGTGTCACCAAGTCATTAGAAAAATGGAACTCAACCGAGAATATTTTCGCGCCATAATTTATTACAACTTTCAGAGACAATTATCGTAACAAGAATGCCTTGATGAGTTACTGTCTGTTTTCGGCAACGAAGCGCCACAGCAGTCGACAATTTCCCGTTGATATGGAGAATTCAAACCTGGACGGGCGAGTCTTAGGCCCGTATCGTCAGTCGTCCCTACAATTGTAGGGCGCGTTTATGGCCTCCTTGATTATCATACTCCTTTCTCTCCTTCAAAAATTTCTAGATTGCACCCGTCCCGTGTCAGCGTCAGCGCTCCTATTGTGAAGATATGTTTTCTTTTTAAATTGTAGGAAATTTCAGGCTGATAAAACATGATATAACTCAAAAGCAAGCACAATTTGATGCAAATAGATGTTTGTGACATAACCTCAAAATATAGCGCTGACACGGAGAAGTAGAAAACTATGACAATCAAGGAGGCCATAAAGGCGCCCTACAATTGTAGGGCTCGTTTATGGCCTCCTTGATTATCATACTCCTTTCTCTCCTTCAAAAATTTCTAGATTACACTTGTCCCGTGTCAGCGTCGGCACTCTCCTATTGTGAAGATATGTTTTCTTTTTAAATTGTAGGAAATTTCAGGCTGATAAAACATGATATAACTCAAAAGCAAGCACAATTTGATGCAAATAGATGCTTGTTACATAACCTCAAAATAGAGCGCTGACACGGATAAGTAGAAAACTATGACAATCAAGGAGGCCATAAAGGCGCCCTACAATTGTAGGGACGACTGACGATACGGGCCTTAGCGACGATTCCAAGGTGGGTGCACCAAAAACGGCAGTCACCCAGGAAAACGTCGATGCTCTGCGCAAACTCATCATTGAAGATAGAAATGTGACATATCGCGAGATGGCGAGATTGAGGCGTCCTTGAAGATCTCAAAGACCTCAGTTCAAAAAATTTTACATTTAGAATTAGGAGTTAGGCCCGTATCGTCAGTCGTCCCTACAATTGTAGGGCGCCTTTATGGCCTCCTTGATTGTCATAGTTTTCTACTCCTCCGTGTCAGCGCTCTATTTTGAGGTTATGTCACAAATATCTATTTGCATCAAATTGTGCTTGCTTTTGAGTTATATCATGTTTTATCACCCTGAAATTTCCTACAATTTAAAAGGAAAACATATCTTCACAATAGGAGAGCGCTGACGCTGACATGGGTCAAGTGTAATCTAGAAATTTTTGAAGGAGAGAAACGAGTATGACAATCAAGGAGGCCATAAACGCGCCCTACAATTGTAGGGACGACTGACGATATGGGCCTAAGAAAATTGGTTTTTCGTTGTATACCCCACCTGTTGACTGAAGAGCAGAAAGCAGCCAGGGTTAATAGGTGTCAAAAAACGCTTGACCGTTTCAATTCCGGAAACCCAAAAAATGTGTACAGAATTGTTGGTGGTGATGAATTGTGGATTTACTGTTATGAATCAGATAATAAACGACAGTCGACTGTTTGGGTGTTCCAAGGTGAAGAAAAGCCAACAAAAGTCATTCGTTCTCGAAGTGTTTCGAAAAAGATGGTCGCGACATTTGTGTCAAAAGCGGATCATATTGCAACAATTCCTCTTAATCAGCAAAGAACTGTTAGTGCGGAATGGTATACCACCATTTCTTTGCCAAAAGGCATCATCAAGCTTCGAAAAATCAGCCCCGAAAGAAGAATCATCCTCCACCAAGACAATGCAAGCTCACAGCCCAAAAAACAAGGCAGTATTTAACGGAAGAAAACGTGGAATTATTGGTCCATCCTCCATATAGTCCCGATCTAAGTCCAGTCTTCCAGTCATCAGAAGAAGCAGTTGACGCATTCAAAAATGCCGTTTTGGATCTGCCAGCAAACGAGTGGAATAAGTGGTTGGAGCGCATGCAGATGTGTATTAATCTTCGTGGAGAATACTTCGAATAACAATAACGTCATTTAAAACTACCTACGGTGTTGTTTTATTTCCATAGGCAAAACTTAAAAGACATCCCTCGTAATAACAAAATATGTGGTTAATATGTATATTTGAAGGTACACAGAAACTGATTCGAGACCACTCACTCCTGCACCGACTTTAGCTAGTGGTGCTACACGAGCTTCCGGCTCTAGGAGATGTGTTACGCCCGATCTGATACCTATTGAAATAATTAGGGAGAAAACATTGTTGGTGTTGGATCTACGCAGAAGCCATAGTCAGGTTAGGCATATAATGATCAATGTAATATCTTTCTAAAATAATTAGGTATGTTTTAAATTTAGAAATGTTTTAGGAAACCTTGTCAATGCATGGCAGTTCAAGTGTAACGAAAGAGCCACCACTGATCAACATTCAACGCATCCCTACAAGGTCTACCAGTTTGGACAATATACAAGTTGAAGAAACTAATCGCAAAACTTTAATGACACCAACTGTACCAAAACGGCCTAAAAGTGGTAATAAAAAAAGCACTAAGCAAGATGTAAGTTCATAGTAATGGACATAATCGTTTAGTGGAGAGCTCTTAGGTTTAGATCTCGGAACCCAGGTTCACCGAATAGAAGAATTTTAGAGAAATGCCCTTGATATACAGTGTACTAAAAAATTTGCCTATTATTGTGACCTGATTTCCAATATTATTTTCAGTTTTTACATTTTTTGTTTATTTATATGCAGTATTTATGTTTACAATAGATCTCATTAAACTGAACAAAAATGTACAGGGTGGCCAACTAAGAATGCGAGGTACTGTATCTGGGAACGTCCATCGTAGAGGCTTGCGGCAAAAAAGTTCTCACTGAAACGGCCAACAGAAAAACATGGAAAATATTTTCAAGTTTCTGAAATGGCCACTAGGAGGCGTAACTCCAATCTTGAATCTAAAAAAGTGATGTTTTTTGAATTCCGCGATATTAACCTAACAAAAAAATACCTGATCTTCAAAGTCGAGGATAATGTGACCGTTTTGGTTTGTCAATGTTTACTGTATCTCTAATCTCTATCTCTATTCAAAGGTTTCCGTAAAAAACAGCCTGTAGCTTCGAAAGGGCGGAGCCAATTTTAACAAACTTGGGCTAGTTGAAAAGATCTATTCTTGAGCTATAAACGTTATAATATTTGAAGTTTTGTTAGTTTTACATATAGGCGCTAAAGGGCTTTTTTCCGACATTCCGACAGAATCGGTTAATTTTCTCAAAAGCATTGGTATGATTTTTTTTTAAGAAAAAAGTAGCTAAATCATTTGTAAACAAGCTCGCGGTGAAAACCGCATCTCAATATCTGTTAAATTTAGGCCAAAGAAAATTTTATACGGAAATCCCTTAATTTTTTATTTTTTTAACTATTTATTCTGGAATTTCTTTTATCACTAAGTTTTGAACCTAAAAAGGACCGATTTAAAAAAAAAATGTTTTTAATTCCTGCGTGAATGCTCGAAATGCCGACCATCACGCTCGATGCATTCCTGAAGCCTCTCATGGGTAGACAAAACTGCAGCTTCAATTTCGGCTCTCGGTATGTTACGTATTCCATTACGAATCCGACTTTTCATATCTTCTCTGGATGTAGGTTGAGTCTGAAACACGATGTCCTTCAACCGTCCCCATAAATAAAAATCAAGACAAGTTAAGTCTGGTGATCGCGAAGGCCTTGAAAACAGACTTCCTCTTCGATTCCACCACTGTTGTAATACTGCAATAATATGCTCTCGCAAAATAATAGCAAAATGTGCTGGGCAACCATCCTACTGCAAAAACAAGTTTTGCCGTGTTTCCAGTGGCAAAACATCCAACAACGACGGTAATTTATTGACCAAAAAGTCAAGCAGCAGCGGTGGCCGCAGTAGTAGACTCTTCGGTCTCCTGATCAGACGCCGTGCGCTGTGCGGGTTCGAGTCCCGTCCCAGGAGAAATTTTTCTCTTGGCTATGGATGTTGTGATTGTCCGTAGGTGGTAGACGGTCTCTGACTGTCGAACGTGGAGGTACCACCCGGCGGATCTCGTAGGCGGAGCCAGAATGTGTGCATGTTGCATGCACACGTGTTCCCTCGCCAGAGTCCGTGTGGCGTTCCCCCTTTCCCCTGTATCCCCCTATAGCCCCACGGTACCCAATGGGTGTTTAGGCCTTAGGCCTTCGTGGTAGTTGGAATATATAAAAAAAAGAGGGACATATTGCCCTTCAGTGATTGCTCGAATAAATATGACCCAATAATTCTGCCTCCCAGTATGCCACTGCACACATTCAAACTCCAATGCATATTGTGGCTTCATCGGTCCATTCTAAAGGCAACTCAAATAAATCCATATGTTTTGATTGCCACTAGATTTTACCTATGGTCCTCCAAAATATTTTGAAAATATGCCCAACTCAAGGAATAATGATAACATGAAGATTTCCTTCAATATATCCCAGTACTCGGTTAATATTTTCTTGATTCTTCCAATTCTTTGCCGTTGAAACGTAGACCGAAAACTACCATTGGCTCGCCACTAATCGGGGAAAAACTCTCACATCGCAAAGACGCCGATTTGGATATCGAGTCGTGTGTAAACTTTTTTTGCTACTGCGGCATTCTGAGAACATTCAAATTAAACTGCAAGCAGATGAACAGCTTCATCGTTCGTAAATCGCATTTGGTAAACACAAAAATTGCTCAAAGTAACGCGAGACTATTGACAACTATTTTACATTTTAAACATATTGCATTACATACGAGTATCTCAAAAATCCATTCAGGTGACCTGGGTCCCGAGGTCATCTTGTTTTTATCTCTTACTATATACTATTACACTGATTTTTCTTATTTTATTTTTCCTCTTGTAGGATTAGACCAGTTTTTTAATCAATTTGAAGAGTTTGTACATGTTTTTGAACTCACTTTTATTATTGTGGGGTGGGGGTGGCGATCGTCGGCAATAGATAACTTTTTGTCAAAGTGTATCTGCCCGTTTTTAAAGAGCCGTGGGGGGATAAGCGTAGCAAATTTTCTCAAGGACCCCATATTTGTAGAATGAAGAAAATAATTCAGATAAAGATTCTGCAGAAAGCGATGAGGTATTCGTTAAAAGACGAGGCAAAAAGAGACGTAAAAAAGGAAGGGATGGTTCAAGAGGTCCACCGGGTTTTCAACCATCATTAGATCCAGAAACCCAGGTAGGTAAACAGTTAAAAGACAAATAAAAACTTCCATATTTCATTTTTCAAGGTCGCAACAGTAGGATCAGAGTCTGCCAACACAAGTGCTAGGCCATCATTAGTTCCCGACACTGAGGAAATTGAAACACCTGTTCCTACTCAAAACAGACGAAGGATCAATCTGAAATACACAAAAAGTTTTGAGGTAGATTCTTATCTTGATATTGAGATTCTGAAATACTTGCGTAGGGAACTCACTGCAGAATTGGTTGACACTGAACTGGATGATAAGGTAAACCTTGGTTATGGATTTTTTAGAAAACAAATCTGCCAGAATTTGTCGTAATTATCGATTATTTTAGAGACGTAAAGCTTTAGAGGAAGCTTTGAAAACATTGTCCAAAGGGAAGCATGATTGCCAGGAATTGATTGTACTTCAAAAGGAGCTGAAAGTTTCTCCAGTAAATGTCGATTTATGGATTGCATTGCCACGAACATTTTCAAGATCTAGTGCCAGTTTTGAGTTACCTATGGACAGTAGAACTCTCAACAGTAAGAATTATCATGAAATTATGACAATTTGGACAACATTGAGCTGATGTTCAGATTATCCTAGATTTCACTTCATGGTTTTAAGTGCAATCTAAGATGTTTTTAATTTTTGTCTTTCAGCAATGACTCCACTGCAATATGTAAGGAATCATGTAAACCTCAGTTCACAAAGGAAATTACTGTACAACTGTATTTTTCGCAGATACAAAATCGAGCTTGATGATGAACACTCTTATGAAAGAAAGGTCTCAGCAGATGTAAGACTTGTACTATTGTTTAAAAAAGTTAGGGATATCAGGTATTTAAGCCTAAGTTTATTCCTGTTAAAAGATAAATGCCTGTTTAATGGCAAATTTGAAGCATACTGTTAATTGAAAATATGTAACTAGGCATTGTGAAACCAGTTGTTAGTAACAAATATAGACTATTGAAAAATGATTTTCTATATTTTAGGTTCTACCAGAATGTCTAGGCCTAGTCATGGGAAAAACTTTGACTACACCACAGCTAAACTACATCAGATCATTGCTTGGATGGCAGTACAATGATGAGTTTGATTTCAAAACTTGTTGCGGAATATTTGCACTGTGTGAAAGACTGTTAGCTAGTCAATTTTGTCCTCTATTACCTGACAGAAACGCAGATCCATGTTTAGAGGTACCTTATTGCAATGCTACTTGTCATTTAAAAAATCGTCATTTTATTCTGATCACACAAACTATAATCTTGGTTGGCTTTTTACACTTTTCAGATAGAAGCTGCAGATTTTGAAGCTTTAGAGAGAAAATTACATGGTAGAACTGTAGATGAGAGACTTACAAAAATCCTGGATTTACTCAAAACTATTTGAACATCCAGTGTATAATAATTAAAAAATGTAATTCTAGTTAGTTAATAATATACGAGTATAACATTATGTAAAACTGCCTGCGACTTCCAAAAGTTACTACAGACACTTATGTATTTGTTGTTAGGATACGTGGGCAAATTTAACTATGTCTAACATGATTTTTGGTAGACTAGCACGTTATGGTATAGAAAATCAGCCTTTAGATTGGTTGGGGAGTTTCCTTACAAACAGAAATCACTCTGTAGCTGTACACCATCTAAACTCTGGTCATTATTTGCTCGTATTTTGATTCTATTATGTATTAATACTCCAATAAACATTATTATTATTATTATTATTATGGAACTCAATTCTAGCATTGAAGAAAGTTTGATGGGCGTCCCACAGGGGACTGTTATATGCCTTTTTTATTTTTGCCTTCATAATTAAGTTACGTAAAGTACATGATGCAGTGATAACTTCATTTGCAGATAATACCTCAATCATACCTTCGCACATACAATACAGATGCTGCAAAGTTGATTTTCAAATACTAACATATGTATTTTAATTAAAATAACACAATGCATTATATTTCACACAAGTCAAAGAAACTGTAATTAAGTAAATTTCTAATTTGATAACGTTAATATTATATATAATAATGCGAAATATGTTCAGTTTCTTGGTGTGACTATGTATAATAATGAGGCTTAATTCATCATATTATCTATTATCAAATTTAAGATATATTTTACCATTAAATCAATCAGTTAGTTTGAATTAGGTATGTGTTAACTGTGTTATGAGATATGGCATATCATTTTGAGTGATTTCTATAAATTCAGAATAATCAGATGCATAGCAGGTGTGTTAGTGGTAGAGATTCCGAGTACTAACACTTGCTAGTTTATACATATTGGAAACTGGTTTATATATATATATATATATATATTTCAAAATAGGGATAAATTCTCAAAACATGTCCAAATACATACAATTAACACAAGAATTATTGAAGACTTCTATATACCACCCTAAAGAACTTAAAAATTAAGTCCCCAAATATTGACCTAAAAAATTTTAACCTGTTGCCTTTGGAAATTACTACAAGCTTAAGACATAAATAATTATTTACCCACTTACAACGATATATGTTTAAAATCGAGCACTTTCCCCACAGCTTTAAAAATATCCAATGTAATTCCAATACATACAAACGGGTTTGTTGATGAAGCCTCGAACCACCGTCCTAAATAACTTGTACCCTACTTTCAAACATTTTTGAAATTCTACTCAAGGACCAACTGAGCAACTATCTCGAAACGAACAACCTGCTAAATTCTTATCAATATGGCTCTAGAACAGGCTTATCAACAATTACTGCAATAAATACCTTTGTTGACACTATACATGATGGTTTTGAAAATAGACAAGATATAGAGGCAAATTCATTCGATTTGAGCAAAGCCTTCGACTGTGGACAACATGATATAGTTGTTTCAAAGCGACCATATTACTCAATCGATCATTGTACTGTAGTTCTTCTGAAGTCTTATTTAGAGCAAAGACAACAGCTCGTCGAATACAATGTGTGTACATCTACAGTAGGCACAGTTTATTCCATGGCATGCCACAAGGTCTGTCCTTGGCACTTTGCTTTTCTTGCTCTATATAAATGACCTTCCAAATTGTATTTCCGATAGTTGAATAGTAAGCTTATTCTTTATGCTGATGACACCACTCTAGTCTTATCCCACGATTCATTAACAAACATTAGCAGAGAGACAACAACCAGAAGTTAAGTTTCTTGGTGTGTATATTGACACCTTTTTGAACTGGGATGAACATATCAGTCATAGTTACCAAATCCTTAACAAGAATAATTTATTTAATACACAATTTAAAAGACCTGTTGACCAGTTACCATGCATATTTCCATAGCAAAATGACATACCCCTTCTGGCATGGGGTCACTCTCTGCACTTGTACAAAGTATTTGCCCTACAGAGTACAGAGAAGGTGTATCCGATATATGTTTAGCAAATCTAAAATATAGAGATCAATGCAGAGCCGAGTTTATCAAACATGAGATCATCACACTACCTGGTGCATATATACTTTGCTGCCTCTTGTATGTCAAGTCAAATCATGACTTTTATACCAACCACCAAGAAACTTATTCATATAACACCTGACACAAAGAGAACTTGTACCCAAAACAATATAGACTTGCTAAAACGACAAATGGAGTTAACTAAGATGGTATAAAATTTTACTATATATTACCTAAGGAACTAAGATCTCTAGAATACAACGAATCTAGTAAAGCTGTGAAAAATTTGCTCTGTCAACAACTTTTTTCACCACTGATGAGTTCCTCAACCACAGCTTCGTCCAATAGTTTTATCTCGTTTACAATTTCTTTTGTTTTATCTAATCCATGTATATTATTTATTGTGGTCTAATATCTTGTGCCATTTGTTTATTAATTGGATGTAGTTTGTTATAATTTTATCTTGTGTGCCTTTTATTGCTACCCTTTTAACTATTATGTGTGTATGATCTGCAGTGTTTGTTTTTTATATGTAGTTTGTTATTTTTTTTTACTCTTGCTACTAAGCCTCAATTATTGTATTGACTTGTGAGAGCACAATTCGAGTACTAGCACCAATAAACCATTATTATTATTATTATAAAAATCAAAGGATTTTTTAATCGTACATAGGTTTTAAAGTATAGAATATGATATATGCCATAAGTGTCAGTTTCACTATTTGACTATTAGATGTACATTTTTTCTAGCTTCAAGTTTAAGCTGGATGACTATTCCTGTACAATGCTTTTTGTAAAAACAAAATAAAAAAATCTAAATACGGTAGCTTCATTTTTATTCACAGCAATAAAAAATGTGTACTTAGCTTGGAAACCTTTCAATCTAACAATTTATTGAACAAATTATAAATATCTAACTGCATTACTATACCACATCATTTATTTAATGCTCATCTTCATAACCATTAGGCAGAGCATTAGTGTGTGGGTTATGGAAGAGCGAATGGTTTCCATCACCCCATGGAAAACGCTTAGTGCGAACACACAAGTAATCATACTTGACGAATGGTGGTCTCTCATGGTGTCCACTTTGGTGAGTCAAGTAGCAGTTTACAGCACACAGGATTATGGATGGAAAGGCTACAAAGAAGGTGAGGTTTCTCCAGATTTTGTAACCCCCTGAAACGGAAATATATTATAATTATTGGACATATTTTACAAGGGCCGTTGAACATCAAAACATTTTAAACGGGTGTATTACAGACAACACTGCAAGGTCTATAAAGCTGAAAAGTACCATCGATTATATAATCCAACACTAACCTTCATGTCCTCCTGACACTGCGGATGGCCCCTCAACTTGGACAGCAGCTCTTCTGGCAGTAGTTTGGAGATACCTTCTCACGGCATGGTTCAAAACCGTATTCATCTTTTCCTGAATTTTTGATTTAGAAAAATTCCCTTCGATTCACCTTTCTTCCTCTATTTTCCGCAAATGACAGGTAACTGATAGCACACTGACAGATGCCATGAGCTCATCAGAACTTTCTGTTCCGTGTCCATAAATATAAAACTTCAGTATAAAACAGAAAAATCAAATTCAAGCGGATAACCAAATGGAATTTACCATTTTGGGTTGGTATAAGTTCAAGCGAGTGTAGTTATCAGTTTGGTTATAAGATCCGTGACGTCACGAATCAGCTGTTATATGTCATAGTTATCACCGCAAAATTGTGGTATTTACCCAACTCAAGAGTAGTTTTATATTTCTGGTTATTATTTGAAATGTGACAAGTTAGAATTTTACCGGGTATTGGATATTGTTATTGTATTTCAGCTTCATTTTTGAGAAAATTAATACAGGCTAACTTCAGTTTTAGCATAAAGTGGAGCACCTTATTAGTTATACTCATTACGGTTGTTGGGGACACTTTAAATGTAGTTCCTATGCTTAACAAAGTATCCTGTGTAGCCATATACCACAAGAATATTAAAATATGGCCATATAAACTCACTAGATGATATCCACCTGTATACGGTTTTGCTAATTTCTTTTTTCATCATTTCTGCTGAATCAATAAATGTTTTCTTTGACATGCGGAAAAATTTAGAGAATTGAAAGTTATCATAGCTACAAAGCCATGGTGCCATCGTTAAAAAAAAATCTGAAAAAATCATTTCTCCCATGAATATCATGAAAGGTTTCTTATTTAAACTTTCCATATACAGTTGTAGACGAAAAAGCACCGATTATTAAGTGATAATAAAAATAATCAGAGATTATATACGCTCTTTTCTAAAATAAACAACTTGCAACAAAACCGCGGTTAAAACCAACGGGTTCAAGCGATTCGTGTAACTGACGTCATCAACCCGTGTGTCATCTTGAACCATATCATAACCGTGGCACATAACACAAAAATTTTGGTTATTCGCTTGGATTTGATTCATGTTAAGGCAAATAAGATCTTTTTGGAGGCAAAAATGTTTTTAATCAAATTCAAGCGGATAACCAAATGGAAATGGTATTTACCATTTTGGGTTGGTATTTACCAATCCGTTCAAGCGAGTGTAGTTATCAGTTTGGTTATAAGATCCGTGACGTCACGAATCAGCTGTTATATGTCATAGTTATCACCGCAAAATTGTGGTATTTACCCAACTCAAGAGTAGTTTTATATTTCTGGTTATTATTTGAAATGTGACAAGTTAGAATTTAGCCGGGTATTGGATATTGTTATTGTACTTCAGCTTCATTTTTGAGAAAAATGATACAGGCTGACTTCAGTTTTACCATAAAGTGGAGCACCTTATTAGTTATACTCATTACTGTTGTTGGGGTCACGTTAAATCTAGTTCCTATGCTTAACAAAGTATCCTGTGTAGCCATATACTACAAGAATATTAAAATATGGCCATATAAACTCACTAGATGATATCCACCTGTATACGGTTTTGCTATTTCTTTTTTCATCATTTCTGCTGAATCAATAAATGTTTTCTTTGACATGCGGAAAAATTTAGAGAATTGAAAGTTATCATAGCCACAAAGCCATGGTTCCATCACTAAAAAGAAAATCTGAAAAAAACATTTCTCTCATGAATATTATGAAAGGTTTCTTATTTAAACTTTCCATATACAGTTGTAGACAAAAAAGCACCGATTATTAAGTGATAATAAAAATAATCAGAGATTATATACACGTTTTCTAAAATAAACAACTTGCAACAAAACCGCGGTTAAAACCAACGCGTTCAAGCGATTCGTGTAACTGACGTCATCAACCCGTGTGTCATCTTGAACCATATTATAACCGCGACACATAACACAGAAATTTTGGTTATTCACTTGGATTTGATGTTTGTTTTGTGACATCCGTCTTTAATGATATGTCATCTCAATGTCGATAGCCATACATTTCAACCGCTATGAGCAGTGATGCCGAACCTACCGATTTTCCGCTATTTCTACCGAAATGAGACCTGTTTTACAGAAACGCCAAAAGCGTCATTTTCCAACATTTTTTAGAATAATTCATATATTTTCATTTTTTCCGGAAAAGAGATGGAACCAAAAGTAAATTAAAAAAATTCTATGTAAGTAAGTTGTGCTTAAGCAGTCTGGCACACGAGGGTCGTGGACTAGGGTTGCCTATAATTATGTAGGCACACATCCCTTATTTGGTTTTCCCTCTCCCTGCATTACTTTTTATCCGTAGAACAGGTGCAGACTGGTAGATCACCGCCATTACCGCATCACAAGCAATAAGGAAACCAAACCTTATCTGTTTTTAAATAAACACCATACCGTGAGGTTCTAATTTTGCTAATGTCGTAATGTGTACGAGACAGAAACGCGAGGAACATTCAATATGTGTTAGAAAGAATGCGATCATAGCGTCCGTGGCCTCGTTACTCGGGTTGCTAGGCAATGAGGTGCTTATATCTCTTTGTAACACACGTATTGCACAGTTCACTCTCGTACACATTACGACTTAACTGGTATTTGGTTTTCAGTGTATATTAAATTAAGATGTAAGGTGATGAGGCTTCAAGTTCAGGGTAAATCAGATTATTCCCAGTCTTAGAAACAAGAATGGGGAAAGGAGGTTCCAGAATGGTTGCGAAGGACCAATATGCTCATTGTACCAGTTGTAATGAGAGTTAATATTTTTTTAGGAAAATATGCCCTCAAAAAAAGCGGGTTATGTAAACTTAGGCGCGGAATACAAAAACATACTTTATTCATAGACGGCGCTGCGCGACGTAAAGGCCCTTGATCTTCAGCTGATGAATTTCACGGACACTACGGATTTCGTCTTTTTTGGTTCGGCAACACTGGTTGCGAGGGACGTTTGAAAATTATGCTTCTAGAATTCTTTTTTGTACCATTTGAACAAAAATTATTATTGGTCACATAATTCAGTATGGACTCTTTAATAAACGCTAATAAACATTTAAAATATATTCAAGAATACCATTTAATGTTATCTTTAAAGAGGAAGAAGTGAGCTTAGAGTTATAAGCTATATTGGAGGTGTAAAAGAGATGAACCACCAGATAAAATAAATTTATATCAATGTTACATATTGTTTAACAAAGAATACAACTGATATAGAGAGAAACATATTGCCCCAAAAAGAATAATTATCTGGATACATTTTTTCTTCGTTAAATATATTATAACATGCATTTGATATATTATCTCAAACTATATTCGAAGGGATATCTGTTGGCAATTTTTTCTTAACAACATGTATTTTTCTGTTAGACAAACAGATAATATAGCAGTGATCGTCATAGACGAAGGATAGTTTCTTGAAACCTTCTTCAGGCGGGAATGCTTTCGAATCTACCTGAGAAGTGAGATTTATCAATCCCATAATAGTAGCGGCTGTTCTTTCATCGTTTTCTAGATCTCCAGATGAAGAAAGCACGGCCCCCTCGTCATTTAATAGTAAATACCCAGTTTGTCCGGGTCGGTCCATATCATCTAAAATGCTGGAAACGTCAATAAATAAATTGTCTAATATTGTTAATCGAGCACAGTTTACCTAGATAATTGTTATACGTCCATAGTTATATCAAAAAAATTTACTTTTTATTAAGCCAGCTCAGCTGACTAATGATATTTCTGATATTTGATTTTTCTGGTTTGTTTTGTTTGGGAACTCCTGACAAATGACATCTGTCACTTGACAAGGTTGGATGGACAAAATGTAGAATGAAAACTCGAGACAAAATGCCTTAGTTTAGTATGAGCTTACGAGGTGGTGCTGATTACATGGAACCGTATAAATTTCTGGCTTTTGATGTTGATTTTATACCTATACATATAATCTATTTTATCTACCATAGATTTTTTTTCATTTCAATCTTGTGAATTATCATAAACAATACGTCGGCAACCAGAAAAATCTAAAGAAATAAAAATCCAATTAATCTATCACTGGTTCTTGATTTTCCTGGTAAATATTTTACGTCTCACAAAAAAGCTATTTATTATAAGCAAAAAAAGGAATAAGATGTTGTTCACTTTCCCTTTTTCTGTTACTGTGTTAAAAAACGCTACATGTATTATGTACGTACAATATCTTTGTTTTCCTCTATGAAGGGGTTTCATGAATCTATGCATGTATATACGTTCTATGATTCATGGAGATGTTATTTTCCCGCCAATTTTTAACTCTAACAGAAGTGGGTGGAGTGAAAGTTTGACTGCAAAAAATCAGAAGAGCTATAATTAGAGGGAGAATAGAGTAAATAATTTAAGGTTACATTATTTATTGACAATTTTTTCTAACGGAATATCTAGATTGCTGAAAATCTTTGGTTTTTAATATAAACAAAACAACTGAAAATCGAAAAGTAATTTTTTATAGTTGTGCTTCTGAGGTGATGTTTGTAGACTTTTAGACGTTTATGTGCAATTAGTGGAGCTTCCTGACAAAATGTCTAAAACGGTAAGTACATCCTATCATTCATCCATATATACAATTGCATGACATTTTCTGCCACTGTCGAACGAAGATTAAACGGGGTTAGAGTTTTTCGGGGGCGTTAAAAATTCAAAAACTAGTTGGGTTAGGAAAACGTATGGTCTACAAATTTAATGCTGATATGGAAAATAGGTACTTACTCCAACATTTTGGATGGCGTTATCAGCCTTTAATTTTACTGTTACACTGCCAAAATACAGAGGAAGTAGAAACCAAATAATTGTGACAGTTTTCAGAACTACCTGACAAAAAATGACAAAAATTCATGACATTAGCGTCTGACATGCCTGTCTACATTTATCAGCTGTTTTTTTAATTCTCAACACACTCTAGAAATAACTGCGTAGTAATAAGCAGTAAACTAATTAAGAATTTAGCAAACTATATAACATGCAGCAATGCACTTTTACAAGCAGCCGAATTTTCCAGAGGCGTAGCAAAGTATTTCATCGAACAGGTATAAGCAACACCATGTATTGTGGCTATATAAAGTGTGTACATTAATTTAACAAACGATTTTTTTAGTTATTTAGGACAAAATTTTTATATACTCATAGTTACATAAATTCCTAGTTCTCACGATACAGGGTGTTCAAATTTAACAAAAAAAAATGTTTTTTTGTAAATTTCTTAAATATCTAATTGATTGTTTACATCAATTTTACTTCCTACGCCAACTGACAAGGAAATATTGTAAACGCGAAAAATGTCGAGATTGAGATATTGTGTCACTCATTTCCGTCGGTCTGTCTGTCCGCTAATCCTATAACCGCCTATAACTTGATTACTCGTATTACTCGGATTTGGATGAAATTTTTACACCAGGTTATACTACTATGCCAAGGACGAAAAAGCTTTGAAAATCGGTTCAGTGGCGGTGGAGCTAGGGAAGAAATACGGAAAAGCAATTGCTTAAATTTCGTTAATTACGCTTTAGATTAGAGGCTCCTGATCACTTTTATGCAAATTTTTATAGGGGTTGAAAGTTGGGGTTTGTAGGGGGTGGGGGAAGGTATGTCTTATTTTGTTGTACTATATTTATACGCTTCCAACCCCAGCAATTTTACGCACGTATCAGTACATGTTTCACGCATCAAAGATTTCCCCGTACATTTGCCCTTATAAGAAATTTTCATAGACGAGACACACGATCTGTCGGGACGATGCGATGTTACGGCGGCTTTCACACGCCGAACCCTGCCTTGAGTGTGACAGCAATGCCGGCAGCGATGGTACAGTAGCGCTTAAGACATCTTTGATTGGAGTGGTTTAGCAGCGTTGCCAGATGGTTGATACTATAGGCAGGGAAGAAACTAGTAATAGCGCTATAAAATGGATAAGGACTATACAACTAATTGCCCATCCAAAAAGATTTCCTTTGCCATCAGATGTTAACACTACAGGTTATAGCAGTATTAAGGTCTTTGACAAAGAAAAACGCCTTTTAAAACGTCTATTCTTGGAAATGTCCCACATTTTCATGACAGATCATTGTATGAATAAAAAGGCTGATGTTAAACAACTAAGTATCATTTATTTTTACTTGTTGAACTGCGAAAAATTAGAACGACTACATACATATTCCAGTTAGTTCAGTATCTTCACAATAATACAACACACACTTCTAATATATTCCGTAAAATAAAGGAATTTTCAAGTTTTCGAAATAATTTTTTCACACAACCCATGTTTTCTGGTGTGTCATTACCTTTTTTTTCATATAAGGTGTACCTTGCCAAAACAAAACTATTTGTGCATATTAAGTACTGTACCGGATAATTTCAGTTGGCAATAATTTTACAACTTCCACGTTGTTTCATGGCGTACATCTGTCTTCATTTCCGGCACGGGTATTATGTAAAAAACCAGACGCCAAAAAAAACCTATAAGATGTCATCTTGCAGACTAGGTAGTTTTTAGTGTGCAAACTGTCATTCCACCTTTGCTCACTAGGATCGTCGTGAGCGAGACCCAAAGCGTCCATCTACGAAGGAATGAATGACCGATACTGCATGCTCGTCTATTTCCAAGTATGCATTGTTGGTTGCAGACAAATTATTGTAGTGTTTAAAATGTGAAAGAACGAAAGTTTGGTTGAGTAGCAGCAAGACCGCATCTGCATGATTGTATTGGTCTGCATGTGTATGAAATCTGTGATATTTGCTATGTGAGAAAATTATTACTGACTATGCTGCCAATGAAGTATATCTGTTAGCTGTGCCGGACGGGTTATTTGTGTTGTTCCTTCTGGAGAGAGGTTATGTTCAAAGTTATACCTTACGATTTTTCCCGTTTCTTTTTCTTTTGTGTTTTCAAGAATTTTGAGAAGAATTACAAAAAATCACCACCGCGCCCGCGTTGTGTGTAATTACTGTTAGCATGTAACATATATGACTTGTAATTCCACAGTGTACAGTGAATATAATTATTTCTTATGTCTCTCATTTTTTAAATCCAGCAAATTTGCATATGTAATTTCCAGAATGGATTAGAAAAAATGGATGCGCAACCAATTTCTAGCCTTGCATCTCAAGTAAGTGTATTTGAGACAAGAATCCAATGGAATTATCATCAACACACATTATTAGCACATAAATCCTCACTATGCCTCAGGTTTGACCTTCAGTAGTGCCATCTCTGAAGCAGATTTTACATCACGTCAGAGCCAAACATTGATAACTGAATCATCATGACGTTTAGGCAATACGTACAATTACAAACGAGTTCACGACAAGTGTAGATCAGCTAGTGCTAAGTCAACATCTTGTCGAAAAACCTACATAATGTCAAAAAAAAACAGTCTGTCAAAAAAATCGATATAACATCACTTTTCAAGATACGTAACACCCGTGCCGGTCAATCACTTCACCAAGTGCAACAGGTATACTATGATAAGTGAAATTTCTGTCTCCAAAATGTAGTTTTAGTTTTTAATAATTTGATTACTCTTTCCCCTTTTTAATCCGTTCGGCACGGGTATTACGTATCTTGAAAAGTGACATTATGTCGATCTTTTCTGACATTGTATTGATTTTTTTGCGACATTCTGTAGGTTTTTCTACGTGTTGTTAACTTGGACACATTGTGAACTCGTTTTGTAGTTGTACGTGTTGCCTAAATGTCACGTTTGGCTCTGATATGATGAAAAATCTGCTTCAGAGATGGCATTACTGGAGGTCTAAGCTGTAGGTTGTATATACTATAGTGTTAACAATATCTTAGACTAACTCAATGATAGAGTGCGTATTCTTGCTCATATACTGTGCTCACTAATCATTCGGGTCAGTTATCGTGGATATGAATGTTGTTATCTCTCGGAAAGTCCGTCAGAAATATTTCTCATCGAAGTTTATATGATGAAAACTGGTCTTACATGCTTGAATCGGCAGACCTATTTAACATCTTCAGAAAGTGGGATCAAGAGCAATTTTCGAAAATTTGTTCTGTTCACGCCCTTGTGCTGTACGAAATGTGCGTAAAGAAAAACTGTGTATTTATGTCATTGATTTTATGTTTGGTCGACAAAAGAGTCAGTCTAAAGGCTGCTACACACAGTGCTGCCGGGCAAGCCGTCGGCGAAGCCTCCGTACACCCGGCGGCATACAAAGCCGCCGGCCTTGCCGCGCAAAGGAGCCGCCGTGGTGTGCCGGCGGGTTACGTGGCTTGCCGGCGTCACTTCGTTTCTGGCATTCGAGCGGTAGTGTTGTGCGGTTTGTGTGTTTAAACAAATGAAAATGTCGTTTAATTGGGACGACGAAGCTGTGCTGCTCTTAATTGAAAAATTTCATGAAAATGATATATTATGGAATCCCAGAAATGCAGACTATAAGAATAGGAACAATCGAATGGACGCATTGAACATAATTGCAAGTGTATTTGACATTGATAAAGGCGAAGTAGAGAGAAAGTTAAAAAATGTAACCTCTCATTATTTTCGGGAAAAAAAGAAGTTCGAACAGTTGCACAAATCTGGTGCAGGCATAGACGATGTATAGAAACCCAAAAAACATGCTATTGCGCAAACGCTGACACCCCACATCATCTTTTTTATACTCTTCTATCATTACAGTACCGTTCCGCCATTTTCTATTTTGTAAACTTGGGTGCAACCAAAACCTTCTCGTCCTTTTGTATTTTTTTCTTATTAAAATAAAAATTACAACTGCGGCGGCTGTGCTGATGATTTCCTTATTCATTTTAACCAACCAACCATAAAATATGCACTTCACTAGCGTTCTATGTGACTGTCACAACCGGAATGATGCTTGGCGGCTTTGCGCGGCTTGTATTGCCGACGGCATTGCCGCTCGGCATTGCCGCCGGCACTGTGTGTAGTAGTTTTAACAGCAATTTGGACATTATAAAACAATGCATTCCGCAGGATATGTGGGTTTTCATATGGACTATCTACAATAGCATATCGCTTAGAATACCAACATCGTATTACTATGCTTATTGCCAATATGGGACTTATTTACTTGATTGTCTGATAAGGCAATTTACCACTTGCTTAATATAACTAACTACTATTTGTGCTTATGGCGTCCTATAATGTTTTTTCTTTATGAGTGAGGCCACAGAGTAAGCTCGTGAGTACACTAGAAAGTCGGCTAGCAAAGAGACGTAGTAGGTCACGTCTTAGTCCACGTCGACGTAAAGTATCAAAGCATCATGGCAGTAAGCGCACTTGTAGGTACAGCTCAAATTGCAGCAGCAGTAGTACCTACTGACGACAGCGTGGATAGCCCACGGCGTAATAGCTAGCATCATCAGCGAGGTAGCTCCAGTAGTGGAAGTGAGCGCATGAGGAAGCGTTCACGCAAGTATGATAGTAACCAAGCTTCGTCTACGAATATGTTCAAAAGTTTTCTTGATATGATGAAGGGTATCAAGGGTAGAGACGATAATGTTCCTCTTCTTGATAATGTTATACCAGAGTTTGATCCATTGTGTAAAGAACAAGCTATTGATGGATGGTCGCATGACTGCCATGAGATAGGCCTCCCGTTCTTTAAATGTCCAAAACAAAAATTCCAATGTATGTAAATTTAGAGGTCACACGGATTCATAATGCTCTTAGAAGCACCAAGGTGACAAGGTGGCATTTCAAATGACAAAGTAATTCAGTCTTCCATGTAAACAGCTTTGGCGATTCTAGCTGGTAGTACAAAAAGCTAGTTAAAATAAAGGTTTACATTATTAACTGTCATGTTGATCTTGGAAGTGATGGCACCTTATTGCGATTTAGAGATAAAAAAAATGTACTAAAATGGCGGAACGTTGAAGCACCCTTATTGGTTGGACTAGGTGATGTCCCATAGAATTAGCATTTGTTACCATAGAAGTACAAGGTATCGTTAAATATGATGTAGAGGTTCTAACAGTAATTGACACCTCAACAGTCATC